AAGGGAGAGGGACTGGAGGGAGGGATGAGGTGTAGGGAGTGGGGAAACGAAAAGAAAAGCAAGAGTAGAAGAGTAATTCCAGCTGGGGAGAGAGAAGTAAAAAGAAGAAATAATAAGTTGCACCTCCAAAGTGAGGGCGAGAAACAATAACAAAACAGACAGACCAAGACAGAGACACACACACATACACTGGGGTAGTAGCAGGTTAGCAGCGAACAAGTTGGGGAGGAGATGGTGGTTTTGAGCATTGGAAAGCCATGACATCTCTTTCGATGTCAACCATCCCTATCCGGTTTAGCGCCCTCCACGACCACCTCAGCGATTCTAGAACAAAAACTGACCGAAAACGATCGACGCGCTTAACTTCGTACGTAGTTTACTTACTTCTTCACAGTTCACAAAACATGAACTGATCTCACTCGCTTGTCCTCTCCTCCAGCTTCCATTCCTGCCCTTGAGAAATTGTGATTATACTAACCCTTTCTCTTCCTTATCACGGTCTAAGCTGATCTACTACCTCCTGAATCCCTACACACGAATCATCAAGCAGTGAGTATTGGAGAGGGAGTGAGTGGCCTCGCTGACTAACCCCTTGGCATGTGCAAGTGAACTAATCTTACAGTGATTCATGAGTATAATAAGTACCTTAATTTGAATAGCTGATCAACGACAGACAGCATTTGCGATTCAAAACCTACTGCGCAACGGCTTCTTCGAAACAGTAAACAAAAATCATTTTCATTTCAGAATCATCGTAGGGGTATAACTACCGTCTTCCTGCAATCAATTTTTTTGGTCCAATCCACATCCTTCCCCTCTATTGAGTATATACATACATGGTAACTGATGCATACCAGTGAGCACGGTGGATATCAGTTTGGTGGATGGAGTCAGCAGTACACCTCCTTTTCCGTGCTTTTCAGAGAAAGCAACCATGGGTTTTTGCTCATGCAAGGCTCAAACCATCCACAATCTTTCGTGCATTCCGAGGGCTAGGAAACTGCTCCAAGATTGTCCTTCGGCCTAAGAAGATCCAGCCCTCACTCTCTGGGTACTTGCTTGCTCTCACTGGTTAATGATCACCATTAATCGAAGGTGGTCTTCTTGCCCTGTGATTCGACAATGGCACCACTAAGCTTCTGCACTGTGTCCTGATCGTATCTGGTATATTCGGGCTTCGCCTGCTTGGTTCTGGGAGGTCGCGCTTGGCGAGGTTGCTCTTCGGTGGCTTCAAAATCTCCGGACTCTGCATCAACGGTCTCTGAGCTGTTATTCTTCTTGCCCTCGCCATCTTTTCCGAACCGTTTCTTATAGCGAGTAGTAGCGTCTTCGGCGAACTCCATACGCAAGCGCCTTCCAAGAAGGAAATTCACCCAGACTTTCCTCTGCCGGGGCTTCTGAGGCTTTTTGCGCTTCTCAGAGTCGGACTCGGACTCATCTTCCTCCTCATCATCCTCCTTCACTAACACATAGCCCTTCACCGCTGCTTCAGCTGCTGCAAGATCCTCAAACACTACCCAAGCGTAACCCTTGCATTTGCCGGAGTCCTGGAAGGTTGCCACATGTACATTAGCCACAACACCGCATGGCGCGAAATGCTCTTCAATAGCTTCTTTGGTGGTGTCAAAGCTGAGATTGCCGACGAATATGCGCTTCGAGGGAGGATGACCGGATGCTGCAGAGCCCGCTTTTTGACCGTCTTCCTTGGGTTTATCTGGCCTTCCAGCAAAGCTCTTTGCATCCTTGATTAGCACGCGACGACCCGTAAGGAGCTGTTCGCTAAGGCCAATTGCCTCCTCCGCAGCCTTCTGGGTGGAGAAGTCAACATAAGCGAAGCCTTTGTTCTGAGATTTTCCAGATTTTTCGGCGCCCTTAGGCATATGTATGCGCGTAATGGTTGTCTCCGCAAAGGAACAATTGCTCGTGAAGAAGGTACGCAAATCATCCTTGGTCACGGAAAAAGCGAGATTGCCGATCCAGACACCGTACTCTGAACGCTTCGAGGGGGCAGCAGTGGGTTTCTCGACTGCAGCCACCCCTTCGGTCTCTGTCGTGGACTCAGAGGGTTTCGCAGTTGCTGCCTTCTTTGCTTTCCGCAATGCTTTTTTTGATGGAGGTTCGGGGGCAGAGATGTCGATCTCGATCTCCTCAACATCAGTGAGCTTGCGCTTCTTCTGATTTTCTTCCCCAATGCTAGCCATGGCTCGTTGGCTCCTGAAGATTCGCACAGATGTAACTGAATAAAATAATACTCGTAAGAGCGACTGCAAAGAACAGGCAAGCGGAAGAATGTATGAGGACAAAACAACAAAAGAACAAGAAGCCCACGCGTATGGCTCTTGTCGCAGTCGGCGGTAACTTTTTTTTTGTATCGGTTTTCTTTGCGGCGGGCAGAAAGACTCTCCGCCTTATCAATTCTGGACTTGGCGGAATCCTTCCTCCGATTCGCAGAGCTGGAAAGGGACACTCATCTTCCCTTAATGAGATCCTCGACTTTTACCATCGAGCGGCAAGAACGCAGTTGAGATCCCCGTCAGACTGAGATTTAAACCCCCTCGTGACAAAAATTGTGCCTCGCATCCGCCATGTCTCAATTTGATGATACAAGATCGATGGCAGAAAGTCTGCCGGATGCCTCCGTTGGCGCCCCTGCTCGGCCCTCCTACAAGTCTTTCAAGTGAGCACATTTCTTTGGAGTCTCCCAACTCTTCTACAACTAGGAAACTAGCTAAAACAGATCGCTACATAGAAAGAAGTTTGCGAAGCTTAAGATGAGATTTGAAATGCAGATGGGAGAGAGCGACGCGCTCATTCGCGAAGAATTGCGCATCGAGGATCTTTCGAAGAGAATACAGGAACAGAATGAGTATGCAATCCATCGCTGCTATCTGAGAGGCTCCCACTAACACTGACTCAATCGTAGTCAACTGTTAGAGGTCCTGCTTGAGTTCAACGACAGCCTCCACGTGTCTCCCAGTCTACGATACGACTTGAGTGCGCCAGGCGATGAGACCTTTTTGCCGCCTCCTGATAGAGATATTCCGGCCTCTTATAATGATCCCGCCATCGCGGGATCTATGTTGAAGGATGCGAAAGGCCGTATGGCTGCTGGTCGGATGACTACCAATGCCTATCGTGAACTGGAGGACGACGTTCGGCGAAGCAAAGCGTTTGCACCGCGCCTGCTGTACACTTCCTTGATGCAATTTCCTCATTCTGCCCCTTTGCCCGACGACCAACCCGAGGATCAGTATCCCGCCCACGTGCTTGGCTTCATGACTCCTGAGCATGAAACCGAGTACTACCTGGCCCTGGACGCTAAGCTCGGTGATGAGAGTGCCATTGAGCAGCTATTGTCCATGCCCAATAAATCATCATTCGTCGAGCGCACGCGGGATGCTAATCTCCGTATACCCATATCCGTGCATAATTGGCTTCGGCGGAATCAGCCGCAGATCTTCCTTCAAGACAACGAGAACGCATCCGAGAAGTCTGGCTCTCGGCCCTCGCGTGCGTCCAAGAGAGCTACTGCCCAGGCTCGAAAGGAGGAGGATATGTATGATGATGAAGGCTCTTTCATGGAGACAGCATCGGCTACCGGGACCGCTAAGGGCAAGCGTAAGCGGGACGAAGACAGTGGATATCGACCTAAGGGTGGCAGCAGCCGTCCGAGCCGCAAGAAGAAGGATGATGATGGTTCTACTCCTGCCAAGCGGACATCGAAGCGGGCCTCTGGTGTTAATGCTTGAGCTCGCATACCCTGTTAGTGGTGTTGAAGCTCAGGACAGGATCAATGGTCGGGTGATAATTCTATTGAGGCTCAAGTTGTAGTTTTCAATGATCATGTATTGGTCATTCATGTATTGGACCCTAATCAAGCTTATTATGTCCACAATAATCCGTAGGGTTGAATTAGGACTATAGTTCATAGTACTGTGTAAAACAAAACAGTGAATGCTAGCGGGATTCACGTGCATCTCCACCAGGAGTTTGTCTGGTTTGCTCCAATTCCGGAAAGTCTGCACAGAATGAATGGATGGCCGATGAGAAAGCAACCTTTCCTTCAATTATTCCCCCATTCGACATAACCTGAGACACTTTACTTAATCATCTACAGTATCTCTGTTGCTATTGCCAGGTAGCTCCAATCATGGCTATTACCATTCTGCCCCCGGTGGTAGAAAATGTCGATCTGCCTGACTTCGACTCCGACTCAGATGCCATGTCCGTCGATTCGGACGGCGGCGTGCAATTGGCAAAGGACAGTTCATCTAGACCCAGCAAGCGCCAACGCGTGGTTGAAGGCACCAATATTGTCGCTGGAGTATTGACGCCTGGTGAGGTCGTCACTGATGATCCGCAATGGATGAGGTTCGTCATTACTGCAATAATTGCTATCTCATTCCTTTTTTTTGTGCCCACCATAGCTAATGTATTCTCTGTGTATAGAGGTCATGGCACCTATACGAATCCACTATCAACCTCTATCATCGCCACTGTTGCTGGTGCGGTGCAAAAGACCAATAAACTGCTTTCCGTTCAGCCCCTTCGTGCACGATACACTCCGGAGATTGGTGATCTGGTGGTAGGGCGCATTGTCGAAGTACAGTCCCGCCGGTGGAAAGTCGATGTCGCCGCCCCTCTGCTCGCTCAATTACCTTTATCAGCGATCAATCTACCGGGAGGTATTCTCCGACGCCGCACAAGCGCCGATGAATTGCAAATCCGAACCTTCTTCAGCGAAGGAGATCTAGTCGTGGCTGAGGTGCAAAGTGTACATTCGGATGGAGGCGCATCACTTCATACGCGGTCCTTGAAATACGGAAAACTGAGAAACGGCGTATTTCTGGCCGTGACGGGCACGGGCGGCAGTGGCGCATCTAGCTCGACTGTCAAGGGTGGTGCAGGAAGCGCGGCGGCTGCGACGGGTGCTGTCGGCGGCGTGGTACGATCACGGAGACAGGTTTGGACAGTCAGCACTGCCAATGGAGGCGGAGATGTTGATGTGATTCTTGGAGTGAATGGGTATATTTGGATTTCGAAGCACGCAGATGGGGCCACGGCCGCCTCGTCGACGACAGAGAACGTCTCAATCACCCGCATGGAAGAAATGGTGTCGAGCTCGATCTACTCCAGCCAAAATGACGAGATACCACCTCAGACGAGACGCGAAATCGCCCGGTTAGCGCAGTGTATCCGAGTCCTAGTGAACGGGGGGATTCGGGTGGATGAGGAAACGGTAATGAGCGCATATGAAGCTAGTCTCCAGGTGGATCTGGAGCTCGGTGACGATGAGGATGAAGATGAACGGCGACACGAGGGTCGCGAGTACTTGGAGGGGAGCAAAGCGCAGCGTATCCTCGAGTTGGTCTTACAACGGAAATAGATGGATATATGACTACGATTACTCTTGATGTGATGTTCAGATGAGATTTTAAGATACCCCCCACCTCCCCCTCCCCTCGCATGACTTCCTACCAGATCACATCCGGTTTTCTTCCTGTGTCTCTTTTGTCAATTAGAAGAGCCCCGCATCACGTGATGATAAAGTGAGCATTGATTGGTAGAGTGATTTGCTCGAAGAGTACCTACCTAATTGTACTGGTGAGATAGCAGCTACTTATATGTAGTTTACTGGGAGTGTAGGGGGCAATGAGTAAATTCTCGGTATAACAGGGCAGCCAAAAAGACAAGGGGAACGTGACCCGCCAGTTGACTTCGGAATTCTTTTATTGTCGCACTTTCTTCCATTCTCTCCCTCCCCCTCTCTCTAAATCTACCTCTCATCGAAGAAGAAATCCTTTCCCCTTCTCACTCAATCTTACCATGTCCTTTGTCTCGGAAGAAATCTTTTTACAGTTAACATTCTCTATACCTTTTGCATAGGTTTTTCCCTCACAATAGCTCCATCATAGGATCTTACACTTCTTGAACCATCAATCCAAGCCTACTCGCCTATCAGAGACAACCCAACAAAAAGAAGATTTCCAAAGCATCAGAATAGAGCATCCATTTTTTTCCCTTGCTCATCTAAACTATCCTGCCACTGCACAAATTCACTATGCCGGACTTGCGTCGTCAGGTACTGGAGAGCGGCAAGACGATCTCTCGCAAGGCCGCCTCTCGTGAAGGCTCGCGCCGCACATCGCGCACCACCTCGGCCCAAAACTCTCGTCCCTCGTCGCGGCCAACTAGTCGGTATGGCTCAGATGAAGAGGATGCCGGAAATCTCAGCGATGAGACCACTGCTCTCAGGTAAGAGACTCCTTGTTTTACTGGCTCTATTGTCCTCCATGATTAGCGCCGCCCTTCGGGATGACATCATCGTCATCTTGTCGACTTTTTTTTTGGTCTGACTAATGCTGATTCGGGTGTTCTAGCATTGGCTCGTTGGATGACCTCACCGAAGATCTTGACCAGGACACCAACAACTGGACGCAGGAACTGGGTGATGTTATCGCCGACATCCTCGACCGCAAACGCAGCAGTGTCCTAAGCCGCGAGGAGGCCTACGCCGCATTCTGTCGCTTGGCCAAGTCCCATTATGTCGAGGACCACATTCGTAGCCAGATTTCTGACCTGCTGGCCGCCTTCTGCCGCAGTGTCAAGTTCGAGTCCAGCGTACGCGAGACTACCTTAGCCCTGCGCGCGCTCGAACTCTTGGCCATCACAGCCTTTGACAACACCATCTACGAGAATGTCGAGCCACTGCTCTCGCGCACCATTCGCGATTCCACCTCGACATCCATCAAAGCTGCCGCGATTCATTGTCTTGGCGTTTGCACTATGTTCGGCGGCGCTGGTGAAGACGGTATCCTGGACCAGATGACCTTCTTCCTTGACATTGCCGCCTCCGACGGTCAATCTATCGACGCTCCTGACGACGCCGGCAGTGTCACGGCTGCGTTGCAGGAATGGGGAATGCTCGCTACCGAGATTGACGATCTCGAAGGTGAGAGTGAAGAGGCCGTGCAGATCTTCATGGATCAGCTGGACAGTGGTGACTCTGCTGTGCAAATCGCGGCTGGGGAGAATATTGCGCTTCTCTACGAGAAGAGTTATACCGAGCAAGAAGACGACGAAGATGAAGAAGAAGACGAAGAAGGCCATTCCAAGGACGCTGACTCTGACGATGAGTCCTTCCTTTCGCCCGGCGGGCGTTCCGGCCCAAAGCTTATCAAGCGCTACAATGCCTACCACAACACCCACGAGCTCGAACAGCAACTACAGTCGTTGGCCACGATACACAGCAAACGTATCAGTAAGCGCGACAAGAAGAGTCTGCACAGCAACTTCGCCTCCATCTTAACCACGGTTACCAACCCACGTCGTGGGCCCATGTATAATACCGCCATTGATCATGACACAAATCGGCACTACGGTAGCAAGTTGACGGTCAAGGTCGGCAATCAGGGCGTGATGAACATTGACCGCTGGTGGAAGTGGATCCGCTTGAATTCGCTTCGTCGCATCTTACAGGGTGGCTTCGCAGCCCATTACTTTCAGGGAAACCGTGCTGTGCTTGATAATCTTCCTGTGATGGTACGCATGAATGTCACCTCTTCGGATCGCAGTGCGGCAAAACGCGCCGCCAAGTCTCGGAACAACCGTCGATGGGCTGTCCACGATCACTCCGATGAAGAATATTAATCGACCCATTCGGACGCTCGCGGCTCTAGTCTTTCTGCCAGATAATGGGCCAATAGTTAATGAGATGTCTCGCTCAAGCGCCACTCAACGACCACTACACTATAAATCCAGAACTCAACTTGCACAAAGCACGCATCTAAGTATGGACATATGATCCCGCATGTTTCACTTTTGTCGTCGCAGTCAATCCACTCGGAGATCCGAATTTTTTTTGTCAATGTGCACCGTACCTCATCTGGTCATGGATTGCCATTTTCCAATACTCTTCATAAACTCTAGAGGTTCTCACCGGCGGGTTGGTTTGACCTGGGGGTCCATTCACCTCTATTCCACTTATTCCTGTCCCACATTTTCCGCTAATGTTCCGCTGGATATCGGAGCCATGCAATGCAACTTCTTCCTTGCCCGTAATCTTTGGCTGGTTTGTATTTGTTTGCTGGAATACGTGTCGCTTGCTAGCATAGTTACTGAATACAAATGGAAGGACCCTCTACAAGCCGATCTATAAACGATTAGAGTTTTTCATTACGGAACATAAAGCATGGAGAGAATTCGTACGAGGGGGAGAGAGATGTTCTATTCAGAGGATAGGCGTAGCGACGAGGGATGCTGCTCAGCCCTCAGGCATTAAGCCTTAAAAACAGGCACAACGCCTGTCCAGGCTCCTTTGGCCCTCTCTTCCCAGTAGCCATCCTTGCCAGATTTCAATCGCCAGGCAAGCTCGCCGCCCTCGGCCGCATGGTCCACCTGGGCAAACCAGCGTGGCGTCCACTGCTCGCCGGCGGACTCCATCGCACGACGACGGGCGCGTTGCCCTTCCTCGAGCTGAACCTTCAGCTCCTCGGCACGGTCGACATCGCCATCCTCGAGGGCGCGCTGGTCCGGTCGCAGTCGCGAATCCGTCGCCGGAAGCTGATCAGCCTCGATTGGGGTGACTTCATTGAGGGTTGCCGCAAATGCCGTCAGGCCATAGTGCTTAGGGGCATTGGGGACAAGAGAGCCTGCGTTCCAAAGGGTGGTCCCCGTCGGTGACCCATTCTTCGTGAGTTGAAGGGAGGTCGTCCAAGTGCCTGTTAATCCGAGGCCGAGATCACGACCGCCAGCATCGACAGTCTTGGTGATAACCTCTTCACTGCGACCAGAGAACATACCACCGGCTTTGAAGGTCGATACCGTCTTGTGACCCGTCGTTTCGTTCACGACGGTGGTCTCGCCGACAGGCTCGACGTACTTCTCGCCAGCAATGATGTTGCGCAGGAACGAGGTTGCCGAAGACCAGCTGTAGTGTTCCCCAGTAGCATGGAGCGTGAGCCGTATACGACCCTCCGTCACGATCTCGGCGGACTTTCCCCAGAACTTCTGCGTGGGCATGGGGGACTGCGTTAGGCTCCATTCCGAGCCATCGGCTTGATACGCCAATTGAACGGGTCGGTGAGAGACCTTCTCCGCGATAAATCGGAACCCTAAATCCTCTCGGACCAATTCGTAGGTCTCGCCAAGCATAGGGTTAAAGGGCTTGCGAATGGCGCGCTCGCGGACGCGATTGCTTGACAGCGGTGACAGTGCAAATGCAGTTACGTATGCGAGTCGTTCCACTGGATCAGAGACCTTGGCAGCTTTGTCAAGCAGCGTGGAGTATTCAAGGAGCTCAGCCGCACGTTGTAGCAAAGAAAGAGGTTCATTAGATGAAACAGGCATAGAGATCTGGGACAGATCTTTGCCGACATTTTTGCGTAGGAATCCGATCAGACTCGGTGGCATCACCGTTGGGGCAGTAATGTTCTCGCGCCGCGGCACCGGTTTGAGAGGTAAGGGGGTCAGCGACTTGGGCCGCACGGGGAAGAGCGGCGAAGACTGGCCGTCGCTTGTCTCTTCCGGAATCGTCTCATCATCGTCACTATCCGAGGGCGCATCGTCTGCGACGGCGTCCTCCTTTGCGCGTGTCGAGGAGACGGCGGTACCATTGGCTTTGTCGCCACGGGAGTCTTCATCTTCGCTGTTGTTATCACCTTGAATGGTGAGCAGCGGCGAGGTATGGCCATCATCCACAGCATCGAAAAACTCTTGCGACACATCGGATTCAAAGCTATGCCGTGATTGCAAAGACCGACCGGCCGGGCGACGGCGATGCTTGGTCTCGGCGATCAGACTGGAGAACTCACTGACGACGTGGTCCAAATCGCGCAGAACCGCCATCAAATGCTCATGAATCTCGTCCATGTGATCGGGGTGGCTGGTGACGCTACTGGGTGTGCGATCACCATGCACCGAGGATGAATCAAAGGCCCCCGGAATGGCCAGCTGCGAGGACATGGAATTCATGGTGGTGCTGCGCTTGACGGTGGGTTGAACCGTGGCACTGCTCTTGCGCCTCCAGAAGGGACGTCGGCCGTCAGTGGGCTCTTCCCCACTCATGTCGGTCGGGGTACGGTGAGGGCTCGGAGAGCGGCCGCGGGGCCGATCCGTACCGAGATATTTGGGGTCGGTATCCTTAGCTAGGCGCCGGACGGCATCGCGTGTGCCGGATACCTTGCTGACCAAATTTTCGACTTGCTCCCAGTCTCTCTCATCAGACACAGTGGCTTGCATGCGCTGAGAGGGGACGCGCAACAGCGGCTCCGAGGGGTGGTTGGGGTCTTCGGCTGAGCTCTTCGAAGAAGACGCTCGTTCCAATGCACGCTTCCAGGCAGCGAACTCTTGATCATTGCCGGCGCGTAGATGCCAAACTTCAGTACCCGAGTCAATTGAAATTTCGCGAGACTGCTGATTGCAGGCGACCGCGGCCAGGTTGAGAGGAATGGAGCCGCGCAGGGCGGACGAGTTCCGGTCGTGGTAATAGGAGAGAGTGGATGAGGTGAAGTCGAGCGAAAAGAAGCGGCGCGCCCATCCCTGGTGTCGCTTGCGTCTCCGCTTCTGCAGCAATCCCGTGTAGGTCTGAGCTGCGTCAATCTCGCTGAGTCGAGAGGGTGGAGGAGGCGGCAGCATGCTGTTGCCCCGGCGGCGCGACGGCAGGGGCTTCCCAGCCTCGGTAGTCGTTGGAGTTTCGGCGATGCCCTGCTGCGGTTGACTGGCTGCGTGAGGGATTGGAACTGACTGGGGCGGTAGAGCCGTTGGGTAGGTGAGTAGGGCAAGGGTCACGGTCTTCGAGATCTGTTTCGAGAAGGTATTGTCGAATACAAGGCCGTAGTTTCCTCCTTCATTCGCAGGAACATCATAAGTGCCGCGAACAATGCGTTCAGCCTCGCATTTCCCAAGCCACTGGATCTGCTTCAGGCCCATGCCGGTCAAGCGCTCAATTATGGAGCCATTGGCGCGCCCGCCGGTGCTGGCAGCTATCGGGTCGGGGGATTCAGAGCCGGGAGTGTCGGCGATCGTGGGGAGATTTGTGTTCGAGCCCAACAAGGCGGAGTTGCCGGGGTGTTTGAAGATGCCAAAGTTAATCGATTTTTTGTGTGGTTGAATGCTCCAGGATATGGTGTGACATGACTTGACCGCAACCCAGCGGACAAAATAGGACTGGCAGGCGACAGAGTCGGAATCAGTCTCAGCACGATGTGATCGGCGCAGAGCGACTCAGGATCATAGGGAAAAGGGGGAACACGGTCGTGTCAGTCATCCATCCCTTACCTTGCTGTGGATCTCCAACTCCTCCATGGCAGCCATGACGAATGCGGGGAAGCAAACAACGAAGGGACTTGGGGAGCCGAGTGCGAAATCAATTGAGAGTGGTGAATGAGCAGAGAGAGTTGATAATTGTAGGTATGGAGTGAGAATCGGCCACAGGTATAATAATAATAATAATAATTAGTTGGGTATGGATTGAGGACGAGGCTGACAAAGAGAATTGAGGGCGAGGCTCAGCTGCACGAGGGGGGGGGGTCAGCAGGAGGCAGTGATCCGTTGTGGTGAGGTGAGGTCACTTACACACACACACACACTCTCTCTCTCTCTCTCTCTCTCTCTCGCAAAACGGGCAAATTAGAAAAGCTGAAAAGGCATCAAACAACAAGGAATAGACAGGGAATTCACAGGCGAGTCATTGGAGAGGAGGGAGTTGTGGAGTTGTTTTGAAGCAGAGGAGGGGGAGGGAGAGAATGAAGATGAAGGAAGAAGAACAAGGAAGGCCGGAAGGGACCTTAAGGGAAGCAAGAGAGGAACGCGGCAAGTCAGCCGAGCAGCAGCAACTCTGCGCATTTTCGGGCCCTCCATTTTTGAGTCGCTTACTTTCACAAGCACAGAATTGAATCACTGATCAAAATGAGTTCATGATAAAAGAAAAAAGAAAAAAAAAGTAGTTCATGAAAAAGAAACCCTGTTGAGTATATTCCACAAAGACAAGAGCACAAATATACGAATTATGCAGTCCCGCAACCTGATGCAAAGAAGAACCGAACTATAGGGAGAAGTCAAGGATAGCGAGTAGAGAAGCACCATAAGAAGGAGAAAGTGAACCCAGCCAAAAAACCAGTTCAGAGTCAATCCCTGCCAAATCAACCGGAATGAATTACACAAGAAGAGAATTGGTCAGAGATTGGGACCATATGGGAAAAGACGACGAAGACCATCATGCAACCACCCCCCCCTCCCCCTTCCACCTAATGGCCACCACACCACTCAATATTACAGAGGTATACATACAAATGGGAAAAAAAAAGGACAATCCCGATCTTAACGACGCCGACCCGCTTGCATATTTGTGAATAGCAACTTGAAGCCATTGCACAATGCCCGCATGTCTGGGTACGGGTTGCGCTGCAACTCATATCCCTGAGGGATTACCTTCACCGGCCAACTGTGGGTTTGTGCATTCTCACCCGCCTTGAAGCACAGGAAGAAGTAGCCGGCATGCTTGGGATCCAGGCAGAATGCATACGCCGACCGGCGTGGATTGGCCTTGGTGTAGGTTTCCAACCAGGAGTCTAGAGAGGGTCCGTTAGCAAAGTAAAAACAAGAGAGACAAATCGAACCACAAGGATGGAAAAATCCTTACATGTAGCATCCCGAGTCCCGTCCTGATACTTCTCATGCAGCATCATCTCGTCTACCTTCTTGGCCATGGCCTTGACATGGTTGAAAATCAAATCGTCCAGATCACTGTAAGTATAGCGACCGCCCACCTTCAAGGTGCGACCAACCGAGAATTCGTTCTCCTTATCGAGCTCGAGGACATCGATATGTTGGAAGACGCCATCTGCCACCTTCCACGTGACAGCCAGATGATCTGGTCCTTTAGAAGAAGGCCGGATCACCACGTCCCCACGACTTTGGGAGCCCAGAAACTCCTCAGCCTGCGTGGAGTTGAACGGCCGGAACAAGGGGTGCTTGATGACACGCATCGTGCGGCCACCACTCTGAGTCTTCTCCTGCATAGCCTCTCGGTCCTCATGCTCTTGTCGATCATCCCATTCACTCTGCATCCGATCGCCCGGGATTCTGCTGGTCGGCCGGCTGACCTGCTCCTCGCGTAGCGACACATTACACGAAAATGTCTTCCGGTTCAAGAACAAAATCTTGGCGGGGACCGTTTGATGCGGCTGGTACAGTGCTCGCACAGGAATGTCGTAACGATCCGTCAACTCCGACTCCGGGACAAGCGCATCAATGCCACAGTCTAGCTTGCCATCGATGTGATCATCGGTCACGCGTTTGATCGAGATCGGCACCACCATTCCCTCCGCAAGAGTCTCTGTCGTCTCGCCCGTGAGCATCGTGAAGATCTCATCAGTGCCGAGGAAAACATATTGTTTCCGCAGTTCTTCGTATGGTTGCTGCAACTCGGCGCGAATCGTTTCGAGCGTCGCCCGCTTGCGTTGGTTCAAGTTCTTCTCCAACTGCTCTGCATATTCTTCCAGAATCAAGTCGTTCACCCGATCCTGTGCTTCCTCGCGGAAGAGCTTGCGCACGATCGCTCCGGAACCGTTCTCGTCGGTTTCGGCCTTGATATCTTCCTCGTCCAATTCCAGCGCATCGGCCGCCATCTTGCGCGCGATGTCGTAGTCTTCCGGATGCACCCGAGTGTTATCAAGGGGGTCAGCGTCCGGATCGGCATTCTCAAAGTCGATATACAAGAAACTGGCGCAGTTGTTCCATACTTTAACGCCCATGGCCGGGTATTGCGCATTGACACCTAAGAGCTCGACGCGATTGTTCACCACGCCGCCGTTCATGTTCACGATCTTCAGCAAATGGGCTGCCTTGCGGGGACCCAAGCCACAGACATAGGGCAGCAGATTAGCGGTCGCCGGGTCCGTCACGGCCTCGTTGAGGTCAACGCCGACCAGGTTGACCATATCAACCAGTGCCGTCTCGAGTTGCTTCAATAGCAGATCTTGGGAGATCAGCTGCTGGCCCGGCTTGAACTGAATCGACACAATGTCACGGCCGAGCGAGGCATATTCCTTGAGAGGACTCTGTAGATACTTGGCCAATGCAACACAGTAATGCGTCAGAGGTCCAAAACTAGGATGATCCTTCTTCGCGCGCTCACTGTGCTGATAGAGACGAGCCACCTCGTCGTTGACAATCACCACCTCCAATGGATCCGTGGCTGTCTCGTCCCGGTCATCAGTATAAGGCGCGCCGCATAGGTTACGCTTGTCCACCAACTCGGTCAACAACTTGTACAGGCGGCGCGTTTCCGGCGTGTTGCCGGAGACACCGATGACATCCGGACGGCGACGGCCCACCAAGCTGATAAAGGCATCAACATCCTTGCCATCGGCTACATTGCGTTCCCGATCTCCAACTGAGAGGTCCACGAACTTCCCGTTCTCGAGAACCCGGCCATCTTCTTCGACGTAAGCCCAGTGAATGGGCTCTCGCCCCACCACGCCGGAGCCAGTGGAAAGAGTCAGCACGCGGGGGACGGTGCCCAGAACCATTCCCTTGGGCTTGTATGGAGCCTGATCGAGACGATAAGAGAAGGTTTCGCGGCATTCCTTCGCCACCGAGTTCTCACACTCTTGGCGGAGGTTCTCCTTCACACTGCGATTGATCAACCGCTCCAACTTGCCCAGCGCCAGATCCACCACGTCGCGTCGAGTGCGGTTCCAGACGTCCGCCAGCTCACTGTAGTTATCAGATTCGATGTCTGCATACAGACGCTGCCGGAAGTGGTCAAAGTTCTCAAAGCGGACCTTAACCTCGACCAGGCCCTCCTCTTCAGCTTTGAGCATGCGCAGGTACATCTCGGGCCGGCGGGCAATGTCGCTTAACTGTTGGTTCCGGAGATACTTGAATTCATAGTACGGGTGCTGCTCGTCAATGCGGCGCAAGCCCTTCTCTGTTCGGAAGCAGTCCACGACACCGCTCATGTAGTACGCCTGTCGGACCACCTTGCGCATCTTGGGACTCATAACGATCTCCTCGGCCAGCATGGTCTTCGCAGCCTTGACAACATGAGAGGAGTTTGAGAAGTCGTTGTCCACGAACGAATCGGCCAGCTCTTCCGGACGCTCGGCGGGATCCTCGGTATATTGCCGGCGGCCTTCCTTTAGCGCATTCTGGGCGAAGGCATCAGCTGTGATGCCGAAGGCACGAACCAAGCCGTACGCCTTGCCGTTCCGGACGCGCTCGAAGAATGTCTTGCTGGTCGCTTTTCGGCGATGAGTCTCCCCGGTGCTGTCCCCATTGGCGAGGGTCAAATCGCGCAATTGAGAAGCGTACTGAAAGTGGAGGTAATCTTGGACGTCCTGTAACTCCTCCATGCTGGTAGCGGTGGATAGCATCTCGAAAACGATCTCATCGTTGATGTTGAACAGACTTTGCAAGTTGTCGTAGGTTTTCTGGATGGTCGTACGTTTCTCCACCAGCGCTTTGAATTTGAGGTCGTTGTCGAAGATTTCCCAGAGGTCGGTCATGTTCAGAAGCTTTTCCGCCTTGGTGGTGAATTGCGAGGCATCGGCATCGGGGCCAGCCCCATCGACAGGGACCTTGACCGCATGGATCATATAGTCCTTCCGATGCTGGAAGATAAAAGGGACTTCCCAGTCGTCGGTGACGAGGAATTCGAGCACCTTGGCAACCGACCGCTGGAAGGGATCACGCAGCTCGGGCTCAATGCGCTTCTTGAGGAGCATCAAGTTCGAGATCCAAATCGCCTCTTCTCGGAATTGGTCCTCCGTCAACACCACGTTGCGGTACGGTTTACGAGCGATCTGATGGCGTTCAGGCTCATCGAGTAACCGGATCTGATTATCCTCTTCCGTCAACATCTTCTCAGCCAGCTGCGATGGTTCAAAAACGTCCTTGAGATCCAGATGCTTCTCCTCGTCCTCTTCCTGTTCCTCTTCTTGCTCCTCCATCTCGAGGGCAAACAGGTACTCGTTGCCATCTCCGAAGGCGGCGCGCATATCATCGAGGGCGTTTTCATCGAGACCCGTGGCGTCCGTAACGCCCAGACCGCCCTTGGACGCGCGGGCAACCTCATAATCCTCGCGCTCACGTTGGACTTCCTCGTCGGAAAAGACATCCTCCTCGATAAAATCGTCCATCTCGTCGTGCATGGGTCGGCGGTGGCCGGACCGTCCATAGTCGCCGGCGGGCTCCTCATCCTCGTCGGAATTGAAGATATCGTCGATACCTTGAGATGGCTGTCGTAGATCGCGATCTTTGTGGCCACGCTTGAGGCGCTTGAATTTGGGCTAATTCCAATAATACGGGGTTAGTCCACCGGGCGAGTAGTCCTTAGGCGATGTGGCGCGGGAGACCTACCTCTGCTGCGGATGAAGACTGGAACCTCGGAGGTAGTTCACCGATGAGTTCTAGATCTTCTTCATCCAGGTGCTCATCCTCCCGCTCCCGATCTCTCTGTTTCCTCTTCTCCCGTCGGCGCTCGGCGCGCTCTTCTAATTCTTCATCCTCGTCGACAATGAAACCTTCGCGTACCTAATGCAGGGAATGCAAGGTCAGCTTGCGCGCCATGATGCACCTTGTAGCACTTACAGCACGGGCGGCTTCTTCATCGTCATCATCTTCCTCTTCTTCTTCACTGGAGTCGTATTGATTGTTAATGGTGCCAGCACCCTCCCGAACCTCACCGTCATAGTCGTCGGCCAACTCCTCGTCATTTTCATCGTCATCGATCATCGCCTCCCCCTCAACCAAGTCGCGTGCACTCATTGTGTGATTGGGTCTGGGGGGGTTTCGGTTGGTAAACGGACAGTCGGGAAGTTGGAGATGGGAGGGAGAAGCTTGAAAAGACAACCCCAGAACAGAAATGCGAATATAAGACGGGGGAGAATGGGAGGAGATAGTAAAGAGCGCGGACAACAGAGAGTAGTTTGTGGGGAAGGTGATTTATTTGGGGGGGGGGGGGGGAAAGGGAGGGGGTCTTAAGAGTGGGAGAGAAAGAAATGAGCTTTGGAGCTGGAATCAACGCAGCAGCAGCAGCAGCAGCAAAGAGTCGAGACAGAGACAGAGAGAGAGAGAGAGAGAGAGAGAGAGAGAAGGCGTTGCTTGGCTGTTGTGGCGCGGGCTTCCTTTCACCGCCCGGCTGTGGCTGGAACCAGATGTATTGCCATTCATACCGTACTTAATAGTTATTAGTATTAGTTACTAGTTAGTTAGTATTACTGGTAGTAAAAGTTGAACTCTTACTGATATTATCACTCTTAATATTTTCTTATTTTTCAGACAAAATCATCGGTGGAAGTCTTCTTTTTCCCCCCTTGTTTCACTAATCATCACCACCAGCGGGTCTTAATCCTCGTGGCTGTCTTTATTGCGCGATAACCCAGAGAACGAGAAGCATTACTACTCCAGATGATAGAATAAAAAAAAAATTATGAGAAAACAAAGAAGAAAGAAAAAAAAAAAAAAAAAAAAAAAAAAGGGGAAAAAAAAAAAAAAAAAAAAAAAAAAAAAAAAAAAAAAAAAAAAAAAAAAAAGAAAAGAAGAGAAAGGTATAGGCAAGACGCATTAATTACTAGGGATGCTGCTGCCCGAGAGGACTCAGGGTGATTGATTGATAGATCCATCCATTTCTTTTCCACCACCACCACCTCTTCTTCTTCTTTCTCCTCCTCCACTTCTTTCTCACTCCCTCCAATATACTACGCATCAACTCTCCTCTTTTCCAGTCTTCCCTTTCTTTACTCGTTTGTTTTTGCTTGTTATGGTGTGGAATCCCACTCACCCCCACAGTTTCCGTCTCTTGTAATCCATCCACTACCATCAACCCAGCTGGAACAAGCCCTCCTCGCCGCCATCCCTTCCCCTCTCCCCCCCCGCCGCCTGTTCTTCCGGCTACAGACGCTCGGCGCTTGTTCGGGTTGCAGTCGTGTTCACGCCATAATCAACCTCCATCCATATTGTCCGTCTGCTTGAAACTAGAACACCTCGTTTTTCCGTGAGCTCTCGCATCATCCAGCCTCTTTGTCACGGCGACCTCGTCACCCCGTCTCCGTTACGCCGTCTCCCGCTATCGGTCGCCATGGCCGACCAATTTAAAGCGCGCACCCTGAAGCGCAAGAACGTCAAGGGTCTGGCGCTGAATGCGGCTCCCAAACCTGCTTCGACTTCCGCCGATGGAGATTCTCAAGGTTCTGGCGCCGTTGGAAGTGTTGAAACCAACCGCACCGATACCCTCGAGATTGGCTTGGAGTTTCGATTGGACTTGCGCAGTGAGGATCTTATCACGTTGAAAGAATTAGGCGCCGGCAATGGTGGTACCGTCTCGAAGGTCATGCATGCATCGACCAAGGTCGTCATGGCGCGGAAGGTATGCCTCTCGATCCCCAGCTCAGTGGAATGATGCGATGCTGATAGACAGGCTAGATTATCCGAGTCGATGCCAAGGAGAATGTGAGAAAGCAGATTCTACGAGAGCTGCAGGTCGGCCACGACTGTAATTCCCCTAATATCGTGACCTTCTATGGCGCTTTCCAAAACGAAGCCCGAGACATTGTGTTATGCATGGAATACATGGATTGTGGGTAGGTCGACCTTTCGCCGACTTGGTCGCCGGGGCTCCCTTTTTGCCTTGAAAAAAGCCGGATTCGCTAAAACAGCTCCAGCTCCCTCGATCGAATTTCCAAAGATTTTGGTCCAGTCCGGGTGGACGTCCTTGGCAAGATTACCGAGTCCGTGCTGGCCGGTCTCTGTTATCTTTATGAGGTCCACCGAATCATGCATCGCGACATCAAACCGTCGAACATCACCGTCAACTCACGAGGAAACATCAAGCTGTGCGACTTTGGTGTGGCCACCGAAATCGTCAACTCTATTGCCGATACCTTTGTGGGCACTTCGACTTACATGGCTCCGGAGCGAATTCAAGGAGGCGCTTACACGGTGCGCTCGGATGTCTGGAGTGTGGGACTGACGGTTATGGAACTAGCCGTTGGGCGCTTCCCCTTCGATACCTCAGACTCAACGGCAGGCGATCGCGCCAGTGCTGGCCCAATGGGTATTTTGGACCTGTTGCAGCAGATTGTGCACGAGCCTGCTCCGAAGCTGCCCAAGAGCGACGCTTTCCCACCCATTCTCCACGAGTTTGTCGCCAAGTGTCTTTTGAAGAAGGCCGAGGAGCGGCCAACACCCCGGGAGCTCTACGTATGTCTCCTATCATTGCAGACGTGCAGAGAAGACGCGCAAAGACTGACCGATTCTCAGGACAAAGATGCATTCCTCCAAGCCGCCAAGCGAACGCCAGTAGATCTCCAAGAATGGGCCATTAGTATGATGGAGCGACATAACCGGAAGTCGTACCTCGCTCCGCCGGCACCCAAATCACTCAAAGATGATGTGCAATTCTCATCTTCACAGCAGCAGCCCAGCCCCGCGGTCCAACCTCCTGTCAGTAAAGCCCCTGCTATTAAACCTGCACGCACCCCTCAGTACGCCTCTCCCTCGTCCTCTGGCGATCTCTCCGTCATGGGTCATGACGGGCCTGTGCACTATGCCCACAACTATGTTCCGGCCAATCCCTCGCCCCGTCCCCGACGGACCACTCGCTCGCCGCCCATCTCGTTGGAGCATCTGTCGCTGGAGAACCGCGAGGATGAGTATCGCTCTGGCCGACGGCCCTCTCGCACTCCCGTCGATGGCCCTTCTCCGGGCCTGGAACCTCCCATGCATCCAATGAGCTCTCGCTCCGCCAGCTCGCACAATACCAAATCGAGAATGCCGCTGCAGTCTGCAGCAGCCCTGCCTGTCCGCTCGCCACACCACGGCCCACCATCGGGATCGGGCTCGAGCGGCAGTGGTTCCTGGCAGCGGTCGATGCGAGGCGATCATATGACCGGCGCTGTCTAAACGAACGACAAGGCAGACCGTGCCTCTGTCTGTCCTTCCATCTTCTATCCCGACTCTCCGCCCCCTTTCACGTCCCCTTCCCGTCCCCTTCTTCACCCGTTGCATCCCCACGGCGTAATTCACCCATTGGCCATCCATGTCTCTCATCTTTGCCACTCTGTTGCGGCCCATGACCCCTGAATATTTCTGTTCATCTACATATATGCGCGCTATACATAGTTGCACTCTTCACACTCAGCTGTGCCCTTGTTGTCACCCCCCTCCGCATCTGCTCCGAACCCACCCCCCCTGAATCTGTCCCTATCAGTCCGGGGACCTGAAAAAGGGATGTGGGTGTGTCAAGTCTTCTTTCTTTCTGCGTTTCGCGTCTCAATTAATTCTGGTTGTCAATCGTGAGGCTGGGACTCTCGGATTTTCTTGTTCTATATCGGTTCTCCCTTCCATTCTTTACTTGGTCCGTTTTCTGCTGCACCCGGGGATTTCCGTGTTCTCGGCAGGGCTAGGAAGATGCAACGAATGCGAATACGAAGATTGGTTTTGTAGACACGCGCACCTACATGTGCCCTGCCTGTAGGCCTCTCTCCATACGATCCTTACGTACTGCGCAAAATAAATCATTCCTGGCGCACTTTGTCCCGAACCAGACTCGAAGGAAGTGAAAATGTGAATAGTCCCACTATCAACCATTACTGAGTGAGACGAGGTTAGACAGACATTGCAAGCAAACGAGTCAACAAGCGAAGCAGCAGAAATATCAGGTAGAGCAAACACCGATTCCCGAAACATGCAGCAGGTGACAATCCCGATGAACACCCTAGAGTAGACAAGACAATAGTAAGGAAAGACGTTAAGCACTCGAATCTCATCATGGTGGGTTTCAGACAGGCTCTGCTACAATGCCCCACGGCCTTCTGCGAGAAGATATCCGGGTTTCCTCCTCCCCCCGAATCACTTCGCACCCTCTATCAAATATCAATATCGTCTTCCGCCATCCAAGTTTGTGGCAGGATTGGGGCCGGAGGGGGCGGGAACGAGGTTGGGTCGCGGGGCGAGCTCGACCGGTGTCCTTCCACCGCGTGTGCTCGTCGAGCCACCACGACCCGCTGCCCCTCCTCCACGACCGGGAGTCAATGTGGTGCTACCGGATTTCTCATGGTCGCCTTGGTGTCGGGCAGCCTTGCTGACGCGGCCCCGGCGAGAAGTGCCACCACCCCGCGATCCAGGGCCGCGCAAAGGTAGACCGGTTTCCTGGGAAATGGGAATGGCCGCAGCCAGTGGTACCTGGTGATGCGCCGTGACAGGGGCCCGACCACGACTGCCTCGGCCACGGCCCCGACCTCTCTTGATGGTACCGTCGGCTCTAGATAAGCCAAGTCGGATTAGCGATTCGTCCTATGTGTATAATAGTCGCTTTCTCGGAGACTCACCGTTCTACTTGCACCTTCTCGCCTTCGGGTACCAGAGGGCCACTGTAGACGAAGAATCCATCCTTACTGGCAGCGGCCTGTTCCTGCCAAGCCAACTCACTGTCATCTACAAAGGGATCATCGCGATCGTACTCCTCCATCTTCTTCTTACGCCGCTTCTTCTTGCCTTCCGTGAGCTCCGGTCCATTCGATCGCGCTGGGGCGCCGAGAGCACCTTCCCCATCCATCTCACTATCACGGTCGACGTCAAGGGTGAGATCTTCGTCGGCGCTCTCCCCGGCAGAAACACCTCGTCCCGCCTTGTCACTGCGTTCAAGAGCAGCCCCAGCGGCAGCGACCCGCGCCAAGCGCTCTTTCTGAGCCGCGAGTCGCGGATGCAGCGCAGCGAAGCCGTACTGCTCCTCTGCCAGACGCGCGAAATTGACAATCCTGTTGCCATCCCCTTGGAGGGGGATGTGAAGGATGATGTTGGGGGTGCGCCGCTGCGACGCTTCGCTAGTGGGTGCGCTACCGTCCAAGCCAAACAGCGCATTGGATATCAAGCCTGAACCTTGAGGTAATGGGGGAGGCGCTGAGTCCTTGGCCGGTTTGGCCGGTTTGGGTGATGTGGCATTCGACGCTGGGACCCCTCCGGAGCTAGCTTTGACCTCCTTCTTGGTCGGCTTGGGTACAGCAGGCGCCGGAGCGGGAGGCTCGGGATCAACATCCATCGGTGTCGGCTCCAGGGTCGGCGGGGGTTTGATAGACGGGGCGGGAGCGGGTGGTGACGGTGCGAGTGGTGATGGTGCGAGTGGGGACGGTGCGAGTGGTGACGGTGCCGTCGCCGTTGCCGGCACCGATGGGGGTGCTACGGGAGCCGACGATGGTGTAGCAGCAACCGCATTCGCTGACGGTGGTGTCGACTGCGATAGCTCGAGGCCCGGTGCAGGGGGAGGGGGCGCCGCATAGGGAGATCGATGCGCATACGGTGAGGTTGGTTGGGACTGTAGCTGAATAGGCACTTGAGGCGGCGTGGGTGCGGGTTTAGGTATCGCCGGGGAGGGTTGACTGGGCGGACCTAAGACAGGAGACGCATACGGTCGTGGGGTGTAAATCGACGGAGCGGCCGTTGTCGGCGGGTCAATAATGCTGGCGATAGCGGGTGATGCACTGGCGCGATTGGGACGGGGAGATATGGAATGGGTAGGAGGACTAAACGCTGGCGGGGCGGATGAGGAAACATCAAAAGCTGACCGAATCGGATCGAAATTCTGGCCGCTGGTCCGCTGCGGGGGCTGAGCAGCAGTAGACGGCGGCGGAGCTGCAGGCGAGTGGTGTGGTGGCGCGGATGGCCTCATGGTCGGATAAGGTGCAGAAGCCGCGGGCGGGGGAGTAGGAGTGGGATGAGACGAGGGCAGAGGTCGGGGAATATTCGCGTGGATTGGACGCGTCGCCGGCATAAGCGCCGGATGACGGTGTGAAGGAACACTGTGCCCTGAAGGACTGGGGCCCGGCGTGCTGGGGGTGGGAGCTGAAGCGGCAGAGACAGCAGTCACAGCCGTTACAGCAGCAGTAGCATTCACCAGGGGTGATGGCGGTTGTTGTTGTTGGGTTGAGAGGGGATTTGTATGAAGGGGGTGGACGTGGGCGTATAATGGGACTGGCGCTGCAACTACTCCATTTGTTGTCGCTGCAAAGGGCAAAAGAGCAGGTCCGGTGGTTCCAGGCACAGAGACAGTCGTGGGCGCCGGACTCTGGTCTGGCGTGGCTGGCTCCAACTTCGGTCTCTTGCGGGCTTGTGAAGACGATGAAGCCAGATGAGCACTCGCACTCGAGACTGACTTGTCTCGCTGGCGCCGACTGCCTCGCTTGGGCTCCTTCTCGCGATTGTCCTTGTTGTGGATGATATTCGGGTCTTGACCCTCCTCCTTCCGATCTGTATCCTTCGCTTTAGTCGCTCGAATCGTGTCTTTGCGGTCGGGATCGTGGTCGTCGTCCTTCTTACGACGCGACCGGCGAGGGCGAGATTCGTTGGTGGTGCGGGACTCGTGTACGTTCTGGGTCGGTAGATTGGAGGACTCGGAGGACATGATGAGGAAGAATAGACGAGTCGAGAGAAAGGGGAAGGGGAGAAAGAGAGGAGGAGAGAGGAGTTAAAATTAGCAGTGATGGTGCATTGAGAAGATGGGTTCGCGTTGGAAAGAGATACAATGCAAGAGAGGCTGGAACCCGTGGTATACTGAAATTCAGTGGACGCGGTGGGCGGGAACCGAATCTGCAATAGCAACGTTGAGATGCAAATGAGATGGATTCTGGGGGGGGAATGGAGAAAATGGAGAAGAAGAAGAAGAAGATGATGATGATGATGGCAATGGCGAAGCAATGAATGGGGAGAGACGAGCAAATACTGACACTCAGGCACTCCTGCCCGAGCAACAGTGCATACAGTTGGAAACAGGGACCCGGCGAGAACAACACCCCAGTAGGAAGAAGAAACAAAGAACAAAGAAAAGGGAAGAGGGGGGAGAAGAAGAAGTGGAAGAAGGATGAAAGGTGGGACTATAGTAGGAGGGAGGGCCAGTGCAGGGTGTGGGAAAAGGGAATTAATGAGGAGAAAGTGGAGGAAAGCAGAAATTGAGACGGATCTTCTCCGCTCTCAGTCCCTGCAAGAGAAGAAAGAGAGACAGACAGAGAAAGAAAGAGAGAGAGAGCGAGAGGGACAATGGAAATAGTGAGGAGTTGATCTACAGGCTGCGAGTCTAGAGTTGTGAATGCACTACTACTTGATAATTATGTCTCTAGAGTATACAAGAATAAATGCAAGAGGAAAAGGGGAATTGAGGGGACTACTGTGAATAGGGGGGTGTGAATTTGCTAACTATTAAGAGCGAAGCAAGCTATTGAGGTTGATGGTTTATACTGGGGGGGGAGATGAATCGGAGATGAATCGATAGGTACATCATGGAGAGCAAAAGGATCCCGATATCAGATTAGGTCACATGATATGCCAAGGCTAACCCGATCGGGCATTTGAATCAGACCAGCCACTAGTCTCAACAAGGACTAGCAGAATGTGGTTTTAGCTTTTGAGCCTCATGTTGACTCAGCCATGCTATTCCTCTTTGGGAGGGGAGTTCTTCATTCTTCCGCACGGCTTCCATCTTGCACTTTCTTGAATCCCCCCCACTCCCGAACACATTGATCTAGATTCCTCATGGCTTTCCGTGGCGACCGCTTTATTCTAAATCTTGACGATTCTGACGATGAGGGGCTTCCCCCCGCCTCGTCAGAGGGAGCCTCTACCCTTGCGATTCCCGGGATGATCGGAGAGATTCGTGAACGCTCCCCCGCCGCAAACCCCGCGCCGCCGACGCTCAAACCCACCACCGCCGCCGGATTTCCCGCTCATCGTCGACGTAACAAACCATCGGCCTTCAAACAACGAAGAGCCCCGGGCTCTTCGTCGGATGCTGCAACCACACGTACCGAGAACGACGAGAAGAAGGCAATCGCGGAGCAGAATGACCGGCAATTGGCCTCGATGTCACAGGCACAAATTCAACGGGAACGGGAAGAACTGCTTGAATCGTTGGATCCATCTCTACTCGAGCGATTCCTCCGTCGAGCGCACATCACGGATCCTGATTCCTCGGCCTCTCCCACCGCGCAGCAATCGCAATCACTCTCCGGCGATCAAGAAGAGCACGAACTCAACGCAGCCACCACCCTAGAACCGAAGACGACCGCACAGTCGGCCCCGGCCAACCCAACCTCATCTACCTCGTCGCGACCGCCGTCACCTGCACAAGTCAGCGCTGCCATTGATGACCTTCCACCTGCTCAGCTTCCCTCCGACCTTCATCCTGCCGCCGCCGCCGCCGCCTCCCTCCCCCTCTCCGGCTCCGTCCACTTCCCCACGGCCCCCTCCGCATCCGCCATGCCGAACCTCGATCCTTCGTCGCCAAACTTCCTCTCCGACCTTCAAACACACTATTTCCCCAACATCGCGCATGACCCATCCAGTCTCAGCTGGCTTCAACCTCCTTCCGCCTCGGACGAAGACCCTGACTCAACCTCTCCTTACCACCCTGCCAGCACCGCCCAAGCCATTCATCCCGCTCACCTTCGTTTCGCCTTACTGGGCACCATCCTCTCGCCATCAACCTCTTTATCACTCCCTACAAGTCTAGGCCTGCATCACCACGGCAAGGATCCCCATGCAGCTGGGTACACGATCCCCGAGTTGGCCATCCTCAGTCGCTCCACCTTCCCTGCACAACGATGTATTGCATGGCAAGTCTTGGGCCGGATCTTGTTTCGATTGGGGAAAGGTCAGTTTGGAGAGAGGGGAACGCCTTTGGTCGAGGGGTTGTGGGCCACGATCGAGAAAGAGGGGGTGGTCGCGGGCATGCTGGCCGAGGCGGACGATTCCGGTGACACTGATCGCGTTGCCAAACGGGGACAGCAGAAGGAGGAGGAGCAGCAGCAGCAGCAGCAGCAGCAGGGCGAAGTGGACCAGGATCAGACGGGAAATAGTGAAGAAGAGTCCCCATCTGTCAAAGATGCACACAGACGACGACGACAACACCATGCCAGTGCAACCGCGTGGGCTGTTGAAGGAGTCTGGCTGTGGCAAATGGGCGGGGGCGGAGATCGGGGAATCCTCAAGGCGGGCGCTGTTCGGTCTCAGTGAGATCGAGAGTAGGGGAAGATCGTACCCAGGCAATTTGAAATGACGACCGTATGAGAATAACAGTCACGAACTTTAAGGGAATCATTTGCATCATTTGTGTCTATGATAAGCCTTGTATAAATATCATCGCATGCAGCGGCTGGAAATCCACCCCTTGTCCCACTCCCTCTATACTATTACAGCCGCTCTTGGAATAACAGCATAAATCGTTGCACAGATGTGAACATCTCCATCGGGTCATCAATCATACACCATGCGGTGTTGCCGTATTAATAGGGAATAAGAGCACTTATCTGACGGACATCCGTCACTCATAATCTCCAACCTGCACTCCCCAGATCTTCCACCTTGTCTCCTCGATATAGTCCCTGCGCAACCACAGACCGTCAGAAGAGCCACCTTGGCCCTCCTCGTCCGTCCCGTCATCATCAGCCCGTGAATCAAGCCAGCTGAATAACAATCGTAACTGCCAGAGCCGATCGCGGACCTCATCTGCATCGGCGCCCCGACCCTTCGCGGCCTGGATGACGTCGTGCACCGTCCGCTCGAGAACAAGTTGCATGTCTACGGCGGAGGGACGTAGCCAAGGCACGGCCGTCGAGTCCACCGCCGGCGATGCGGAGCGGCGACGCCAACAGGTGGGAAGTGACGGGGGTAGTACGAGGGCTTTCTCACGCACGCCCAGATCCCGGAGGGAATCCAAAGCAAAAACCCATTCCCAGAGGTTGTTTGCGAGTGCACTCGGAGGTCGTGGTCCCGTCAGATTGGTCCCTTGGGTTGGCACCAATAGACCTTTGCCTACTGTGGAGGACGGGAGGACGTCCTGTGCATCACTGAGACCGGCCAGGGTCGACACGAAGACAGACGATGCGCCCGTGGAGTTGTACATGGCCCTTCGGCGGAGATAGACCGATTGGTCGCCTTGGCGAAGTTTGTCACGCAGGTCAGGATGAGCAGCAAAATCCAGAACTAATGGCCAGTAGTCCGCATGCCGGATCTCCACACGAGTCAGCCCGCTAAGGTCAGGAAGGAGGCAAGGTGCCGTGACGGTATGTCGGGTGCCTTGTGCATTGGTCCAAGTGATGGGCAGGGAGATTGGCCGGCGAGAATCCAGATCACGAGGCACCAGGCAGCGTGGTTCAGCAGCGAGCACCCACAGATGGCGGAACGCCTGCAGATGGCATTTGTTGTCGAGTACAGTAGTGGGGAAAATAGGGTAGAGAGAGCAGAGCAGGGAGGCGATGGCCAAATCGGAGGTACCCAGTGTGTAACTGCCGCCACCCAAGAACAACAGCCCCAATGCCATGTGTGATGCCATATGGCTGCCGTACGGCGTGTCCGAATCTACGCGGCCATGCAAAGAGCGCAGCCGGCGGAAGAGAGCCAGATCACCCGTGCCGGCCATGACCGCAGCGGCTGAGAGAGCGACGACGTCTTGGCAGTGTCGCACTGAGTTGCGCGTCAGTTTGGCATCGTAGTTGGTCGCCTGCAAACGGCAGAGGCGGATGAATTGGTCGAGATAGGCGAGGAGAAGATCGCGTACTGCCGGCTGAGCTGAGCCGGCATAACGCAGACCGAGGGTGAAACACAGCCCCGCAACTATATTGAAAAATGGCATGTCGTCGCTCCTGAGGCGGCGCACGCCCCTCAGCCGATATCGACGGCGATACACCGGTGGCAGACTTTGCACAAACCACTCATCGCTGGGCCGGATGCCATCCCACATGATCAAATGGCGTGCGAGCGTGCGCAGGAGGAAGATGTCTGGTCGGACGTAATCAAACCGCACCGTTGTATCTGGAATGTCAATCTTCTGCGCCAGAATCTCGTCATTGGTTTTCATGAAAATAATCGCCAGCGCAATTGTCGCACCAGCTGTGGCTCGGTCTAGGATGTGCGCAAGATCCACATTCTTCGTACCCACAGCTACCGCTAGCAGCCGTTCCACAATGTGCATATCGCGCATACCACGAAGGTCTTTTCCTTTACCCAGGTTGATGAAGCCTAGAGCCAAACCGGCGGCAAGACGGTACCCTTCGTCCCGCAGGTCATCGTGAGACGGGCTACTCTCCTCCTGTTCCACGTTCTCGATCTCTGATAACATGACTTCGCTCATACGCCGATGTTGCGAGCCGCAGTACAGAAGACCGATGCCCATAATGCCCGCCGTTTGGGTCGAGGGGGACAAATTGAGCTCAGCGGCACCCATTGGCAGCATCCGCGTGACATGAACAGACAGAAGCCGTGTAATGAGGGTGTCCATGGTTCCCAGGTAGGAGGCCGAAAGACCAAGCAGCAAGCCAATCGATGTCATCGTATGCTTGGGAGTCAAGTACTTGAAGGCAACCCACTTAGCCAGCGACTTGAGATGGCCATTGAGACCTAGAGCCAGCAGGAAGCCCGCATGTCGATTAGTGAGCTCCTGTGGCTTATTGAAGAGGATCCACGAGGTATCGATGCCCTTCGAATGTTTCGAGATTGCTAAACCAGTTGACACCCCATTATGGAAGAAGGCCCAGCAAACCTTCTCCTCACTAAAGGAGGCACGGTCTGCGCTGATTGTTACGTTGGAAGGTTTCATAACACATTGCAACGAAAACGAAGGAATAGGTAGTTTCTCGGTCAAAAGGGGTAAGCGACTACTGAATGCCAGCATAGCCCGACCGGTGGGGATGGAAAGGGTCCGCAGCGTCACTAGTTGCACAACCTCTTTTTGCGCCTCCAATAAATCTGAATCAGTCCATTCTGGCTCGGGTACACATTCGGCTACCGGAGCCTTGGACTGGTTCAGCAGGCGCGTCGCTTCAGTAAATCGCTTGTCTTCTCGGAAGATCAGCCTTGTGACCGACAGGCGGTCTGCCTCTGCCGACACCTCGAAGGAGTTGGTCGCATCAATATCCAGTGCAGAAATGCCGATGTGATGAACGTCGCGTATTGCGTCATGCGACATTGCAGGCTGGAACGGTGCGGGCGCAGGCGGTGGCCCCAACTGGTCTCCACCAAGGGAGATGCTGAGATCCTCGCGATCGATAAGCTGGAGAAGCGCCGAGTCCCAGGAGGGTGAAGCATGTAGTTGGGACTGCAAGATGGTTTCGTATAAGGGAGTGCTAACACCTTCCGGGAAGGTCTCGATGATGTCCTTCGTGAAACCCCAACGATAAAGAAGCTGGATCCGGTCCAGTGGCGTTGAACACTTGTGCACCTCTGAGAGGAAACCATCTAGCGCCAGAGTTCGTGGCGTGAGTGCGTAGCACTCTTGCCATAGACGACCCTTCTTTGGGGATCTGTCAGAGCCGATAACCAGGTTCAAGAGCGTGAAGAAAGACACCGAAGTCTCTCTCCATGCCTTCTCGAGATGCAAGAAGATTGAAGGCGGGGCGAACGGCTCGTCGGGGACTTCGAGCTTCGATATACGCGAGTCCTCGAACTCCCAGCGACTCATACTGGCCATTTCCGTTCCGAAATACGTGTCGTCTGTCCAGGACCAAGACGCCCATCCAAGCCAGCCGCCAATCTGGGCCAGGACGGGAGCGAGAAGACCCAAAGGTTTGCGTGACTGTTCGCTATCGCAAATGAAGAGCTTCTGTTCTTCCCGAAGCAGATGCAAAGCCACTAAAATCGTACATAGTGCAGTACTTCGTAGGCTTTGGCTAAATGACAGAGCTGTAGGCAAGAATCCCTCCGAGCCCACAGCGGAGTCACCCTGCGGACTCTGTAGGAACTCCCTTGCCAGAGCAATACAGCGAGTGAGGTAGGTATTTCGTCGGAAAGTTGAGCGGTTTGAAGCGAATGGCGCGGTCTGATCAAGTTCGCTGTCCTGTGCATCTTGCTCTACAACCCAACTCCAGGAGCTGGTGTTCATCCATGATGCAATCACGCCAGCAGAGCCAGATTCCTGGTCGAGCATTGCCTCCCAACTCTCTGAGTCGATAGATGTTCCGCTACTGGACCGCAATAACCCCTTCTTCCGTCGTGTGGGCTTGTGTGATGTCTTTGTCGGCTTGGTTTCAATAAAAGGAATTGCCATTGAAAACAAGACCAGAACCATAGCAGTCCATTCCAGGTCATCCTCTTCGGTCTCTCGCCCACGGAGCCATTTCATGATTTCCCACCAAGTCGACAGCATACCATCACCTGCCTTCTCGGAATCCGGCAGAGCGAACTGGCACACCTTGAAGATATTCTTCACCATTTCATTGCTCGGCTCCATCCTTATTTCAAGCTTATGTCGGCGATTGCTGGAATCGACGACATCGAACCTTCCTCGAACAGCTGGGTGATCAAGTCCAATGATGGCGATCGACGAATCCGTCATCAGGCGTCTCACGCCGCTCTCTCTTCGCCGGCTTCCGGGAACGTTTGAGTAGATGCCGTATGCTTCATATAGCATCATTTTACCCGGGACTTCTACCGCGTGCGGTGTACCCCATGGAGTTTGGAGATATAATGCACCTTGGCCATGGTCGCCTGTCCTTACTGTGATGAGCCTCGAAATACCGCCATCAGTCACCTTGCAAGCATCCCAGACATCTGAAACATGTTGTACGCCTGAAGCCTGGACAAGTAGCGAGCGCTCGTTCGGGGAGGCGCTCTTTTTGGACTTTCTAGTGAATATACCTCCATCTTTCTTAGGGATAGCAACGCGATCTGCTCGGAGAGTGACAACGGTCATAGACCTTGCCTCTTGGTCCACCAAGCACAGGGCCAGGGCTGCGGAGTTCCCGTCATGTGCGGTACCGAATCTCGACGGTGAAATCGTGACAATCTTCGCTCTTCGTGAATTTGACTTGGGTATCGCTGGGGTATAGAAAGAGCCCGAGAACTTGGATGAGAAGCTCTCAACCTTAGTCAGGAGTACTTCTTCTGGAAGTCCCGATGCCGAGTTCTTCAAGTCCATATTCTCGATCCCTTCGAAAAGGCTTTCATTATTGAGTTCTTCCAGCAGTCTGTCCACCGGCGCATCAATGAAGCTGCTCGCGGTGCTGTAGACGGAACCGCTGCCCGGTGGCAATGAGCCTCTCGGATTGAATCCCAGACTTCCTCGAGTGCTACCAGCACCAATCGACTGCCGCAGATTTCCGTGAGGCATAGGGCCCGATTGACTTCCTGTCGCCAAGTCTGAGAAGGTGATTCTATCCTGGCTAGATGCTAGGTCCGCTCGTGCCAACAGAGAACTGACGCGTCGGGAAGTCTTGAGTGGCACACCAATATCCCCGAAATCTTGGCCCAATTTCGAAGCTAGATCATCCTCATCTGGCCTGCCATCTGCAGAGTACTGCGACAGAGACAGACCGGACGTGTTCCACGCGTCACCCCTAGGACCGAAGCTTTCTCTCGCACCCGACGGGCGGGCAGCAGGTGTACTTGATCCTGTATTCATTCCAAAGTGGGAGCTCCGTCTCTTCGATCGAGTCCCATCTGTGTCTCGTCTCTTATCCTTTCTCTTCTTCGACGCTGGCGCGAACTCATCTTCTCTGTAGCGTGCTGTCCAGATAGTATAGAGGCCTGTGTTTATGTTGGAAGTAACCACGAGAATCAGAGGTCCGTTAGCCAAGCCCGGGTACAGTCCAGATAACTCGTCTCTGGGCGATATATAGACGATCTCGTCAGCAGGGTCAAGAACATCCAAGCCCGAAGGTCGGGTGTTAGCACTCGTTTGTAGCCAACGGGACGATTGTTTAGTTACAACCAAGCCCATCTCTGAATGAGGATCCATGAGCGAGAATACGCGCGGAAGCTCTGCTTGTTTGCTATGCCTGGGCTTCAGACCTGGGTTCTGAGCCGGTGAGATTGTCAAAGATGGCCGACTTTTCTTGCCTGATGAAAGTTCTAGCGTCTGTGACGCTCGAAAATCGGGCAGGGTTGATACGAAAGAGTTCGGAGGCGCCATGGGAAGAGAACTCGTATCTTCCTCTTCGTGAACCTTTCGTTGGAACAGCAAGCCTCGAGGCGTAGCAAAGACCGAATCGACTTCGAACGGAAGGGGAACGACATGGCTATTGCCAGTCAAGAAGAAGATGTGAGCCTGGGATTTGAGTACCACCACTAATGCCCGAGAAATGTTGCCCGACTGATTTCCAGTTGTCCTTAGATGTTGATCATCTTGCTGGTTGAACTTCCGCTTGGCGCTGGGTTGTTTCGACTGTTGATGTGTCACATCAACATAGTGTTCGCCGAATTCTCGAGAGCGGCCAAGGATACTCCCTGCCTGCGATGGTTCACCCTTTGCCGCTGTAGACAGACTCGCCCCGGAGCGTTTGATCTTGCCTACAGAGAAGTTGGCCAGCAAGGCATGACGAATGTCCTCTTTTTCGAGATCTAGGCGGAATACTCTCTTCACCACCCCCGCTCGCGACCAAACTGCGCAAGTTTTCGTCCATACGATCTCATCCTCGACTGGAGCGTTGGAGTCTTCATCGACACTGGTTGTCCAGTTGTACAGGTCTTCGGAGGGATCGGGGGGCAATAGACCTTCAGCGACAAGGAAGGCGACAGCCGCAGGTTCGTGGAGGCCGAGGGACCGCACGGCAGCCATTATCGTCGCAACTGGTTGTCGTTGGGTGTAGCGAGTGAACAACTGGCAAGGCAAGCCAGAGACAGGGTCATGTCCATTGTCGACTGGGAAAAGAAGACAATCCCACCAGTAAATTTGGGGGAAGAAAGAGAGAGAGATGGAGGAGGGACGCGCTGGACGCGGCGGCGGGACCGAAGGTTGACCTCCGCCTCCCCCGACAAAAACAACCTCTTCTTCTACTCTCAATTCTGCATTCCTCCGTCTTTTCCCTCCTCTTCTTCTTCTTCTCCTTTCTTGTCGCCTCCTCGCAATCAACTCCCTTTCTTCCTCGTATGAATTCTTTCCCTCACTACTGCTATCTGTAAGACTTGGGAATGGTGGTTGCTAGTCTCCTGGACTAGAGATCCAGCAGATTCGTACAAATCAGCTCTTCTTACAAGCTTCCCAATCATTCAACTCACTATCTTCGCTTTCCGCCTTCATCACCTCAAAACACCGCAGACACATTCTGACGATGTCATCATTTCCCTTGAAGCCTCTGGTCAGGCCCAGGGACGATGACGGCCTACAACTGAGGTGAGTTTGGGATTTCTGCCGGGAAGCAAGGTCTGTATTGACCATGGTTGCTCTGCTCTCTAGCTACCAACTCCCTCACCGTGTCCATACGGCAGCCGGATACCCTCTTCTTGCCCCCAACGGCTCATCAATCATTGTCTACGGTTATGAAACGGGTTTGAGGGTGGTTTGGCGAGGAGGCAAGCCCTTCGCTACTGAGGAAGCTCCTGCTGCTCAAGCCGACAAGGCGCAAAAGACCGCTCCACCTCCCAGCGATGATGCTATCATGATCATTGATTCCGACGACGAGAGCGTTGCAGAGCTTCAGTCGTCGGTCTCCAAAGAAGAACCCAAAGTCCAATTCGAGCAAGAAGAGCCAGAGGTCGATCCCGCTTATCCTTACGAAAGCATACTACGCCAGGTCGACATCCCCCTGGGAAGCAGGGTTCTTCATCTGGCGGTACCACACATTCTACCCGAGACAGCTCGCTCATCGCTTGACCCATTCCCTCCTACTCTCAAGGAGCTCGTTGTGGTTGCTGCCGTCTGTGCAGACTACTCTACGCGAGTGGTGACCATACCTTTGACCCCCCCTCATCCTAGCCAAACCAAGATCAACTTTCAGACCATCGATATTAGTGGTGGGGTATCTCACCAAGAGCTCCCCCGTGGTGTCAGCGTCACGTTCACGTACCAGGAGACCGAGAAAAAGGAGCCGAATTTGTCCCGCAGCCAGCAGTCTGCTTCTGGACGGTGGGACATGCTTGTCGCAACTCATTCCGCAGAGTCGGCGGGGCTGCTACTGGTTCACCGGATCCCAATTGCAGAAGGGCATCAGCTCTGCGGCGATGCGATTGAGACTAAGCGACGATATCTCCCGGCCCCGGCCACGAACATCTCGTTCAACCCATCGGGATACCCCGCCCCACGTCATTCCACACTGCTCGTCGCTTTTCACAGCGGCTGTATCAAAGTGTACTCATGTTTCGCTACCAAGCAAGCGAGAGCCTCTCGCAGGTCCTCCGGCATGCAGACCGACCTGGAGACATCCCAGACAGAAGGAAACTGGCTTATCAGTCTTTATCCGGGGTTCGAGCAGAGCGTTTCGGGACCTGCGCAGCGTAAGACTGTAATTAGCGCTGAATGGGTACTTGGAGGACGAGCCATTATGGTCTTGATGTCAGACGGAGAGTGGGGGGTGTGGGACATTGAAGGAGCCGGCCCAGGAAATATCAAGGGACCGCTTCAGCGTCAATCCAGTATACAGGGTGTAACCGGCGGCTCTATGACCAATTTCTCCGTCAGCGGTCGCCTTCTGAGCCCACTTCCTAGCGCTCATCACGCAGAGACTGGTGGAGGTTCCTTCGAGCATCGGCCTAAATTCGCGCCTCTCACACCCGCGACCAAACGTCTACGAGAGGACACGTTGTTGAAGGGTGGCTCGACCGGCATCACCAGCTCTTCACTGTCTGGAGGCATTTCGGTGTATCAAACGAATGCGTGGAAGGACCCCATGCCGGATGAGGCTGTTCTGCTACGACACGGCAACCAGGCCGCCGTCATTCCTAGTCTGTTGTCTTTGTGGCGCAACGCGATCAAGGCCAGTGGCACGTTCGATTCTTCCAACCGCTGCCGGGTGTCCACCCTTCAGGACGTCAGCCTGATGGGCGAGCGCCTGAAAGGGATTGGCCATCTTCCAGTGAATCCGAGCCGAACCCGCGGCGCTGACCAGCAGCCATTCGACTTGATTCTCACGGCGGAGCATCGCGTCATGATTCTTTCGCCTAGACTGGTTGAGCCCGAGCATATGCCAGTCGGGGCGATGTCTGTGGCAAGGCCCACGGCCACCTTTGAGACCGACCAGCAACGTCTACGTCAAGGTGAACTGGACGTGGACGGGATGGACCGAGTTTTGAGCGGCATGGCGAGCGCCAAACGGTCGATCGGCATGGGCAGCCCCATTAAGCGACTTCGCAACTTTGCTTGAAAAGAAGATGAAACAATTCATCTGAGTCGGCTGCATTGGAAGCCAACGAAGCATACATTGTCTGTGACTCCCTCGGAAGCACCTCTGGCCCGGAGTCGGAATCCGGACAGCGCCATTCTCATCCTGTGAAATGTGTCAAGCAGATAGGATGACCAAGATACCCAATACTTACATCTGTATTTTTCTCGGGGCTTGTTCATATCTTTTTCTTCTCGCTTTCCCCTTTTGTGGTCCACCTTTACCCACACATCTCGCCCTCCCTTCTCTCGTAGACACCCCCCCCAAGAATTCCGCACTGCAAGGTGGAGCGCAAGGCGAGATCAATACCTTGAAATCCCTCTCTTTTCTCCTCCGGAGAAAACCAGAGGGATAAGCTCTGTATCTGACGCGGTACATCAACAACCCATCCATCGGGGGTTTCCATTTGAATGGAAACCCCCCGTCTCCTAACCCACCAGGTCAGGTTCTCGTCTCCCCGACGAGGCCACGATGACCATCCCCCTCCTCGATTCTGCTGAGCCAAAAGAGTGCGGCCGTCTCCGCACCCCATTTCTCTTTCCCTTTTTTTTCACCATGACTGATATCGATCATCGTTCTTCCCGGTCCGGTCCGCGGAGGTTGATCCTGTGCTGACACTGATTTCCCACCCGGAGAGAGTGTTAGGTTTGGCTTCCGGGCCCCCGTGGATCGGGCTTAGATCCAGCAGGGGCTGTTAACGCAGGATGTTTCATCCTGCTTTCATGCCACTTTTGGTGAAGACAACATCCACATCGATAGCAGTCGTGGAAGGGGAAAGGTCATGGCTGGATTTGGATTGGGTCGGGCAGTGGGGTTGGGGTGGGAGACGTGGTGATGGGGACATATCCGTTCATTTGATATGGTTGTGTGTGGTCATAGTAATAGTAGGAGTAGTAGTAGTAGTAGTAGTAGTAGCAGTAGTAGAGATCCTTTCTGAACGACCCGTGGCCTGTAGTGATTATCCTTCGTACTACCCCTTAGCTGATCGTTTGCAATTTTCTAAATGGCATGGTCTCTCCGCTGTGCAGGAAAGAGGTCAAAGCAGGACTCACTGATAAGTTAGGCAGTCGGGTTCAAAATTACTATATCCTGGCAACTAGTCAGTTGACAGGCTACCGAGTCCAAAGCACATACTAGTACAGACATGAGGAGGGTAGGAAGTCCATCTTCGACGAATGACGGAGTGCGTGCCGTCTGTAGGTCGGGTCATTCAGTTTATTCACTGCTTGCTTTTATCAAGAGAGGTTTACTAAAGAATCCTGCATTCATCAATAGTCACAGATGCGTGCACAACATTCCCACCCAGCCAAGTCCATTTATCGATGAGTCTGAAACACGGTTAGAAGATTATCGATAGTCTTTGAAGCACATGTTTTATTTTTAATTCTTTCTCTGTGCAGCAAAATCTATATTAACAAAATATATAGACCCCATAGAAAGGTACGATGCTTGAGATCCGTAGTCAATTCCAACCGATGCAAATAGCACCAGAGATAAAACACCAGATCTGTGTCTGTGAATATGCTTCCGCAGCATCTAGCAGGAAGAAAAGAGCCACAAGGCCCCAGGAGGCATATGTACAACCAGACGGCACAATACACCATCCCAGCTTAACCACTGTAGCCCAGCGAATCCAACTCCTTGCGCACCGCCTCCTCGGTCTGGATCTTCTTCATCTGCGTATCCTCCAACTTCTCCCCACCGGCAAGGCGCATTTTCAGCTCGTCGATCGCCCGGATCTTCTTCAGAAGTCCACGGATCTTTTTGTCCTGCGCAGTGGGTGCTCCACTAGCATCCAGAGCAGCCTCCGCCGCAGCGTTGTCATTGGCTTTGGCGTGGGCATGGGCCTTGGTAGCGGTTCCATTGGCCTGCTGGTGGTTTTTGCGCTCATTGTTCTGGCCCTTAGATCGGTTGCGCTCATGCGCCTTGTCGCCGCGACGATCGGGGCTACGGGTGGACTGGCCAGCAGCCTGCTCACCATCGCCTTGCTCGTCCTTCTGTTTCTTGGCCTCCCGCTTCTTCTTGTTGCGGGCGGCCGATTTGGACAGTTTCTCGGGCTGCTCAACGCCAGGAGGCAGAGCCACGCCGCCTCCAGGAGCGGCTCCCGGAGGCAGAAACTCCTCGGCAGGTTCGGCACCAGGCACCTCACGTCGGCGGGAGCGTCCGAAGCCGTTCACCACGCCGCCAGTGGGCGCGCCATCCCGGATATACGCCGCACCACCCTGATCTTCACGCTTGAAAGCAAGAGGGGTTAGCTGGCCACGAGCACCGGGGGGGCGATAGGCACCTGCGGGCTTAACAGGAGCCTTCTTAGTGCTGAGGTAGGCCACCGCAGAGGGATGAGGAGTCGGCAGAGGGTTGAACGGGTCGCCAAGGGGGTGCTGCTCAAGTGACTGGGGACGCCACACCACATCGTACAGCTCGGTCATGTCCTCATTGTACATCAAAGCGCCGCTTACGTGCCAGATACGCAGTCCATTGTCCACACGCAGACGTGGGCTGGTCGTGGCGGTGAGGATGAACTGACCGTCAGGAGACCAGTCGCAGACACTCGAGTTGGAGGCCTCCACGGTGGCGATTTTGTGGTAGTTCTTGTCCATGTCGTAAATATCCATCTGACCCGCAAGGTTACCGAAGCCGGCCACGAGGACGAAGCGACCATGAGGAGAGAATTGAATGGTGTTGCGAGGGCCGAGCGGGAAGCTGTGCTTGGGGACACCACGGAAGTTGAAAATGGTGGTCTTTGCCGGCATGTAACCATAAACCACACCAAACTCCTTGGAGTTGGGGGACCAGGTCACGTCGTGAATAGGACCTTCCTTGTCTGTTGCAGCGGAGATCAGCACACCGGTTTTCCATGGGTCCTGCATGAACCAGTCACTTACCGAGATCCACACGGGAGTCGAAGCCACCTCCAGCACTGAGCAGGTACAGGGTGGTCTCGCCGTAATAGCTCTTGCCCGACCGGTCAACATCTGTCTGGGCCAACACAATCAAAGTCGTGCCCTGCTCGTTCCACTTCAGCTGAACCTTGTCACCCTTGAAGAAAGTCTTCTGCGAGACAGGCGCTCCAAACTGAGGCACCAAGAACACCTTGACGGCGGCAGGTTGACCCTAAAAGCAAGATATAAGTATGACTTCGTGGCAGGAGGGCTGAGTTCCGCATACCTTGCGCTCCGGAATGAAGACAGCAATGGAGGCGTTCTTGCCGGGAGAAAGGGAGAAATCAGTCACTCCCTCCACTCGCAGCTTGTTCCAGACCTGGGAGAGGTTCTCGCTCTGGTAGAACTGGACCTCATTGGTGACGACGCGCGCGCAATGACGCTCATCGGAGGTGTACTGAAGGTTCCAGCCCGTCTGCGACTTCTGGACGAAGCTGCCCACAACTACATTCTCATCACCGCTAGACACGACCTGCCAGACCTTCAGGTTCTTGACAGCATCACCCTTCTCATCCTTGGTCGGACGCTGCCAGGTGATCAAATAGGTTCCAAGCGGAGAGAACCCCAGCTCAAACACATTCTCCGCAACAATAGTGGAGACGACATGTCCGACGGACGGATCAACGATTGTCACCCTGAGGTTGGGTCAATATTGCGGTGCTTTGGTCTTCGCATAGAAAGGATTCACATACTTCTCGGGAGAGGCCCAGGCGAAATAGCGACCACAAGGGGAGTAGGCGCTGCAACGCAGGTTTCCCTCGGGTCTAAGAGACACCGTCAGCAAGTGTTTGTGGCGAACGGACCGTGCCTATTGGCCCGGGTGATGGTACATACTTCTCAAATCCAGACAAAGGTGCATAGACTGGGGCCGCATCCAAGATGCCAACTCCCTTAACCGTACGGTCTGTGGATTGATTAGCGTCGCGGTCGAAGTCCTTGATCGGAGATTTGGCAGTGTGCGACTATGTCGTCATGCAGAGGATTGGGAGAGATGAGACTAGAGCGGGAAAGACCTACAAGCCAACTGTGTAGGGGCTGCCATTTTCAACGATGTGTTATCTCGAACGACACACGGGATCGTAAATTCGCGAAGCTAGCGGAAGACGCGCGCCGGAAGTCGTACGGGCAGTTCAAAGAATCTTACAATCTTCGAGTCCAAGGTGTGAAGCAAGCAGATGCCCGCAACTGTGTGTAACAGATTGAAGCGATGGCGGCGAAAGGTAAGAATTCGATGTGATTCGCAGTCCGAGAACGTGTTACTGCTGCAGTAGCGGCAAGGTGAACAAAGCCGGGACGAGGACGTTTGAACTGTGAGGTAATTGGAGAAATAACAGGCACGCGCGTCGGCAGGCACACACACACACACAAAGACCGTGTGAATTGGAGCGGACAGAGCTTGGGCAATTGGAAGGGGAGGTTGTAAGTAGTGTTGTTGGTCTTGCAGTTGTGGATAAAGTCCCACAGTGTTTTCCTTGTGCTTGACAAGTCAATGCCAGCTGATGACGATGGACAAGGAAGACTGAATTAGGACTAAGAGACAGGAGACGGAAAGAAGAAGAGAGGAGGGTGAACGAGTAGGGGAGTAAAAGTAGGAGTGGGGGGTGGAGGAGAGGAGAGGAGGGGAGGAGGAGGAGGAGAGAGAGAGAGAGAATAGAAGAAGAGGACGAGTAGGTGGGGAGGAAAAGAAAGAGGCGAAGAGTGAGTCTCCGTCAAGACAGGGAGAAAAGAAACACAGCCAAAGAGAGACAAGAGACAGAGACAGAAAGACAGGCGGAAGTTGCAGAGCCTGAGGAACCCACGCGGAAATTTAGTTTGGCGGGAGCTTTTCCTGAATTTCTAAGTTGTTTTTGGAACGCCCCAAAATGCCCACTTTTTTGCCCCAAAGAGGTTCCAGACCCAATTTTACGTCTTTGCTTCTATTGCTTCAATGCTGTGGCTTCGATGTTCTTTGCTGCAATGCTGATGACAGCCAGCCTTAGCAAATCAAAACAAACAGACAGTCATATTTATGTTACATGCATTATTTGTTTTTCAAGCTGGACTGACTGGTCGTTAAGCAAAAATCCCATACATCCATCCATCCATTTACAATTTCCTCCCCGAATCACCCCAATTGTTGATAACAAACGTTCCTACGCAAAGATGGGGGAAATAATCAGAAACAGAGCAGAGATCAGGATCAGTAAAAAAAACAAGCAGAATCAGAATATATTCGCCGGTCGAACTTCTCAATTGCATGTTGTTCTTCCAAACAAATTAGATCTCCCGGTGGGGATTGCCACCATCCGCCGGGGTGGCCAGGCGAGGGGTCCTCACGGTCGTATCAACCACATTCGAATCATAGGTCATTCCATCCATCATCCGGGCATCCTGGGTAGGCTCAGGAGTGACCGATCCGGTAGGAGAGGCCGTGGCTCGCAGTATAGCCGTGTCGCCGCCCGAGTGCTGCGCCGCCACCATGGGATTGACGCGCGCCAGCCCAGGGCTACCGAATGAGCCTGGCCGGCCTCCTGACGAGTTCCGATTCACCAGCGGATTCGAGACGGGTCCACTGATCGTGCTGGCGCCCTCTCCAAAAGCGACCAAACTGGCATCGCCTTCATCACTGAAGTTGCCCACACTCGATGTGCCGTCTTCCGGGTACTCACTCATCTTGTCCGCATCGAACGCATCACTGCCGCTGGCCCAGGTCGTGCGAGCCCCCACACTGCCCGTGGCACTGGCACTGCCCACCGTACTGCGCTCTTTGATCCCTGGCCCGCTTTCAAAGTACCCGGGGGGGTGGGGGGTGGGCACGAGGCCACTGGGTTGGGATGTGCCACCCGCCCGGGCCGTAGCCACTCGTTCTAAACCGGCCAGCCGTGAAATGCGATCGGCCCGTTCCGCTTCAAGAGTGCTGGTCGAGGTGTTGGATGCAGATGGGGAATGATGTGCATGACGGCCGTAGGGGTGCGGCTGGCCTTGATGACCGTCCTTGATGGCGGTGGTGGAGAGGGCTGAGAGCGATGTGGTGCCGGAGTTCGGAGTTCCTCTGCGCCAGGCATGTCGCAAAGCCATGTTAGCGTATGATCGGGATAGACTGGGACAGGACAGGGAGTAGGAAATAATAGTCAACGTGGTTGGGCAGTCTTACGGTCCCATCTCGGATGGAGTCACCGGATCCGACGGCGGCGGAGGGAGATTAATCAGGGTTGGGGTCGTCATTCTGTTCATGATGGGGTTGAAGCTGAACTGCAGGGTGCAGCTTGCACGGGAAGGGTAATGAGCGGGTTGATTTACTTCGAGAGGGAGGTGTAGGACTCAGTAGAAGTACTCCCGATGCAAGTGAAGTGGGGAGTAGATAGGAATATCTGCGGGGAAGCGAGATTGAGAGAGAAGAGAAGGGCCAGAGGACGACAAAGACTGGCGCATCCCAGGGCCGGGTGATTTATTATAAGGTATAAGGGTATACCTCGCGGATTCACAGTCTCTCCGTCTGTCTCCCGTCTAGGTTTCACAGTCGCGGGATATGCCAGATGCGTCGAGGTGGACCGGATCAATTGGTATGAATAGAACACAACCGTCTAGATTTTGCAGTCAAGTGCTGGTAGGGTAGAGTGGGAAGGGGGGGAGAGGGAAAGGTGAAAGTGAGGCTGTCTGAGTGGGCCAGAGAAGGAAGGGGATGCGATGAAGCGGACGAAGTCGCCTCTCCTTTTATGATTTCATACGGGGGGGTTCTCTGGGTGTAGGGAAGTAAGTGAGTGAGGTAGAGGAAGAGAGGAGCACCAGCTTGCTCCACAGGGAGGAAAGGGTAAGTAGTTCTGGGATGAATTTTGGAGGTGAGAGGGAAGTTTATGGTCCACCAGGAATAGATAGACCTTTTTTACTTCAGAAATAACTTGACACTAGTGGTTACCAGTAACTACACAGTAACTACACAGTAACAAATACTTACTACGGAGTACATGACGGACAGTTCGCCTCAGGCTCAACGCGGGTTGCCCGCACTTCAATTCCCATTTGGGTTAGCTTGATTCAAAGCATTACAATGATGTCATTGAGGATAAATGACTAACAGTTAAAATACCAAGTTAAGTTAGTTAGTACGGAGGAAGTAACTACTAAGTAGTTTTATGAATGCCTCAGGCTCACGACCCAATACTTTTCCTATTCGGTCCGGAGCAGTAAGTGATCTTCTTGACTATTAACCACCCACGCACGTACCAGATCCATCGGTTGAAATCGATCTCTCTGCTACCACAATTCATTCAGCTACTGGCGCCTCCAAGGGTATTTATTCATAGAGCATCGCTCTCCTAATCTGACCTGTCCTTTCGATCTCACCTTCCCAGAGTCTAAAATTGATCGTTCACCCCCGTTCTCCGCTCTTCCTGCAGCCGCTCTTCCGTAATCTCCCACCACCAGGCATGCGAGGCATCTTGACTGGAACGCGGCACCAGGCCTTTTCGGATCTCCTCCGGCTCGTCCCAGGGTTTCGGGCTGAGGATGTAATGCACATTCTTGACCCGATCATCCCGCCAGATGGCGTCGTGCACTCCATCCCACCGGAGGGTCTTCAGCGCATTATACACATACGGAAGGGCCACCCAGCGGCCACTGAACACGTCCGAGAGGAGAGACTGATCGGCAAACTCGTAATCGGAGGTGACCGAGGAGGCTAGTTGCGCGATGATTTGATCATAGATGGCCTGCGACGGGTTGACCACCTGGAGGCCGCCGTTGGGCATCCCCAGACCGGCAGTGGGTGGGGCTCCCTCCGTCTGGGCGGATTTGGGATTTGCGTGCTGCGTAGTGAAGGCACAGTTGGACGGGATCCTGAGCTCGCGTCAGTTCAGGGGAGTTCTCGACGATCCAGCAGCGTTGCATACCAGTCCCGCGGATAGTGAGGCTTTTGGAGCGGATTGCAGACACATGCATGGCTGGCCGCGAAGACGCGTGGGCCGGTGCCTGCCAAGGCGGGGGGATCCAATTCGAGATCCATCAGCTCATCCATGTTCTGGCGAACCAGCATGTCACTGTCGAGTTGCACCACTCGCTCATACTCGACGAGCGAGAAGGGGGTGAGCTTGCTCCAGCAGTCGTAGAAGCGCACGTCATTGACATATGCCTTGGGCACTGACGGCAGTAGATAAGGAACCCGCCGCTTCCAAATGCCACGAGCATCGAGTGCAGCATGGCCCTCGTCTGGGAAGGAGTCGGTGTAAAGCACTACCAGCGGATACTTGGAGCCCACTCTGCGTAGGGAATACTCCAGGGTGAGCAGACCCGGGAGATATGCGGTATTGGTAATGAGGGTCGTCCATACTGAGGAAGAGGTTAGCTATGGGGTTTTATTTTGTTTTTACTTTTTTACCAGATCTGCTGGATATTGGGATTCAATGAGAGAGGGGTGGGATTGAAGGAGTGAGTGAATGAATGAATGAATGAATGAATGAATGAATGGGAACTGCGAGCACCTTTAGTGGCATCGGTTATGCGGGGACGAGTAGTAGTAGTAGTAGTAGTAGTCACAGTCATGATGGGTTCTCTCCGCAGGTCACCCAGTACGCGGAGGATACCAGGAGAATGAAGGGGTACAATAAGAAGAAGAGGAGGAGGAGGAGAGAATCATAGGATAAAGAACAAGAATTTTCTTTCTAAAAAAAAAAAAAAAGAAGACCAGGAAGAAGGGAAAAGAGAGGCGATAAGCAGAAAACAAAAGCAAATGACTGACGAAAAGGCGCAATCGGGGGAATCGGGGATTGATCGAATTCTAACCGGGTTGGTGTTAGTGAGCAATACCTCTCTTCTCTTTTCCTCCCCCCAGCATCGGTGCTCTATAAGTTCAAGTTACCTATGCAGTACATTGTCGATGGGCCCAATTTGCACACGTTCCTCTGCAACTACATTGATTCAATTGACCTCTAAGTTGGTTGTGGACTAACTTAGTAGTTAACTGGTAGTTAACGACTTATCAGTCAGTGCAACAACAAAGTAATAACAACGCGTTGTAATTCTTCAACCCCCTTTAGTTTCAAGGCGGTCAGCCCTGAATAAATCCCGCCGAAGAAGGATTGAAGTATACGTTATGCGATTCTCATCCTTCACCTTCCATCCTTCCATCCAATCCACCAATCCTTCTCTTCAGCTTCAAATTCCCTGCTTCCGATTCAAAATTCCCCGCTTCTAACTTCCTCTCTCTCTCTCTCCGACTCATTCTTAGACAGCGTCTATGACGGAGCCCGATTACGAGGCGCAGCCTCTAATCCAAGATGAGCCAAGTCCCTCAACGGCCCAGACGCAATCGGACGCTGACCGCATGGAGGAGCTGCGGAGCAGCTGGTATCTCTTCGTTTTGACCCTGGGCATGGGAGGGTGAGTTTTGCATGAAGTGCCCATTAGTTGATGCAAAGGAGCCGGGGCTCAATGACACCCCCCTTTCTCTAGTCTACAAATTGTCTGGTCCATCCAGCACTCCAGTGGATCGGTAACGAGTCGACCTGACACCCTTCATGGCGCATTGCAGTAGAACTAGACTGACCAAGATACAAGCCCTATCTCCTCTCTCTGGGAATGAGCAAGTCCATGCTCGCGGGTGTCTGGATTGCAGGGCCATTGACCGGCACCCTCGTACAGCCATATATCGGCGTCCGAAGCGACAACTGTCGCATCGCCTGGGGTAAAAGGAAGCCGTTCATGGCGCTGGGGGGAGCCATCCTGGTCTTCTGTCTGCTGAGTCTGGCATGGGTCCGGGAGATTGTCGAAGGTACGCTCGGTTTGTTTGGCGTAGAAGCGCATTCAGATGGAGTGCGAACCACCGTCCTGGTGGTGGCAACACTCCTGATGTATTGTCAAGATTTCGCCATTAACACCGGTAGGAAATCCTCTCATTCCACTACCATCTCCGGCAGTTCGACTGACGACCAACCAGTACAAGCCGCAACCCGGGCATTCATCGTCGACAACGCGCCTGCCCACCAACAGGAATCGGCCAATGCGTGGGCAAGTCGGCACAACGGCGCAGGCAACATCCTGGGCTACATTCTAGGCGGGCTGGATCTCGCGAGAACGTTTCCAGCGCTAGGGAACACCCAGTTCAAGGGCCTTTCAGTCATCGCCAGCGTTTTCCTGGCCGTCACGCTGTCACTCAGCTGTGCCTATATTCAAGAAAAGGACCCGCGCTCCGAGCCCCTAATTGTCACCAGACCAGGGCTCAGGTCGCTGTTCCGCTCAATCGGCGACACCATCCGCGGCCTCTCCACTCGAACGCGACAGATCTATCTGATCCAAGTCGCGGCATGGTTCGCATGGTTCTCATTCCTCTTCTACGCAACCACCTATATCGGCCAGCTGTACGTCAACCCGATTCTGGATCAACACCCGGGCCTCCCCGAAGACCAAGTCAACAAGATCTGGGAAGACGCCACCCGAGTCGGCACGCTAGCGCTTCTCGTCAACGCCATCGTCTCCTTTGCAGCCAGCATCATCCTGCCTCTTCTTATCGTTCCCTCAAAGCCAGAAACATTCTCTTCAATCCAACCGCGACAGCAGCAGCAGCAGCACAGAAAGGGCTGCATCCACCTGAATTCGTGGCTCCACATTCCCACGATCCCCCATCTGACCCTCCGCCGCGCCTGGCTCCTGTCTCACTTCCTCTGCGCCTTGTGCATGTTCAGTACCTTCTTCATTGCTACCCCGGCCCAGGCCTCCGTCATGACCGGCATTATCGGTATCTCCTGGGCCATGACGTCGTGGGCTCCCTGGGCTCTTCTCGCCACCGAGATCGCGCTTCACCACGACGTTGACAACAACAACAACAACACCACCACCACCACTCCCAACACAATCGATCGAGCGTCATCCGCAACAAGACCGGCACAGCAGTTAGCCCAGTCCCAAAAAACCCACCATCCGAACCAGGCAGGCATCACTCTAGGCCTCCACAACGTGGCCATCTCCTTCCCGCAGATCATCTCGAGCGCGGTCAGCAGCCTGATCTTTCGTGCATTACAGAAACCCCGCGAGGAGCCGTGGGATACTTCCACCGGATGGGTCTTGAGACTAGGAGGCTGTGCCGCCATGCTAGCCGGAGTGTTGACGACTCGGCTCCAGGAAAGAAGGCCAAACGTGTGATCGATTTCGGGGATTGGGAAGCAAGCCCTCTCAACCCTATAGAACATGTAACGATATATACATTTTTTCGACGGAAAAGATAAGGAACAGGAAAACAGTCTACCACCAGAATCCTATCCCATGTATCAACATGTAAACCCTTGGACTTCAGGGCTTAATCCCGCATAGACCTGAGCAATGCCTCCCCCCACCCCCCCAAAAAAGAAAGAAAATTGAAAAGACAAGCGCTATGCTTCGTCACTCATTGGCATTTCATTGCACACCATTTATACTCCTCGACATACCGACTAGGAAATGGTATATTCGAATCGAGACCTCAACCAGGCTAGCGGCCCTAGTGGCTTGCCTTGCGACTCTCGTAATGACCGCGAAGGTCATCCACCTCCTTTTGTAACCGGGTGAGATCCGCTAAAATATCATTCGCATTCGAGGGATGCGGGACGTAGTCATCTCCTTCGGCAGTAACCGCAGCTTTTCCGGATCGGAGGCTGAGGCGCGAACTGTCCGGACTGTGATTGCTAGATCCGCGCGACCGCCGTGGTGGCGGAGGCGGAGGGTTCGGGACTGACGCGCGCTTGATTGACGGACTGGGTGAAGCTGCTCGCCCGGGCTCACCCGGGTTCCATGGGGTAGAGGTGTCAATCTGTAGTGAAAGTCGCTTGGAGGAAGACGAGGAAGGTGCCGAGTCGTCCGATTGCGTGCTGCCTAAGCGAGCGTTTCGCGTTCGCGGCGCATGCAAGGACCACGAGCTCAAGCTGGGAGGCGGAATGGCCCCTGAGGGGGCTGCTGCTGCAGGGTCCGCTTCTGTTGCAATGGAGCGTCGGACGGGGTTCACTTTGGCGGATGCGGTATTGGACCGTCGCATCTGACTGTGTCGCCGGCTCAGGGGAGGGGTCGGAGGCCGCTTGTGCTGCGACTGGCTCCGACGGAGAGTGTCGGCCGGCGGTGACTGTGCGGATTGACTCGTCTCCACGCCAGAAAAGTAGTCGGTCACTGGTTGTGCTGGCCGAGGTGAGTACGATGGCTCCGAGGGAGTACCATGGAAGGAGAATCGGTTGGAGGCTTGACGGGGAGTGGTTTGGGAATGAGAGGATGTCGCGCCCGAGCCGGCACTGATGAGCCGTCCGTGGTGATTCTTTGGCGGCGGAGGCGGCGGCATGCGGTCTCTATTCCCAGAACGGCTGGCAAGCGGCCGTGAACGAGAATCGACGGATGAGGGCGCCCCTAGCTCGAGACGTCCCGGTGACCGCAGGGAGGTCCGAGAGGCCTCGGCTGTACTGCCGTCGGGGAGATGCATACCTCCGTACGAGGCGAGTGACAGCGAAGAGCCCGTTGGTCTCCTCGATTGAACATTCTCCTGTGAGGATGCCACCGGCCGACGTAGCGTGCGATGGTCCTCGGTGTTGTTGGACCGTAGGACCGCAGCGGTTGACTGCACTGCCGGGGACTTTGCAGAGACGGAAGGGTATGAGTCTATCGAGTAGACGTTGGAACCATCGGTGTCATGATCTTCTTCAACATCATCATCATCATCACCTTCTTCCTGATCACTAGGAGAAGGACGTTGGTGGAATGGATCTGTGAAGGATGGATCATCGGAGGATGCGGAGTCGTCGAATTGGGGCGGGTGAGAGGAGCTGGGGAAGCTCGGGAAGCTCTTTGACCCTGGCGACGACGAGTCAGGCACAGTGAAGATCGTGTCTGGATTGTAGGAAATCGAGGTTGTCTTTGTTTGCGGGGAAAGGATAGTATCTGTGGCACCCGTCGGTCAGTATAAAACATCAATCTATGGTCAATGAATGGATGTGCCTCGCCCAGGCTGCGATGAATGAATGCATGAAAGCAATCCGGAAGCGTCGGAAGAGACTCACTCGCGGGCTGCCTAGGGCGGAAAGGATTGGATCCAGACATCGCGAAGGAGGAAGTGGAGAGAAGCACTGACCATGAGAGAGAGGGAGAAGGAAAAAGGAGAGGCAAAAGGAAAAGTAAGCGCATAGAAGTTGAAGAGAATTTGGTGGGAGGGAGGGTGGTAGTGGAAGAGGATGTGAGGGGAATGGATGGGGGTGGGATGGAAGAGGAAGAAGAAGAAGAGGATGAAGAAGGAGGAAGACCATTAATTCATTCATTCATTGATCCCGTACTCCCGCGCGACTTCTACAACACCATCCTGTATGTAACCTCCAGTAAACACGAGTCCTCGAGTTAAAAGTTCTATTGTTGGTACTACGAAATTCTGTTTGTTGCTTGGACTGGACTAGACTTATAGAAGAGGTATCCTTTCTCTGGTTATAGTGGATCCTGTGATGCTCATTCTACCCCTTCCCAAGGGCTCTTCCAAATTCCCCTCCCTACAAGAAGAAACCAACAAATGAAAAATAGAAAAAAAAATGAAAAAAGAAATAAAAAGAAAAAAAAAGAAAAAAAAACAAGAATGCCATGGTTATGAAAATGATCAATCCAAAGAGGTATATATGTTACAATGAAGAAAAAGAATAGAAAAGGCAAGGAAAGGTAAGGAAAAGGGAACAGAAACACAGCATGCAAGATCAACCACGAGATACAAGAAACCCCCAGCAAAAACCCCCCCTTCCTAATAAAACACCGTCGGTTGTACAGTACAGGTAGTAAGTAGGAATAAATGATCATCATCACAGTATTGACTTTCTCCAAGGTCAATGCCCGAGAAAGCAGGGTATCAACACGCCCGTGTATCGAGAAAGACAAGTAAAGAATAAAAGAGAAAAGGGTACTACTATCCAGCAGTGTGGCGGACTTGCTTCTTCCCCTCCCCCCCAGATGTCACGGCCGTTGTTCGATCGAGGAAGTTCATTGCTCGTCATACACGTGCCATTCATTGTTACCAAAGAAAGATTGCGCTAGACCTTTGCCACTCGCGGTCGGCTGGCTGAACGCAATCTGTTCCTTGGGAATCTCCATGCCGTAGATGAAGTTGCTCACCACACAATCCAACAAGTCCATAGCGATACCCTTGTGACGAGAAGCTTCTGAGGTCCAAATCCGAGAGATACCCACGATAGCTGGGTGACGTTCATCGCGAACTGTGATCGAGGAATCGGTGGTGCCTGGGGCGGGGGCAGATGATTTCTGTATCGGTCGGGATTCCCAGATGCGCTCGGTCAAGCAGGCCCCAACACAGCGACTGTCTTTCATGTGCAGAAACACCTTGTAGCGATCGATCTTCTCCGTCGTGCCGTTTGTGCGCAAATGTGTCGGGGGCTCAGTCTGGCTCCACAATATCTCGTCTTCGATGACGGGGGAGGAAAGCTCCTTGCAAATAACCTCGAGCACTTTCTTCGCCTGGTTCTTGGCCGTTGGAGATGCTTTGCGATCGACAATGACCACGTACCCTTCGTCGAAGCGGGTAGCTTCATACACCCACCGAGATGCGTTGGCGCGCATGAACGCCTTACCCAAATCCACCCCAGTCGAATTCATTTCATGGAATTTCTTGTGCGTAGCCGAGTCCTCCGCGTTCGAAGGCACATATTCCATGCCACAAGTCGCACAGGTCCGCCGCATCTCACAACCAACGTCGATCTGCATCTGCTTCAAGGCGCTCGGCTGTTGCGGCTGCGGTGTCGTTGTTGTTGTTGTTGTTGTCGCCACCGGCGACTTCTTCTTCGGAGGATCCATCGAGGCACGCACGCTATTGGAGTTGACCTCGGTTAAAGGCGTACTGTTACTGGCCGCATCTTTCGTGGCGGTGTGCTTGCGTTTGAGGAAAGCAAAAGTTGGTTTCCGCGTGTTGGCGGGTGGAGGGCTTAACCGGGGCGGGGGCGAGGATGGGGGCGTCGACAAATCATCATCCTGCGTGCCTTCGGAGAGTACGACTGAATTGCGACGTGACGGACTGGATAGCACAGCAGCGGAGGATTCTCGGATGGCATATTGAATACTGTTCTCCGCCTCGTCCGAATCATCGGACCCCGATAGCGCGACGCGTCTTTTTTTGGCGGCGGGTCCTTGGTCATCGTCATAGACGCGCCACAGTGGACGCCCGTAAGTTTTCATCATAAGACCTCTTTGAGGAGCGCGAGCGCGTCAGTCCGACAGACATTCTGATTCCGCGTGGAAGTAGGGGAGCTCACCGCTTGAATGAATTTGTCACAGTCCACGGCATCTCCCTGGATTAATGTCGAGCGACACACTCAAGCGAGGTAAATCATCTATGGCGTTTATCAAGGGGGGCAGAATCGCTTGATGATGCAGAAGGGATCAGAGCCAGAAATGGGAGAGGGAAGAGGGGGGGGGAAAGGATGCAAAGTTATAGGGAGGGGACGGGGGATTTGAGAAGATCTTTTGAGGCCAAAGGACAGGAACTAAAAGAATCGGATCTAGTTTTGAGGGGATGATAGTTATGGCGAGATGCAAGATATCAACCTTGAAGCTCAAGAGGAAGGAACAGAGGGTGATAGAGAAGGAGAAAAAGGGAGAATTCGAGGTAAGTCCAGGGAAAACAGAGAGAGAGAAAAGCACGAGAGATGGAGGAAGGCGGCGGCGGCGGCGGCGATGATGATGATGTTGGATGGAAATAATGAATGGGTAGTAATAATTATTCGGTGATCGACGGGAACGCGTGCAGTCACTAGTCCCGTTTCGGTCATATTACTTCTAGTACGGAGTACTTCTAGAAGAGAATAATAAATAACGCTTCATTCCATTGATGTTCAATTGACTACTAAGTTGTAGTACCTTAATTACCTACAGAGTACGGAGTAGTCAACTATCTCAACCATCTTTGGACTCTCCCTGACCAAGCTGATCGAGCATCACAAATTTGAAAAAAAAATAAATAAATAAATAAACAAAAATAAAAATAAAAATAAAAATCCCCAACTCATCGTATTATGTCGTATCTCATTCATTACTTATCATCCTCATTATTGTAACTAAAATCCATCGAGACAATACCATTGGCATTCCCCCGGTGGCGTTGCTCGGGATGCGTCAAAGGACGGCTTTTCCTCTCCTGATTCAACCCAATCAACGCTTCTCCTCGCCGGCAGAAGGTGTTACATGTGGAACAATACGCCCCCCTGGATCTGCTGCCTCTTGCTCGCCTTACAACGGGCTGGTGATTACGCTCTCTTCTGTTGCTGCTGCTCCTGCTGCTGCTGTATCATCATCACCACCACCACCATCATCATCATCATTATCATCATCATTGCCGCCCGTCACCTGTTTCCAGCTGTCCCAATGCTAGTCTATCGGCAACGAATCTCCTACTAAATTAAACACAGACCCCCCATCCCCTCTTCTCCCCCCCCCCCCTTTATTCAGATACACCTATGCAACTACATCCTAAATACCATTGATGACTCTCATAAATGGGTGTCACTCTGTAAATAGAGAAAGACTCAATCAGAGTCAACCATTCCCCCTGTAAAGTGTGACTCGTCCCAGCCAGGATCTTAGGGGATGACAACTCTTTCCCCTTCTCAGCTTCAGTTGAATGAGGGATTGTTTTTTTTTTTCGTGCCTCAGGAATTCAATGCGAGCCGGTGGGATGCTATTGCAAAAGGTTAAACTTCAGGAGGTTGAACAGCCTGTCCAGTGCATGCTTGACAGGCCATCCATTCTACCTCCCTCTCGCTTTTTCCCCAGCTTCGCCCTTGCTAGGCACCTCGTCTGGGGGGCTTGGAGAGCATGTACGCGTGCCACCACCTGCTCGCCTCTCACCGAGATAGCTAGCTATGTGAAAGATCACATTCTTTTGTTTGAAAGAACCTGCTTGGAAGGTAACCTCAGACCCCCTCGGATTCGGTTCACTTGATGCAGATGCGACACACCTGTACCGCCGCACATACGGACCTGCCTTGGAAGAGTGGCATTAACAGCTGCAATTCCAAACCCAGTCGGCAGCAGGAACGTTTCTCATTCAACCGCGCCTCCTCCCCAGCATTCCTCGCGGCTGTGGGATGGATTCTGGCTGCGGCTCAAGAAACTTTCCCCCATCTCGGTTGGCTTTGGCCTGCTGAAGAACGACCAGTTTGAACGCTACTCCACCTGATCGGCCTGGTGTCAAGCACAAGGATTGTGCTCAGTAACAGCATCTTACTCCGAGTCAGTAGCTGCGATGAACGGAAACAGATTGGAGAATGCGACCGGAGCAGCCGCGACCGGGAAGCCCACATGAGAGAGCACCAAGCAGCATCGAAAACCTCATCTATAGCCGGGGAGTTTGGTTACACCTCGAGTGGTGAATCGCGTTACGAGGTTGCTGCCGCTGCACAGGTATCACGATCGGAAGCCCAGAAGAAAACATATGGAGTAAGACTTTTCTCACATCAGATCCGATGGGCGAAAGAAGTCGAGGAGGAATTGCACAGTGTTTCAGCTGTCAAGGCTAGTACTACTCAGTGGTGATTACTAGGTACTTTAGTTAACACCAGCAGTCCCAGCACGGGCATTGCAGCATACCAAAGTGATCCAATTGAGGAGATTCCGGAGGGCCGGTCAATGTTGCTATCGATAACGGATCATGTACGGGGAGTATTCCGTATGTACTCCGTACTGTAGCACGCCATCCCGCCGGGTGGGGAGATGCGAAGTAAATAATAGTGTAGCTTAATAACAATCTGATGATCGTTAGATAGTAGCCTAAAAACTTCTCGGAGCAATCGGGATTTAAACAGAAGACCAAATCATTCCTTATCGACTGAAGTGCCAGTGAAAAATAATCCCCGAGAAAGAAGAAAGTCTTTGACTGTCAATTCGAGGGATGATGCGGGGGGGGGAGGAGAGTCTGGACCGGCGCGTCCTGATTGGGGCGGAAAGCCCAAACTCTGCCTGTCTTAGTGACTCTTTTTTTTTTCCCTTCGTTCTCTTTCTTTCATCGACTGCTGCTGCTACAATTGCAACAAACTGCAACAAACTGCATCTACTGCAACGTGTGAAGTTGCTATAGTATCTACCACTCATTCTTCTTCTTCTTCTTCTCTTTTCCCCTTTTTCTTCCCTCCAAATCCGAACCTGTCTCCCTCCTCAAGTTCCTCCGCCCATCTCTCCCTATATCCAATTGCTCGATCCTCTCCCTCCCGGGCACCTGTTCGACCGGCCATTTTTTCCAGCCTGCCTCGTGCACCTCTATCTCGAGGGAAACGGCTGCTGCATCAGAAACAGCGGTTCAGAAACAAGCTTCAAGCTCCCGTCGGCTCAACTGTGCTTTGGAAAATCCTACTCGGCGCTCGTGTCTGGAAAAACTCCGTCCACCTCGGGTTCTTTTCTTTTCTTTTCTCCAGTCGGATTATTTATACTTTTGGTCTTGCCCATCGACACACGGACGGTTTCGCTTCCTCAAGAACCCTTGTCAGCTGCCATCATGTCGGACGCCTCTCTTCAAAGCGCTGGTAAGAGAAAGCGCGCCAGTATGTATACCGATTTTCCTTTTTGAGGTTGAGATTATAGGTGGTGGAAAGAGTTCACACGCCCGCCGCCGCCTTGGCTCTTCTCTTCCTCTTCTCTCTCTCTCTCTCTCTCTCTCTCCCCCACCTCTTCTCTGTTTGCTTTTCTCCCCACGCCCCTCTTCCTCTCATTCCTTGCCCCGACCGTCATCAATTATTGCCCGCGCCGTCTTCATCAAGCATTGGTGATCATCTCATCGGGTTTGTCGGCATCCTACATGCTTGTCGCCCTTGATTTTGAAATCGTCATCGCTTTCCAAAGATCTTTTTCTCCATCTCAGATTTTGTCTTCGGTGCCTCTTTTTGGCTTCTGTGCCCTCTTAACTGTCATCGCTTCACCGCCCGGCATGGCCGCTAATCTGAATCATTCGTCAGGGACTCAGTCGTGTCCTCCGCCTGAATTGCCCCAGCTCGTCGCCGAGCAACATGTCCCGATTCCTGCTCATGATAAGGAGACCCAGCGTCTGATCGTCGTCCTCTCTCATGCCAGTCTGGAAACCTACCGCGCCTCTAGCGGCCGCAATGGTTCGAGTCGCGACGAAAAATACTCTCTGCTTAACAGCGATGAGCACATCGGTGTCATGCGCAAGATGAACCGCGATATAAGCGAGGCCCGTCCGGATATCACCCATCAGGTTGAACACCCCCTCCAATATTTCTCATTATCATCGGGAACACATCTAACTCATCTGCTCCATCAGTGTCTGCTTACCCTGCTCGATTCCCCTGTCAACAAGGCTGGCAAGCTTCAAATCTTCATCCACACTGCCAAAGGTGTTTTGATCGAAGTCAACCCCTCAGTCCGCATTCCCCGTACCTTTAAGCGCTTTGCTGGTTTGATGGTGCAACTTCTGCACCGTCTTTCTATCCGCTCCACCAACTCCCAGGAGAAGCTTCTCAAGGTCATCAAGAACCCCATCACCGACCACCTGCCGCCCAACTGCCGGAAAGTGACCTTGAGTTTTGAGGCTCCCGTGGTTCGGACTCGCGACTACATCGAATCTCTCGGCCCCAAGGAGAGTGTCTGTATCTTCGTGGGTGCCATGGCCAAGGGTCACGATGACTTTGCCGATTCCTTCAAGGACGACACGATCAGTATCAGCAACTACAGCCTGAGTGCCAGTGTGGCCTGTAGCAAGTTCTGTCATGCCGCCGAAGAGGTATGGGACATTGTCTGAGCCCAGCGCCTGGGATGCTCCCTTCCTCTGTCCGCGAAATGGCTCCAGATTGACGAGGTGACGAATTTCCTTGCGTGACTACGAGGGTTAGATGCGGGGGATTGAATTGCGAGCTGGGGGAGGGGGGCGCCGTTCGGGTACCACTTGGGGACGAAGACCTGTTGTTCCCTGCTGTGTCGCTCTCTCTTGACCTGTTAAGATTTTGCATCGCCTGCTGTCTCTTGCATGTCTTGGTGTTGTCTTTGTTCCGTGTGCTTTTTAGCTTCGCTGCCGCATCGGCTCCGCCGCCCGATGAGGTCGATGTGAAAGTCGAAGCCAACGCAATGATCCCTTGGACCTCTCTCGTAACGCTTTCCTTTCTTTGGCAGCTCCCTTGGTCGGAGGGCCGGCAACAGGATCCCTGCCGCGGACCATCGGCCACAATCACTCTGCGCATTTCGCTGCTGCGGGGATTCGCCGACTCGACTATCTCCTGCGAGACACTATCTATCTCTGTCCCTGTCTCTGTCTCTCTGTGTGTATGTCCCTTCCCTGTGAGTGTATGAGAGCAAGTTGAGGAAGACCCGGTGACTCTCTCGACTGTTCTGAGCTGGGGCCCAGTCCTGTACCCGTGGGGACATTATCGGCGGGTCGGCTATTCTGGATGCCGGATACTTATAGACAGACAGACATACATACATACATACATACATACATCCACACATGTGCCAATCACTAAAATGCAATGAGTAACTCTATCGTACACGGTACCCCTTCAGTTCTAATGAGGTGAGATCTGCGGTCCAAGTAGTGAAGCCATAGGATCACTTCTTGGAGGCGGAAAACCCTGCCATGTTCTTTCGAGGAACCATCATCACTGAGTAGCCTGTATCCTGTAGCCTGTAGCCTGTAGCCCGTAGCCCGTAGCCCGTAGCATCAGGGCAGACATGGAGGTGATGATGATAATGAACCCAGGTGAGGTCATTACACCCTGCATTTGGACCGGATGAAGGGGAAGAACGAGGAAGGATGGATCGAGACCACTGACTGCATGGTGACGGAAGGAGGATGAGGGAAAGAGAAGAGGAAGCATTGATTGACTGATTGATTGTTCTTCTATACGGCGTACGGAGTACGGAGTACTTTGGAATGCCTGAGGCTGACTGCGATTCTCTCCCCAGGCTTCACTCATTCATCTTCCTTCCCAAATAGGCAATGCAATACAACTTCAACTCAAAGAATCTTTCCCGTCTTTACTCTCTTTCTCTCTCTCTCTCTTTCTCATGTCTCAACTTGTTCACTCAAGAATTCTCAGGGGCTGTCAGTGGATCCTCCCCCCCCCCCTTTTCTTTTTCTCTTTCTTCCTTGTCTTTTCTCTTCCCGTAGTTGCCTCTCAATAATCATTGTCCATCACTTCTAATTGGTGCTGGTGGCTGGCGATGGAGTCCGCCTGTTCGACGTGGCATGCAGACATGGCAGCAGCAAGTGGATCGCCCGCCTTTCCTCGTCTGGCGCCTCCCCCCCCCCCCCCCCCCCCCCCCCCGCCATGCAAGACTCATCAGAATTCAGAACAAACGAGCATTGAACCAGCTCTGCGCCTATGGAAGGCAATGACATCCTGATGATCCTTGTTTCGCTTCCAGGGAACTTCCTTGTCGCCAGGTGCCGGATATCGACCAAACACCCCCATAGGAGAGGTTGCCGACCTTATGAGGTGTTCTTGATATGCACGTCAATGCTTTGACGATCATTCCTCCTCGCTTGCCTCGGAGTACTGCGAAGAGCTTGTTCTTATCATTGACTCAACCATAACACATGGACTAATTACGGAGTACAATGAAACTGGCTCTGGCCGCTTGCATGGAGTCCGAGAGGCGGAAAATTGCATCTTTGCCTCCTGTCCCTTAGTCTGGACCCCCAATCTCTGACACTTTGTTGCATGATTCGCCATGCATCGGGCTCCTGGGCCGCAGAAATTCCGAATCACGGGAAATTCGATAAAGAGGGGCACTTTCTGGCGGTCAGATCACACCGTCCATTGAACTAACTAACAGCAGCAGACGTGCCCGAAGCAGGAACCAACAAGACAAACCATCGATCCAGCAGGCTGCCCCTCAGTGGCTCCCAAGACCGCCCGTTTGCTGACATGCCTGATCATCATTCGTTGCTGGCTCGTTCTGAGTGACCCCCGGGGTTGATTGCAAAATCAGGAGGCCCAATGCCAGGCCCGCGCTCAGAAAAGAAACCCTCTCTGCACTGCTGCAGTGCTGCACTGTCTGCAGCGGCCATGTTCGGATGCTGTTGGCTCGCCCTGCATGCGACACGCTTCGTCGCGGTTTCAGCATCTCTCCCTATTAGGACATGGCCATGCTCCACCCCTGCCAATATCCATTGTCCACTTCGTTCAAGACCCTCTCGCCTCACTCAACTTTCTTTTTCCGACATGATACCGTTGTTTGCACCTGGCTCCGGCGCTTTCCCCACCGTTTCCTGATAGGCGCCCCGTCCGCCATGGGCAGGGCCACCTACCGCACCGTCCGCCGGCCTCCCCCACGGTGACCTGGCGGTCCTCCCGAGCAACTTCCCCTCGTCGCTCGCTTCGATCTAGCTTCACCGAAAGAGCAAGACCATTTGCCTCTGGCGAGGGGCGAGAACCGAACGATAGGAGTCAGCGCTGCCCGGACGGGGACTTGGTGCCTCGTGGATACACTGGGCATTCATGGTCCGGACGCCGTGCGAATGGATGCAGGCCTACCTGCGATAGTCGGCCTGATTCCCCGTAGTTGGAACAACTGGCTTTATTTGCATGATAATTTTATCTTGGTCTCGCAGTGTCTTCTGACCGCTCGTGATTGGATCACAGTTGGGCATTCTGGGTGATTCCTTCCTGAACCCCAAAGGAGGACCGCCATTCTGCCTTGAAATAGTTCTGCTTCTGGCCTGGTCTCCTTTTCTGCTTGCCCCTCATGATCTCATCCTTCCTGATTCTGTCTCGGCAGCTTATATATAATTCTGCTTCACGTCGCTTGACTCACGTCGACGTGTAAGCACTTCAGCGGGAATCTGTCTTGCTGCGGCATCGGCAGTCCATCATTGTATATACTCGTGTCTCAACCCCCCTTACGTCCGCGGCTCTGTTGATACTTACCAGTCCCAATACTTGTGCCCTCTGAGACTCGCGGAGAATTGTCTCCAGTGAGCCAATCATCGCCATAATGCCTCTTTCACATCTTACCTTGACCGTTTCCCACCTCCCGACCTCCACATCATTCTTTCTCTCCTGCCTACAACCGCTCGGCTATCAATTCATTGGCCGCCATGACGACTATATTGGCTTTGGCCAAAAGCAGGGCGAGCCGGCCGATTTTTGGATCACTGAACAGAAGCCGGGGTAGGTCATCCGACAATGCAACCATGCGATGGAAGTGATGGCAAGATCTAACCCAGCCCTACAGAGTTCCTGCCGGTGCAGCACATGTTGCCTTTCCAGCAACCTCCAAGGATGCAGTTGGCGACTTCTTCATCAGTGCGCTCAAGGCCGGTGGGAAGATCCATGGAGAGCCCAAGATGCGCGATTCAGAGTCCGGCTACTACAGCGCCGCTGTGATCGATTTCGATGGCAATAGTATCGAGGCGGTCTATCGACCAAGCAGTTCCTCGGCCAGGTCCGAGGTCAAGTCCGTTGTCAAGTCCGTTGCCAAGTCAGAGATCAGTCGGCCAGCTTTAGCTCTATTGGAGAACGGATCTGTCGTCTCAAAGGCGAGCAGCAGAGCCAGCTCGGTCAAAACTGAGAGCATCGCGCCGCCTCGATCGGAGGCTCGGTCAGAAGCGCGATCGTACATCTCAAAAACAAATACTACGATCGAGAGAGCGGCGCCCGCTTTTGAACGAGGTGCCCCGTCAATGGTGAGCCGGGATCCTTATCAGGCGCCGCGCAATATCCAACCGGCTCCGTCGCCCACCTACATTGTCCACCACACGACACATACGACCCAAAAGACAGACAATGACAAGACCGCGAAGACAATTGTGGGCACTCTCATCGGAGCCGCAGCGGGCGCCGCACTGGCTTATGCTATCGCCAAAGGAGACTCAACCGAGGCCACTGAATCCTCCAACTCTGCGCCCCCTCAATTTTCTCCTCGGGATCTCGCCCAGCTCATTTCCCCTTCTCAGGCCTCTTCTCCGACACAAGAGTATCCTGGCTTCAAAGCCATTGAGGCAGGCCCTGCCCGGAGCACCTACACCGCTCGTTCTGATGGTCGGCCGATGCTCACTCGCAGCGTAACGTCGAAGAACCCCCGTGCAAGTACGATCTATGAAGGCACGGAGTTTGTGCCCCGTGGTAACGGCGGCAGTGTGTATATGGATGAGAACGGCCGCCGGGCCTCTGAAGGCAGCGTCTACAGTACCCGGGAACTCCCTCTTCGGGCAATCGAGTACGGGCAGCCAGACTCACAGTCGCGAGGCTATGAAAGCACTCTGATCAGCAGTTTTCCCGATAAGTCGCGGGCGATGGATCGGGAAAGCGTCTACTCGGCCTCGACCATCAAGCCTTCCAAGGGCAACTACCAAGAATCCCACCATGGCTCTCACCGGTCATCACACTCCCACCAGTCAACGCCCCGCACACTCCCACCAGGGAGCACAGCCCCGTCCACTCGCTCGGTCCGCCAAGTTCCTATCCCTGAGGGTTCCGCCATCGGGTCTCTTGCGTCCTATCGCAGCGGGGTCAAATCAGGTGTCTCAGCCCGTGAAGTGCCCCTGCCAGAGAGTGTTATCGACCTCGACGTTCGGAGCAACGTTACCCCGGACGATTCGATCAGTCAGGTTGATGATTCCCGCCGCTCATCCTACTCGCACCGGTCCCATGCCTCGAAGGCTGCCGGGTCTCGAGTTTCGAAACACTCTAGCAAGTTCGACGAGCCTGTCAAGCCCAGTGACAGTGTCAGCCAAGTCTCTAGCAATGTCTCCCAGCGGACCATGAAGGCCGGAGGGGGTGGTGGAAGCATTGCCCCGTCCAAAGCAGCTTCCAAAATCAGCAGTCGTCGGGGCAGTAGCCAGGTCGCATAGAAGCGTCCATCCATCGGACACTCCATTCTATACCTGTTTCATTTCCTTCCTCTACACGATAATCTCTTGGTCCTTCTCACCGCGCGTGGTCTGATCCATTACAACACAAGTCGACAGTGGTTGTTCTACCTGCATTCTTACAGACATGTACCCTAGCAAAGTGAGGCTCTATTCTATTTGGCTTGCTACATACATGGGAACATATATACATATGCATCAATGCGCATCATCTGGGGGCGTTATGATCTTTTCTGGTTGCAGTCCTTCTGCGGGCATATGGCGATTTTGGGGGTACTATTTTCCGCTTCGCTTTGTAACTGCCTTCTCCATGTGATTTGATAAGTCAGAGCAGTCACACCAAATGCAACTCTAGCTTAGTTGTCTCCCTGCCCCCTTCTCTCTGCATCGCAATAGCTGTAAAGAGCACGTCTCCCCGCTACGCCCTTGGAAATAAGCTTGGCGGACGACACTACGAACAAGAAGCGTTTTACAAGGAACAGAGCCTCGAGTCACCGGTTTTGAGCTGGTTTGACGCCTGAATGCACTATGTGATACAAGCCAAATGCACGACTGGCTGCCTCGTGTCATCCACATAGCCACCAAAGCTTTGACCGTCACGACCACCACCCCCGAAACATCCTCCCCACGTCCACCCACACCCCACAACCCGAGGAAAATAGCCTGGGTTTTTTATGTTTAACATGTATCATGGGATCCGACTCCGTCGAGAGAAAATAAAAAAATGCCATGAATGCATAATGAGAATTGGTCATAATGATCGTTGAATATGACATTTCCCGCCAAGAGGAGAAAGTGAAATCAGGGGTTTGGGGCAAAGGGGAATCAGACGCGCAAACTGAAGACAGAGAAAGGATCTACGATCACGGTACGCCAGGCTTCGGATCTGATCTAACGGATTGGAAAGAAGACGCAGAAGCGATTTGAGAAGACCAAGGTGGCCGTGGAAACTTGAATTGCGAAGATCAGATAGCGTATTTGCGGGTCCATTCACGCGCAGTCGCCTCGTACCGAGGGCGGTCGGTCTTGTACACGTGAGCGATCTCGGGCACCAACGGGTCGTCGGGGTTGGGGTCGGTCAGCATGGAGCAGATCGAGAGCAGCACTGCCGGAAGGATTAGTGGCTGTGTGGGTGGCTAAGGGGTGAAGGAAGCAAGTGACGCACCCTTGGAGATCGTAAGAGCAGGACTCCATTGGTCTCTGAGAATATCCAGGCAGATGCTGCCATTCGAGTTGATGTTGGGGTGGTAGATGCGAGTTGTGAAGTTGACCTTTGGGGGCTTGAATGGGTAGTCGGTGGGGAAGTGAATGTTTAGGAAGAAAACGCCACCCGAGTACGGAGAGTCACCCTGGCACAGATTGCATTAGTGGCATGTCAAACAGCGAGAAATGCGTCTCGAGACCAGGCCAAGTCATCTATCTCTCTATTCCACAAGAGGGACGAGGGCAGACCCGACCGTCGCCAGGGCACATGCTGGGGAGGATTCAAAAACTCACAGGACCCATGATAGTTGCTTGCCAGTGGAACTAAACACAGAAGGAGGGCTTAGGTCAGTTTGAATGTCCGTGGAAAGACTGTGTACGAAGGAGCAGGGACAGGCTGCGCTGTCGAGCAGCCCCGCTGCGGTCGGCATGAGGGGCGAAGCGACCGTCCTTGGACAAGAGGCACGAGGAGGGGAAGAAGAGCATACCAAGTCATCTCCGGTAGGGCCAGCAGAGCAGGAAGAGGGCGGGTCACTGTAAATAAAAAAACACTACGTTAGCATATGCTGCGGAGTGATATTATAACGCAGGCTGGCAAGATCGATGAGCGAATTCGGGAGTGGTGGTGGTCGTCGTCGTAAGGCGGGTGACAGGAGGACGCCCCGCGGCTGTAGTGGGGGGCGAGGGGAGGGAGAGGCCCGAAGCCATCATATAGCCAGGATAGACAAAAAGACAGAGGAAGAGAGAGCGCTTACCGGCCGAGATCAGTGAGTTCCTTGTTAATGCGCTTGAGGGCCATGGTGTGAATCTAGAAAGAGTGGAGTGAAACCCCTGAAGTGATGGAGAATGAAAGAGGGGGAAGAGAGAGAGAGAGAGTAGGCGGGTATCGAATTTGAGGGTGGGAAAACTGCCACAAGCACCAACGAACGGTTAGTCAGTAAGCGTCGAGAAGCAGAAGAAGAAGAGAAGGTATTTAAATATCTTGATGATAAACCAAAAAAAAAGGTGGAACAAGATGGTGGGAAGGGGAAGTATTGAAGGGTGATTTGAAATTTGAAGAGGGAGGGAAGGAGGGGAAAAGACTCACTCACAGCCGCAAAGTTGGGATGATTGATTACGTCGGGAAGAGAAAGGAAGGAAAGAGAGAGAGAGAGAGAGAGAAGAAGAGGAAAAGAGAGAGACGGAGGGAGGGAGAAAGAAAGAGGAAGAACAGGCGGGTATGGCCCACTTCCTGTTTTTCCCGTGTAAATCCCTGTAACCACCTGTATGGTGTATGGTATTTCCCCGCCACATCCGCTTCTCTCCTCAAATGCGCTTCCGCCTCGTCTCGCTCTCCGTCATCGAGTTGCCGCAAACGATGGTAGAGTCAGCCCGTTCCATCGGGACAATTACCGGTAATTGTCTTACATGAAACCAATTGTTACCCCCCTCCCCCAAGTGGCGCAGTATATGTCACGTGATTGAAAAGAGAGGGTTCTCGCAGGGCTGATTACTATATCACTGGACTACATTCGTAATTGTAGGAGGATTGTAGTTATGTACAGGATGTGGTATGATGTGGTCATGGGTGGCCTTAGATGGGCTGACCTAGTAGTACTTTCTACTCATCATCTGACCAGGGGATGATTTGTGTTCAGGAGTTGCGGCGGTGCACTCAGCATCAAACAAAGGCCTGGACTCCGGTAATGGCTCTTCCGAGTATCAATGCTTGAATGATTGTTAGTAAGATGAAAGAACCAGAAAGGGTAGGGTTGCCCCCTTGGATCAGACGTACTATGGATATCACTTTGTCCTTCATAAGTTTGCACCACGAACAGGTTGGCCACATGGCGAGCAATATGGTATTCGTCGCTAGTCGCATTGCCGCCGAAAATCTCCTGAAGTCTGCAAAATGGGAGAGTCAGTCTCTCGCAATGGAAGTGTAGAACACGATGGGATGCATACATCCGTGCATTGGCCAAGGCACGATCACAGTTCTGCCGCTTGATCATCGAGATCATCTCAGGGGTGCATTTGCCAGCATCCTTCAAACGCGCTACCTGCGTCGCAGCCAGGGTGCCGTAAGCCGCGTCGGTCGCCGCATCCGCCAGCTTCTTCTGGATCAATTGGTACTTCGCCAGCGGATTACCTTTGAACTGCTTTCGCTCCAGGGCATAGGTGCGAGCCCGGTCCAAGCAGTCCTCCAGGGCGCCCATCGTGCCGAAGGCGATGCCCAACCGAGCGCTGTTGAGGCACGTGAAAGGACCCACGAGGCCCTCCACGTCGGGGAACATGTTCTCCGCCGGCACAGGACAGTCGTCCATCTGGATCATGCCCGTGATTGAGGCGCGCAAAGCGGTCTTGTTCTTGATGGCAGGAGTCTCCAGCGTACCAGGCGGGCATTTGCTGCGCTCGACGACAAAGCCACGGATCTTGCCCGTCGTTTGGAGCTTGGCCCAGACGACCATGATGTCTGAGATGGGAGAGTTGGTGATCCACGTCTTGGTGCCGGAGAGTAAGTAGTAGCCCTTCTTGGTAGGATGTTCCCTAGCCACCGTCTCCATGGAGCCAGGATCGGAGCCGTGGTTGGGCTCGGTGAGGCCAAAACAGCCCGCGAGCTTGCCCTTGGCCAGCTCGGGAAGGAGACGGTCCTTGAGCTCCTGTGTGCCGAAATCGTGAATGGCCGTCATTGCCAAAGAGCTCTGCACCGACATTCCTGACCGGTATCCCGAGTCCACGCGTTCAACTTCCTTGGTAATCAAGCCAGAGGCCACGGTGCTCGCTCCTGCGCACCCGTATCCCTCAATGTTGGCGCCGAGCAGGCCGAGCTCGCCCATTTCTTGGAGAATCTTGCGGTCATAGTCTTCGTTTCGATAGGCATCTGATCGAACCACAAATCAGTCACCAGCGTACTCAATATGTTTAATCGCCGGCTCTGGGAGTCCTACCGAGAACACGGGGTAGCAACCGTTCCTGGCAGTACTGCCGCGCGGTATCCTGGATGGCCAATTCCTCCTCACTATACAGTTCGGATGCGACCAGGGGATCCTCCCAATTGAACGTTGCATAGTTGCGCCTAGAGCTGGCGAGTGAGGCGACGGATGATTTGCATAGGCGATTGGCCGCCTGGAGGTGGCGCGAGGCCGTGCGCAGGATGGATGGGTTCATTTTCGGGGGGGGAGACAGGTCCAATCAATGTGGTATCATACGGGAAGGGAAAATCTTTAAATATGCTTGATCACCATAGGAGTCAATTAGTCCAAGGAAGTCCCAAGTGTACAACGTGAGCACAGGGTGAAGGGATGAGATCTCTCTTACCGGGAGGGTTTGAGTGAGTTGTTGCGGGGAGATCCAGAATGGCAGCCTCGGCTAATCTATGAGTGAGGGAGTGTTTCGTATACTTGGGAAAATCGGAATGTCCACCCTGGGAGCAACTTGTTGAAGGAAGCACGATGATCCACCCAAAGGGAGTGAGAGAGTAAGATTTGGGCCAGATCCCTCCTTACAACATAGTATCTCGTCGTCTTTTGTGTTTTGCGAATGGAGAAGGTCGAACCTCGAACCGATTGAGCCGCGGAGAGTCGAACTGCGAGGATCGGAGACTTCGGCTGGCTTTCCGTCCCCGTCGGCCCTTTCGCCCAATCGATAACTAAGCATCTCGATAGGCAAGACTTCCAACTTGGAAGTTGCCTACCAACTCAGCTTATCCAGTTTGGTAGGTAAGGTAGGTATGTATACTACTAAGTACATCCAAATTATCTTCGTATACTTGCATGCGTCCTGCGCGTTGGTCTTCTGTCGTTATCATGATGCTCTAACAAGATTATCTATTATCTTCCCTCAAGCGGGCATCTGAGATTGAAGGAAATCGAAGACCCCGGTCGGAAAATACTCCTCATCGAACCCCCATAAATCGGCCATCATCGGATCGACCGAGCCCTCCCAGAGACCAGCCTCTTGCTTCTCATTCCCAGAACTGGAGTTCGAGTTATTCCCTCTCTCTGCCGATAGAGGCGCTACTCCAACCAAGGGCGGCGGCTGGTTGAGGAGGGTGTCCCGTCCACCTAAAGGTTGCGACCCTGGGATGTGGACGGGTTTAGACAAAGGGGCGTTGTCCTGCGGATTGTGTCCGGAAGACTGCGAATTCCCACTGCTTCTCTTCTCCCACTCCTCCAAACCTGTAAGCATCTTCTTCAGTCCACGCGCGATGTGATGACTAAGATGATGCTCGCTGGCGCGTTTGCTGCACGAGACCATCATGTCAACGATCCGGCCAACCAGCGCCCGGACGTAGCCAACCTCAATAAGCAGGCCGGCGGATGCGATGGAATTCTGCGGGCCAGCAGCCCCGACTGCAGTACTTGAGCAGCCTTTCGCGGCAATCTTCAACAGAAATACAGCAGCAAAAGTAATCATACTGTGAAGATAAAGCGGAACCCCCACCAAGGGTCGTTCGATATCAGGCTCATCGAGGACGACCCGAAGCGTGTCGATTGCAGATCGTATCGCGATGCTTGCTCGCTGCTTCCGCTCGTTGGACATGGGTCGCGTAGAGCTGGACGAATGATACGTTCGTAACGCCACCGAATTAAGTTGCAGGCGAGAGAAGTGGTAGTGCAGGTAGACCGCTTTGTACGGATATTTCCCCACATACCGACTCCCCACTGGATTGTGTTAGTTTAGTGGGTATGGGGAGAAGCGCAAGAGCGACCTGCCTAAACGAGGAATCCAAGACGACTGCCAGTCCGCAAGAGCAGCGTCAAATTTATCCATCAGCGAAAAGTCGCTATCAGGAACCTCTAGGTCCACATCGGGGCCGAAGGCATGGTAGATGCGAGTCAGGATGATGAACAGATCAACCTGGCTATGCAGGCGCAAATCCCCCTGTTGCACGTTCGGAGCTTGTATAAATGTACTGTGGTTCTTTATGCTCAAGTCTTCGTGGATGATAGGAGGCCGCCCATAGGCAATGGAAAAATGGTGTTCTAAGGTCTAGGGGTGTCAGCACTTCGTTCCAAGTCACCGCCAGCGATGGGCAGGACGCAGTTCAACACATACATAAAGGAGGTACCACAACCGTGCTTGCTCTATATGTTCCGGAGAGCCTTGCGTGGCTTTTCTATATGATTGGTGAAGGTTATGCTCCGTTGCGATGCGAACAGCATATCCGGATAACTTCCAGCTCACGTCCGCAAGCCAAAATGCCCCTATGCATAGGGCGCGTAGATCATCCAAGGTATGATGCCTGTCCAACATAGACTCCGATGCTAGTTTAGCAAATTCGGTGTAGCAGATTTCATACACGCGCTCCTTGCTCGGCATATGGAGGGCTGTCACAGCAAGGATCACGGCCGAGAGCATTGAGGAAGAGTTGCGCACTGATGTTAGATCCTTGTGGTTCAGCAGTATGCCATCCCATAAGTAGCGGCTAAGTAATTGATCAAAGTGGGCGAATAGCTCCTCTGCTTCTTGCTTGTCCACCACTCCCCGTGATATGAAGTCTGTGACAAGAGCCCGATCCGATGCATGGTGTCTTCCAGGAGATGTGGTTTGAATGTCGCTCAGTTGAGTAACCTCGTATAAGCTCCCCATGGGAGCCGTGACGAGTGATGATGTTCCGTTTTCTTCTTTGTCGAGGGAAAACTGCGGCTGCCCATCAACAATGGTATTGGGTGCGCTCAAGTCACTCGTTGCCTCATGCGTGGGTCCGGCGGATTTCGTTCCTGCGCTGTGATCACTGGTCGGAAAAAGCGCATCTTCTATTGAGGCCATAGAATTGTTGCGATCCCTTGTCTTCGGAGGTGCTTCAGTTGACTTGCTGATCGCTTGATAGTAGGATAATTCGGGGAGTCGAGCTTTGCGAAGCAAGTCTGCCATTGCGAGTTCCATCGCTGCCTTCCATCTTCGAATGATACACGACAAGACTGATTAGCGACTCATTATGTTCCAAGGATAACCCAACCAAGTTCGAGGAAGGGGGCATTCACTCTGTCTCATCATCCAGCAATGTCTGCAAACTTTTGTTGACGACACATTCCAATCCCATCCGGCGGCATCGGTGACATCCCGTCTCCCCCTCATTCATGTCGCATCGAACTTTGTGCCGCTTGCATTCAGTGCAGGCGCGTATTCGGCGCGAGATCTTAGGAACATGTTTTGGGCTCTGGCGTGCATCGAGTTCGGGGGTGCGGTGGGACGACACATCGGGAGGAGAGACGACTGACGGACCATCACCATTGGCCTCGAAAATACGACGATTTCGCTTCATGGCGGCAACGACAGAATCATCGTCTTTGGAATTGCATCCGAGTGAGCATATGGCTGGTTGGGATGCGAAGGAACTACAGCCACGCCCTGCGATAAGAATTAAAGCGGAGAAGGGAAGAGGGGCTCGCTGCTTGGCATGACAGCTCTTAGTCAAGTTTAGTATCACTGCTAGTCCTCCCAGGGGAAGATCCCAAGTCAGGCAACGTATGTACCTGCAGGAGCCGCACGATGGCAGCGATGAGTTAAGAGGAGAGTGTGGATGACTCTCAGATGGATCAACTGAAGTGGGAAGGGCAGCTGTCTTGTCATCAATCAACCTTTCCCCTCTTGAGATTGCATTCCGAAGCGGAGTCAAGTCTAGGCCGTGGAGCCCGGCTTATGTAATGGGACTCTGGGGAACTGCCCGATCTCGGAGAACTTGCACTAGCCCTAATTGGGTTTAATTATGACGCACCGTTGGCGCGTTCAATCGCGTTTTTCTGTCGCGGCCCGCAAGCTGTGGGAGCTGCAACTCCTTCTGCTCGTCCCCGTTTTCCCGCCACACACACACAACCAAGCTCTTAAACCAGTCGCATCTACCCAGCTGAGCTGTATCCCGCTCTGGATCCTTGTGGCGAGACGGTCACAGATCATTCAACATGGGTATTAAGAGTGAGTAGAGCTTTTTCTCACCTTAGCCGTGCTGAATCCATGAACGCCCATGGTCCAGGAGCTAAGCAGTGCTAACTTTCACCATCATCAGACCTCTTCTCAGTGATCTCGGAAGAAGCCCCTGATGCTGTCAAGACGGGAGAAATTAAAAACCACTTCGGCCGCAAGGTCGCTATCGTATGTACATTCCCAATGGGGCCCCTGCCCCGGAAGACCGACTGTTTCTGTCCTTATGGAAACGACTAACCGTGCTCTGAGTTGCAGGATGCGTATGCTGTTCCTAGACCTGACTCGGTGCTCAATGCTTCTAATCACTAAATGCATTATAGGTCCATGAGTATCTACAGCTTCCTTATCGCTGTTCGCTCCGATGGACAGCAGCTCATGAATGAGACCGGAGAAACCACATCGCACTTGATGGGAATGTTTTATCGCACGCTCAGAATGGTCGACAATGGAATCAAACCTCTGTACGTCTTTGATGGAGCTCCGCCAAAGCTCAAATCCGGGGAGTTGGCCAAACGTTTTGCGCGGAGGGGTGAGGCGACCGAGGCGCATGAGGAGGCCAAGGAAACTGGAACTGCAGAGGATGTGGAGAAGTTCTCTCGCCGCACAGTACGAGTCACCAGGGAACACAATGCAGATTGCAAGAAGCTGCTGAAGCTGATGGGCATCCCATACATTGACGCCCCGACCGAGGCCGAGGCACAATGCGCGGTACTTGCCCGTGCTGGGAAGGTCTATGCTGCTGCTTCGGAGGACATGGACACTTTGTGCTTTGAAACCCCCATTCTTCTGCGCCACTTGACATTCAGCGAGCAGAGAAAGGAGCCCATCCAGGAAATCCATCTCAGCCGTGCGCTGGAGGGATTGGGCATGGATCGCAAACAGGTAATTATTCTACACCATGCTCGATGGTCGGGTGAATGCGCTTACGATCGAATAGTTCATCGATCTTTGTATCCTACTGGGTTGCGACTACCTAGAACCGATTCCCAAGGTCGGTCCGAATACGGCACTCAAGCTAATTCGGGAGCATGGGACTCTTGAGAAGGTGGTTGAGTTCATCCAGAACGACCCCAAGAAGAAATATGTCATTCCCGATGACTGGCCATATCAGGATGCCAGAGAGCTGTTCTTGAACCCCGATGTTCGGGACTCCGATCATCCCGACTGCGACTTCAAGTGGGAAGCGCCCAACGTAGAGGGCCTGGTGGAATACTTGGTTACAGACAAGGGATTCAATGAAGACCGGGTTCGCAGTGGTGCTGCCCGCCTGCAGAAGCATCTGAAGACCGCCCAGCAATCTCGCCTAGAGGGATTCTTCAAGCCAGTAGCCCGAACGGACGCGGAGAAGGCGAGCTTGAAGCGTAAGCACGACGAGAAAATTCAAGAACAGAAGAAGCGCAAGAAGGATGAGGCCAAAGCTAAGAAGGAGGCCAAGGCGAGACCTCGTGGCGCTGGCTGAACAGTGACCTGCCGCAAAGTATCGATTTCCCACGGAGTTGAGTCCGAGGGCCCGGAAATGTGGTAGACATATGATCGACACCAGCTGGAAAACCTGCTCTGTCGTGTCTTTTGAGTGCCTTGGTTTGATCCTTGGCGGCGTTCTAGGCTTTGGTTATTGTAAACATGGCAAGGCGTTTTGATCGGCGGGAATGCGCCAGCATAGCTTACTACTGATGTTGAACATAGTTGTTTTGAGTGGTCCTACTTGATAGATGAACACCGCGTTGACTGAACCGGGGTTCAACCCTGCGTAGACCAGGGGCAATAGCTACCTTACTGCATACAAGGGAAACTGTCATTTCAACAAAATATTTATTACTGTGTTACTTGGTGGGGGGGGGGACTGGCTCCGGGGGGTACTCGTGGGTCAAAAACCCTCAAGCCATACTTAAGTTATTGCTTTGTTCTTCGGGATGTGCAGGTGATGTGGTGGTGACTGACAATCCCGCCGACAGTGGCGGGGTCACGCGATCCCTGATTGATTCCGTAGGTACTCAAACGTGCAACAAGCGAGACTGCTGGTGCTTGTAGAGTTATAGTCTAGGGACAAGTATTCTTCATGGTCATAGTTCCTTGGTGCAAATTTTCGGTTGAAGCTTGTTTCTGGTGAGCTTACCATGATGCTTGTCTTGCCGGCTACATTTAAAATGTATGACGGTACTAATAATATACATCCATTTGGATACGGTCATGAGCACATGCTTCACTACATTCATATTATGCAACTCAAGAAAGGACAAGAAAGAGAACAATCGCGAAAGAGACTCCCATGGACCATACTACTACAATATTTAGTAACAGGGTATGCAACATGTGGCGAAAGGATCGATATTGCTCCACTGTTTGAGCTTCATCCAGTCCGCACCACAGTCTAAATTGGGGCGATGACCTCGGAGCAGACCTACCTTTATTTCTACTGAAAGATGTCAGGTAAGAGAAGAATATCATGCACATATCATAGAGTATATAGAGGGAAGGGGAGCATCGCTCCTCTTGCTACTCGCGATGTGAGGAGATCCCACGTCGCGCCCACTATTCGAACTCGCTTGAGCCACAACAAACAGCGCGTTTGCGCCTATAGTCTTCATTGTCCAACCACCAGAACTCTAGAGAGACCAGCTTCCAACAGCGGAAAAGAGCTGAATGAGCCCCTCCCACCAACAGCTCATCATCCAGCGCCAGCGCCTAACCACCAAGTGACGGGATGAGGAACCACGGAATCAAGACGATCGCACGCCGGATCCCAAAGACAAGGCTCTGCACCGATAGGTCGGCTTCATCAGCTAGACTATGACCTATCCTTTTTTTCTTAAAATCCCTTTAAACAATTGAGCAAGAGTCGGTTAGGAGGAGAAAGACGGAGGAAATGGAGGGGGAGGGGGAGGGGGAGAGGAAAGAAGGTCGGGAGTCCATAACATCATCTCCTTCCCTCGTGACCTCCACGAGGAAGAGGCCGGGTGAAACAAACCCCTACCACCACCCACCTTTTCTCTTGCCCCCTCTTCCTCTACGTGCTCTCTATGCTTCGTTTCAAAAGCCACCAGATCCAGCTCAATGGATACGAAAGATGCAAGGGACCGACCAGTAGGTGCTGCCCACCCGACTGTGAGCATCACAGCTGCCATCCGGCTCCATGAGCTTGATTGAACTGCAGAGGGAAAGTCGGGGTGACCTCGATGGGCATCATTGGGGTTCGCAGCGCGATCGCCCACTCGTGAATTCCCCACCCACGATGGTACTATTTAAATTTTGGTTTTTGGGGGAAGTTGATGAATTAGAGATTCTAGCTGAAACTGAAAGTTGTACTTTTTTTTATCAGGAATATGAATGGTAGGTCGGAAAGCGACAAGATCATGGAAATCAGGTTGCGGAGTCGAAGGTGGGAAAAGCAACACAAAGGTTGCGGCGGACTGCGATCAAGAGATTCGCGGATCAAAGCACGCGAATCCCCTCGGGGAGAATTAAAAAGCATATCAAGCGATAGCAGAGCCATCGGGAATGCGTAACAACTCCTTTTTGAGTAACAAAAGCTTAAGTGAAGAGGGAACATGGAGGGGGGAAGTGAACGCGTCAGGTCGACAGCAGTCGGATCATGCGCGTGAAGAGTAGAGAGAAATCGCAGGTTAAGGGAATGCTGGCTGGTCCAACCCTAGAAAGACAGCTCTCGATCCTGGTGGCTGATAAACTACAACGGAGCTTTCCACAGGTTATACTGATAGAAATCCCTCAATTGAAAAAAGAAAGGAGAAAGAAAAGGAACTCTAGATGAAAAGATCAGAAGAGAAAAAAAAGAGAAAAAAAAATCAAAGTAGTAAAAAGAGGAGAAATACTTTTTGACGTGTTGTGCTCGTCTCGTCTCGTTTCTCAAGTAGTCGTCGTAGTAGTAGAAAAGACAGACAGACACAAGAAAGAGAGAGAGAGAGAGGGTGATCCTGTGTCAACACCCGCTGCCCTATAAAGCGCGGATGCCCCGCGGCCCTTCCACCCCTTCCCTCGTCGATTGCTTTTCTTCTCTTCTGCCACCTCGATTTCCTCAACCCCCTGCTTAAATCTGACGTTCATCGAACATCTTCAGTGTTTAGTCACATCTTCCTCAATTTATCTAGTTTTTCTTTCACCAACTTCTCTCTACCCCTTTAAACAAGATGCCTCCCAAGAAAGCTACCTCCACCGGCGCGACCAAGAAGTCCGGCTCGAGTCACGCCTCTTACCGTGGTATGTTTTGACTGATCTTTCCCCACCACCACCTCGCGCCATCTTCATTCTAGCTGTATTTTGGTCGCGAATGAATGCTGATTCGATTAATATAGATATGATCAAGGATGCTATCCTGAATGTGAGTTGATCACGTTATTCCCGGCACGCGGTGGGATGGCGGGCGCTGGGGTGCCGACCGTGACACGTCGACACGGTGCTTAATTTGTTCCCAACGCCCCTCATCAGGCATTGTCTTCTTCCATCGAGCTCGATCGCTAATCTACCTTCCTTCCAACAGCTCAAAGAGCGCAATGGTAGCAGGTAAGTTATTCGTGTTTCCTTCCACCACCGCCAGACGCAGGGTCCCGCTGTTCAGCGACGTGGCAACCCCCGGCACAGTGTCTCTGTCGCGAACGCAGCTAATCCGTTCCTCGTCTCTTCCCTGTAGCCGCCAGTCCATCAAGAAATATGTTCTGGCCAACAACAAGATTGCTCCTGCTTCCCAGGCCGCTTTCGATAGCCAGTTCAACAAGGCTATCAAGGCTGGTGTTGAGAAGGGCGAGTTCACTCAACCCAAGGGTAAGTCCAATCCTTTGAGCGTCCCCCATTCTTGTCCAACGCCTCGCCAACGGCAAGGAACTCTTCGCTTGCTTCGTACGCGCCTTTGTTTATCGTTTCGGGCACGCCTGCTGACGCGTCTCATCTTCAGGTCCTTCTGGTCCTGTGAAGCTTGCCAAGAAGGAAGCTGCCCCCAAGCCTGCTAAGGTGAGTAATCATAGCATTATCTACCTGACCTCAGGTGACTGACTTCTCGACAGAAGGCCACTGCCAAGACTGCCACCAAGAAGACCACCGCCAAGAAGAGCGAGAAGGCGGAGAAGCCTGAGAAGACCGAGAAGACCGAGAAGACCGAGAAGACTGAGAAGGCCGAGAAGCCCAAGTCTACCACCAAGAAGTCCACGGGCACCACAGCCACCAAGAAGTCGGCTGGTAGACCCAAGGCTAACACCGCCAAGCCTCGCAAGGCCTCCACCTCTGTAAGTCAATCTGCATGATGCATGATTCTCTTTGATCTCCGTGCTTGATACTAATTTCCCAGCAGGCCCCGGCCGTTGTCGATCAACCCAAGGTCACCAGCACTACCAAGTCTGGACGCGTGACCAAGACAACGGCCAAGCCTGCAGAGAAGAGCAAGAAGTCCGCTACTACGGCTAAGAAGGAGAAGGCTTCCGCCGCCTAAAGGAAGTCTCTTTCAGTCATTTTGAGCGACCAGTTTTACCATTTTTTGGCCTTTGATCTGTTTGTGATGTTCTCTTCGGGCTTTTCTCTTTTGGGTCGAGACCCCTTCCTTCGTTTGTAATTTTTTCCCTCTCGGCCACAGATCATCCTTGATGGATGGGATGATTGTATCTGGGATATGTTGTGGACTGTTTACTCGGTCGTTTATTTTTCCTTGTTGGTAGGGTCGGCGTCTTGCGGTGGATTTTGCAACGGGATATGTTATTCAAACCGCGTGCTATGCTTTGTACGCCAGTCCAAGGACGGGTGTTACGCTTTGGAATGAATCACTTGTTTATTTATCCAGGTCCTACTCATCGTAGTTTGCTTGAATGGCGGGGATAGGGTTTATAGGGCCGTATCACCCAGGGGCCACTCTCCAGGAGTAAATGAACCCGGTTCTAAGGGTTGAACCCATCGAACCATCTAGACTGGTTGACAGGCGGAAGGAACAATCTAAGCTTAAACACTCTTTTTGCATATCATTATCGCAGGGTTTGGTTTCAACCCGATCAAGTGGTGCAGTGGCCACACAGTCTTCAAGAACCGTGTTGAAAATGCAATTTACCACCAGTACGTTCAATGTTACCCTAGCGCGTGCGGGAGGATGGCTTAGCCTGACCTCTGGAACCCAAATTCACCCCAAATGGGAATTAATCGTTCTCGAAGGAGCACCCGCTGTTCTTCGGTTTCGCCTTGTTCCATGATCCGTCGGCTGGCGGATGGCTTTTGGCTCGGCTGCGGGTTTAACTTCCCGTACGTAGGGTTCGGACTGGCGTTCGGCGAGGTCAGGCTGTACCTTTTTTTTTTTGGCGGCCGAGTCGATGGAACAACGAGATACAATTAACTATACATACACAGTAGTGTACTATGTAGGGTGTGACGTTGGCATTATAGCGATCCGTCGATCATCAGTGCATGAATGCACTTTGTCTCTTTTTTCTTTTTTTTCTTCTTTGCTAGGTTGTCACTATCTGTCCGAAGGTTGCCTCACCCTGCCCCCTTCCTGAGGCTTCAGGTAGATTACCACGGAGTCTATGATCCATTGTCGGGGTTTTATGCTGGAAATTCCTAGGAAGCCCCAGTCGGACACGCATATACCCTCCTCCCCTGTTTGAAACAGTTAAGCACATGTATGTATAAAGTGATTGAATAGGCTGCCACGATGGTTTGAGTCTTGGCCCCGGTCGAGGTCAGTCAGGGGTTCCGAAGTTGGATTCTGTCTGTATGGAACTGCCTCAGCTCCGGATGCGAGATCCGGACCGTGCAGTCTGTGTGACGCGGAGTCGGGCGAGAAACTCCATCATTCTGAGGTGCGAATGAGCGGATTAAACTAGCAGTCGTACTCTATACTATGGGTGCAATGGATCGATGAAGTGGAGCCGGGCATTGAGGATTCCATCCTGAGATCAATGATGATGCTTGCTGTCGGAGATCAGCTTCCCTCCATTCAATGCCACCGTTTTTTTTCATGTTCTGCATACATAGGGATGTCTGCCCTCGATTGCCAGATTGACCCGTCTCTCTCTCATCCGAACCGATCTGAGCATGCAGCATGCGCTGCACGCATTGCTCATGGCTGGTCGCTATTGGGAGTGACGTTGATGTCTTGCAGGGTGCCAAGAATTCTGCTTGGGCGGGCAACAATTCTTCCTGCCTGATTGATTGCATTGGTTTTTCCTCGTGTCTTTGTTTAAACACTTTGACTTGACATCCTCCTGCATTCATAGGACTACGGATTCATAGAAAGGGTCTAGACAGGTATATATGCTCCTATGCATCCTTCGATTTCCCCCGAACTGTGATTCAATTTGATTGCGTATCGGAAGCTGGTACCTGCCGCGTAATACAGAGTAATGACGATGTTCCAGCCCTGAGTGCGGTGGACAAGCTCCACTTGCCCACTTTTTTTTCTTCCCCTGCTTTTTAATTCTCTTCTGGATAAGTGAATCCTGTAATTATAGCAACAATCCAGTTCCAATTTAGACTCTGCCTGAGTAATTTGTCCCCAAGGGTATGTAACACGGAAAGGGGGAGAGGGGAGGAGGGCGAGTTTACTATTCTACTGCTTGTACACATTTACACTCGTTAATCGACCGCCGGATTTACTGCCTTTGCCTTGATCAGGAACCATACCATACATACCTTTCAGCTCTCCACCAGTTGGAATTACGAGTCGGTTTCGCCCCGAAGAATTACTTTCTCTCTCTCTCTCTCACTCGCTCTTCCTTGCTCTTGTCCCTCTCACTCACTCACTCACTCACTCACTCACTCACTCACACGCTGAACTCTCTCCCTGTTCCTCCCTCCTCTCCCTCTCTTCTTCTCTCTCTCTCTCTCTCTCTTCTCCCCTCGGTCTTCATTCTCTACTACTAACCCACACCACCACTACCCTCCCCGCCTCCTTCACTTATCCCTCATTTAGCCTTCTCATCTTGTTCGTTGTTGTCCTTGTCGTTCTGCCTGCCTGCATTTGCAATTGATTGATACCCACCCCCCTCCCTCTCCCGCTCTCGTCGCGCCAGCCCTTCTACCTCGTTCTTCTCGCCGCCGTCCACCGTCCTATCGAGCGCGCTCTCCATTCGCTTCCTTAGCCGACTTCCATCACATTCGTCTTCATTCGTCTTAAACGCCGCAGGACATACACAACTTCATAAGAAGCGTTTGTCCTTGACTTCGATCCCGGTCTTCTATCATAGGTGGTTTGCCTGAACATGCCTATCAGCCGCTGAAGTACTTGCCGCCGGCTGGCCTCCAGCTTGATCTCATCTCAGGAACCCCGTGTTTGTTCTTACATATTGGCAACTGCCACGGATCAATCAATCGTTTCTCATCTATCCTCCTTCAGCCCACTCCGTCCCTCTCGTCGCTCAGCCAAGAAGGACATTCCGGCTCTTAGTCACGATCGACACGGGATCATCACCAACACCCGCTTTCCATTTCCCCCCCCCTTCCCTGTTCTTATCTCCGCCCCTCTCTCCGGGAGTTCGACACCCGATCATGCCATCATTTTCCAACGACGTCGCCGTCTATCCAACAGCCACCGTCACGGCTACACACCCTCGGTCATTTGACTCACCACAAGGCAAGCCGAATGAGAAGAATTCGGTGGGAAATACCTTTCTCTGGACGAATTGGCCCAATGGCGACGCTAATCACTTGGAAACTCCCACGAATGATCGCCAGCTCACAAACGGTAGCGCCTTTTCCCTGAATGGTCCGCGATCCAGCGCCAGCTCATATACAAGGGAATTGCCTCATTCGAAGGACGGTAGCATGCACTCTCTAGGAAACGGTTCAGCTCGGGATCCCAAGGAGGGTGGTAGACCCTCGGCGACCTTGGAACGGAATTTCTCCGAAAAATCACTGGACACAGTCACCGGACCTGGCTCGCCGACGGCATCGATTGCAAGCCAACAAATCAACGGCGCATTGAATTCCCGATCGCTCAATGGAAAACCTCTGGTGAACGGCGATATCAGTCGACAATCCACCGATGAGTTCCAACCCCCGGATTACGCAGGCAATGCGTCAGCAACCGGATTATCCACCTCTCCACCCGACGACGCTGGCCGTCTTTCTCCCGAACCGGATCGTTTATCCCCATCGCAAAAAAGCCCCCACCGCTATTCCTCTCCTCCTGCGCCGGAAAATGGCGCTTCCCCGGATCAAAGCAATTCTAGTCTTCGCCACCGACACACGTTGCAAGTCCCGCGCACAACCAGCGGGCGCCGTGGTAGCCGTGACCAGTCGGAAGACATGGCCTACAGCAGTGGCCGCTTGTCTCCCACTACTGGAACTCGCCGGACATCCTTCAGCCTGGCTCGACGCGCCACTCGGACCAACCAATCGGAAAGCTTACAAGACGATGCAAGTCCCGACGAAGACGCGGCCCGCTGGGCAGAAGCCATCAAGCAGAGACGGGCCTCGAAGCGACGACGCCGCGACGAAGACGATGATGATCGTGTCATTGTGGGCACGAAGGTCGACCAGAACCACGTGAATTACGTGACCGCCTACAACATGTTGACCGGAATTCGGTTCACGGTGTCGAGAATCAATGCCAAAATGGACAGGGAATTGACGCCCGCGGATTTCGAGGCGAAACACAAATTCTCATTCGACATGTATGTGTTACATGACCCACCCTTTTGCTTACGGTTCACTGACTGATATGGAACAGAACCGGCAACGAACTGACTCCCTCTGCCAAGTACGATTTCAAGTTCAAGGATTACGCGCCGTGGGTGTTCCGTCACTTGCGAGCCAAATTTCGACTCGATCCAGCCGATTATCTGATGTCTCTTACCAGCAAGTATATCCTGTCGGAGTTGGGATCTCCAGGTAAAAGTGGCAGTTTTTTCTATTTCTCTCGAGATTACAAGTACATCATCAAGACTATTCACCATTCGGAGCACAAACTTTTGCGCAAGATCCTCCCTGAGTACTACCGACACGTCGAACAGAATCCGAACACCTTGATCTCGCAGTTCTATGGTCTTCACCGTGTCAAGATGGCTTACGGGCGCAAGATTCACTTTGTCGTCATGAACAATCTATTCCCGCCTCACCGCGATATCCACCAGACCTTTGACCTCAAGGGTTCCATGATCGGCCGGGATTTGCGCGAGGAGGATCTGGAGAAGAATCCAAGGGCTACTTTGAAAGATTTGAACTGGGTTCGGAGGAACCGCGAGATCCAGTGCGGGCCGTCCAAGCGCGATTTCTTCCTCGCTCAATTAAAGCGAGATGTCGAGTTACTCAAAAAGCTCAAGATCATGGATTATTCACTATTAGTGGGTATCCATGATGTTGAAAGAGGCAACGAAGAGAAACTCCGTGACAAGACCTTACAGGTCTTCCAGCCGGGTGGCGATCGCGAAGAAGATGCAAATCCCAATATGTTGATGCGCACACCGTCTAAGCTGGAGAATGAACGCAAGGCTCGAGAACTTCGGATGCTCATCAAACGTGAGCGCCCGGTACCATTAGATCAAGCAACTGCGAAAATGCCTGATGAGATTCTTGACGAGAGGAAATACCACGTCTTCTACGCCGATGACGGAGGATTCCGCGCCACTCATGAGAATGGCCAACCCGGTGAAGAGATCTATTATCTTGGTATCATTGACTGCTTGACTCATGTAAGTTGCTTCGAAGTATTCGCCTCGGTGTAGACGCTCAATACTGATGAATCGACAGTATGGAATGGTGAAGAAGCTCGAGCATTTCTTCAAGGGTCTGTCTCATGATCGCACACAGATCTCGCCCATTCCCCCTGAAAGTTACGGGGATCGCTTCATTAACTTTATCAAGGGCATCACCATGTCCAAAGAAGAAGCACAACGACAGAAGGAAGCCAAGGCCATGGGCGAGCCGTTTTCGGAGAGAACACCTTCTGTCGAAGAAACTATGCAAGCGGCGGAAAGGGAGGCGGCCAGGGAACCATCTATCGTGCAGCCTCGGACCCTGACGACGGTCCGAGATCCCAACGACTCCGGCGTTCTTGCCCCTTCGACACTTCCGATTGTCGATGAAGCGGGGGAAGCCAGCAGTCTCGGGGGTCACAGTTCACACAGCCGCCATGGGCCCCCTGTTCCCGAAAAGGACCTACCTCCAACCCCCTATCAGAATGGAGCACCTGTTCCCGGGAAAGGGAAGGGAGTCATTCGCAACGGGCAGCCTGAAATGGTTTCGGTCTCTGGCAGACAATAAACCTCCCCGTTGCTGATTTTGAACCGACTTGTTATGATATCCTCGTCCGCAGCTCTCCACGCTTTCGCATCATATCCATACCCTGGCGCAACGGATTAATCCGCCTTCCTGCACGCGACGCATTGACCCATATTCACATCATTCCCCATAGTCCTTATGTTGCCACGAGTGATGTTAATTCCGATTGCACCATTGGGTGTTCGTCCCCATGGTCAGAATTTCTGTTTCGCCATCTTACCTGCCTTCTAGCACCGTCTTTTGGTCACTCTAATCCTGGGTATGCAGCAACGTCTGCTCGACCCGCCACATTCTTTCCCTCCCTATCCGACATGAGGTCGTGTCTACCATGTTCTATAGCAGCTACACCACTCCTTCCATCTCCTTATGTCTATCTTGTTTCCTTGCCTCTTCAATGTCTCAATGTCTCGTTTCGTGAAATCCAAGTTCACAGCTCGAGGTCTGAGATGACATTGCTGAATACCTCGGGTCTCCTGGCACTTGGCCATGTACCTGGATTTTCTTTTTCCATTCTCCTGTATCAAATATTTCCTTACTCCTCATTCTATCATTGTCGTTGTCTTCATTTGTTGGATGTCAACTTGAGAATCGCCACCGATCCTCTCTGAGCATCGGGTATGTTGCATCCAGCCTCATTCACTAACTGACCATATTTCCTTTCTTGTTATCTTTTGTCTCCCAGTCCGTGTCTTGCTTACCGTAAGAATCGTAAGCAAAGCGGTCAATCACCTCTGCGTCCCCCCTCCCTCCTCCCCATCATCGCGTCGGCAGTTATTGTTTGGCGTGTTTGACTTTCGCCTGTATACACATCTGAACTGGATGGGACCAAGCGATTGATCTTAGTCACTTTGTGTTTGTTTTTTGTGTGCGTGAGCAGGTTCGTCGAGCGGCTTAATTGATCTGATCTGATTACCTTGTTGTGTCTCGAATGCGTGATCCTTCCTCTTGCTTTGTTTCGTGACTTGCGAGTTCCTGCAAAGTGTTGTTCCCCCCCCCCCCCCCCCCCCATGCCCTAGAAGACTGATTGATCGACTTGATCGAGTCGCTGGGTGTTCGATAGACGACGTGCTCTTTTCAAGCATGGCTTAGCGAAGCAGAGCAAAGTAGACAATTGATACCAAATCGCCCTTGTTGTGCCTGTTGGGTTTCTCTATTTTGTGAACTTATTTATTTTCTCTTCATGTTCTGTTGTGATCGATGAAAGCAGCCCACCGTATGACATTCCGTAGGATTCCTGGAGGTCAATGGGCCATGTAAATGCCGCCATCGGCTGCAACTACATGAGGTCGTTGCCAGCACCGTACATACATTTAACCCATAGAGGGCGACTGGGCGGACCGAACTTTTTACTATACTATACTGCGTTGACGTCCACATACTCGGGATGACGGGACTTTCGGATTCGGAGCATGCAGTGTCACTTCCGCTACGGTTTTGATACAGTGGGATATAAGCAGGTTTCTTGAGAAGCGATGATGGAAAAATACGGTAGCAAGATTGGGTGTTGATATTTGACTCGCCTAGTCCCCTCCCCTCGGTGAAATGATTGGGATTGGCTTCAAGATATCACTAACGAACAGGACTGCAACCAAGAGAAATTCTGTGAGGAAAGCCCCCGTATAAGGAGAGCAAAATCGGAGGAAGACAAGAAAAAGGCAATAAGAAAAACAAGAATACAAGAGACGGTAACGGAAGGGTTGAAATCGGCGAGAAAAGGAGCCTTCGATCTGCATGCATATTGGGGGTAATTTTGTGAAAGATGACGAAATCATGAGCTGAAAAAACGCAAAGTAGAAAATAAGCAAAGACAGAGGGAGCAAAATCCACCAAGAAACGCCTGTCAACATGCAATTTTCCCTCACCCACCGGCGAAAAGAATAAAAACCTCGTCCTGGAACTGAATATCATCATCCCGCGTCTGCCTGGAGCCAATTGCTGGAAAAAACGGGTAAGAGGTTCGAACGCGCAAGATATAGGGAAGAGACCGCCGCCCAAGTAACGCCAATAAATCCAGTTTTCATGATAGAAGCAAGAGAACAGATAAATGAAATGTCCGCCGAGTGGCCGACTAAAAAGATTAAATCTTTATATAATAACGATAAGAATAGGAGAGCGCGACCTGGCGTAAAGTCGCTCCCCGTGGGTTGGCTTGCTTGGTCAGTGCTGAATCAACGCATACCAGCTGGAAGGTAAGGTGAGAGCTGTTGAAGTCACTGTGGCACACACTTTCAACCGTAGGAGGTGCTGCTGCTGCATTCATTTACTCCGCCTTGCCTTGGGTGACCTTGGCGGCTTGGATGGCCGACATCTTCTGAGTCCATCCTTGAGTAGGCTGAGGTTTCTTGACAGTACGAAGGTCGTCGGTAGAGAAGCCCGATATGCGCATGTTATACTGACGTTCCAAGACAAGCTGCAAATCGCGGATCTCCAGGGTTGAAGAGGGTCGCAATTTCGCAATCCGACATGCAGAAGTAACCACATCGTCCACAAAGTCGTCCGCCATTTGAAGGATGAACTGCCCAGGATTCATTAGCAAATTGTTGTGAAGAGCAAGTTGCGCAGCGTCGGAGTAGCATTTCTTACCTCTTCAGCATCAGGGGTCAATCCTTCGCCTTCGCCACCACCGGTGACTTGACGAACCAGGATATCCAGCATCTTCTTGCTTAACACTCTCTGACCCTCTCCTTCAAGGACGTATCCGGGATGCTTCTGGATAGCAGGCTGGTTCATCACACCCACTGCCGCGTGGCTAGGTCCTCCAGATAGCGTGGGACGCGCCGGTGCCATGTTGACTGGTTCGGGGGTAGGCACATTCAGGTTTTTGGGGATGGGCATGGTGTGTGTACGTGCCGGATTCTCGGTAGAGCGATTAGAGTTGTAACCTTGAGGGTGTGCGTGAGGATTGGCAGCCGCTTGATTCATGTTCTGCTGCTGAGGCACGTTGTTGGTGTGGGTGTTGTTGGAGTAGTTCTGCGCAGCCTGAGCCATAGCAGCCTGCTGGGACAACGGACGGGGTGGACCCTGAATCATCGTCTGAGACGTCGGGGTGGGAGTGGAGCCGTCAGGACCAGGACCTGGAATCGGATTAAAAGGGACCTGTGAGCCAGGCGGTCCTGGTTGCTGTTGAACTGGGGGTGGGATTTGCTGTGGAAGGGGCGGCTGCTGGTTGAGTGGTTGCTGGGGAACAGGGCCAACAGAAGGCGCGGGGCCGGGGCCGGGAACAGTGGGTGTCTGACCAGGCTGAGAGGTGGATGGAGACATGGCAGTCTGTCCAGCCTGATTGCGCGCGGCGTTGACGGCTGAGTTAATGGTGTGTGGGGCAGGGGTTGGTGCTTGTCCGGGGTGAATCTGTCCAGGAACGTTTGTTGGAGCTGGACTGGGGCCCGTCGGCGCCGGCGCCGGCGCCGTTCCTGGCTGAGGATGTTGCTGTGCGGAAACATGCTGCTGAACGCCAGCCCTCTGTTGCTGTGCCTTGAATGACTCTTGCTGTTCTTTGAATTTCGTGAGGAAGTCACTTCCCTCGCGATACAGCTTCTCCGCCGCCAACTGGCGATTCTTGAAGTCCTGAACCTCATCCTGTGTCATATTCCCGGCACTCTGTCGTTGGGTGAATTGCTGACGGATATCCGCGATGCGAACCCGGCCGATCTCCTGCTTTTGTAGAGCGATCCCATACCGAAGTTTGGCTTCGGGCAGCCACGTCTGCGCTTGTTCATTGCTGATATTAGGCGGAAGAAAAAACTGCAGCGTGTTGACTTTCTGCTGAATCTGCGGAAGGAGTTGATTGAAGCTCTGTGGGTTCACCGACTGGGGCCGTGGTCCTGGCTGACCCTGCTGACCCGGTTGACCCGGCTGTGCAGGGTTGGTTCCTTGCATCTGCTGATGCTGTAGCTGGCGACTTTGTTGGAAGGCGCGCATGCCTTTCATGAGGGTCTGCGAAATCTGGGCGAGCCGTGCATGGGCCTGCTGGTACTCCGAAGTCTGCGGATCACGACTATTGAGAAGTTCCCAAAGGTTGCGAACTAACTGAGTATGCTGAGCTTTTTGCTGATCATTGAGATGAGGGAGTTTCTGAACCTGATCCGTTCGGATCAAATTCGAGTGCTGCGGCACCATGGGCTGAGTCGCCGGGCCTTGCGCCTGCGCCTGCGCCTGGACTTGAGCCTGCGCATGGGCCTGAGCAGCCTGCGCCTGAGCTTGCGAGTTATCCATAATTATTTATAAGGTGTCTAGCAGCCGTCTCTGCGGGGATGACGATAGAGGCCTGTGTGAGGTGAGATGAACTCGGTTGATTGGTAACGGATCGAGGGAAACCGGCTGAAAGTGCGGAGGCACGCGTCGTTCGAATGCCGATATTACTGCAGGAGAATATAGATTTGCTGCGATCGGACTGAAACACCACAAATGAGATGATTGATGATTTACTGAATCAGGAGCGAGCAAAAGAGCCAATACTCTCCTGTCTGAGAAAGGTGAAAGAGAACAAGAAGCGGGAGGAGAGCAGCAGAAGCAAAAGCGAAGGATGGCGGGCTGGAGTATGCCTCAGGCTGCATCAATTCCATGCCCTGACCACATCTTCCTTTCTCGGCAGGCGGTCTTGATAAGAACGACTGTACAACAGCTTACTCAATACTCAATGATTAATTATCTTGACTACAATATCTTAATCAACTCGGATCGACATTCCATTATCCATTTCACTATTATGCGAGCAATACAGACGCTGAAGCGGTGAGAAGACGTAGCAGGTCTTTTCCAGGGTGAATGTCACCAGAAGTAATTTGATTCACCGAGCATTGAGACTAGCAAGCTCCTAGAACCAGTATGACTATACGTCGCCAAAGCATGCAACTCGGATCGAGATGTGATGGCTGAGACCGCTGCGAGCTAAAAATAGCAAGAGCGAGAGTCTCTGGCGAAAGGCCAGGTCGCTTCGTCATAGAACATAAGCTGCCTGATGTACTTGACCAAAGGCGCGAGGAAGCCGTAGGGTATATGGTTCAAGGATGTCAGTCGATATCCAGCCCATGCTATAAAGCCCTGCATCGTGTCGCATGGGGATTGTCGCTGAGGCATGGTAGCCCATTTCGTTGGACCCTTCGCGCAGATGCTCCTATCCTGGTGTGGAATTGGCTAAATGGAGCCAAAGACAGATCAGCTAGGTCGGCGCCGGCCTTGCTGAAATCGGTGCGAGGTCATCACGAAGGTATCGAGACCCAACTTTGGTGCCTTCTTCAGCCCAGTAGTCCACCAAGATCCCGATCCATGCCATTAACCCGGTCCTCCAGGGCTCGCTTTCTCCTCTCCAGTTCTCGAATCTCCTCCATTTCTCGCGCTAAATCAGCGTCTGTGACATCAGCCACCTCTGGTTGCAGAGGGTCTCCAGTGTTGTAATCGTCATATTCATCACCGTAAGAATGGCTCATTTGCTCCAACTCCGCAGTGTTCCGGGCCACGCGCTCTTCCAAGTCTGTGATCGAGTCGGAGATAATTTGGTGACGGTAGCGAAGACTCGCAATCTTTTCCTGTGCACCAGCAACTGGGCTAGCCCGATAGGTCAGAGGATAATCATGTTATGATGGCGCGGAAGGTAAAGCTTACTAGACATTGCACAGGATCTCCGCGCCACGAAGTAGAACATCGATGTTGACTTCCCCGCGCGGACCCCGTCCGGCGGAACGCTTGATCTCCTCCATCATATCCGAGCCCAGCACCCTGGCTACAGCGGATTGATTTTTGTTATTTCTGGCCGAGTAGATCCGACTCGCCATAGACTCTTTCTCTATCTCCTGTGGAAATTGGGTTCCGCGGCGAGTAGCTCGTCGCTGCGCGGAGCTGACAGGTTTCACCGAGGGGTCCATCTGGAAAAGAGCTCGTTCATGAGCTTCTGTGTCGCGAATCAAGGAGGTGATGTCGTGAGAGCCCAAGAGGGCATTTGTGAACATCCGCGGAGGAGGAAAGCTGCAGCGACCACAGATTAGCCAGCTGGGACACGATCGCCGGGGATTGGGGGTGGATGGGTTGGGAATGATTACGGAAGTTCTGCGATAGCATTTGAGGAGAGCAGAATCTGCTCCAGATGACTCTCAAGAAGCGACATTTCTCCGTATTGACTGGGGAGGGAGATTGAGCACTGACTGGGCAGTGATTTCCGATAAGATCACATTCATTCATTCATGTTGTTTGCGGTAAACATGCCAAGCCAAGCTCCAGCTACGTATAGATTTTGCTGCCTTAGGATCCAGGCCAGAAAGAGTGGCAAAGCAACTCCAGCTACTGCTAGCATGCTGGTTATCGATTTCTCCCCGACAACTTCCCTACAGTCGAAGTACAACTCCAACCAACCCACTCCAACCTCAATCTCCTCGAGTAGAAGCCGAGAGCACACGGGTTCATTCTCAGTGAATTGGCCTACAGCTTCACCCCCTTCCAGAGCCAATTGACTCTGTAAGCATTCAACCAGACTGACCAGGCGCCAGACGCACGCGCAAGCAAGCTTGTCCGTCTCTTGCAGCTGACCTCCCGACCGGTAAGCCCGACCCTGACTAAGCTTGTCCTGTGCTGCTTCTCTCGCTGTCCATCCAGAGCCAGCCAGCCTTGACATCACATCCACCACCTCATCAACCAGTTCCTCCCAACCCACTTACCTGTCATCACGCAATCTATCTTGCCTTTTGTTGTCATCTTTGACTTTGCTCTGTGTGTCTCTTACCCCCTTCACCCCTACTTCCCTCCTGCCTCAAACGGTGATCTCTCATCTCTTGCCCCCTTCCTCTGCTTCTGGTACCGCGGTCCTCAGTGCTCACCTGAGCTTGAAAGCCGAAACCTTTCCCTCTTCCCCTCCAGACAAGGAATCTCAACCACCAAAGATGCCGGCTGAGAGGCGCTCTCTGAGATCCAACAGCAAGTCAGATACCTCTTCATCTGCTAACGGTGAAAAGGGTCGCTCTACTTCGCAGAACACCAGCTCCAACAAGGACAAACCGGCGCCCACTCGCGCTACTGCCAACAAGGCCAAATCCACCACCACCTCGAAAGCCGCCTCGTCGAACAGCACAGCAGACTCCGGGATGGGTGAGCAACGGGACCAGCCGCGGACCAACGGGTCCGACCCGACGGAGAATGGCGTCAATGGTTCGGAAGACGTTGAGATGGGAGAGGATACGGCAGGTGGGCCTACATCCTCATTCACCGCCAGTAAGGGCAAAAAAGGTGACGAGAAGATGACTGTTGTAGTGCCCCCGACTAAGGGTTCGAGGTTATCCGGCGAGCAAGCTCCGGACCAAGAAGGCGACGTCGCCATGGAGGGTGCGGACACCGAGGAGTCCAAGTCAGAGGTTGATCCTAAGGCCAAGGCTGTTCAAGGTGAGTCTTCTCCCAACAACACGAGGATGCTCTGGGACTTCATAGGCGCTCTTGTTAACTCTGGACAACACTCTGCTATAGATATCAAGTCCAACTTTACACTGCTTGAACGAGCTGTCAGCCATTTTGATCCCAGATTCACTCTCCGTGTCCTGCGTTCGATATCATCCATGCGAAAACACATCACCCCGGATGTACTGGCTGAAGTCATCGTCGATACCTACCCGCCTTCCAGTCTGACTGCTTCTTTCCTGTTGGACGCCATCGATCAACCCGGCGCGTTCGAAAGTGCTGTCCCCAGCTCGAAGATGGAGGTTGAATCGGAGAAAACAAAGTCGGCCCCCAAGGAGATCCTGCCCGAGATCGACACCTATCTCTCCATTCTGGTCCAGATCTACTTGTTCGACAAGAAGGAAATCCAGAAGGGCGCCAAGTTCTCTACCGATCTGATTGAGCAGCTGCGGACGCTCAATCGCCGCACCCTTGACTCACTGGCGGCCCGCGTCTACTTTTACTACTCCCTCTTCTACGAACAGATTGCGCCCCTTCCTCCGTCCCCCGCTGCATCTGTCACCTCGATCCGTCAGCCCTTGCTTAACGCGCTTCGGACGGCTGTCCTACGCAAGGATGTGGACACTCAGGCGACCGTGATGACCCTGCTTCTGCGCAATTACCTGTCAACGTCCCACATCTCGCAGGCTGACTTGTTGATCTCGCACAATCGGTTCCCCGCGTCTGCCTCGAACAACCAGATTGCCCGCTACCTTTATTACCTGGGCCGTATTCGGGCCATCCAGCTACAGTACACAGACGCTCACGGGCATCTGGTCGGTGCTACCCGGAAATCCCCATCCAGTCACAGTGCGAGGGGCTTCTATCAGGCGTCTCACAAGCTGCTCGTTGTCGTTGAGTTGCTCATGGGAGACATACCCGATCGGGCGATTTTCCGCCAGCCCGCGCTGGAGCGTGCCCTGCACCCTTACTTCCTCTTGGTACAGGCTGTGAGCGTTGGTGATTTGGATGGATTCCTGAACATTGTGAATACGCATACCGCGACCTTTCGCAAGGATGGGACTTACACCCTCATCCTACGTTTGAGACAGAACGTGATCAAGACGGGCATTCGCATGATGTCTCTCTCTTACTCTCGTATCTCGCTTCGTGACATTTGCCTTCGCCTTGGTCTGGACAGTGAGGAGTCGGCCGAGTACATTGTGGCCAAGGCCATCCGCGATGGAGTGATTGAAGCTAGTCTGGACCACGAGCGTGGTTTCATGAAGAGCAAGGAGGTTGGTGACATTTACGCCACCCGGGAGCCCGGTGAGGTCTTCCACGAGCGTATCAGAGCATGCTTGAGTCTCCATGATGAGAGCGTCAAGGTGAGGATAAGATTTAAAACCACTCTACGCATCACACTGATACTAACTTTCTTGTTCCCAGGCCATGCGGTTCCCGATGAACCAGCACCGTTTGGAGTTGAAGAGTGCACAGGAAGCACGGGAGCGGGAGCGGGAGTTGGCTAAGGAGATTCAAGAGGGCGACATGGATGATGAGGATGCCGGCGGTGACTTTGATGCTATCTAAGGATTATCTTAAGGAGCGTCAATAACATGCAGCAGGTTTCTGGCTTTGTTCTCTCTATAATCCTTCGCCTCCTCGTCTGACTAGATGAGAAGAAACTTCAACAATTATGTGGCCTTATTTGCAGATTCAATGTTCCGGTTGTGTTCAAGGGGGACGGGGCAGGACTGAGCTTTTGCCGGCGTGATCTTCCATATATTCTATCTATCATTGAACTGTTTTTCCTATGTTGTTTATGGTGTAGATGCCGGATTTCCATTCACTCGTCTGTCCCTTTCTTTTTTTTTTTGGTTCTTCATTTGGCCTTGGAAGTGGGGGATATGGAGTGATATGGGCTACTGGGATAGCCACCTGATATGTAATTGTCTTAGCCGACTTAGCCCAGGCAGTGTCTTGGACGTTCTGTGAAAGGGTTATCAAAGCAGCACCAGAACCGGTACTGTAGGTATGGCAGATTTAAGTGGCTAATGGTTGAGTGACGGGCCAGGCGGAACCCCGATCCGGCCCGAGGTCAGTTCCAGCAATTCAGTGACCGCCCGCCTGTTTCTCTCGAAATCTTCGGCTTCAATCCCATTGATTATTTCCACAATCTCCCCAAACCCCCCACAGTCATTGCCGGACGTGGACCGGCTTTCAATCGTTGCTTGCTCCTCTGGTATGAGTGTCTTTTCATCTTGATTCGTTGTACTATCTACATTTCCTCTCCTCTCTTTTCATCATGAAGGCTCGCGCAGTCCCAGCCTCTGGGCTAGTTCTCTCCTCGCGCATCACGACGCCGCCGACAACGACCACAATCTGCTGGCAATGCCTCCGGAATGACCTGATTCTGCGTCATACACAAGTGCAAACACGCAAATACCACCCTACCCGCCGGAAAGATGTGTCTCCGTTCGGAGCCGCTGTATCGGCGGCCCAGACGCTTTTCAAGGGCCTCCCCAAGGCGCCGCCAGGCATCTCGGTCGACCCATTGCGGATGGTCGGCAAGGAGCTCAAGTTCTTGACCAAAAATCTTCGTCAATTGCTCGGATCTGGCCACCCTACGTTGGATAAGGTAGCTAAGTACTACACACGCAGCGAAGGCAAGCACATGCGGCCGCTGCTCGTTCTCCTCATGTCGCAGGCGACGGCGCTGTGCCCGCGCAAGCCCCAGACTGTTGACTACAATGCGACGGTGAACGATCCAATTACTTCGTCCTCAATCCTCGTCGACAACAACCCGGATCTTCCCCCGTCGCTATCCTCCGCCGCCTCCAGCAGTAACCCCGATGCGGCCTACGACTTCGCAGGAGATGAGAATATCCTCCCTACGCAGCGTCGACTGGCAGAAATCACCGAGCTCATTCACACCGCGTCTTTACTTCACGACGATGTCATCGATAATGCCGTGTCGCGTCGCTCCTTCACATCGGCCAACTTGCAGTTTGGAAATAAGATGGCCGTGCTAGCCGGCGATTTCATGCTGGGTCGGGCCTCGGTGGCTCTGGCTCGGCTGCGAGATCCCGAGGTCATTGAATTGATGTCGACCGTGATCACTAACCTGGTGGAGGGCGAGTTCATGCAGCTGAAAAACACGGCTGCGGACGAGAAGCGGCCCGTCTTCACGGATGAGACCTTGTCCTACTATCTGCAGAAGACGTACCTCAAGACTGGCAGCTTGATAAGCAAGTCCTGCCGGTCAACCGCGGTCTTAGGAAACAGCGTTCCTGAGGTCGTCGAATCCGCGTACCAATACGGTCGCAACTTGGGGTTGGCGTTTCAGCTGGTGGACGATATGTTGGATTACACTGTCACCGAGGCGGAGCTGGGTAAACCCGCTGGTGCGGATTTGGAATTAGGTCTGGCGACTGCCCCGCTGCTGTATGCCTGGAAGCAGTTCCCGGAATTGGGCCCATTGGTTGGCCGTAAGTTCAGCCAGGACGGTGACGTTCAGATGGTATGTTGTCTTGCTTCATTTCAATTCTGCACAACATGTAGGACACTCAACTGACCTCTCTCAGGCTCGCGAGCTCGTCCTGAAGGCTGGCGGTGTGGAGCAGACGCGCCTTCTGGCCCAGGAATACATCGACAAGGCGATCGCCGCGCTCGCCGACTTCCCCGACAGCGACGCCAAGGCAGGTCTGATCCAGATGTGCGAGAAGACCATGAACCGTCGCAAGTAAACTGGACCCCAGCCATCGACACGAAAGGGTTCGTGTGCATTAGCGTCTTTGCAAAGCGTCATAGAAGGAACTGTCCGGGATGCCCGCCGTCACCTCTCGTTTTCCCCTTTTTTGATATTCATGACCACCCTCCTCTCGCTCCGCAAGCTGATATGTCCCATGTACTACTACCATCCTTTTCACAGGGTTATATGGACGGTGTGAGGTTTATCCCGGGAGTTTTGGTGCCATGCCTTCTGATCTCCTAGCTTGGTCGGCTGTATAACAGATGGAATAGAATGGAATGAGCTTGGGTAGATCGTACTTGGTCAGGAGGGTTAGATGACTGCATCTCTGTGTGTATAGTATGTTATTGATGCTTGACAAATATACCTTGAGGTTCACTCGGAGTCTTTGAAGTCGCGAGGTGATTAGATGATTTGCATAGGTTACTCAAAAGGATAGCTGCATTTTCTCCAGCTGCAGAGCTCGTGCCAGGTACCTTTTCTTGCATCTGGGCAAGGGATCTAGTGAATGCAACCCTGGCTATTCGGCTGATCTTCAAGCATGAGAAGCATTATAGAAGTCAGGCAAACAATCCGAGTAATTGGAAGTTAAAAAGATCCATCTTAGTTGATGGACAGGATGTACTGTTGCAAGACGCTTAGTCGACCTTTGGGCCGTATGAGATTGAAGTAGCGCTACATGACGTCGGGAGTGCTCCGCACCTTTAGAATTATCGTTGGGGGTGAATGCCAGTATTTTCCCTATACTATGCTGTAACTACTGTTACGTACGAGGATAGAGCTGTCAGCAAAGCTGTCAGCTGATCTATCTGAGAGAACGAATGACTAAGTCATTTCCACCGCCTGCGATAACGTAATCAACGGTCGGGCGGGACACACGGTCAGGCGGGACACCTTGTTATCCCATACAAAAGATGACTTTTTGGTTCTATTATATATCAACCAATACTACTTCTAAGAAGTTCTAACCTTGTATATAGACTATATATATAACAATAAATGTCCCATGATTTTTTCAAATTTTCTAAAATACTTATATATATAGTTAGATCGGATCTTTATATAATACAAATATAATACAGATACTGTATTATGATAAGATACTATTTATATTTATATAAATTTTTGAGAAGTATTGGATGGTTATTTATATTATTTATAATCTACTTATGCAATATTGAGTCTTTTAGACTTATAATGGTTGAGTTATCTTGTGTTCAAAAAGTATCTTCTATATAGTATTACCAGATGTCCCGCCTGACCGTGTGTCCCGCCCGACCGTTGATTACGTTATACGGTGACAGCATGTGACCTCATCATCATCATCATCATCATCATCGGCAGCCAGCTGTGCCTGGAAGCTACTGTATTCCTTAACTTAGTGGCAGGGCAGGGCTGTGGAGCGGGGCAACGTTCTTCCACCAAGCCGGTTGCGGTCATCGGATCGACGTCAATCATCCATGCCTGAGGCCATCCAGTCACTCAGTTCTCAGTCACTCCCTCAATCACTCATCAAACCCACTGCAAAGCAAGGCACCTGCCACTGAATAGCGGAGCTGTGACGAACGGAAAGCGCGGAGTTAAGGCTGGCTGGCTGGCTGGCTTGAATCCTGAAGCACTCCATAACTACTGACGGAGTAACCAACTAGAGGTTGCTGTCAAGCTGTAACTAATCTGCACCCTTGCTCTCCGCCTCATTCTTCTCCTCCTCCTCCCCCCCCCAAAGCTCCTCCTTGTCTTTCATTTACCCGTGCTCTAATCACCATCACAGAGCTACCAGAGCTGGTACACTTGTCCTCTCTATCTTTCCATCATCTCTCCTCTTTCTCTCCCCTCAACCCCACCCCCCCCCTTTATCTTCCTCGTGTCTTTTCTTTCGGAGCTGGTCTCACTCCAGGGGCCACTTTCAGTATTTCCGGTCTTTGCGGCCACTTGGTTCTTTGGTGTCACTTTAACCCACATGATGATGGAGCTTTCATTGCTGGCTCTTTGATTCATCTAGCTCCCCAATGAGTTCATTCGGCAGCCTTCTCTTCGTTTATGTCCTCGGCGGACTCACATTCGTCCCTCTGCTCATATCGCTATTGCTCCTCTATGCCTACGTGACGGCATCGTCCCCGTCCGCGCAGCAACCGTGCCAACCAGCACACGCCTCCCTGCAACGCGATAACGATGATCAATACAGCCTGAAGTCCGGTACCGATGAGCTGGCAGAGAAATTTCACCGCACGCATGATTCGGACGTGGCCGCCGGATATTTCGCAGTTTGTCGTGAATATGTCCCTGGTGGAGTCAACGGAAAGCCGCCGGAAAGAACCACCCCGGCGGGTGAGGTGATCGCCGCGGAGAGCCCTAGCGTCTACCAAGCCATGTATAGAAGTTTATTCGACCGCAAGCAAACTCCGACAATTGAGCCCACTAAGCATGTCACGAAGAATGGAAAACGGGCACGCAATGTATTCTATATTGTGCTTCGGTAGGTATTGCTGCTTGTCGCTTGTATTTGCCTTCTCGCCATGCTGTAAGAATCGGTCCTGATTATTCATGTTAGGCACGGGCACTTGATGCTCTACGATAATGCGAACCAGGTCGAAGTTCGATACGTCATTTCTCTCGCCCACCACGACGTGAGTATCCATGGCGGAGAGGGAGAAATTCCCGAAGGAGAGCTATGGTTGAGGAGGAACGCTATCTGCCTGTCACGACGCTTGGATTCATTGGGCGACCTCGGAGGCCCGACGCCACCCTTCTTCTTGTTCTCGGAAAACTTGTCAGAGAAAGAGGACTTCTATTTCGCCATGCTCCAGAATCAATCCAGGTTGTGGAATTCCTCGGATAGTCCCCCGAAACATCAGACTTTCGAGACTAAACACATCGTGACGCTCGTTCAGCGGTTGCATTCGTCCGAGGAACAGCTGCAAACCCGCTGGATCAACGCGGTCCTGGGTCGGTTATTTCTTGCAATGTACAAGACGCCCGAAATGGAGAACTTCATCCGAAAGAAAATCACTAAAAAGATATCCCGCGTCAACAAGCCAAATTTCATCAGCAAGATTGGTCTACAAACAATAGACATGGGGGAAGGGGCCCCGTTCATCATCAATCCAAGGCTCAAAGATCTGACTGTTGATGGCACCTGCTGTGTGGAGACGGATGTGCAGTATACCGGCAATTTTCGTGTGCAGATCTCGGCTACCGTGCGTATCGATTTGGGCCCTCGCTTCAAAGCCCGAGAAGTCGATATTGTGCTAGCTGTCGTTTTGAAAAAGCTTGAGGGGCATTTACTCATCAAGTTCAAACCCCCTCCGAGTAATCGAATCTGGATTTCATTTGAAACAATGCCCAACATGGAGATGGATATCGAACCCATTGTGAGCTCCAAGCAGATTACGCTGGGTATTATTCTCCGTGCCATTGAAAGCCGAATCCGTGAGGTAGTCGCAGAAAGCTGTGTCTTGCCATTTTGGGATGATATACCATTCCTGGACACTCAGCCCCAGCGCTTCCGTGGTGGGATCTGGCAGAGAGATATCCCAAAACCAGACGAGAAGGCAGATATTCCCGATGAGTCTGGAGCGCAGCCTCCAATGTCTAACGGTGTCTCCGATCAGTCCATCGAGATACTGAAGATGAAGGATGAACGCACGATGAGCGCGCCTGCGCTAGGAGAATCGAGTACACCTACACTTAAGGCCCGCAAAACGCCAAAGACCTCTAGTGAGGATTCCAACGAGAAAGGCGGTCCAAGCGCTTTGAGTTCTGCTATAGAGAAGTTGGGTTCTTCGCCACCAAGAGCCATCCGCTCCCAGACCTTCTCCAACGCCGCGGATCCCGTGGTCACTGCCGATCATGTTGGATTTGACCGAGTATCCCCTGAAATCAAAGCAGAAGAAAAGACCAATGCAACCAGCACCATGATTGAGATCTCTGCCCGCTCCCCTCCTGGGTCTCCAGCAAGGACACCCGGCAGCTCACCTCCCACTGATAGTCAACTTGTCGCGAATAGTGCTTCCCAGAGCCGAGAGCCCTCCATCGTTGAATCTGTTGACAGCAGTCGCGAGTCGTATGGTGACTTGCCCACGCGACCCCCTTCGATTTACCCTGGTAGTGAGGCGTCGATGAATTTAGACAATCCGACGAACACTTCAACCACCTCCGTGAACAGCAACAAATCGCGACGACGGAGCACGATGGAGACTTTGACTCGATCCCTTACGTCTGCAACGAACTCTGATGCTAAGTCACCGGCTTCTCTGTCTTTCAACACGGCAACGTCTGTGGCCAAGAAATGGGGATGGCACGTGTTTGGCAAGGGTGATTCCAGCTCCGGCCAGGATGTATCCCGTCCTGCTGGTACACCGGAGCAGCCCATTGGCCGTGGCCACCCACTCCCACCCCCAGGCACACCGTTACCCCGGCCTGACAAGGTCAGTTACAGACGAACTGGAAGTTCGACTATTGTCCCCAAACGTAAGCCGGTTGATCACGCATATTTCCCCGAGCATAAATCGGAAAAGGAGAACCATCGGCCGGTCCCGAAACCCCCTTTGCCACCCCGGCGAAAACCCGTGCATTATCCCGAGGAGGGTCATAGCCGTCCCAATGACCTGTTGGTGGTTGAGGCGCCATACGATTCGGGCCCCAACAGCCCAGTTGTTGACATTACCCCGGAAGAGACGGTGGCAGCGGCACCGAAGGAAGTCAAGGAAAGCGAGGCATCATTGAATCCGGTACCCGATGAAGCACACAATCATGGCGGTTCCTTGGTGGCTGGACGAGCCCCTGAGACCAAACCAACCAAAGCATGCTCCGTGGCGGACGACTCTGACCTTGGAAAGCACGGAATGGAATGGCTTTCAGCTACAGACGGGCTCATTCCTTGACATTAGGCAGAAGATGAATGGTAGGGTGTTGTTTATCCTTGTATCTGAATTAGAGTACTCACCTTGGGTGACTTTGCTGCCATTCTTCCCCTCAGCTGGTTCTTTGAGCGCGCAAGTCGCAAGGCAACATGGGGCGTTATGAATCGAACATCTGGGCGTATGGAATCTGAATAGGCTTTAGTCTTTGAATGAAGAGAGAGAGATGAAGAACGACTCTGATTATCTACAACTTATCTAAAGTATTTGTGGCAGCCTTAGTTAGTACTACTGTGTAGTGTGTCTTCTGGTGTATGTGTACGGCTGGTAGACCGCCAAGAGTTCGGCTGCAGGCATCAATGGACCTTCACAGCCCAGCACCCAACGTCATTTCTCTCCCTCCCACTGCCTCTTCTTATCCTCTCCTTTCTATTCCCCGCTTCTACGTTCCTTTTCCTTTTCCTTTGGCTGTGTGTTGGCCATCTGTCTTCGTTCTCTTAATTGTCAAATTCTTCTCTACATCCAAAATCATCCCTCCCCCTTTTCTTCTGCTTAGCGCACCCTTGAATCTGTTCCTTCAGTTGATTAAGTTGCGCACTCGGGCCCACCGGCTCCCGCCGCACTTCTCCGTCTCCTGTTCCCCTGATTCTTTACCACTCTAGCCACCAGAGCCTTGCACCGCCAAGATGAGTCGGTATGAATTTCATCTTCTTTGTCAGGAATGCGCCAGGCGGACGCATCGAAGCGATAAATCTGAAGCCTGACTGACAGCTTGTGTGCAGTACCGAGGCTGATTTAGCCATCAACATTCGCAAAGCTACCAGCATCGGTAAGTCGGGCATACCTCGATCCTACGCTGACTTCCCACCTTCTTTTGTGACTGATCAGATTCCAATCGCAGAGGAAACCGCACCAAAACGTACGCATCTTCTTTTGCCATCACCTATGAATCTCCGAACCCGCCGCTCCGTACTGCATCCGCGCCTGACCGTCCGTCGCTAATGCTCGCCCAGGGAAACATGTTCGGAGCTGTATCGTATACACATGGGACCATAAATCCTCCGCCGCCTTCTGGGCTGGAATGAAGGTGTATGTTACGGCTTGCCCCATCCGCGAAGACCAGTATGTGATGATAGTGACGGCTAATCAACCGATGCTGCCTTCTAGCCAACCTGTCCTTGCCGACGAGGTCCAGACCTTCAAAGCGCTTATCACTATCCACAAGGTGCTCCAAGAAGGTCACCCAATAGTAATTCGTGAAGCGCAGCAACATGCCAATTGGATCGACAGCCTGATGCGCGGTGTCGGTGGTGAGGGTCTTCGAGGTACGTGCCCCACTGCAATGGCCATGAAGGTTGCACGTCCGATAGCTCGATACTGATCATGCATTGCAATATCCTAGGATACGGACCCCTGATCCGAGAGTACGTTTACTTCCTCGAGTCGAAGCTCGCATTCCATAGGAACCACCCCGAATTCAACGGTACGGAATCTGATCGCTTGGGTGTCGGATGCATACTGAACCTCCGCAGGCCTCTTCGAATACGAGGAGTACATCAGTCTGAAGACGATTAATGATCCCAATGAGGGGTATGCCGACAACGACAACATTACTAGACCTCGCTGACGCTGTAGTAGATATGAAACCATCAGCGACCTCATGACTCTTCAGGACCAGATCGATGCCTTCCAGAAGTTGATTTTCTCGCACTTCCAGTCGGGCACAAACAATGAATGCCGCATTTCTGCGTTGGTTCCGCTGGTGCAGGAGAGCTATGGCATCTACAAGTTCATCACCAGCATGCTAAGAGCCATGCATACAAGTAAATACACCCTTTCACGTTACTGGGTCTAGAGGGCTAATATCTGGTGACTTCAGCCACCGGTGACGTCGAAGCCTTGGAGCCCCTCCGTGGTCGATATGATGCTCAACACTACCGCCTCGTGCGATTCTACTACGAATGTTCCAACTTGCGGTATCTAACCAGTTTGATTACTGTCCCCAAGCTGCCGCAGGACCCCCCGAATCTGTTGTCGGAAGACGATGATCGTCCAGCTCTTCCCAGAAGACCAGCCAAAGAGCCCGAACCCGAGCCCACTCCACCCCCCAAGGCGGTGGCTGCTGATCCAGAACCCATCAACGATTTCTGGACCACCGAAGCGAAGCGCCAGCAGGAGGAATATGAGGCGGAGCAACGCCGTTTGCAACAGCAATGGGAGGAACAGCAGCGGCAACAACTCTTGGCGCAGCAGCAGGCACAGCAGGACTTCGAGGAACAGCAACGTCTCCAGGCAGAACAACAGCGTCTGGCTCATGAGCAATTGTTACGTGAACAATATCAGACTCAAACACAAGGTCGACTGGCTGAGCTGGAGCAGGAGAACCTGAATGCACGGGCCCAATATGAGCGCGATCAGCTGATGCTGCAACAGTACGACCGCCGGGTTAAGGATCTGGAGGAGCAGATGAACCAGCTGACTGCAAACCTGAACTTGCAAAATGCTTCCAAGGATGATCAAATTAGAGCACTTCAGGAGCAGGTGAACACATGGCGGTCCAAGTACGAGGCCCTAGCCAAACTTTATTCGCAATTGCGCCAGGAGCATCTCGATTTGCTGCAGACCACGAAGAGCCTCAAGCTCAAGGCTGCATCAGCTCAGGAGGCGATTGATCGTCGTGAGAAGCTTGAACGCGAGCTCAAGACGAAGAATCTGGAGTTGGCCGATATGATCCGCGAGAGAGATCGCGCATTGCATGACCGAGACCGCCTGACCGGCAACAACAAGGAGGAACTGGAGAAACTCAAGCGGGAGCTCCGACTTGCCATCGAACGCGCGGAGAATGCTGAGCGCTCCAAGGGTACAGAAATCTCCACTTTGTTGTCGAAATACAACCGGGAGATGGCCGACTTGGAAGAGTCTCTCAGGGTGGGTTCTGCCGACTTCCTGAACTTCTCTCAATTTGCATACTGATTTCTTCACGTAGAATAAAACTCGTGCTCTGGAAGAGTACACTTCAAGAAACTCGGAACGCCAGGGTGACCACGAGCTCGCTCTTCGCGAGAAGGATGAGGAGATTGAGGTGTACAAATCTGGAATGGAGCAGGCTTTGATGGAACTCGAGGAGTTGAAGATGGTACGTCGCCCCCATATAAACGAGCTGAACTGTTCAAACTAATATGTTGTTTATAGAGCCAAGGCGATGTGGACACAGCACTCGATACACAAATTGACCAAGTGTTGCATGGCACCGTGGCCAAGATCAACGACATTATTGACTCTGTTCTTCAGACCGGTGTTCAGCGGGTGGATGATGCTTTGTACGAATTGGACTCCACCATGCAGGCTGGTAATCAGAACGCCTCGCCTCCCTATGTGCTTTCTCAGATTGAAAAGGCGTCTGCATCGGCCACGGAGTTTTCCACGGCGTTTAACAACTACATCGCCGATGGCCCTAACAGCACCCATGCGGAGATTATTCGTACAGTCTCAATCTTTTCGGGCGCGATTGCCGATGTTCTCAGCAATACCAAGGGTTTGACTCGTCTCGCCAAAGACGACAAGAACGCTGATCAAGTATTGAACGCAGCCCGCAAGTCTGCCCAAGCAACAGTACGGTTCTTCCGGGGATTGCAGTCCTTCCGCCTCGAGGGACTGGAGGCTTTGCAAAAGACTGACGTGGTGATCAACAACAATCTCGAGGTGCAAAGAGATTTGCAGGCTCTGTCGAAATTGGTCGACGTCTTCGCTCCTAAGAGCGCGAGAATCACCACCAATGGAGATCTTGGAGACCTTGTTGACCAAGAACTGTTGAAGGCGGCTGATGCCATTGATGCTGCGGCTCAGCGCTTGGCGAAGCTCAAGAATAAGCCTCGCGATGGCTACACCACGTATGAGCTTCGGATCAATGACGTCATTCTAGAAGCTGCTATTGCTGTCACCAACGCAATCGCTGAGCTGATCAAGGCAGCGACGGAGTCGCAGCAAGAGATTGTCCGTGAGGGCCGCGGTAGTTCTTCGCGTACTGCGTTCTACAAGAAGAACAACCGTTGGACCGAAGGTCTAATCTCGGCGGCCAAGGCCGTTGCCAACTCGACCAACACCTTGATCGAGACGGCTGATGGAGTTATCTCTGGTCGCAACTCGCCTGAGCAGCTGATTGTGGCCAGTAACGACGTGGCAGCGAGTACGGCTCAGCTGGTGGCGGCCAGTCGTGTCAAGGCTAGCTTCATGAGCAAGACCCAAGACCGCTTGGAGACTGCTAGCAAGGCCGTTGGCTCCGCATGCCGGGCTTTGGTGCGGCAGGTGCAGGGTATTATCAAGGAGAAGAACCAGGATGACACGGAAGCGGTCGACTACACCAAGCTGGGCTCGCATGAGTTCAAGGTGCGAGAAATGGAGCAACAGGTAAGTGTCTCATCTAGGATTCATTCGCGAGTCAAACAGGCTAAGTCCTTTCGGAATTCTAGGTCGAGATTCTCCAACTCGAGAATGCGCTTTCTCGCGCTCGTCAACGCCTGGGAGAAATGCGCAAGATCTCTTACCAGGAAGATTAAAGTCGCTGATGTGATCGGTCTGATTGAGACGTGGGTGGGTTTCGTGTGCGATTACCGCATGTCGCAATGGTTCTCAGCGTCCTTATTCCTACTATTTGGTTTGTCGTTTGTCGAAGTGGCCGACCAAGGATCCTTCTCTTAATTTTCCTTACTATTTTGTCCTCACCTCTCTTTCATACTCCCTTTCCTTGTCGTGCATGATGCAGGGGCCTACCAGCTTGGCTCTTTACACAACCTGCAGTCGATACTTGTCCTTGTTTTTATGTTTCTGTTGGATATACCAAGAGTGAAGGCCATGCGCTGGCCCCCCCCCCTGCCTTGCTAGCAGAGTTGCTGCTTGGCGGCAATCAATCCAAACTACTGTAAATTGTACATACAAGCATGTCCGCAATGTCTCTTGTACATGTACATACCATGACTGTTCGAGCCATCGACCGAAAGGACATCGTACAGAGTCACGAGCAATTACTGTATGCTCGCCACACAGCACCAGCATCAACAACACCAACAGCAATATTTGCCAGCCCATACCCGACCTCCAGCGGATCATCGGTGAGGGTAAGCACCCACCCCACTCCGTCACATCCTTACATCCACACTGCGTAGTACCAGTAGCCACTCAACAAGGCGGAAATGGGCGGAAATCACTTCCACCTTTGGGCCATCAACCAATTCTCGTGCCGAATGACGGAAAGTGGAGACGGGGGGGCGTGCGGCGGTGGGGACAACAAACAGCGCGAACCGTGCGGAGGGGAGATGATTTTCCAGGGGCGGACCGGGTCTGACTTCCCCTTCCCTTTCCCAATCCAATCCACATAAGTTACAGTACTCCGTAAAGGATTGTGGATCGGTGTTTGTATTTGTACCAACTCCCAAAGTGTACATTGGCAGTGTACTCAGTTTGCACGGTGTTGGAACGTAATTCCGAGCTGAGTTGGGATGTGTGTTGATCGCTTTATTTGCCTCTTACTCCGTCCGAATTAATTGCTGCTTTTCAGGCGGTCCTCATGGTCTTTTCGGGGTGGAAAAGTGGGAGGATTGGCTTGAGTGAGGTGGTAGGTTGCGGTTGGGCAAGAAGTCGACTGGCAGTACGTCGTACTCGAGATTAGGGGATCGAGCTGCGGCCCCTTGTGGGTCTACCTCTAGTAACTACTATTCGGAAAGTACTTGAAGGAGCACCTTCGAGGCTTTACACATCATGCCAGTATGTACCCACCATGTTAGACTTACTATCCGTAAGTGCAGTGGTAGAGAAGAATTGAAAGGGGGAGATTTATCTCGAGTTAGATTTCCATTTGCATCCTTACTCGAATCGAGGGCAAAAAAAAAACACGAATTTAAGAGCCCAGCCTGGCATCGCAATAAGCAAGGATATACTATGTAAAAAAAAACTCCAATCTCAAACTACGCCGGTGCATCGGCTATGATGCTTCTTCTTAATACGTCCAACACCTCAATCGCTTCCGCCCAATCCCATACCCGGATGACCTCGAAGACGCGCCCCCACTCGAAGCAGGGAGCCTCTCCTTCCTCCATACCTCGAACCGTTCTCGGACCCTTTGGAGCAGCCCCTGCTCCAGATTCCCCCCCAGCGTCTGTTCCTGTTGCGACGAGACCAGCTTCCACCACCCTGCATCGGTATCCCGCGTGAGGCCCGCCCCGCCGAGAAACCAGTTACGGAGATACTGGGCGACTGGGTGGCCGACCTGGAGGACGCGGCGGCTGAGCAGCCCGTCCTGGACGGCTTTGGTGGCGGCGGGTTTGCGGAGGGTCTCGTAAATGGCGAGGATCTCGGGGAGCAGTTGGGGGAGCTGATGTGGGGCCGCGTGGCGGTTGAAAAGACAGAGGAGCGTGCTTAGGACGGAGGCGTCCTCGAGGGTCGCGGCGAGGTCCTGGGCTTGGTACGGGGGGATGATGCGGCTGGAGGCGCCGAGGAGAGTAGTGTGGGCCTTGGTCCACGTGGGTAGGTCGTCGAGGGTGCGGTAGCGGATCTGTGAGGAGAACGTCGCGTGCGCAAGAATGGTTTGGAGGCTGGGATGGGGGGTTGGTCTAGTCAGCGGGAGGTAGGTGGGATGAGGAAGCATTGAGAAGAAATTCACCGAATGTCCCAGCCTTGATGCAGGGCTTGCAGGCGGGAAAGACCGTCTGCTGGCGGAACCGTCCTTGTGGCTGGAGGAGTGCCGCATGTGTGGTGATAGGTAACGAGCATGTACTCTTTTCCTTGTCGGATTGGGAAGAGGACTGTATGCTGGGCGGAGCCTAACCAGGCGGTAATTCTGTTCTTGGAGCAGAGCTCATCGAGCCGACCGTTGTCGATGGCTTTCAGCGTCGCGCGGCTGATGGTTGCTTGGGCGGCGATGTCGCTTGCTGGACTGGGCGGGCATGGATGGTCCAGGACTGCGTCTCGAGTTTTGGAAAAGATGCCTGGTATATGGCCGATGTTTAGCACCACACCATCTCCCTTGTCATCTACATACTCTCTCAACGACAAGGAAGGAACATACCATCTGCTCCAATAATCACATCCCCTTGAATTCGAGTTCCATCTTCCAGAATCACCTCGGCGCTGCCACAGTGGATGTCCTCTACAATAGCACGGGGACGGACTTCTATCCCCAACTGTCGCGCTCTGCCACGTAGGATGTCGAGGAGATCCGCTCGAGCGATGTTACTGGCTTGCATCATTAGCTTGAGCTGGGTGCTTGTCTCAGAAGACCTGCGCCAAGGGAATTTGACTCGTACTTACAGCCACGGTCGTCCGTAAGCCTGACAAACGGGCGCCCCCCACGGCATCGACCGGATCACTGCTCCATCCTGGTAGCGTCTTAGATCCAGATACTCCGTACTGGTTCCTCTGCGGACGACATCTTCCAGAAGCCCCAGTTGATGCAGGATTCGGGTTCCGTTGGGCGGGATTTGAATACCAGCATTGACCTGCGAGAAAGTGCAAGGGTCAGCAAACAATCTGCTGCGGCGCCCCGTTGGTGGATGTCCCTCGCCCACCCCTCCACTTACCTCGATCTCCGCCTGCTGTTCGAGAACAACAACCTCTAATTGCTCCTGCTTGCAAGCGATCGCACAGATGAGTCCATCTATCTCAGCGCCGACGATAATCACCTTCATGATGCCGAAGAGGTGGCACAATTGCAGAAAGTGGGGTTGTGGTGGTGTCAGGAAAGAAGAACAAAGGGGGAGGCCATTGTCGATTGATAAAGAAAAGGAATGAATCTGCCCCGCATGACCCGCAAGACGGGGGTTTCCCTGATGTGGACAGTCCAATTCGAATGCACTAGGATCAGAAGAGGAAAAGCAACGTGCGAGGGGGACAGAGGGGGGAGGGGGGGTGTATGCACCGTGCATCGGTGAGGTCATACAGAGGAATTTACAAACATGCAAGGTGCATCCCAGGGGCGCCCCTCAGCCGTCGTTATCACCTGAGCAAAAAGCAAGGGGGAGCAGGAATGCGCGATAGCAGCCATCGTGACACACCGGGTTGACTGGAGCACAGGTGAGTGATTGTCCCCCCTGTCATACACTGCTTATAACCATTGCTTCTCGTCAGAGCCCAGTGGTTTCGGCATGATCTCCCATCCCACCTCCACCCCATCGATTGACCCTGAATGTCGCACCGAAGTCATCTCTCCGAATCCCGTCATATGCGTCTCCAGAAACTCCGAGGGCACGTCCTCTGGGCGGATATAATCGGGCGCGTCGAATCCAGACTTGCCTTCGTACTGTCCCAGCGAGCGCAAGTACTTCATCGCTCCAGCTAGGGAGACATCCACTTGCCACGAGCCGCCCTCCGTCGCCTGCTTGTACAGCGCTGCCATGACACCGGCTGCGAGGAAGAACCCTCCCGCATAATCCAGAGCCTGACACGGTAGTGGGCGGGCTGCTTCGCCAGCGGCAAAGTGCTGGGCCTCGGACACATTCAGCCCCGAGCACGTTTGGACTAGGGAGTCAAATCCGCGGCGGCCAGACCACGGACCCTCCGGACCATATGCAGACATGTTCGCACAGATGATCCCGCGACCCGAGCGTCTTTGCACGATCGCCTCCGGTGACAGCTTGCGAGCCGCCAGACTGCCGGGTCTGTAACCCTGGAGGAAGACGTCTGCCTCATCCAGCAGCTTGAAAAGCTCATCTGCATCCTTTTGCTCCTGCAAGTCCAGCTGGATCGTCCTCTTCCCGCGACCCAACTCCCGATCCAGCTCCGGTAGATCAGGAAGATTGGGACTGGTCACCCACAGCACATCCGCGCCGTGAGCGGCGAGCGTCTTTCCGGACAAGGGTGCCGCAATCACGCGAGACATCTCCAGCACTCGCAAGCCCCGCAGACATTTATCCGCACCAGCACCCATACGGTCCGTAAGCCCCACCGGGGCGTCTCCTATCTTCCGTAGACGGATCGGAGTGTCCGCAATAGCTTGGGCTTGGGGAAGAACATCCCACTGCTCGTAGCTCCGTAGTGCAGCCATCGCGAGACCGGATTCGATTCCCGTCTGCTCCAAGTCCACGCACCGCCACGCAGCCACCTTGGCAGCGACCTCCTCCCGGGATGTCACGTCCGACGAGCAGCCGAGGAGGGCCTTGGCTCCGTCGCGGTGATTTGGGAACCCATCATGCACGCGGACGTAGCCGTCGGAAGCTCGATGTAAGCCCCCGACAGGGCTACCAGCTGTGCGTGGAACAGGCTTGCCGTCAACGGTGTACAGTCGCCAGGAATTGAACTCCACGCAGGCGTGGCGGAAGGGAACGGTCACGGCTGGTGGGCGGGGGTGGTCGTTCCGCAGGCTGTGGATCTGCGCGGCGAGTAACGTCGAGAGGGCGATGGATGCTTGTGCAAGATGTCCGATCTTGTAGGAGGATGGGAGACCGGGCTTTTCCGGGTCAGTGATGTCGAGCGACTGGAGGCTGTCTTCTGGGAGTCCGAGGTCCCGCCAAATGTGTGCCACGGAGTCTCGCGAGCTGAAGGCGCTTCTGTCGGGAATTGATGCTGCCATCCTTGCTTGTTCGATAAGGTATGTATTGCTTTGATACTGCTGTCGGTGTGAAGTATGAGTCAATCCGCGATGGCCAGCAGTAGGGAGGCAAGAGGGTTTAAGTACAGATGTCTCACCCTCGGCCATCGTCCGATTCTAGCCGACTTCACGGCACGAGTTGCCGAGCAGAAATGAGGTCAAGTAGCTGTTCATCACAGCATACGTCTGGTCATTGAAGATCAAGTTCGTTGGATTGTAGAGTCAACGACAGCAGAGGCGAGATAGAGAAGTGCTCAAGTTTGTTTACTTTTTGGGTATACAATCCACGAGCGTGTCCACATGAGTAGTATCCATGGAAATGAACATCACACGTGTGATCTAGAGATTGGAAGCAAGTAGATAAGATATCTGAATAGCATCGAAGATATTCTAGTTGCAGGAAGATATGGGGTGATAAGATCGAGCAATGCTTATCATGTGCGGGGTTCTCCTCTCCCCTCTTCAAGTTCGTTGTAGATAAACATATCATCCATACAAGAAGTTACAACAATCAACATCAACTCCGTCCTGTAGTACAATTCCGCCCTCATCACCCCTTCTCTCTCTCTCCCCCCATCTTCTGCATCACAGTCAAGATGACAGACCAGCTTCCACACGTATCCAATTGGGTCAACGGCGCCCACACCGCAGCGACGCCCACCCGCATCCCGATCCTCAATCCCGCCACCGAAACCCCCATCGCAACCATCGACGCCACTTCGCAAGAGACGATCGACGAGATCATCGAGACCTCCCTCCAAGCCTTCCAGCAGGGCCGCTGGTCGCGCGCCGACCCGTCCGAGCGCTTCATCGTCCTCTCGACAGCGGCGCGGCTCCTCCGCTCACGCATCGACGAGTTCATCGCGCTCGAGACCCAGCAGACGGGGCGGCCCATCCGCGAGATGCGGGCGCAGCTCGCCCGGGTCCCCGAGTGGCTGGAATACTTTGCCGCGCTGGTGCGGGTCCACGAAGGCCGGGTGACGCCCTTCAAGGGCCCCGTGGTGAACACGCTGACGCGGCTGCCGCTGGGCGTGGTCGCCCTGATCACCCCTTACAACCACCCGTTGCTGATTGCGATGAAGAAGATCGGCGCGGCGCTGGCGGCGGGCAACGTCGTGATCGTCAAGGCCTCGGAGCTGGCGCCGCTGTCCGTGCTGCGGATGGGCGCGCTGTTCCAGGAGGCTGGGCTGCCGGATGGAGTGCTGCAGATCGTCAGTGGGTATGGGTACGAGACGGGCAAGTATCTGTGTCAGAACCCTCGGCTGGCCAAGATCGATTTGACCGGAGGGCTGGCGACGTATAAGGCGATCGCGGCCGTCGCAGCGGCGAATCTCATCCCCATCACGGCTGAGCTTGGCGGCAAGGCCCCCGTGTGTTTGTTTCCGAGCCTGGAGGTCACGACGGCGGTGCAGGCGGCGTTGTTCGCGGGGTTCATTGCTAGTGGGCAGACGTGTGTGACGGGAAGTCGGTTGTTGGTGCATCAGGATATGTATGAGGAGTTTCGGGGGTTGTTGGAGACGAGGGTCAGGGCGTTGCGAGTGGGCGATCCCACGGACACGAGGACGCAGATTGGGCCGGTGATCTCGCGGACGGCGGTGGAGAGATGTGCTGCTTTTGTGGAGAGAGCTCTCCGTGAAGGAGGGAGGATTCTGTGTGGTGGACATGCGACTTCGAATTCAAATGGCAAGGGGTTCTATTTCGAGCCCACGGTTATCGAAACCAACGCGGACTCGGACCTGGCGTGCAACGAGGTCTTTGGCCCTGTCATCGCGTTGATCAAGTGCGAGACTGAAGAACAGATTGTTCGCATTGCCAACAGCACATCGTATGCGTTGGGAGCCTCGGTCTGGACAAACGACTTCAAGCAAGCTCATCGCGTGGCGGCGCAGATCGAGGCTGGGATTGTGTGGATCAATGGACATCATTTGAATGACCCTTCGTCGCCCTGGGGGGGATTCAAGGAAAGTGGCCTGGGCAAGGAGAATGGCCAGGAGGCCTACGAGAGCTACACCAAGCTCAAAAGTACGGTCATCAACCATGGGGTTCCTCCTGTTTGGTTTGATGACGAGCCCAAAGATGCGCGGTATGGCTAAGACATGAACATCCGACTGCGCTGTAGACGATAGTCCAGACTAGTTCGTAGGCTTAGGAATTTTTGAAAGTCTAATGACGACCATTGACTACTGTCTCTGACTCGGCTTGTAGCTGATTCTCCCGAGTGTTTCATGGCTTTTAATGAAAACCTGATCTCTGCCAGCCAGCTGTGTCGTGATTGCTGTGTATGTAAGACCATGTTGCAAATAGATACTAGATAACGTAGCCAGTCGTTGTAAATGCCGCCAGTGAACATCAACGACTTAACCTGAAGCATCCGGTCTAGCCTTTCCAATTCTTGACATCTCGAGTTCAGTCCAAGGCTCTAGTCGCCTCGCGACGGTCAATGTAGGCCTGTCGCTCCGCCGCCCACTCGGGACTCAACTGAGACAAAGGCGAAGGGGTGTTCTCATCCTCCCAGACATCAGGATCGATGGTTCTGATCTTGACGTTTTTGGGAAGAGGTAGGTCCTTCTCCTTCGAAAAGCCATCCCTCTCAAACCCCTTCAACATCGCCGCCCCCTCCGCATCCGCCAGACGCAACAACAAACCCCAAAACTCCTGATCCGACAACTTCCAGAGCGTCTCCTCCGACATTTGACCCCCACGAACCAGATCCCCAATCAACTTACCCGTGCGCTTGTACATATCGGCATGGGTAGGGTTCGACCACACCTCCTGATCGACCTGAAGATAGACCCGCGCAAAGCAGAGTGCCACGTGCCGGTTTTCAAGGACGAGGATGCGGTGCGGAGCTGTGGGGTATGGAAAAGCTCGCAGACATTGCAACAGCTCGCGCGCCTGGTCGCGGTTCATTTTCCCAAAGGCCAGTCCGTCCCGGAGCGAATAGTCCAGACGGTCCGCGCAGAGATGGGGTGCCGGCAGCTCAACAAGCGGGTATTTCTCCTCATGTAGGACCGTCAAAGGCATGCCATGCTTGGTGAGAATGTCGGGAATACGCGTCGTCTGGAGGTAGCGGGCCTTGTGGACCTCGTGGAAGCTCTCCTCGTTGGGGTTGGACAGCGCCCAGTCGACGACATGACTGAGCACTGTGTGGCTAATGTCATGTAGCAGAGCCACCACTTGCTCTTCGAGCGTGGCGCCCCGAGAACGAACGAGAAGACATGCGCCCACCGAGTGCTCGAAGCGCGAGATCTTGACGGCTCCCGGCAGTAAGCCTAGGTGGCCTGTGACGCCGTGTTGACAGATACCGATCAGGCGCTGGAGATCGGCGCACTGGAGGAGGTCGATGAGAACAGGCTCGGTGATCTCATGCGTACCGTAGAGGATGTCGGTGATGATGACGCGGTGAGGGGATTCGAATGTCAGGGTCTGAAAGTGCCCCGCTTTCAAGTCCTGTTCGGTCATCTGGTGGAGAATAATGGACGCGTCTTGGGGGACGAAGAATATGAGGATGTTGATGGAAGAAGATCGAGGGTGTCGAGCAAACAGATACAACCGAGGATGGTTACAGAATCACAAAGACAAAAGGAGTTGTGTTTACTCAAGAAAGAGTGTAGATAAAAAGATAAGCCAATGCAAGGCAGGTCACATGAGCCAAGCATTGAAGTGAACATCATCCACTCCAGTGAATGCCAGTATCTACAAGGAAGTGCATTGATGGACTGACTGAATAACTGCTTCATTGACAACACATGTCTGCCAGCTTTGCAAGGTTCAAGTTGATGAGAAAACTCAACACCACGAAGACTGCTGACTGCAGTAGCCTTGAATCGTCTTCCTTTCGAAGAGCCATTAGCTGCCCCAGACCCCAAGTAAATCGCAGGCCATCTACATCGAGAATGATTTCTATATCAAGTAGAGCCAGATGCGACATCGTTACATCAATCCGCTCATGCCTCAGTCTGGCCAAAGGGGAGTTCTCGAGAGACTCATTATCCACGACGCCTCGCGCAATCTCGAGCTATTTTCGACACAATCGGATTGAATCCTCTACTTCGACTGCTTAGTACTAGTACTATGAAATTGCTGGACAAAGTAAGGATTTGAGACAGGACCTGCACCACATTTGCTGTGCTTCGCCTACAATGCAAAGGAAAATGCTCTCTCAGGCCCAACCCCATCCCACTGTCCCTGATACATCTAAATCGGATATACTCAATTTCTGGCGTGGCCCTGACAAAGCTTGCTGATCAAGACTGTTCGCCTCATCACTCAGGATGGGCGAAAAGTCTCTGGCATTCGCTCCTTGAAACTGCCTGACATCCCTGATATCATCGATATGTAGCCAGCCACAATCACGACCAAGTAAGAAGAGCGGGATCAACCTCGAGCTGTCTCTTCAGGTATGACCTGAGGTAGCATGAAGCGGGCCTGGTTCTGCACGGTCCTCTGACAGGAGTTTGAGGCGACAGAGACATCGCCGCGCCAACCCACCAAGACTGTTTCGCGCATTCAAAGCTCGTAGCTGTCAATGTCTTTGATACGCTATGAGAGTTCTTCCAAGGTGGATCTGTAGCGGTCGCGTTGACTCTGCCAAGGTCGATCAGTCTACAGCAATGCTGAGCAAGTTCAACGAGGGTTGCCGCCCGCTCGCCTGGGCATATGGTCTGGGGTTGGCTTTGAGTTCAACAGTGATTAGCTTGAGATCGAGTACCTTATTGGCCTAATTTGACTCACATGAAATTACCCATCCACATAGATGCTATCGTTGTCGGTCTGATTCCCTGCAATCGAGCTGTCAAGTCGAATTGCCGACTATAGTTTCAACTTTCCTAGACACGTATAACATGATGGTGGTAGGCGCGATCATGGTTCTGATTCGCTGAAGGGTTGACTACAGTAGCGTGATTAGTGAACTTAAGCCCACTGCAAATCCTCGTGTAGCCGTCAGCATACAAGCAATGGGGGGAGCGTTTGGCTCTGGGTCTAGAGACAAAGAGTCAGCAAGATGTAGTTCGGAAACACGATTTCCGCGGCCAAGGACTGACCCCAAACTGGTCGCTCTGCTGATCAAATGGATATCTCGCCACAAAGCTCGCAAAACGGAAATTTTGAGTGCACGTCTGCTCGATAGGGGTCAAACAAAGCGCAGAGCCCACTAGACAATGAGACATGCCTGTCTCAAGCGATGCCCCTCGATGCGATAGGTCGTTGCACGGCTCGGTTCCGCCCATGTTGCATTAGTGAAGCCTACTACTGTGCATCTGACGGAGGACACGCCTCTCCTCGAGGACTCCCTGCGAAAGTTGAGTGACCATGGTGATGAGATAGCCCCTTGTTTGGATATACCTCGACCGGATCGTATACAGGAGACCACGAGGCGCAGATCTGCGGTAAAGTCTTTTTGGTTTCTCCTCCTCCCCCACAGCTCGGATGTCAGGGTCAACAAAAAGATCGTCTCCTTTGTATGACAAGCGCGGCCAAGGCGTGTTGACAGCGGATCTCCTTTGCCCATGAGCCCATAACCCCCTGTGTCTCCCAAACGCTGTTCCTGTCGGTCGGTTCGCTACTGCTCCACAACGGAAAGTAGTCTGGGCCTACCGCCCATTGCAGAGGTAGACTTGGAAATTGCCTCTCATCCAATCTCTTCGCGGTAGGTCTGCCACTCATGCCCTTACAGCGCCTCGAAAAGCATGCATGAGCTTCCAGCTTTGTGCCAAGGGTCCCATGATTACTTTCTTCGTGGTTGGCTTTGTGTACAGTCACAGAACGCATGGGTCTAAAAACTCTCGAACGCAGCTGCGCTCAAGAGTCGATCGAAACGGGTATTCTGGTTTTCCCCGCATGAACTTGAACCTTAAAATGGTCATCCAGTGATTCTTTGTCGATAATGAGGCACCATGATCTTCAAGCAGCGATGTAATATGGTTGGCGAGGAGCGCGCATGGATGGGCTGGGATGGAGGGGACGTTTCCGCTTCTGTCCAGGTGGCGGTCGTTTCGTACCTTCTCTTTGTCATATGTTCAAGGCTCCCAGTAGCAAGTTCTGTCATATGTTATGAGAGAACTTTCTGAAGTAGAATTTGCATGTGGATGTATGGGCAATTGTTGCCTCCGGCATTTTTATGGACTGATCGATTAATGCGAATTTCCCTGTCTTACAAGGGTCATGGACTAAGGCGATCGCCGAGCGCCACTACTTAGAATATTTCAATGTCAAACTAGGTTGGAGTTCATCTATCGGTCTACCATACGATGCAAAGATGGGAATGCGAGTCTGGATGAGGGCTATGTGACTATCAAGCCTAATTTCTAAATATGGCTGTTTGGTAAAACAAAAAAGGGAGATGACATTTTGATAGATCAAAGAACAAATCTGAATAAGTTCACTTTGGCTCACTTTGCTTTGGTCTCTCAAATAGCTTCAACATTTCTTCGATGCAGTAGTAGAATGCGGTTGGGTCTTGGTCCTTCGAGTTCCACCATATATTCTTAGGAAAGACGAAAGAGGATTGCTCATGCAGTGTGTACAGATAAAACGATTGCAGGATACATATCAACTGTATACATTCGCCATCAATGCTTCGCCTTCAAAGTTGCAGTTGTGATAACAATGAATCCCCTAAATTAATGCTGCTATTGCTTTTTCGGTCATTCAAGATGCCTCATCTTGTTTTCGTGCAAGGTGTTATAGTGTCCACATCAGAGCATGATGAAACGATCAAAATCGAATGTTTCATAAGACTCGTCGTAGACCAGCGGATCGAAGTTGGGTATCACAGGAGGAAATGCTGCACCATACTGAAGTATGGCTCCATCTTCATTCCAGAGCGACAGCAGAGCTTCGTCCGGCTGATACTCGTTGCAGTTGGTTTGGCTCTGAGGTACTTGCATCAAATCAAGAATAGGAACTGCTCCGACATGCTCATACTGGCCTTTCTCGAAGGTGGGAACAATGTCGCTAGAGGCAGGAGAAGAGAGTTCGGTGGAGTTGTCTGGAGAAGTAGCCTTTGTGGAAGTGCTTCCATCACTGTCCCCAGTGATAATGGTGTGGCTGTCATTGATCCGAATGCTGCTATCATCGTGCACAACCAAGTTTGGCTGGGCAGCAAAAGCCATAACAGCTGGGTTGCGACTATTAGCAGCGCCATCATTGCGGTTTCCGCCAGAAACATAGCCAGTGTCGTAGCAGTTTCTGACGATGTCATCGACCGAGTAATTGGTGACAAGTTGTTCTTCAGTGGTGGAAGGTAGCTTCACCTTGGTCATGGTGTACTGATGCTGTTCATCGACAACGAGCTGCCAACCCATCACATCAAGGTACTGCTCTGGCTGAAGAATGCCAATCATGCCCGAGTTGAGGTTCAGGAAGGTCTCCAAAGTGACACTATGTTCATGCTCATGCGTATCACGGACGATGGAGTAGGCTTTGGCGATGATAGTCCACTTCGCTTTGAAAGGATCATTCTGCCAGAGGAAACGAAGGATGCCCGACTTGGCTTTCTGAGTGATCTCCGGAAACATGGTTGAGTAGAAGCCTATTATGTGTTAGCCGTGCCTTTCAAGTTCAATAAGGGTAGAAGGTTCTTACTTCGGAATGCAATGAAGCTGTTCAGTGGTCTGCGTTTCGCATCCGGAGTTCGCTTTGCACGCGAAGCTGAGGCCTGAGTAGCGCGTCCCCGATGATCGACAGACGCATTGGCGTTGTCGAGGACAGCTTGCGAAGATTCACCGGCCGCCTCATGATCATGGGAAACTCTGGTGTTTCCATCAGTCTTGTTGCCTTGAACGTGCTGAAGCAACTCTGAAAGCTGCTGGGCGGGCATGTTGGTCAAGAATGAGCTGAAAGCACGATGAAGAGGAGAATTGGAATCGTCCATCCTTCTTGAGAAAGTGGAGACTTAAATGTGAACTAGACTTGTGACTTTATAGAGAATGGAATGCAAGTTATGTGGTTGAAGCCAGATTTGTTTGCCCAGGCAAGAAGATGAGATAGGGTTGAGGAGAAAGAATATGGTTAATGGTGAAGGGAAGAACGAGGATAACAGGAAGATCATCCGGGAAGGATATATACTACTAGCGATTTGTACACAATAGAAACAGTGTTAGAATCGTCCATGATGCCACAAATGGAGCGGTATGAGACAAAGGATTTCCCCATAATTTTCTTTAGGAGACTGGATGTAAGATCCACTGATAGGCTGAGCTTGGTTGATTTATTCACCGGAGGCAGATAACCCTCGCTCGGAGCCATCTTGGTAATCTCCTGGCCCTTTGTTCTGAGTTCTATTCGTCACCGGAAGCTTCGTCACAATCATCCACGACTTCATCACAAAATCGGGCTTGGTAGGTTGTGGCGTTGAACAAATTGTTTGACTCACATGGTCTTACACTTCGATCAGACGAACGTCACAAATTTCATATGAGTTAAGTTCCAAGCAGCGCTATCTAGGATCTCGTCTGGGTATAGTGTTGAACAACACCAAATATCCGATCCTAGGCAGACCAGGACATAATCTGGAAAATTGACAGTAGGAATCAAGCGCAAGCATGCGGAAGAGCATCCAGACTATCAATACACCCCACGCAAGCCATCTGAGAAGAAACGCCGTGGCGCCGCACGCCCCAAGGCCAAACCTGCCAAGCGAACCCGCACCACTACTGCGCGAAATACCACTCTTGGAGTCAGCAGCTCGGGCCTAAACAACAACCTCTCAGCGACTGGTGCGGATGCTGACACACCGAACAACCACATCATCAATTCCAACGAGACAGCTCTGGCTGAGGGCACCTACCGCTTCACCGCCGCTGAGCTCGATAGTCTCATTGCTGAAGTGGAGAGCGAAAACCAGCGCGCTATGATTTTTGCCTCTGCGAACTTTGGCATGAACGAGAGACTTGCTGGCGAGGCTTTTGAGCTATCAGATTTCCTTGTGGATATCTACTGAAGGGACGAGTCGGTCATATAGGGCGCTTTCTAACGCGACGTCGAAGAAGAGAGCGAGCGGCTGGGATGGAGCTGGTCTTCGGACAGGACCAGGCTGCTGGAACCCTTTGGTATCGCTTGTAGCTTGCTACAAACTGACTATCCACACAACCGCAGAGAAGGAGACGGGGAGACGCATTCAAGGCTTGTTTTCAGACCGATGCACAGCTTGTCTTATCTCTATCATCTCTTGCTATTCCCAATCCTATAATTCATTCTTCCCACACAAAACGGATTGTTCCTTGCGCCATCACAAGCTTCTGATCCTTGGATTATCTGAGAGCTTAACATGGTATGGTTGATGGACCGGTTACAAAGAATGTATCTTCTCTCGTGTTTTTCTCATCAGCATGCCTTCCCGCCGGATCAGAGGGCATACATGTATCATAATTCCTGAAAACGACAGACAGTTTGCATAGGATCATCTTAGAATTCTAACATACGGTGGTTTGGACTGACTACAGAAGCTTCTGCGTACAGCTATTGTTTCTCTCGTAGCTTTGCTCGCATTCATTTTGTCATTGTGGTTGCAGTTATCAGTAACAATAGAATCTATTCGCCGAGGGCAGCTTCTCCCACCTACAGACTTTGGAGTAACACATCCCCAACAGACTTCTTGGGACAATTAATTCAAGCACTGAATGCCAGCGACGACAATAGCCCCACACAGCAGGGAAAGACAAAGTTATTCCTTTCATACAATAATAACATGCCTCCACCCTAATGCATGCAAGTGGATACCCCTGTGCGGGTCCGGGGGGGAGGTTGACAATAGAGATGATCACCTGCCAGAATGTCTCCGCTGTGGGTATAACATCATGTCTGAATTGTTGTGCAGTAAATAGAGGATGGTGAATGGGGGTGGGGGCACCGTCTCATCATACAGTAAAGCTGCTGCACAGCTGATGTATCACAAGTGTTGTGAATAGTGGATAATACTATCAGAGTCACTAATTTCCCAATCGAGGGTGTTTTATTACCAGGCTTTCGAACCCAACAACTATTCACAGCAGGACAAATAGAACACCAGTTCAACTTTCCAGGTTTGGTATCACACTTGAGGACAAAGAGCGCAGGGGTATCATTTCCTTCCTCCATCCTATCCAGACAAAACTTCGCTAATATGAGCAATCTCCTACAGCTACGTGGATGATGAATTCCAATCGCTTGCCCAAATGAACGTCGGACATCGCCATTGCGTACCCTTCTCCTTGTTGCCGCTCGGTCCCAGAGGCCTCGAACATATCCAAAACGCTCGCCCGCAGTTCGGTCCCGGCTTTTTCGTCGTCAGGCTGATGCACGGTTCCTGATGGCCTTCGCATGGTGGGGCTCGTTTCTTCGTGAAGAGCTTAGACCAATCTTCTTTGCTCACAATTGGGTCAATGACTGCGTCCTCCTCCTTGGGGGTAATTGCACTAGATGGGGTGCTGTTGTTGGCTTCTTCTGCAAAGGCTGACGTCACGGTATTCAGAACCTCCTGGTTCTCAAGCTGCGAGGAGTCCGACGCGCCAGTCATGTTGGAGAGCAAATTTGACGTTTGGAGGGGAGCAAGTTCAGCGTCTTTGGTGGAGCCATCGTTACTAGAATTTGTGGGGGCACTTCTGGGTTTGAAGAAACCTTTCAAAGTCTTTTGCCCAGCGCTGGTAGGCGCCTGCGTTGAGGCCATTGTACTTTTTGATCGTTTGATTGGGGATTCCGGCTTGTTTGATCGCTTGCGTATTGTGCCTCTGCCCTCGTCGTTGGCACCAGTGACCGTCTCGTTAGTCGGGTTTTCGGAAGCAGACGTGGCGGTTGCTTCTTGCACGGGGGTCAACCCCGCATTTGTCGAAGTTCGAGTTGGAGAGGATTGAGATGCTTTGGTCGGTTTGCGCATGAACATATCCTTGATGCTTCTTCGCTTGTCAAACTCAGGGATTAGACGTCCGGAGGTAGGCAACAACAACTTTGATGAGTACTCCTGCTGACGCTCGCCATTTTCGAACACCCCCGCAGGGTTCATGATGTCACGAATGTTGGTCTCTTTTCCTCGAAACACCACGCTATCCTTGATAATGGCATAGACAGGACAGTGATCCGAGCCCTGCATCGTCTGCGGTCAGCGTAGGTCCGTGAGTTTTGAACGTGCACCGAAACATACCATGAGCCCTTCTTGAATATTGGACTCGCAGAACCAATCTTGCATTTCTAAGCTGCAGAGGACATAATCAATCCGCGCGCCGTAATTGCCCGGGCGGGCATTGATTCTCTGCTCCCAACAGGTATACATCCCTTTTCGATCGGGATGAAATGATCGGCAGATATCGTGAAGCACAGGCTCCTCTCTTCCTTCATCGCGCTCCCCGATGACTTTGCCGTCCGGAAACCACTGATTGAAAACGCGTCTTGCATGAACCGAAACCCATTCGTCCTCGGTCAAGGTTCCTTTCCGAATCGCCTCCGCCGCATGCGCTGCGTCGATTTCTCTTCTGGAGATATTGAGATCTCCTGTGACGAACACCTGTTTTCCCATGGCAGCGAGATTGCGAACACGGGCATCCATCAATTCAATAAAGTCATGGCGGAATGAGTCGCGGCTCTCATCCCGATTTGCGGGAGAATATATGCCTAGCAACACGAAGGCGGGAAACTCAAGAATGACACAGCGACCTTCTGAATCAAGAACGGCAGGGTCAACCTCGAGACTACTAAGTTGCTCTAGAGTTGGGTAGCCGCCAATCTGCTGGTCATCCGGAAGGTCGCGAAAGGAGACCGATGAGTTCGGCGGGCAAAGCATGCCTGTAAGTCCTTCTTCCGCACGAATAGGGGCGCACGTCGCATTGCGGGTGTATATGACTACCCCCGAGTAGCCTGGAAGATATCAGCCAGGATGCATAGCAATACTTGGTACCTTGGTACCCAAGACGTACCTTTCTTCACCTTGGGTAAGCTGAAGTAGCAATCCCATCCCGGTACCATGACCATGTCATCACGAAGGTCCTTCCGTTGAATTTTGGTTTCCTGAAACACGACAATATCGGCTTCGAGGATGTCAAACATCGCCTAACCATGTCAGTTTGAACGTGATACACGAAGAAATGCCAGGGGCGATGTACATCGAAGGTACGCTTGCCTCTCCATGGTTCATAGGAGAATGGATTACTACGTCAAGTAAGTGGCGTGCAGCTTGTAGCCTTGAGACAAGTTTTCCTTACCGGATCCCGTTAACTGTGAACTACAAGTGAGTTTGTGATCTGGCCAAGCTCTATGTTTTCCACAATGTCATTGTGGTGTTGGGCACTCACCGTTCCATGTTGTGATACGTAACCCCATCCCGTCACTAGCAATCTAACCGACACACGCCCATTGAGTGAGGGGCAAAGAACTGAAATATCTGAATGATATCGCCGTCACGGCGACTCCGATGCATGCATAGTACTAAGGTCGAGTCTATAGCGAGAGCATCAAGCATCATCGAGCATCGAGTATCGGACATGCTTCGGGACAAGCACGTGACTGTGACATCACGCGGGCGGTCGTGACTCGCTGCTGACATAATGGCGCACTGCCTGTGGCCGCAGCCAGCGAATCACGGGGACGCTAAGCGGCTTTTGGTTCGTTAAGCCGGCAGGGCCGACATCCGCTGAGATTCCCACCGTCAAAGACGTCGTACGTTGTTCCACACCAACACTACTGACACTTCGATTGTCAACCCCCTCCACCACCACAACACAACCATGTACGCTCAGCGCAGTCTTCTTCGTCTGTCCCAGCGCTCCGCGCAGCAGCTGCGTGCTGCTCCGGTCCGCTCCGCCGCCCCGCGTCGCCTCAACCACACCGAGTCCAAGCTCCCCTCCTGGGCTGTTGACAACGAGTTCAACCGCGAGAGAGAGGCCGTCAAGCACCACGCTGCTGCTACCAGTGGTGCGTAACCCTTGGGAGGGTACTCAATTGGACCAATTGCATTTCCCAATGCCAACAATTCATCACAAACGGCCGTGTCTATCATAATGCTAACTCAATGGGCTTGTTCGGTTCCAATAGACCTCTGGCGCAAGCTCTCCGTCTAGTACGTTTGCCCCTCCTTGCTGCTTGCGATCCGTTCAGCAACGATTGATCCCTCATATGAACATGCCTGGAAAACAATTCACCTCGAAACAAGTCAAGTCTTTCTACTTACACCAGCCTTTCCAGCGCCGTCGTTCCCATCGTGATCCTCGGCGGTATCAACGCCTACAACCTCTGGGAGGAGCACTGGGAGCACTGGGAGCACATGCCTCCTCTTGAGGAGCGCACCGAGTACCCCTACCAGAACATCCGTGTCAAGAACTTCCCCTGGGGTGACGGTGACAAGGTAAGTTGCTCCTCCAATCTCCGTACAGATTTGGGGGACATAGGCTAATCTCGTCGTTCATGCTAGACCATCTTGTAAGTTTTCTGCCTCTTCCAGTTCAAGCACTGGGCTTCAATCGCGACAACTACTCCGCCATACAGAAAGCTGGTATCAAGGCTACTTTTTTTGCCGGATCGGTGTGCTAACTTTGATGATTACAGCTGGAACTCCAGCGTCAACTACCACAACAAGGACAAGGCCACCTAAATGTCCAGTGGCCGAATGACGGGCCTGGCAGCTCCCTTGTGGGGCCTTTTGTTTTTTTGAGGTCCTAGATCGGATACGGAAGAACAGTTGTACATTTATTGCGGAATTATGCAAAATGTAGAGGAACCTTTGGGGGAGATGATGAGAGAATTGAGCGAGGGAGGCAGAGAGCGAGTCACACAATGCTACTTCAGTTTTTATTTTTCTTTTGTATGGTGCGCGTGCTCTTTTTGGGTAATCAAATCAGATCGCCCGTCGCGATTGGGTTTCGCCTGGCGCAGAAAAAGTGCCTCACCATTTCTCGCAAGGGTCATCTTGTCAGTAATGTAGGCTGCAACGTCTTGTGGATTCGTTGTTAAGCAGGCACGGGTTGCAAGAGACAGCGCAAGGCATCGCATTTCTCAAATAGTGTGGATTCCGTATACTCGATGCATCTACAGCACAGAACGATATCATCACGGCCTATACTTCCGCAGACTCCTGGCGCTGCTGCCTCTTGAGATCGAGGTATTTCGCCGCGTAATCATTCGCCAGCACTGGATCCCCCGTCAGATGCATGACCGTGGCTTTCTTAGCCATCATCTCGCACTGCCCGCGGATATCCTCGAGCTCCTCATACTGCTCATAGGCACAATCCAGGTATCCAAGTGCGCGGTTCATATATTCTTTCTTGAGAGGCGATTGGGCCTGCTGCTGCTGCTGCCCCTGATTCCTCCAGATGGTACCCGCGACCCCCATGTTGGCATCGACGAGGAGGGAGTACGCCTGGGCGGCGAGGTCACAGTCGTCCGACTCGAGGATCTGCGGCATGATGCTCTCCAGCATGGCAGAGACGGCGTCGAACTCGCGCAGGCTGAGAAGCACCCCAGCTAGGACGCAGATAGACTCCCACAGGCTGGGCAGGAGGCGCGAGCGGTGGGCAATGCTGGCGGCGCGCATAGCGAGCGAAAAGCCGCGCTGCGGATGGCCGGTCTTCTCGAGGATGCGTGCCTTGAGGCAGAGTAGCTTGACCTGGCTGAAAATATCGAAGTTGTCTTGGTGGATGGACTGCGCGGCTTTTTCGACGATCTCGAGCGCGCGGGCGTAATGGCCTTGGCGGATGCGGAAATCGATCGTCAGAAAGGAGAGAAGGAGGGAGATATCTGTATCGGGGAGTTGAATCGCTTGCAGTTGGGAGAGGAGATGTTCGACCGCCACTTGATTGTCACTGGAAGAGGATGATGATAATGTTAGGGATCTGGTCTCCCACGCGAGATGGATCATCGAATTGAGAGATATACCGATAAATCTGTCGTTTCAGTTGCAGCACCCCGGTGAAGAAGGTCCAGTATTGGTTCGCTTTTAGGGATCGCAGCTTCTCGGGTGTGACCTGATCCATGCGGGCGGAAATCTCTTTGTAGCGGCCCTTTTGTGCGAGCTTTTTGTCGTTCTTGTTTAGCAAAAGATATTGATGTGATAAGAGGGGCAGAGTTGACGTACAAGCTGACAGCTTCGAAAGGTACTTTTGAGATAATCTTCGAAAGGTGCTCTACTCGCATAGCATTCACGAAAGATCTCGCTGCTGAGCCACGATAGATGGGTGACTCCTGATATATGGTTAGTCTGAATCAGGTGCCTTCTGCGCAGCGGGGGGCAGAACCTATTCTCCCAAAGAGCGCGGCTTGAAGCAAAAGTTGGGGCCCCACTGAATTCATCAGATTCTTTGTGACATTCAAGTGTGAAGCGCGGATTATATTCTCCATAGACGCGGCAAGGCTTTCCCCCTGCCTATTATCAGTACAGTCCCTCGAGAGTGAAAAGGCACAACATACATTTTGCAGCTCAAGTTTCGCTTCACTCAATAATGTCGTGCTCAGTAGGCTCCACATCTCCGTTTCTTTGGCCTTCGCCTTCAGAAAGGAGAGCCCTTCTTTTTCATTACCTAGCATTCCAGTGTTTTGTATATCCTTCATCTGCTCAGGGAAAGCTTTGCCAAAATGGTAAAGCCAGCTCATACAGAAGTTGAGGCAATTCATATCATGCGATTCACGCGCAATGGAAACTGCCTCCTGCATTGCCGACACGGCTTCTCCATGGCACCCATAGTCGGCCTGCAGGATTGCAAGATTCAACAATGCGTATTGGTAAGAGCTTCTGTCGCGACTGTGCATAGTGTAGTCGAAGTAGCGATGGAGGTTGTCGAAGGATGATGGGTAATCGCCCGCTCTCCATGCATCCAGAAACCTACCGTGTCCGTTAGTATGCAGCATACGAAGGGCGATGAAAGAACGAGCAGGCTTGCCTCAGGTAGTGAATCAAGTTGGGCACCGTCACACCCGATGCTATAATGCGCTCTAGCTGTGCTTTCATTTCGTCCGGAACTCTCCCTCCCAAACCTGAAGCGCATTAGCCGCCAGCCTAGTCCGTTCATAAGAGCAGTATCCATACTTTGTAGCTCGTTGATCTGAAACTCTAGGAGCCGCTCCACATCTTTCGTGCTGACGTACTTGTCGTCCTCGAAATCATTGTCGATATGGCCATAGGCCACTTGCGAGAGGTGACTTGTTGTGTCTAAGCCAAGCTCCAACAGATTGATATCAACCGGGGCTTGCATCCCAGCTGGATTTTTGCGCGCCCATACACGATACGTCGGCAACCTGTATCGCACAAACCCCTTCCAGAGGTTGACCGAGTCATGGAATTGTAGTCTAGTAAACTCCAGCTGAGATCGTCGTACAAATGCACCTAGCGGGGAGCATCGGGACAACCTCGTGGGGCCCCTCTCGGGAGCAAGGCCAGCATCTCGGTCACGAATCTGCTCGTCTCGGGTCTTGACCAGCAGGTCGGAGATACCACCGAAGAAAACCTCGAGAGCATCGCAGGAGTCGATTGACCAAATCTTCTTCAGAAAGAGGTCCCAGATCGAGCGGCCGGGCACAGAAGATAGGTGATCATGAAGAGATCCTTCCAAGTCTGTGATCGATACCGAGCATCGGGTGTCTTTCTTCAAAGTACTGGGGGGCGCCTCCCGATCCAAGGGACTCAGGCATGAGACCAGGAATGAAAGGACATGAATTGCAGAAGAATTGGGAACGACGCCTTCCACGTAGATCGATATCAAGCACAGGAGTGCTACCTTAGAAGGGGTGAGATACCGACTCATTGTGGTTGCTCTCCGGACATTGTATACAGTGGATGTGGTGATGATTTCCGCTGGCTGAGGCCCTGCAGTAGAGCCCACGTCAGGTCTTATTGTGGCTTGAAGCCGACACAAAGTAGATCGTTAACGCAGAGGGCTCAACTTGTTGAATCAGACTATAAGTAGCTTAGTCCTCTGTTGCTTGGAGAGTCAGGCCGAATAGATCAACGCAGGACTCAGACGATGATGCGGAAGCCTTGCGGCGCGATAAACAATGGCAAAGGGAAAGAGGAAGAGATTTGGAAAGATGGATGTTATGGCTATGTATTGTATTGCTGTATTTGTTCAATACATACGACCACAGGGTGTGGAAAATAGGGCTTCCCGTCCGCTCAGCCGTACTCAAGCCACACGCCGGGAGGTTAGTAGTTGGGTGGGTGACCACCAGCGAATCCCTTCTGTTGTATGTTTTTTTGACTTTTTCACCAATCAACCTACCTACCTTCACCACCGGCCTATGCTCTACAAGATGGGCCTGGTAGACTGGATTTCTCACGCAGCTCACCGGAGAAGCGACTTCTTACCCTGGAACTGCTACCACTTGAACTAATACTCATAGTGGCAGACTTACTGACAAACACCGACATCACCTGCTTGAGGCTATGCAGGCGAACACTGAAAGAACGCACAACAAGCCGTTGCGACTTTTAAGCCAGTGCGTGACAAGTCGCTAGCTCTTTCAGTCCTCACTAGAGTAGCCCGAGATTTGCCTCGAATGTCCTGCTGCCAGTATCGCGCACGATTACGCTCTATCACTGACGTCCGCCATCCAGCAAGTGGCACAAAAATTTAACCATAAATGCCCAGTCAAGTGGTGTTTCTCAGTGCACCATAGCTTCAGCAGCTCTTACAGCTTCTACCCGCGAGTTACCTTCCGCAAGGGCGAGCTCGGAGGCTGTTTGATGGCTGTTTCGTGAAAGCTCTGATCATGTGAGTGACCCTACACTGCGAAACAAATCCCACATGAAGGAAAGGCGATACCGTTGTGCAATGTGGAGGCTGAGTAGCACGTATCATTCCATGTACTACTTACTTGATCGCTAGGTTCCGAAACTAAAGATTCAGCTGTCTAACCCCATTTTAGATTGGCACAGAGGCATGCTAGCTAGTCTAGTGGAGCGAAGCAATACTGGTTGAGGTACCGCACGTACCCTGAGAAGATTGCCTATCCACGAAATCCTTTCTCAAGGGTCAGCCCATGTGTATCAAGTTCTTCAGCGTCCGGAAAGATATCCCGTATGCTGCTATGAGTGCGCTCATCGCAAAAAGCACTTCCGCACGGTACTCGGGGCCCCTATGCTCCATCATCTATCATTTTCCCTACTTAAGTACATCTTCACCAGTATTCCGTCAGGTTAACTTCACGATCAAAGCCTACAACATGAGTATGAAAATAAATGGTGAGTGGTGAGTATGAATCAGCAGAAACCATGCTATTGAGGTTAGAGTGCCCCTTGTGAGGCTCATTCTGTTATGTCTAAGGTACCTTGGAGGCCTCTGTCGTAATTCGCTTGAGTATGTGCAGCTGGACTCTGGGAACATTCAACCGAAATCCACGCGGCTCACTACACGACAAGTCTCTCCATCTCTTGGAACAAACTCCACTCTCATCAAATGAGAATAGCACCGTTGCCCTCAAGAAGCTGTCCAAGGTTCAAGAGCCTCTGCTATATGTGAACGAGAGCTGTTCTGTTACTCTTGGAAGAGCAGAGGAACCAGGATCCAAGCGCAAATCTGGGAGACGACCAATTCTTCACAGGCAATGCGAAACGAGTCCAATGGCTCGAAGGTTGGACAGCTTTCCAACATGGCATAATGGTCTGGTGGCCGTTTTGTGTTTTCAAGGCTAGATAACATCCAAGCGAGTGGTGAACACAGCAAAAGAAGAAGATCTTGGGAGTAGCAATGGGAACATGAGTCGAAGCCGCCTCGTGGCTGTTTGTCTCCTAATCTATTGCATGATCTCAGTATATACTCCGTACTCCGTATTATCTAGTAAAGGAATCTCGGTAAACCGGTGGTTTACTCTTAGATCTACAGATTGGCTGTCTGCATTACTCGTTGCCACTCAACCTGACATCGGTCTTCGTCTATCTATGCATTCTGTTTAGACGACGTTCGACTCACCAGCGCCAGACCACTTCGCTGGAAGGACTACAATATCCGCTGTGCCACAGCTAGCAATTTGAAAGAAAAATAAAAAAAAAAAAAAAAAAAAAAAAAAAAAACTCCTCAGAAGGCTCTATACCTGCTAGGCCCTCGAGAACTCGCGCCTCGGGGGCACATCAGAGCCCGAGAACACTTCCGGGAACTCTTTTACTCTATCCATAAGACAAAATGACCCTACGCACCCTGTTTTTTCGGCACTCCATCGTGCCATATCATCACACTGCATATCGAATGTTGTCGTCGTCTACAAAGAAAATGAACCCGCTAATGCACGATAGCCCACCAGGACAATGTCGAATTAAGCTGAAGCTGATTGTGGCTGTCTCCGCCTTGCCACCAGCCTTAGGCAGTTCTCCACACCACTAATGTGCGGACCCTGTCCTCTCGGCTTGTTATCTATCACTTTGCCTCCAACTAGCCGTATACCCATGGTGGGTTGGAGAGCCCTGCCTTGGCCATATTCGAGCAATGACGTGGCTCGATCAATTTCCTCGATTGTTGAGCTGTGGGGGGGGGGGGGGGGGGGGGGGTTGTATCTGTTTGTCTCAGATGCATTCGATTCATCCCTAAGGCAGATCACAAAGAAAAGAGGCAGCGGCGCCAAGGCTAGTAGCCAGGAAGTACGGAGTACTCAGAACGAAGGATTCAATCCGAGAAGAACTAGCATCGCTTGCAGCGGAGTTCAGTATCGGCCAAAGTCCTATATTCGTGGCGCAAAGTCGGATAGATCGTCTATCATGTAACGTCTCCTCTGTTCAGTATTTCGAGGACAGAGCATATAATCGCCATAAATTCTTCGCATTTTACTTCTGACTAGTGAAAACTGCGACCATCCAGCAAACTTGCGATTGATTGCGAAAATATGCATTTTTCGATGTAGAGATGCTGTTGCCCACAGATCGTGCAGAGTGAACTCCATGTCCTGGGTCTCACTCGGCCGGCGGGAACACAAAGGTAAATGCAATTAGAGTCAAACGGAGTAAGCTGCAATCCTCGGTTCCTGGCGGAGGCTGGAGCATGTTTCCAGCCAATTGGCGAACGAAGACATGTTGTGTTTTCCAATATGACGGGGGGTGGATGGCTTTCGTTTCTAATGTACGGAGTACTCCGTGCGTTCGATTCGAGTCCGACACTCGTCCCAGGATGATTGGGTCAGACCTTCTGCAATGAAACCACCTGGAATAATGAAGCGTTGACCTTGAAGATGATGAACTGGGAAGTGACTTGGTTTGAGTGAAAAAAAGTACGATAAAATGTCGCAAGGAATCGGAGATAAATGATACGATGGACTCAGCTGGACCGTGGACGACAGTCTCACTTGCAGCAGCAACATGCAGTTGGCACAAAGGGAAAAGGACCTAATTTAACTTCAGTCTGGCCACCCGCATAGCACTTGGTCACGATTATGGGGAGGAGTAATGCATGAAGCTGCTGCAGGTAGTGGCAGGTCATGTCACTCACTGCATTAGTCAGTACTAGCACCGGAAAGCCAACAATCTCGACCGATTGTCTGCTTCCCAGCACGACTCAGGAGGCAACAACGAAAGAACCAACTCCACAGGCTTACTGACAATTCACTGCTGTCGATGCATCTGTGAGCCAGTGGTCAACATTGGAAGTATTATCCACTTTCCCCGCGCCGGAATCCACTCTCCAACCTGCACTGTACCTCGCCGAAAAGGGATAAAGCCAACTTCCCATGACGCTTGCAACGCCCGCGATAGCTGCATCCTTCAGAAGCCGGATCCCCGATCCACCCAGTCAGCCCTGTACTCGAAGAAAGCCCCTGGGATATGTCATATAGGCCAGGGCATTGCCTGCAGCTCTATGACAAGCCACAGCCCAGTGCATCATCTGATTTGTGCGTCATGACAGGGATAACGGGCTTGGTTTGCCTATAGCGTCTAGTCGCACTTCTACTAATGCGCCTATGCGCTCTTCTTTCAACCCAGACCCTGGTAAACGTGCCTTTCAATCTCAATTGCTCGGTGCATAAGCGGCGGCGGGATTGATGCTAGTTGATAGCTCGAAAGCCCAAGGTGCGGTGAAGAGACTTGGTCTCTCTTATAGCTTGAGCTCTCCATCTCGAATTTCGTCGTTAATGCTGACCCTGGCAACCCGCTATTGCCAAAATGACGAGATCTGAGCCCCTTTCCACGGCTTTCTCTATCGATGGGGGCTCTATTCCAGCTCTAGGTCTAAGCACATTTCCAGGCAATGAACCTGATTCGCGAGTTGCGAATATCGTGCACAAAGCTCTGATCATGGGTTATCGTCTCATTGACACGGCTGCTATTTATGGAAACGAAGAAGCCGTGAAAGCAGGCATCCGGATGAGCGAAGTTCCCCGAGAAGAGATCTGTGTGATTGCTAAGCTGTCAGTTTTCATATGCCTACTTCCGTACTCATCAACACTCAGCACAGGCTGATGTCCACGGATAGAGACCCAACGTGTCATGCCCCGGACGACGTTGAGAAATCCCTTGACCGCAGCTTACAGCAGCTTGGATTGCGCTATGGTTGGTGCAATCCTGGTCGTGATAGCTGGTTCAATACTGACCACTGCTACTATCACTTACAGTGGACTTCTTTCTTATGCACTGTACAATGCGATATTTCCCCAAAATTGCCAGGCCGATTGTTGATCATTGAGTACAGCTCCATACGCTCTTTGCAAAGGTTCCAAGGGCAAGCCAAGATTAAGTTACGATTGGAAGGTACGTCATTAACGTCTGATTTGGCCCAGTCAATGCTCACCCGTTGAATTTTGACAGCTTATGCTTGATCAAGGACGCTCGCGAGCATACCTCGACACTTGGCGCGCGATGGAGCGACTCGTTGATACGGGCAAAACGAAGCACATAGGTATTGACATCGTAATCTCAGCTTGCATAGATCGCTTCTGACATCGCAAGGTGTCGCCAACTTCAATGCCCGCAAGCTCCGGTGCTTGCTTGAGAGGGCCCGGATAAAGCCTGCTGTCAACGAGATTGAACTCCATCCGTGAGTAATGCGACATGTTCGGGCTATGTTGGAACTTCTTGCTTATCGCTGTATAGTTACTTGCCGCAGACCGAGCTGCTAGAAATGTGCCGAGAGGCGGGTATCCATGTTATAGCTCATCAGCCACTTGGGGGTCCTATTGTATATCCAGTCTTTCCGACCGATGATGACAGGCCGCTAGAGAATCCCGAGGTAAGTTCTCGTGTGTCAAAGTGCTCTGAAGCTTGACTGACTCAACCTGGGTAGATTGAGAAACTCGCCAACAGAAATCGTCGGACATCCGCTCAGCTCATTCTTGCTTGGCTCACAGAGCAGGGTGTAACCGTAGTGCCTAGGACCACGCGAGTGATACATCTCTATGAGAATTCACAACTGAAAAGAGTACCTAGTGCGGCTATGGCTGCCATGTCATCGCTGAGCAGATCGAAGGGCGCACGTCGGGTCCCGTGGATTGACGAATACTTCGAATCACAGGTATTCGGTGACGGGAAGGATCCGTGGACGACTCGTATTGAGATGATGCTGGAAGGACGAATGCCTCCTCCAGAATACTTGTAGGATTGTGTGTTAGATATGTCTGAGTTCACGAAACACGAAATGCATGTCTTTTCAGCTATGGGTAAGAGAGGATGTCGAATGTCGTGAGTAGTAAGTATTAATTAGTAAGTTATAAGTTGCAAACAGTGTAAGTAGTAACTAAGTAGTTTTAAGTAGTGTCATCATGTACTGAACATCCCCGCCAAATCAATGCCTCAGGCGCTTTACCCAGACCCCGCCCCGCCCGCGGGCAAAATACTCCGTAGAAAAGCTTATCGATTATCGTCACCCGCAATTTCCTATTGACTCACAGACTCACATTCACACACACACACTCTCTCTCTCTCCCTGCATCATCTATCCTCATTCTTCTCAGCACCTTTCGTCTCCCTCAATTGGCCCTCCTCCCCTCCCGGGTCTTGTTCTAAGCACCATGACCGAGTCCTACACCACCACCGACCTCCAAGGCGTGCTGCCCCTCATCGCCCGAGGCAAAGTCCGCGATCTATACGAAGTCGACTCCAAGACTCTTCTCTTCATCGCGACGGACCGAATCTCCGCCTACGATGTTATCATGCAGAATGTGATTGTCCCTGACTTATTTCCCGAGTCCCCGTTCCTTTCCAATCCCAACTCCTTCCCCCGTCTTCGCCGCTACCCCCAAACCAAATCAATAAACTAAACTCAATCAAATAAAAAATCAGGGCGTCCCCAACAAAGGCATCCTCCTCACCCTGTGCACGCGCAAATGGTTCGAGATCCTGACCACCGCGCTCCCGACCCTGCGCACCCACTTCCTCACCCTGGACCTCCCGCCCCAGATCCCGGCGTCGCTGCGGCCCGTCCTCCAGAACCGGAGCATGCAGGTGCGCAAGCTCCGCATCCTGCCCATCGAGGCCATCGTGCGCGGCTACATCACCGGCTCGGCCTGGAAGGAATACCAGACTCATGGCACGGTGCACGGCATTCCGGTCGTCGCGGGGCTGCGCGAGAGCGAGGCCTTCCCCGGCGGACCCATCTATACCCCCAGCACCAAGGCGGAATTGGGCGAGCACGATGAGAATATTCATCCTGATAAGGGTAAGTTCATTCCCAATTTCCTCAACACCTTGCCCTGTGGTGGATAATGGCAGGGGGGACGGGACGGGGGGAAAATTGAATATTGAATGTGGAGGTTTGAGGGGCCCTTGATGCTAATGCCTTTTTTGTTTCGTTGCCATGATTCAGCTGCCGAGATCGTTGGCGAGCCTTACGCCTCTACCATTGCCTCCCTGTCGGTGCAGCTCTACAAGATCGCCCACGAGTATGCGCTGACGCGCGGTGTGATCATCGCGGACACCAAGTTCGAGTTTGGTGTGGATGAGGAGACGAATGAGGTGGTGTTGGCCGATGAGGTGCTGACCCCGGATTCGTCGCGCTTCTGGCCCAAGGATTCGTATGAGGTGGGCAAGGGCCAGGCTAGCTTCGATAAGCAGTTCCTGCGCGATTGGCTGGTCAAGGAGGGGTTGAAGGGCAAGGAGGGGGTTGCCATGAGCGAGGAGGTTGTGCAGAAGACCAGCGAGAAGTACCGGGAGGCGTGGGAGCGCATCACGGGGGGCGACAACTAGGTTCTTTCTGCCAATGCATATTGCATAGTAGCATATAGTTGCAGCGAGCAGGCAAAGCACTGCTTTCTCGGGGCATAGGTGGCTGGCCCTTTCCTCCACCTCAATAAAAAAAAAGAACTGAAGCAAAGATGTCGGGATATATAATTCACATTCAATTCCCTAATGTACAGTTTCATGGTGGTGGTATCAATCTAATGGTCGCGGTCCCTCTGCTTTTCATCAAGCCCATTCATCACGCAGTCCTTTGAGTCCCTTGCCCTTGTTCTGGCTCTTGGAAGCCGAAGAAGAAGCAGCACCGTCCGCTGCATGCCGCTTACCGGCCTGTGCCTCCTCCGCTTCGGACTGAGTCGGCTCACCCATCCAATTAGTCCTGACGCCCTCATCCACCTCCAGCGCATCCGCCCCACAGATGCGCCTCTCCTCCTCAATCTCCGCCTCACTCATCCCATTTGTCGCCCAGATCTTGTGAATCCGCAGATCATACGGTCCATCCACCCGGTCCGTCAACCCGATGCCAATACTCCGGATGCGCTGCCGCAGCAGAGAGGTCTGCGGCTCGACGACGAGCCCGAAATTCGTGCGCACAAACGCATTGAAGGGCAAGAGGATTGTCTCCCAGCCCGTCGACTCGACCGCCTCCCCGGTGGTCGTCACATGATGACTGGCCGAAGAAATGATGGTCGACTCCGGCGGCACGTCCGACAGGGCCGGCGGGATGATGCCGTTGGGGTAGATCTTGTCGGCGAGCTCGGGCGACTCGATGTTGGCCTCCTCGGCGGGGAAGGGGGAGTAGGGGTCGCGGGCCGGCGCCTGCTGCTGCACGCGGTGATGCCGGGTGTACAGGCGGTGCTGGTGGATGTCGGTCTCGACGACGGAGTCGGTCTGGATGTTGACGGTGTAGCGCCGGCCGTCGGATTTCACGCGCAGCGCGAGGTAGGCGTACGGGTCGACGTCCCAGAAGAGCCGACCGAAGAGCCACAGGCCCCGATCATGGTTGCGGAAGGCGGCGTAGCCTGGTTCGGGTGCACCCATGTAATCAGTTGTCTATTGCCATCGGATACCGCAAGTATTCTGCGGCAAGCAGTGCGGCCAAAGCATGGGAGATTGCGCGTATGGTAATTCGATGTATGGTAGGAAGAACGGGGGAAACACGCGCGAAGGCAGACAAGATGGCACACACAAACGTACCGGTCCTTTCCACCCGCCAGTTCGGTGGCAATCTGGTCGAAATACTTCCGTGGAAATGAGCGTGCGCCGGGCTGTTTGTCGAGGGGTCCGCGGGAACATGGTCCAAGCTGGCGGTGCTGAAGCCTCCGACGGCGCGGTCGGCCATTGTCTTACAGCCGGCGACAGTGGAGGCATCTTCGAAGTCAAGGAGTACGTAAGGTTTCGTCGGAGTGTGGAGAGCTTCGGAGTTCCAGGCTATAAAGGCAGCCGTGATCAGTATTCAATCGCATAGGGCGTGTAGCGTGCGAGTCAGCGCGGAGAGAGAGAGAGAGAGAGAGACAAGAGCGAAAACGTACCAATTTTGGAGAGGCGGCTCAGCTCATCTACACTGCGCTTGATGAAGCCTGAGGGCTTGGCAGCTAGACATCTGGCCGTGGGAATCATTCTAGACTAGTAGTGATTGCAACAAATTCAGAGTGTTGGAAGGCCGATGGAATGTCCATCAAGAAGTGCTGGAGCTGCGGCGAAGAAAGAAAGTGAGTGCATGACGTCGGAGACAGACATCCGAGGTGATGCGCTCGCGGCCTGAGGCGCCAAAGGCCCTCACCGCTTGCTCAACCAGTTACACCTGCATCACTCGTAGTTCTCAAGGAATCGAACTGAATTGTACTTTTCACTGCAGTTTACCTGCTAGTGACTGACGCTGACTATGAGATTGTTCTAAATAGCTTCCCCTTAACAGACACAATATGTTGTTGGATTCGCTCATGCAGCCCGCTCCTTGATGCCATTTTGCAATAAAACAAAAAGAGGAAAAAGAAAGAAAGCAAACCATGATATGCTATGACTGGCCCAATTCCACAGAACGCCAAATCTTAGCCATATGTACAACCCAATACACCCTTCAGGAATGTTGGTAAACCAATGACAGTGAGTCATACGGGTCAATGACGAAGCAGTAAACATGCAAGATATAGGGAATGTTGCAAATGCAGATGGGTATGTGAAGTAAGCGGAAGGAAACACAGGAGACGGGGGGGCACATGTGGGATCGAGAGTATTATGTACGCGAAAGACAAGTGTGTTAGGCTTTGACGCGCCTGGCATCGAAGTATTTCAAACTCAGCGCGGTGTCATTCGTACCAACAATCGGGGCTGCGTCTTCGAGAAGCTCCCATGGTCGCACCGGGTACGCGCCGATGACACGACCGCGGCACTGAACTCGAAGATGACTTGCAATGCAGTTGACGCCTTCGGCAATCCCAGCGGAGAGCACCGATGGTGCCGCAGCGGACGGCTGTTGTGGTGTATGTTGACCGTATGTCAGGCTTCCCGACGGTGTTGGGGTGGAGCCGCCAGCGGCAGGTGAGGGTAGAGATGTGGGTTGAGGAGGGTTGGAGCTATCCAATATGGGACCGAGAAGGTATAGGAATCTAGCATCGTTCTGAAACTGAAGGAAAGGCGGACATTTCTCTCTGAGAAATCGAGCGCACTGCTGCCGTGCCTCGTCCGGGAAGATGTCCACAAGGCATGCAGCAACGTCGAGTGCATGAGTTTGTAGCAGAATCCCGGGACAAGGCCGATAACTCTCCACTGGTTTGGGTTGTGGGAAGTAATCGGCTGACGGGTAAAGACGGAGGACATGGTTCGGAAGCCGGGCCAGAGATATGCAGAAAATGGATATGAGTAGACGAGTCTGCTCGGGCAAGCCATGGGATCTGGGCGCCAGTCCTGCTGCGTTGAATGATGCGCGGTGGATGACTACGATCCGAAGCAAGGCAGAAAACCAGAAGGCAAGGCTTCTCTCGAAAGACGGGTCAGTTTGACGAGCATCACCGGTGCCAGTGTAGTTCGCTTGCGCTGCTACAAACTTTTGAAGCAAAAACTCCATCTTCTCAACAAGAACAGGCACAATAGTCGGTACTCCAGCCTCAGGTATGCAAGGGGCTAGCTTTTCGATCATGGTCAGGTACAACCTTGCAGTCTCGATAGAGTTGGAATTGTACGCGTTCTCGACGAACATGGGAATGGAGAAAAATCCCTTTTCTGCCCGCTCTCGGATTTGTTGAATAGCATCCTGGCTCATCAGACTCACCAAGCCATACCAATGATCCTTTTGAGATTTGGTATCGGCCAGTGCAGCTTTGAACATCACATCCACAATGCCGTTGTTGTCCTGGCCCGAAGCTTCGGCGTTGAATAGAAGTTGAAGCTTGAGTTGACAAAAGGGAAGCGAAAAGTCGTTGTTCATGCGAATGATTTTCTCAGCCTCGGGTGCATATTTATCGTTTGCATCCGAGTTCAAGCCCAAAAGCTTGTCGAGCGCCTTCTGCAGTAGAGCTGTAGATGCTGTATGTTGACCGACAAACTTCTGCAAGCAACTTTGAACGATTCGTTCCGGGTTTTGTGTAAGTAGAAGCTGAAGCAGCATAGTTGCGCACTCAGTGAGGTCTCCTCTCCTGGAACCGTGTATAGTATCAATCTTCTCAGTTCCGATCACAGACACGGCATCACGAATTATGTCAAGACTCTCTTCTGGGTATTTCGCAAGAAATTCTTGCTGCGCAAGCCGAAATCTATACGTGACCATATCTGCGAAGCGACTTTGTTCCTGCTTTGGCGGAATCAGAAGCTCGAAGAGGTCCAGTTGCAATTCTGCGACGCTTGGAATTACCGCAATGACCTTTTCCGATTGCAGAAGCTTTTTGACAAGGGTGACGAAGGCATGGATAGTAACACAACCAACACCAATAAGGGGGGGAAGAATCCGCGTCATAGTCGACTTGGACTGAGACTTCAGAAGCCCGCACACCCATCGAACCAACATGGCGTCGAATCGCTTGGGATGAAACGTTCTGAGGTAAGCCATATATCTGCATATCTCATTTGGCGAAAGTTTCTTGTGACCGTTCTGAAGGGCATTGGTAAGCGACGCGAAAGATGTGTCCATGGTAGACTCGTCCATTCCACCACCAGAGAGAAGCGTTTGATCAAGCTTCTCTCGGAATAAGCTATCTATCTGGCCGGTAGGTACCGAGATATGGTCAGAGAGCGGAGATGGAGCCGCCACAGCTGCTCTGTTCTCAATCCGAGCAAGATCCTGACGAAGGAGTGCGACAGTATTGAATTCACCGGGCATTCGAAGTCCCAGCTCTATTAACGAGAAAATCAAATCTAGATTGGGTGCTCCAAATCTCTTCAGACGAACATATGATTCGACAAGGCCTTTGAAAAGATCATGCACGGCGCTGATCACACAGAACGAGTCGAAATGATAATTGACGGTGTCTGCAACTGATGCGAGCACGACGCAATTGTCGCATGTAGTTGCCTGTTTGAGCACATCTGCGAGCATCGAAAGGTCACCGAAGTCCTCTAGGATCTCTCGGATGATGTAGAATTCACCAGTGGTCAGTGCAGAGATCCCGGAGTCGGACAACAGCGGAATGTTACTGTATTTTCTAGAAAAAAGAAACCATAAGCCTACAATCAAGGGTAGGAAGAATGGCATAAAAACATACCTGCCTGGTTTGCGGTGATGCCCGGCCACACCGCGTCGGATCCATAGACCAATTTCAGATTTGACCGCCCATGTCAGGTCAGCAGGGAAGGACAAGTTATTGTTCGGCACACCACTCTTCTCCAACCCGAAAATGTGGGGAAGTCTGCCGGCAATCAGCATCTGAAGCTTTGCAACAACGGTTCTTTCCTGGGCAAGAGAGAACCCGGCGCGGTCGATCAACATGTTGCGAAGGTTGCGGACGTGTTCTGGTAAGCGATGTGACGGAAGTTGAATCAAAAGGCGAAGCTCAATCGATATGACCTACGGAATGTCAATTGGAGCCCTCCTGGTAATTAAAGGTGTTTGGAGAGGTTGCTAACCTGTTCGTCGGGCAAGGGCGCATGCGCAAGTCCTTTTGCCATCAGCCACTGCAAATACCTGCCCACAGAGAATGTCTGAGACCGGACGAGCTCGGAAAAAATATGATAAAGGTGTTCCATATTCAGTCGGCTACTGTTGTCAAGGCCAGCGACAAAACTCAGGATGTGGGATTCGATGTCGAGCCCAGACATCTTCCACTTTCGTAGGAGGCGGACGCTGGTATAAACACGGCGGGACCCATGCCTGAAAGGCGTTGCTGCCCACTCGAGTAGTTTGTGTACCAGAATAGCCTTGTCCTCGACTGCATCCAGGCATGCGGACGCTGTGGCGGGAACATCATGTGCGGAGCGAAGTGAATCAAACAGCGTGATGACTTTATGCTGGGGGAGCCGAACTTTAGCGTCCTGTTCACCGTTGGACAGCTGAACACGACTATTACGTTCCACCAAATTGTGGAACATGGTCTGGTCTGGTGTCTCCTTAAGGTTTAGACACGAGGAGATCAGTCCCCTGTATGTTGTCCACGAATTCGGGAGAATGAGAGATGATGTATGCTCCAAGACCAATCTTCTTATACAGCGAGACAAACGCTCAATAAGCGGCTGGAGGGTTTCCTGGTGTCCAGACTTCTTCATCTGTTGGGCGTGTTCGTTAATCAGTGAGGAAGAAGAAAAAGCATGGAATTGCAGGTCTTACCTGTTGCAATTTCTCAAGTAGCACCTCTGCCAATTTTCGACCACGTTTCCTGTAACGCATGATATTACTCCAATAAATGCCTAGCATCAGGAGCCACACAGGGAACGTGTTGAGAGAGGCATTTTCCAACGACAGCAAAAACCAGCTGAGGTACTGATCATGGTCGAGCAAACGCTCGAAGAACAGTCGTGATGTCAGACTTACTCTACACAACAATCAGCAGGGGCATGATGAGCGTTCGACGATATGAGACGTACGCATAAGTCATTTTCACCTTCCAATCCGTGGCACCGCAGGTACTGATGACCCCCTCCAGGAATTGTTGCACGGTGGCCGTCCAGTCGCGGACCCATTTATACTCCAAGCCCAGAGCGAGTGTGCCGCTTGTGCCTTTCCTTTTGAACGCGCGGATTTCATTGGCACCAACACATCTCGCCAGCCATATGGCGCGAGGGACTGGGATCCATTTGCCTAAGCACTGATCGAGGAGTACTTTGCCCCTGATACCATGAGGAATCGTCCGACTCAGCCTGCGCAGAGGCACAGATGGATTAGCGAGATCCCGAAGCCAAGCTTCGCGCTTGTTATCCGTCAAAGTGACCCGAGGAGGTGGCTTGAAGCTCGACGGAGCCGTGACAGTGTTGTGGCTTTGTCTCTTCTCGAGGGCAGCGGTGAAGACAGAAGAAAGTATCTGCAAACCTGAACGGTGCTTCAACTGTGTGTAGAGTGACGGTCGTGCAGTGTTGGACTCATTCTGGGACACTTGGGTGCGGTCATAGTGTCCTTGCTTCGCCGTGTGTTCGTTAAGGACGTCTTCTGGGTGGTTACCGGTCCATGGGTGGAAGTCCGCAGCCTCTGGAACTCTCGGTCAGACACATGCTGCATGTATGTAAGCTAGATGTGATAACTTACTCTCCCCTTTGATCTTGGGCGCAATCGTGGGTACTTCAATGCGATACGGCGTTGTTTTGACCTCTTTGACCGGTGCAGCTTCGGCAGTCTTCGTGGCGTCGTCTGCCGGGGACTCCTGAGGGCTATACTTCCAAGGGTGGAGAGGCAAAGGTGGCGGAGACGAAGAAGTCTTCCCTTGCGCGGTAGCATCGCCATCCTTGACTTCAACAGCTCCAGTCGTCTCCGACAACAATGCTTGAAACGACCACGCCGGCCGGCCCCGCCAGGTTAATGACTGTGGTCTGGCAGTCGCAATTCCCGGAGTGGTTCTCGCTTCGCCACTGCTTACGAGTGCCGGACTACCTGTTGTCGCATACGCTCCTGGGGTCAGGTCCAGTTTCAACCTCTTCGCCGGTGGTTCACTCTCTTGCGTATCTCCAGTATTCGCTGTGAGGTCGATGACTGCCGGCTGTCGGGGCAGCGATTGCGGTAGGGGCATTGGCGGCTTCTCCAACTGAGACTCGGACTGGCTCAGCGCTTGGAAAGCCTCAACGCGTCCTGGGCCGTTGTTGGGAGCGCGCATGGAGCGACTCCACGGCTGGACGCCGGCAGAAGATTGGGGTATCATCTTAGCGTCATGGTGTATCTCAGCGTCAATGTTGTGATCATTGGAGCAACGCGGTGGGTGAGCGATAGGTTAAAGGCTCGCTTTTGAAGCCTGATTCGGGTCGTGGTATCAATTTGTCCGCAGAAACAGAAAGTGGAAAGTCAAGGGTAGCAATGAGAATTCACATTCGGGCTTCCGAGTCAGAACTCCTTTACGGTGTGGAGTTTGGTGAACAATCCAAGGCCGAGCGACTATACTAATCACGGTAACCGTCGGGGCCCGGGGGGGGGTTCAGATGGGAGAGCAGCACTTTTGGGGGAGGGGGGCGAGAAGCGGAAGGCTGCAGGTGGATCTGTCCGCTAGGGGACAATAGCAACTCGCACCAAAAGTCTGGGGATTTGGGGGGAAGAAAGGGGAAACAAAGAAGGAGAATGGGAGATTGAGAATGAGATAGGATAAAAAGGTGATAATGGATGGAGGAAGAGGCGACCGAAGAGGAAAAGAGCCGAGTACGGCGGCCGAACGAGTCGAACGAACCATCATCTCCAGGTCACGTAAGGAGGGAGGGACCAACTGGCATCAGCTTATGCTGGATTTACCGGATAAAACCCAGTAATCTTACCGGAATGGCACCCGTCAACAGCACAAGATACCACGAGATTACCGGGTTTGGCACGCGTACAGTACAAGTACAGTAAGCCAGTAAGTATCCGGAGTAGTTATAGGTAGTTGTTACTTATCAGCTTCTCCGGGTTCAATGACTGAGGGTCGATCACCTTATCCAATTCTCACTCTAGGTAAGAGACTACCTACTAACTTAACGAGTATATGTCCATCTGAGCTTCGGGAGTCAACCCGATCTATGACCCATGACAATGAAGCCATTTTGCTACATTAATGAGGCCCCATTGACGCATCTCTCCCATTCATGACTCGGATGTCTTCATCCTCTTCTTCGAGAATATTGACAAGCAGAGCCCGCGGGATCCCCAGCTGCGATTTCAAGAAAGGGTTCTCTTGGCATCAGATGATGGGATGACCACAACTTCACTGTTGTGACTACTCGAGTAATACCAAATACCTACAGGCTAGCCTATAGGCTACGGAGTACTGACTATCATCAACCCGGCTGCACCTCCACGCGATTAGCTGATGGTATCGCGGCATATGACCCCATTTTTAATCGACGGGATCGGGCATAATCAGGGCCAGTGGCAAGCAAGATACGCAGACACAAACGACTTTCTTTAACGGGCTAGTCTGGCCCTCTCTTCCGCAGATCTTCCCCCCCTGGCGTGCACGCTAATCCCTGCGCCCGTAGTACGAAGTACTTTTTTTGTCCTTGCACTATTCAGAAAGACCTGGAATCCTAAACCTGCTGCCATCAATCAGCCTGTACAGCTAGCTGTGGATGCGGACTCATGCGTCCACATGGGCAAAAGGAAGCGCTGCAAGAGGAGGAAAAGAAGCACTCATCGTCTGGTGCACCACAGACTCCGTACCACGTTACCTACTGCTAGACGACGTGGGCAGTCAAACAGACAATGCATACTGTGACTAGGATGATTCTGAACAGGGGATGAAATCTTTTCCTCGGCTTGTCCACCTTCCGAACATACGGTGAGCACTTCTGTGATCTCCGAATGAGGGAGTGAACCATCTAGTCCATCGCGTAGTGTGTGCCTTGACCGGCTGAAACCGATCTGATCTCCCTACGCCCCGAACTCATAACTAGGTAATGGCAAACGCCCAGTCACCACCATCAATTTGTGTGTCTCTCTTGACTCCTCGTACTCCGTAACTTTGAGCCTTCTGCAGCTCGCCTCGGGACTAGACTACTCCGTAAGACAATATAATCCACTTAACTCCGTTGAATGTGGGCCATCGGGGTTCTCCAATCCAGCCCTCGGGCTCTGAGGCCCAATTTTCCGGGACCGATTGCCGTCTGAGGGGAAAGGGGAAAAAAGATCTGGCGTGGTGATATGCCCCTCTCAGTCTTTCAGTGGCATGACATTGAGTGGTATGATGAATGCACCAAATCATTCAGCAACTTCATCCTTCTCCGCACTTTATCCTGATCCTCATGGCTATAGTCCGTTAACGATTGCGTAGATCTTCCTTCCTTCCACTAACCGCTATGGCCCAATTCTCACGTGGCCTGGTCTCCGGCTACAATATCCAATCCTCTCCAGATCTCATCTCTTTTTGAGTAGCACACAACATCATGCACTATGTAATAATCGAGAATCGAATTAGGGGTCCAAGTGTCCTGTTGGCCGCCTTGGACTGTTATCGTAATTTATTGCCCGGGATCTCCAGAAGCACAGACCGGGCTCTCACGATAACCATTTGTGACAGAACAATCTCCGTTTCAGCGGCCTGCAGGATGCAGTCCTACGCAGTCGGATCGGATTCAAGTCTTGACAAAACGCCTCCACAGGTGTCATTGTCACACAAGCACAATCCCAATGTGGAGGAACCCTGGTGAAGGCGCAGTTCAATGCTTTGGCCACAAAATCTCCAGACAAATATCCCCGTGCGTGACTAAGCTTTTCCGACAAATGTCATCTAAGGGGGACAATGTTCAGCTACGGAGTACTTTGTATTCGACGACTCGTAGAGTCAGGTCTTCTGCAGTGGTTCAGTATGAGGGCCGTGCATCTTCCAACTGCATGACGACCAGTCAAGGCCCAAGGTCCAAAAGTCAGCACTTGAGTTGAGTTCCCTCACATATGGGTCGATCTTCCGCCATTGACTGTGCTTGCGCGATTCTCCGGAAGTCAAAGCTCCTTTCGTAATCCTATTTTAAAGTGGCTCATATTGTTGGTTCGAGTGAATCGACTAGACTTTGATTCAAAAGCCGGGTCGGACATGCAAGACAGAGGGCCCAGTAATTCCTTATCAACAGCCACCCGGGAGCGAACAAAGACCCAAGTTGCCTTCTCGGAGGTAAGCGGCCCATTGCAGTTCCCTCCTCTTCCGACAAGTTGCGCGAGAAGCTTGCATCACCTCGATGAGGTAGACACCATGTAGATGGAAAGAAAAACCGATCGGACTTCCGACGCTTGAAGAACTAGAGGGCGAACTGATTCAGTTTTCCAAGGGGAATTAGGTAGAGAAGAGATCCGATAAAAGAGAGATAAACCTATGGTGGCAGTAAAGTAGCACCTTTCCGCTTTCGGGCTTGGCGACGCTGGTCGCTTGGCTGGCCTGTTCAATCAGCTTCTCACCCCAGGTTTACCACCGACAACCAGATCGAGGAATCTCAAAATCAAATTAAAGCCCATTATGTCGTCCAAGAAGGATATGCGCAGATTGGATCTCGGTACGTTGTTTACATTTCCCAGCTCATGGACCTCGTCAAAGCGCATTCTTGCTGATACTGACGCCGCATTTCTCAGCAATCCCCTACATCGATCCGCCCAAGAATAAGGATGAGGCAGATATGTCTAGTATGTCGCTAGCGATGGGGCATATGCTTGCTGCTACACGGCGCAGATGGATCTATATTGATGTCTTGAAATAGGCGCGATGTCGAGCACCATGCCCATGGCTGCGGTAAGTTGCAACCCAGCTCCGCGCTTTACAGCCAGATGATACTAATGAGTACCTCTTTAGATGTTCACCAGGAACAGGTGAGCAGAGAACGAATCTCTGAGGAATTGTTGCCGTTCTTACAACTAATTGCTAAATCACAACCAGGATGATCGGATGGTAGGTTGTTGAGTGAATTATCGACTTGTCCATCGCTGACTCCCACCCAGGGTATCCTTCGTCTTCTCTCTCCAGAACTGGTTGGGTGAGACCCCTGACCAGAAGAGAAATGCTTCCACTCCGGCTTATATGTCGGTCCTGATGTCCTGTTCGTGCAACCCAGCCTCCAAGACTATGAATTCTAGATGACTTACTGTGCGCGCCTCTTTCTAGTGATGGCTTTGGTTGTGGTATGTGCTGCTTTCCACTGCAATGCCGGTCGGGTGCGTCGTTGCCTCGGCTCTAACACATCATACAGACCTATTTCCCAATCTTCTTGCCTCCTCAAACCGCACGCGGTGCGGCTGCTCCCTCTCCTTCCCCATCTCCTTAGAGGGAATCCGTTCAAACATACCCTTGCGAAAGTCTTTCAATGCAAAATTAGTTCATGGCGTTTTCGAATTTGCAACAGAATCATACGGCATATCCAAGCGTTACCGACGGGGAAGTTGAGAGAAGTCAAAGGGGTTGGTTCGGGACTTCAAAATCTACGGAGGTCTGCACTGTTGTTACGAATACTATATAATACCACGAGTACCATAATGTGCTCTTTGCTAGTACTGATCTGCCACGTACGAGGTAGTACAAGAGACAGTGGCAACTCCAGAATGGCTGCAGAGTGCATGATTTACATGGTAGCTGAAACTGCAAGGAGAAAGAAGGTGTAAAGGGCTTGGCGTGCACAGCTTTGGACTGTATATGTCTCTGAGAGTATCGAAACTGACAGCCTGGAATCAAACCCTAGCCAGCCAGCCAGCCTTTGCGTAAGGGCTACGTCGGCAGATGTGAGTCAACTTGTTGGTAATTAGTGGTGAGTGGCCAGGCTGAGTGCGTCGACGAAGGTTGCCACCAAAAATGAACTTTGAGCTTGACGACCAATGAAACCCTGGCGAGCCAGACGCCTCTTTCAAGCCTCCTTCAATTGCCATGACAGGCGCCGACAGCCCATCGGATGCCTGATAACTGGGAAGCCAAACAGAATCAGCTACAATTGAAGAGACGAGAGTCACTCACGGGCAGACCGGGCGGCGGGGCTTAGTCAGTGCAGTATAACTAATAACCCACACCGCCTTCCCCCACAAGGGCGCTAAATGCAAGCCGCGCCCCCCAAAAGGCTTTTCTGTTCTTTCTCTTTGCTTCCTTCCCGACCTTCTCACTCTACACTCCATCTGCAAGAACCCACCCCTCAGTCTCCCCCGACTCGCAATCGCTCCTACACTTCTACAGAGACTTAGATTCTCTCCCCTTCGCTCACTTTACCTATACCGCTTTTAAGGGCCGTTTACGACGAAAGGCCGAGTTTATGTCCATCGAAAACCTTAAGACCTTCGGTAAGTTAGTCGCCACATCCCCTTCGCTCGTGAACTACTTCGACGTCTCGAATATATACCGTTCATATGTATCTCCCAGCTTGATGTGTAAACGCCTCGTCTTCTCCCGACTGGGTTTATGCATCGTACTTGGCGCAATCCGGCCACTTGGCTGGGATTCTTGACGTCTGTTGGATTCGCATCACTTTTTGGCGGGGTAACTCTAGGTCATGAGCCTGAGGCTGACACGTGCTCCTTTTCCGCAGACCCCTTCGCCGAAGCTGACGAAGACACCGGCGAGACCAAGCAGTCTCAAAACTACATCCATATACGGATTCAACGTACGTTATCATCGTCTGTCCTATCGATTTCACCTATTTTGTCGCTACCTCACCGTCCATTTGTCGCGGGCGGTGGTGGCGTCATGCCTTCATGTTATCTTTTCCAGCAGGAGCCCTCCCAAACTAACAACCCCCTGCAGAGCGCAATGGTCGTAAGACCTTGACTACGGTCCAGGGTCTTCCGAAGAAGTTCGACCAGAAGAAGATCTTGAAGGTTATCAAGAAGAAGTTCGGTATGTTCCAATTCGACTTGCCACAGGTCGACTCTAGGCACCCAGCTAACGACTTATCAGCCTGCAATGGCACCATCGTCAACGACACCGAGATGGGCGAGGTGATCCAGCTCCAAGGAGATCAGCGTAAAGATGTCCAGGAGTTCTTGACCGACAAGAAGGAGGGTCTCGAGCTGGATGCCAAGACCATCAAGGTCCACGGTTTCTAAGCACCCCGTCGTGCCGTCCCCGTTCCGGTCTCCTTCTTTTCTTTTTTTTCGGTCTACGTTACTCTCAGAAGTGGTGGAAGTCTTGAAAGCCGACCATTGTATTTCTGCCATTCGCTCTCCTCTGACCCTTTCTGTTGGACCAATTCGTCACAGCAAACGGAAGTTGTCAGTCAATTGGCTCAGAAGCATTGTTGTCTTTACATGCCTTCGAATCGCTTTGTGTCAGTACACGAGACCTGGAAGCGCTTGTCGAAAAGATCTTGTCAAGTTGATTCTCCCTCCTCTCCTACGGCGCACTTTGTTAGGCGCTGGGTAGAGGAGGGGGCCAGCAATGGGTCAGATATTATCTATGTTCTGGCTCAACTGCGAAACCTGGAATGGGATAATGACGGAACGAGGCGTTGGTAGATACCCTTATCTGCATAGATATTTTTCTTAGCTTCTTGTTTTCCTCTGAAGGACGGTTGAAGGTCTGATATGTTTGAAGAGGTTTGTCCGAAGGTGGGGATTGAGGAACAGTCTTTATTCTTGATCTCTTTCGTTTCCGCAATTCGATCGTCTCTATCTCTGCACATGCCGACCTAGACTGTCACTTCCGTATAAATGTCCAAGAATGACATACTTGTTCATGACTCCAACTTCTTTTGAGATGACGTAGAGTGGTGTGGACCATATCTGGGAAAGCTCGGCATACTTCTCGGCGAGAGCCGTCTTACGATTCGTGATACACATCTTGTTAACTGGGTGGATTGAGAATAACAAGACTAGAGGAAGCAGGCACGGGCAAGGCCCACGAGGATCTATTCAACTAATTTCTAGAGTTCACCAGGAGGATACGCATACGCCCTACTGTCCGATACGCGCATGCGCAGAAAAATCTGGACCGCCCAGTCCCATAATTTCCGAGTGATGACGAAGACTGGCACCTCAGGTTCGTTCTCGCGAGTCAAGTGCAACTGAAGGAGAAGGGAGGACATGCTCACGAAGCTGGCCACTGCGACGACAAGCAACGCAGCAGCCGTTTCTCGCTTGATGGTGGCATGGTTTTGCGTGGCATGGTAAAGGAAGGTGAGGGTCTAGTTCGGATAGCGAGGTTAGCGGGATAGTGCATCGTGTTGGTCATTTTCATTAGAGATGATGGCGCGGAAAAAGGTGAATAGGGACCAAACAACAGGACTTACAGTCGTGATGGAGATCCATGCAGGGAGAAGTAAGCGGGGGTCCGATGAAGCCCCGGAAAGATAAAGGACCCAAGAAGTAATATAAGCAATCAACCCATTCGTAGTGAGGAGACGAATAACAACAGCTGGCGGGGTATAATTCAAAAGCCTATGGCGATGAAAATAGTCAGCTATTTCCCCCCTTATCCTTACGAACTCCACCAGCGGAGCCCCAGATTACCATCGGGACAGCTTGTATCATCATAAAGGAAAACATACCATCGAGACATCATACAATCAGCAAAAAAGTAGGAAAGATATGCGGATGCGCAGCACTAGTTGGCAGACATAGATTAGACACTTTGCTCTGCAGACAGCAGGGAATATACTTCTCTCCCGAGTTTTTGAGTACGACGACAAAATACATACCCACATAATAGCCAAAGCCACTTCGGTGACTCGGAATCTTCGCTCAACATCCCAGTCTTGCCCGACACTCCCAACAATCGCCGCCGCCCACCCCTCCCCTCCCATTCCCGGCTGGATGTGCAAGAGCTCGGCCAAGAATGTGAACGCACATCGCAGACCCCACCATGCGGCCGGAACGGTGCTCAGCGCGCGGCAGATAACCAGAGGCAGATACCATTTGCGATCCACGCCTAGAATGACCGCCACGCGGGGGTGAAGGGCCGACGAAGGGACCGAATGGCCACCATCGTTGTCGCTGCTGCTAATGCTGCTAGGGGTCCGGGGGGCCGAAGGGGAGGGCGGGACAACGGCTGCGGGGGCCCCGTCTTTGTCGCGGGAATCCAGCTTTGAGAGAATGGACGTCAAGCTGGTGTAAAAGGTGGAAGATTGAAGGAGGGTTTCGTCGGAGGAATGGGGCAAAGGAATCAGGTCAGACGCAGCAGGTGACCGGAGATGTTGAGTAGCAATGGGCGCAGATGCAGCATCACGACGAGGACGAGGAGGAGCCAGCCTTAAATCCACGGCATATGCGGCCGTCACGCAAAAAGAATCACGGTTGAAAGTGCACGATATTGATCGTAGTCGGAAACGTTGTGGGGAGAAAACCCCCTGGACCGAAGCTTTTTTTCTCTTATTGTTTATGAGTGTGTCTCGTCGGAGATCATCGAACTGAAGACCCTAGACAAGGACAGAACGTTGGCAGACAAGTGTACAAAAAACAAACACCGGCTAATCCCACTGGATCCGATAGATTCGAGGCAGGACTTGACGTCTCTTGCAGCAGAAAGAAGCGCACGCGCCAAAAGGGCCTTGAAGCCAAATCAGCCAAATCAGCCAAAACCCGCGGCGGTGGCGGGCACGTGATCTCTCCGGGGTTCGGGCGGGTTTCGATTTTCCCCCATTCGGCGCTCTTTTGCGATTCCATGCCAGAGAGAGATTCGAGGTACACCTCACCATCTCGCTGCCCATTCCCTTCAAAATGGCCTCGTCACTGTCGAAAGCGTCTTTGTTCTCGGCTATCCGAGCCAGCCACACCTCCTTCGCTACTTCATGTCAAACTCGTTCTTTTTCGCAATCCCTGCAGCGCTCCGGTGTACGGATGGGCGAGCACGTCTCTATCAAACCCCCCGCTCAGCCGAGCACGAGAACTAGAACAAGAGCAATGGCAAGATCGGAACTTCCGCAGGATCTCGGTCTGTTGCCCGGCACTTACATCCGCCAACTATGGAGGGATATGCCGTCCATCTTCCGGCAACGCGAAGAGCGCTTTCGGTTGGAATGGCTGTGGTTGAAGACCGCTTTCCAGAACTTTGCAGGGTGAGTTTTGAGTCTTGACCAATGATGAGCTTCCAGCATCAGGCAGTTAACCTAGGCCATACAGAGTGATTGCCTACTGCAGGTACTTCAATAAAGGGCTACCCCTCGAATTCAAGGAGCGTCGTCAGATCGCCATGGACTTTCACCGACGCATGTATACCGCTTTCGCAGCGTGAGTCTTTTCTCATTTCCCCCATGGCAATCATACCACTCGTTTACTTACCCTCTGCTCCCTTTTTTAGTGGCGACACCAATACCATCAGTAAGATCTGCTGTACGGGCTTGGCCAATGAGCTAAAGACGCGCATTGCGGCACGCCCCAAGAATGAGAAGGTGACCTGGAGCCTGGACACTTACAACCGTGATGCCTCCACCTTCTGGACCGGTGCTCGCGTGGTCTCGGACCGCGCCACTACAATTCCTGAAATTCCGGACTCGGGCGTGCGCCAGGTCATCGTGCGCATCACCAGCAAGCAATCCACCGGCAAGTACACCGCGCCCGTCAACGGAAAAGCCGCCGAGGACTCCACCGCTGTGGCCGAAAACGTTAAGCAGCGGGACTGCACAGAGTACATCGTCATTCAGAAGCTCCGGTGGTCGGGTGAGGACACTGGATGGCGCGTCTGGGGTACTGCTACCCCGACTACAGTGGACGATCTCAGCAACCCGCTCTTTGCGCCTGGCTTGACTATGTCCGAGCGGTTGGAGGCTCTCAAGGCGTCGATGAACAGGTAAACCAGTCAAGCGAGCAGCTGATTCGACCTGTTGCTTCCCCATCCTTGTCACTTTGGATGCCCATCTCCTTCCCGCCGTACGACAGTGGCTCAAATCTGGCACTTGATCTTTGTTCGAGTGCCTCGACCGGAGCTGGGAAATCTCCCTCCATGCCGTCCTCTTCGGCCTCGAACCATTAGTCGTTGGAAAATTAGTCAACGGGCCTCTGCTCGACTTCGGGGTGGGGCTTGGCCCAGCTTTCCCATACGAAGTTGTGTGTCAATACGATAGTCACGAGCCATTCCTCAAGGAAAAAGTGTCTCTTGATGTCTTCTGTTCATCTTTTGTTCTATTAGCCGGGCTCCATCTTCCCCAACCATGCATCATATACACTTTTTATTTCTCTTTCTTGGTTCATGGGCTCCTCTTGCAAACCCATTCTCATGTATTATCGAGGCTTTTGTTCTTGTGACCATTTATGTCCCTGCTCAATCCATGTTGGGCATATGCAGTCTTCTAGGTTAACTCTGTTCAATGTATTATATCTTCTATCCGAATCGATCGTCCACTTCCAACCTTATTCGCTATTCGCTGCAAGTACAATGAATGCTATATAGCCGTTCTACAGGCGACATGCGAGACGGAGAAATAACATTGGCCCTCATATCATCACTGATCTACAAGGCAACGTATAAATGTTGACATATGAAAGAGATAAATCCCAATCCTCGGGTGCCGGCAATAAGTTTCGACAAGCATATATACACATACAGGATTTGGAAAACCCAATCGATTTTCCAAAGCATTTCTGAACACAAACATAGGGAAGGGACAACAATAAAGAAAAAAAAAGAAAGAGAAGAAAAGAAAAACGAAGCAGCGACTTGAGACAAAAGAAGAGATTGAAGAGTGGTATTCGCGTGGAAAGAAGAAAGATTAGAAGCAATTCCAGAGATTGGTGGCTCTAACGCATCGCAAGACGGCGAAGATTAAGTCATGTCATGTCCAGGTCAGCCAAGCAACTATGATCGTCTTCATGTCGAGAAATTCATTTAGTCATCGTCGAAGATCTGGAATGTGTTGACGAGGATCGTCTCGATGACGCGGACTTGCCAGCCTGCATCGGCGATGTTGCCTCCGGAGCTAGCGCCCATGAGTGTTGGTCTGCATGAGGGGTGTCAGTCTGTATGCTCTCCAGAGTAGGAGGAGGATGAGTGGTGAAACTTACCCAAAGCAAATGGCAATATTGCCTGCGTTCATACGGTTTTGCGTGTAGTGTTCTTGGATCTTGTTCAGATGCTGCAATACCTTAGTGAAGTGTCCGAGCAATAGAGTTCGAAGATGAATGCGGGGCATACCAGGATTAGAGCTCTCAAGGTAGCGTAGTGGGCGTCAGGCAAGTTGTTCACGAGCGCGTGCAGGGAGTCGCGGCGTTGAATATCATCATCAAGTCCTGGAAATCATGAGTCAGAATCGATCTCGAATTCTGGATGCTGATCATGGAGTTCCTTACGGGCTGCATTGATAAAGTCGTTATAGTAATGGGACGTGAAAAGAGGGTCGGGTAGATCTCTAAAGAACTGCTTCAACAACCCGGCGACACTATTGACGTCATGGTAGAAATTCTCAGGATTGGTGAAATCCACTTGAGACGAGTCTGCCATGCAGAGGTTAGACCGTGTTCCTTGAGTCATTGGAAGGTTACTCACCGTTGTCGAACAGCGCCTTCATTTGGCTGATATGGGTGGCACTCCCGGACAGACGATAGATACCCTCCATATCAAGACCGAAAAGCTCAATAGCTTGAAAGCATTGGTAGACAATCATAGGTACTGCTGTGCCATCTCGTGTATACAGCTCCTCCAATGACACACCAAACACCGGCTTCAAGGGAGGGAGGTGTGACTGAAAGCCATTGCCGTGCCCATAGAGGGGCGTTTTCGCTGGTGGTACAGGTGGCTGATTTGTCGCATGATGCAGCTCCGAAGCACCCGATGAGCTTATTGGATATGGTGGCTGTGGTTGGAATGGTGATGATCTGAACGAGTCTGGATTTTGATGGTATGGTAATGTGTCAGTAACTGGCCCTGGTCCTGGCGCGGGAGCTGGTGCGGGCGCGGGAGCCGGCGCTGGCGCTGATGGCTGAGTTGATGCTTGGGGGGAGGAGAGAGTCTGCGTAGAAAAGGATGAAGGGAGGAAAGTCGACTGTCTTTTGTTCTGGGTTGCGGGTGCAGATACAGGTGCAACAGGCCCGGATCCCCCGAGGGTCTGTTATGAATGTGTCAGCTCGAAGGGACATGGTATTCTGAGCAGCTGGACTGACCGGATGGCGCTTATATCTAATTTCCTCGGATGTCACTGCAGCAGGATTGCTCTCGTGGCTCAGGATGTAGTCCTTGAAGTCCTTTTCGTTATCAACCTGCGACACAACTTCGTACAAGCTCTTTGGTGTCAAAGCAGGATTCCCCGTGCCATCCTTCAAGGGGCTGATTGACAGGCCTTGTCCCAGCAACAGCTTCTCATTGAATGTTGCTTAAACATTATCAGCATTTTCCTCTACATATGTGGGGGTGGGGTTGTGCACACCGAATTTCTGCAACTGCAGCGCCAGACCAGAGTCGCATTCCGAGATCAGCTTCTGGATGTTCTTGACAGCGTCGGGACGGTGGGTTGAGACAAGTTCCCGTCGAGCCGTCTGCGCAGCCTGAACCTTGGCAGCATAGTCCGAGTCCGCATTCTGTACTTTGCGCAACAGCTCCTCCTCGTGTTGAGCTGAGGACTTGTGGCCCTTAAGACCAAACTTTCCACCTTTATTATCGCCCGTCTTCACCCGGTCATACTGCTCTGCAAGAGATTCATACTTGGCCTTCGCCTTTTCGGCCAACGCTTCCGCCTCTAGCACCCTTTTCTCCGCACTCAAGCCAGTCTGCTTCCATTGCTTGCGGCCACGTTCAATGTTGGTTGCTAGCTCATTGAGGTCGTCAGCCATCTGTTGCAGGGACACGGCGAATTGAAGCCCGTGATCCGCCATGCGCTCATGGAAGCGATTAAGGTCATTGTAGCTACTAGCATAAGTGCCCTGACGATTTTCCGAGCGATGAGCGGCGTCATGGAGCGAACGGGACAGCTTCTTCAGGCCTTGCGCATGTTCTTCTTCGAGGGAGGATCGCTTCTTCAGGAAGGTAGCAAAATCCTAATTATGATTGCAGAGCTTATTAGCGCATTCGAACCTTGCATATGGCGCTTTTGTGGTTGGGGCAAACCTTGGCGGACGAAACACTTTGCTTTAAGCGAGTCAGGAGAGTGGTGATCCCGATCTAGGTTGACAGCGTCTCGTAGTCAGTACAGGAAGTGGAATTGAGGTGACTGGGGTGCGAGGCGGTTGTCCATACATCAGAGTAAATAACTTTATCTATTTTAGCTTTCAATTCCTCCGTCATCGGGAGCGGACCTGAACGCAGGTCGATAGGTGCGGAGTGGCCGGCAGAGCCAGCACTGGATGGCGGCGCATCGGGGTCAGGGCCCGAGCTGTGAGGAGCGGATACGTCTGCCATGGAAGTGATTGTTTTAGTTTGAGTTTTACAGATGATGAAGAAGATGAGAGCGCATTGGGGCAGCAGTGCAGCAGAGGTAAGAAGAGGTAAGTAAGTAAATATGTACAAGCAGCCTCTTTTAAGCTGGTTGGTGTTGGGAGAAGAGGATGATTTGCGGAAGCCTAGTAGTTACTGCGACACAATGATGATGCCTGATTGAGTAAGGCGGCGGGTGGGGGAGGCTGAGCCGGTGTGGCTTGTAGCTGGAGGTGGGCTGGGAGTGCCGAAAAGGTTTAGTGCGGGTGGCCGGTGCCTTTTTAGCCTGCCAGGCACGTTCCTCCTTACAGTTTCACTCTCGTCCTTCTGGCTCGATGCTAAGCAGGACTGCTCCGAATCTATTCCGACTCTGGGTCCGGTTCCACTCCATGGTGACTCCGGGATTCTAGAAGGTTTCATTCGATTTTGGATTTTTCAACACCGCAGATAGGCACGGAGTTAAAGACAAAGCGATGACAAATGCGATCCATGTACCGAGGCAGAGAATAAGCAATCTGAATAACTATACCTACTCCGTCTGAGAAATGGGGCTCCTCAGTGGGGCTACATTGTGTATATAAAGCTCATAAGTACGAACTATGAGGTATCTAGTTCTTGCATGAATCATACAGTCAACTACTAAACCACCAACACCATGGCTTCCACCGAAGTGAACGTGACAGTCGTTGCTTATCCCCAGCCCAACAAGGTCGACGAGGTAGGTGATCGATCATTCTCTCCGACAGTTGACTATGTCGCATCACTGACATAACCCCAGGTCGCCACCCTGTGGAGTGAGCTTTCCCGTCAGGTACAGGCTAACGAGCCCGATACTCTATTCTACTATGCCTATATCAACCAAGATCGGACCGCCGTTGTGGTTGTCGAGAGGTAACTTGTTTTTCCTGCCCCACGAGCTCGGTTGTTATGGCAGCTTGGGACTAATTCTGACCCTTACGACAGATACCGCAACCAGGAAGCCCTTGTGAAGCACAGTCAGACACCTTACTATCAAGCATTCATGGCCAAGGCGGGGGGGTTGATGGCCAAGCCTCTTGAGATCCAGCTAGGTGGCGGTCAATTGCCTGAGTCAACCAAGATCTCCCGACTGTAGATATGGGGGACGGATGACTGTGTATAAAGAATCATGTACTATACAGTACATGAAGTCAGATTGAGTAATTCTGAGCCAAATGATAATATGACCTCACTTCGGACTTTGCTTTGATAGTGCCGCATGGGTGGGTGCAGGCAGGCTAATGATGCCTCTCCGCTTCAAGTCGGTCTTGGATCGAAACGCCAATCGAGCCATCCTCGTCACTGCAGCGTACAGATCTTAAATACTGATGCTCAAAAATCTAATATTAGACCCTGAAGGATGGCGGTCTGCGCTTGGTGCTGCAGAAGGACCGGACTAGGCGACGATGTATGGAGAGGACTTTTGTCGGTTTCATTTCTGATTCCTGGATCAGGCATCCGGGAAGGCGTCTTGGCTTGTGGTGGTCCGTGAGCCATACGTCGATATAACCAGTCATAGTGTCAATATGTATGTATGTATGTGCAAGCAATGGAGATCGAGTAGTCATGAGAGATAGAGAAAAAGAGAGACGGAGACGACCAACACCCCTGAAGCAACCGGCGGTGCAAGCGCCGTGTCCCTTGGATCCCAACGGGACCATCCATTCAGTTCCAGGGACTCGTTTGGACTTTGGAGGAGACGAGAAAAGAGGCTGATATTGGATGCATGGCTATGATTGGTGTTGGATTCCCAGCCATCGCGAGTATCTCATCCAATTCTAACTCTGTACAGTCTGTCAGGATGGATTGATTGATCCCAACCGACTCATTTGACTAGTCAGTCAGTCAGTTAGTCGTCTATCCTTCCAGATTGTTCTTGATTATTATCTTGTTCTCGTTCTTGTTTTTCTCCTGCTCTTTTCCTACTCTTCGCTTCCCCTCCTGTATCGCATCCGCAACAGACTGTGCAAGTCTTCAGTATCAGCATCAAGCATCTAGCAAGCCTCTTGGGTTATCGATCAACAGTCTCGCTTGAAAAGTTAATATCAATTCTTCTTCTGTTCTTTCTCATTGTCCCTCGCGAGTTTTGCCTCAATTCTGAGGTGAGTCTCTCTCTCTCTCTCTTTCTCTATCTTGCTATCAGATCAAGCAATTCTTTTTTCCCCTCTTCCTTGACGGTTCTTCTGCTCTTCTTCTTCCCTCCACTCCCCCAAATTCCATTATCCACTTCATCCACTAAACCAAATTCGAATTGATTGATCAATCCTCCCCTCCCACCTCCTCCTCCTCACTCAATCGACTGACTCCCTTTCTCACTCTTACAACCTCTCTCTCCTGCTAACTCCCTCACCTCCCGGAGCTTTATTTCAAGCCCCCCTCCTCTCCACCCACTTCCTCTCCACAACTTCTGCTTTGCGAATCTCTTCTGCTCGTCCTTCTTCTTTGCATCTCTTATTCAAGTCTTATCCTTGGGCGCTTCGCATCATCTCTTCTTACCAACCTGCTTAATCTCCTGTCTCGCAGCTTTTTGGCATCTTACTTGTGTCCTGTGTATTGAGTCGTCCGTTATCTCCGCCGTGCATTGCGAATCCCTCCTCCCTCCCTGACCGGTTCGATTTGCCTTTCGGTCTTCAGCAAATACCCGCTCTACTTGATTACACGCCCGCCGCCCGTTAAGCCACGACGCAACCCACCCGTCTCCCGCCCCCAAAACTCCAATTAAACCCCCTACGAATCATCGAGCTCTTTCGTGGAGTTGAATCTCGCCAGTGTTATTTACCTCCCGTGAACAGTCGCCATTGTATTTATTTCTGTGTTCATATACCTTTTAGAATTATAAGCGAAAATGGCGACAGGTCCCGCGACTCAATCCCTGAAGGTCAGCTCCTGCTAACAACGACACCCGCCGTGTCGCTCAACCGAACTGCAGCTAATGATGGAGTGTCGAACTACAGTGTGTGGTAACAGGTGACGGTGCTGTTGGAAAAGTGGGTTATCTCTCTTAGTATCCAGTACTGCTGGGTACCTTCAGCTCTGGTCATTCATTACTGACGCAGTTACCAGACATGTCTCCTGATTTCGTATACAACCAACGCATTTCCCGGTGAATATATACCTACCGTGTCCGTGATCCAGCTCCTCTCGCGACTCATTTGCTACGAAATACCTCGTTAACACGACGCACAGATTTGACAACTATACCGCCAGTGTAATGGTAGATGGCCGACCGATCAGCTTAGGACTCTGGGATACTGCTGGACAGGAAGATTACGATCGTCTTCGCCCGTTGTCCTACCCGCAGACCGATGTGTTCCTGATTTGTTTCTCCATTGTCAGCCCTCCCTCGTTCGATAACGTGAGAGCCAAGGTACTTCATCCCCCAAGTGGCTAGATGGGCCTACTCCAACTCGCACGTCGGACTCCCGCCCTGACCTTGCTGTAGTGGTTTCCCGAGATCGAACACCACGCGCCCAACGTACCTATCATTCTTGTCGGCACCAAGCTCGACCTAAGGGACGACCGGGCAACTCTAGAAACCCTGCGCCAGAGGAAGATGGAGCCCGTTTCCTACGAACAGGCCCTAGCCGTCGCCAAGGAGATCCGAGCACACAAATACCTAGAGTGCTCTGCTCTCACACAGCGTAACTTGAAGAGTGTATTCGACGAGGCCATTCGGTATGTTGCTAGCAAAATACCCCGCATTCACTTCCCCGAGCTCTAACCAGTCTTCCTCTCAGTGCTGTCCTCAACCCCCGGCCTACGGCGAAACCGAAGAACAAGAAGTGTGTCATTCTGTAGATCTCTTGCCCGCACTGCATCTTCCGACCTATAATACAAACAACTAATACGGCGTCTGGGATTTGGCTGTAACGCCCCGCATTTTGCTAGTTTTGGCTGGTTGTCCTCCCGTTCCTTGTTTTGGTGCCATGATCCTGAAGTCTTCTTTTCTCCATTCCATTCAGGTTCAGGATAACCTTACCCTTTCTGTGTTCTTTCCCCTCCGTCTTAATGCAGTATAAAGATGTAACATGCCGTCACAATACCACTCTATGAGCGTCTTTTCTGGATTGACTACAGCTTTCAGTGTCTTTGCATCCCCACAATCGAGATTTGGTGAGCGTACGAGTATGAATTTGTTTACGATGCGAGAGTCATTGGGTAGTCAAGCCAGAGCCCAGTCATATACATTGTTGGTCTCTTCAAGTCTATATATTGCTTGACACTGCATGAGAAAAAGAGAACAAAAGGATATCTTTCTAAGCGAGCACAAAAACCACAAGGATTGCTTTTCAGGAATCGGCCCAGAGTGATCTAGTCATGGAGAGAGCGGGTTTTTTAGGCCATACGGTTTCGGCGACTAGGATGAACGCCTGCATAGGCATCCTCCCCGGTCTCCTCCTCGTGGGCTCTGCGCTCCTTCTCTCTGGAGATCTCCTTAGCATTTCGCTGTCTCTCTTCGAAAAGCTTCTTGTTCTTCGCTTCGATCTTCGCTTTCCGGTGTTCAGACTTGCCGCCCCCGCCGGCGCTACAGAGAGTCAGCACTTCCATCTGCATCATATCAGTCTCATGGGCACTTACGTCAGCTCAACATTGATCCGCCGGGGCGGGTACTTCTTATCATCGAACATAGAGTGATGGTATAGCTTGAGGCAGGTCTTCATACGATCGTAGTTGTCGAATTCAATAAATCCGAAGCCACGACACTTGGTTGGCTTGTCCTTTTCGGTGGCCACACGGACGGATACCGGCGATATCTTCTCGAAGTGCGCGGTCAGAGATTCGCGGTTGGCGGAGTAGGGGAGGTTGCCTGTTTGAAAAGGTTTGAGCATTCGTCACACGCAGCTATTGTCGTCTCAAGCATACCAACAAAGCAAATGAACCGGTTTCCCTTCTGACTCGGCTCCTCGGCCTGGGCGGATTCTTCCGCTGGGGTCTCGGAGGCTGGGGTTTCTGCCTGAGCCTTTTTGTCCTTCTTTGCCTTCTTATCCTTCTTGTCCTTCTTGTCCTTCTTCTCTTTTTTCTCCTTCTTCTGCTGTTCCTGAGGCTCCTGAGCATCCACATCCATGGCCTCGGATGCTTGCTTCTCTACCTCCTTATCCTCGGCGGCATCCGCATTTTCGCTGGACTTTTCCTTCTTTTCCTTCTTTTCCTTCTTCTCCTTCTTGTCTTTCTTGTCCTTCTTTTCCTTCTTCTCTTTCTTCTCCTTCTTGTCGTTCTTCTCTTCGACGGGCACCTCCTCGATCTCTACTTCCTCAACAGCATCCTTGGCCTTGCGCTTTTCTTTCTTCTCCTTCTTTTCGTCGCGCTTGACTTTCTTGCCCTCGGGCTTGACTGCCTCTTCGATAAGCTTGCGCTTCTTGTCGCTCATATTGTAGGATCAAAAACAAAGGTCTTAGTGACGATAAGTATGAAAGGCGTAGCAAACAACGAGTTGAGCCGGAATAAAATCGATGCTAGAGATAACCAAAAGTCTCGGAAATTTCCTTTTTCTGCCGGGCGGAGATAGATGGCGGTGGGTGCGGGCGGATTGATAGTGTCTCTGGTGCCTGAGGTGTCACTGCAGTCCTTCGCTTGAGTCGAGCCATTCATTGTTCTTCTCCATAAGTAGCGGCTTATATCCTAAGTACTCATCGGTATTGAAAATGCCTCTCCCTGGTCAACCGGCTTTATTCATATTCTCGACGTCAAGATACAATCTTGGCTCTGCCAATGTCGGCTCTTGAGTATGCTCAAGTTTTGCTGCTTGCACATTTTATCGTGCGTCATTTGGACTCTATATCTCCAATGACATCAGTTGATATCTGACCCGGACGTGATTTTTCTGATGAGATCTCTGCGCCTAAGAGCTATTCTAAATGGTTACAAAAAGACCTTTCTAGAGGGGGATCAACGACTTGAGCATATTGACGAATGGCTCAATGCATTTGTCGGAGGCCGAGTCACTGCAATCAGCCTAGAGGCTCGAGCTGCGGCGTGCCATCCAGGTATATTCCTACAAAATGATTGTTCTTATCGTAATGCCTCTTTAAACAAAGATGAAATAAGAGGTGATCTTCTTGATTTATGGCCAGAATCTCTTCGATGACTGTTCGATCTACTCAGAGCAGCATTGTCCCCTTTATTATCATACCCAATGTCTCAATCCCTTTGTTGTGCAAGAGTTCTATATATGACCTTTCAGGTTTACCTCGCTACTGGTCAAGTCAGAAATCCTCGCTTCATTGCATACACCACCTTTACTATGCCGCTTGTCTCGATTCCGATAATGTCTAATAACCTCGCCTTCTTGCCACCAGAACTATTCTACATGATGGCTGAATCTCTCAATGCGGGAGACTTGCTCTCCCTTCGTGCTGTTTCGACTCGTCTGAAGTTATTGACAGCCAAGGCTCTCAAGCCCGTATGGGCTCACTCACTGCAAGTTATACATACGAACTTCTCCAACGAGAGTCTCTCCCTCATTCACCAGATCGCGAAGTCTGACGAGCTGAAAGAGCATGTGAAAATCATGAAGATCGTGCCACCGTTCGGGCCCTTGATGCCTCTGCACAGGGTGACGATGTACGGCTTGATCAAGAATTCCACCGGCATTCCAAAGATCAAAACCCTCAAAGATGACCTCGTGCACTCACTCAGGAACTGCAGGAGCTTCGAAGTCTGTCTCAGCTGGAAAGAAGGAACCCTTACGTACCTCGACAGTGATGACATTCTCAACATCCTCTTCCACATCTTCATCGAAGCCGAGCTTCCCGTGGAACACCTAGCCCTGTATACGCATCGATATACCGAGGAGTCGCACAGGTCGAAAAGAGCCCGTCCTTACACTCGAATGCACAAGCAGCCGGACCTTGCCCGTGCCTGGACTGGGCTCACCACCCTGCAGGTCACACAGCCCTACTTCTTTCACCTTGCTAATCACCTCTACAGGATCTTGCCGCAGATCATCGAGACCGCGCCGCGGCTCGAGACACTGATCCTTATCGGTGACGCAATCAGCGGCCAGTCTAATGATCTCGTCTCGGTGATCAAGAACGTCAAGCCTCTGGCTGAAATCAGACATATCGAGATTTATCGTTCAAGTCTTTCTCTAGAGGACTTGAAAGATTGGTTGCTGGTTGTCGGTGGGCATTTGCAGTCGCTGACCTTTTCCGGGTGCTTCAAAGTCACAGCCGTTTCGTGGGCTGAGTTTTTCCGCTGTGTGAAGAAGCACTGTCCCTTATTAGTGGCTGTTACCTTTGAAGGTGTGGAGTTCAGCGCGGACTGTCTGACAGAGAAGCATGTGGGCCAGGGAGGTTTGGCCGACGTGCTGTACGATACGATACGGAAGTTCGAGAAGGAGAATAAGTAAGCGACGGGCCTGGTGAGACAGGCTATCCTCATACCTCCTTATATACAGACATCGCTAAGTATAACTCCATCGCTTTGTCCTTTTCAGTTTCAGTCAGTTGTATTATTAGAGTCAAAGAGGAGTAATGTGGCAATCATATACCCCCTTTCCCTATTCAAATATCGAGGTACTGTACTTGGATCGATATTTATCTGTTGTATCATAGTAAAAACGATCGAATTATAGCCCTCGCTTTGTTCGCAAGAACTGTAGTGCTTCGTGCATTAGGAGAGAATGTTTTGCCATGCATATATTATAAGCATGATCTGGTGTTCACTCTGCAACATGGGGCTTCCGATCATGGATTGCGTAAGTGTTCACACTTTAGTGCCGGATGTTTACCCTGAATAGAAATGAGTCAGGCTGGTTGAAGACCCGAAACGAGCATCCGTAGAGTGAACTAAAGATTACAGAAACAAGGTACAGACCAGCAGATTATCACAAAGCTATGTATTACAAATAAAAAGAAATCAGACCGTCTGACGAACGCCAACACCCTTTTTGCATATGTACAATCACTTCATCTAGAAGACCAGAATTTTGATTCCCTTCTGCGCCGCACCGTAGCGGTCCTTCAGCTCCGACCGCGTGAGCAGCTGCAGCAGGGGAAGGTGCGTCTCTTTCATGTCGAAGATGCCACGCTGCTTCTGATCGACGTAGGAGCCGTCGATCACAATGCGCTCCAATTCACCGAGTTTGAGGGACCCTAGATTGTATTAACATTGTGTAGCCCATTGACGACGATATAATTGGAACGTACCTGAGTCAATCAAATCGGAGATGCGAGCTGGGGTACCGGCTCCGATGCCCATGCTATATTCGGTGGTTAGTCTTCGACATGCCATGAGGCAGTGAGATCGAAGAAATACGTACCGTGCACGCTCCAGAAATTGCTTAGCCTCTTCCAATTTGATGTGCTTAGCAAACAGCTTCCCAACAATGGACTCTTTATTCTGGAATGAGCGCAGGGCTCGGACGACATCGGCGGCCCGAAGACCAGCACCGGCAATCACCAGCGTATGAGGAGTTCCCTTCGCCTCTGAGGATTTGTCAAGCCCCACGCCCTTCTCGGGGCTGAAGGCTTTCAGGAAAGCGGGGAGGTTCTCGAGGTTGCGGGGTGATTCAAAGGACGAGGTATCGAGGAATGCGGAGTCTGGGGGAAGGGGATATTAGTATGTGAACAGTTTCCTCCACCGTTGCGGAGGCATATGAGGCTTCCCTACCCGGTACAGACAGATCGTTTAACTCAACAGCAGTAATTTCCTTGTTATGCCGGCGAGCCTTCTGAGCGAAATGGTCGGCCAACAACCGGCCATCCATCTTTCCGATTGCTTCATCGATACTGCCTTTGACCTCGGTTGCTTTGGTCTCCTGGGGCTCTTTGGGCTGCTTTGGCTTGTCTTTGTTATCCTTGCCCTTGTTTCCACCCCGTTTCTTGTCGAATTTGCCCTTATTGTTATTTTTTCTCTTCTTCTGATTGGGCCCATCCGAGGCATTGTTGCCAGTCGACTTGGTCTGCTCCGGCTTGGAGTTGGAATCCTCTGCCTGCCTCTTGCGCTTCTTGTCCACCTTGGCGGCGAGACCAGAGGGTTTTGCGTTTTCGTCGGACATGATTCTGATTGGAGATGAATTTGACTTCTTTCCTTGCAAGAGAACAACAGCCTTCAAATGGCAGAACTGCGCAACTTTGATCGCGTTGTCTCTTTGCGCCAACTTTTTATGCTGAGTCAGCGGTATCTTATCGATAAGATAGATGGCGGACCCACCGAGCCCCCGTACTCGTCACCGCCTGCTGTTTCGAGTGTATCTCTTTGGCTGCACTTTCACCCGCATCCACCTTGACGACGCGCTCTCCCCCCTCTCTCCGTCTGCCACCACTGGCGCCTTACTAGTCGAGCAAGGTCGCAATGGTCTTTATTTTGTCGCAAGGATCTTGATCAAGGCTGCGGCTGCTCTAATTTTTGTCTTCGACAACATATTCCACGGTTAAGGTGGTGATTATCCGCGATAATGTCGACTACCCCCAACCCCCGGCGCAGGTCACCGCGACTGTCCGAAGTCTCGGAATCCTTCTCCCCGATTGGGGATACCACACTCACAAGGGTATGCCATGTCTTTCTACAGATCTCAATTATGCATTACTAACTCACATTCGATAGCTTTCGCGTATCCCACGACACAGCATATTTCCCCTTACCCCGAGCCGGCACGCAACGACGTCTACGACCCCTTCTGCCAACAGATTCACTCCGCGTACCAGAGGCACCGGTGCGCCTGCCACCCCATTTAGATTAAATGCGATCCAGCGACGCAATGCGAATACTCCCGGCCGTGATCGCAGGAAGAGCGGACGAATCCAGCGCGAGACAACATTCGATATCCTTCGGAATCTAGGAAAGGGTGTGTTCCTCTCCTTCGCATGCCAATTAGATTCCCCCCTCCTGAACACCTGTTTGCAATGGTTTGTAGTGGATAAAGATAGTTGGCTGACCTGGAACAGCTCTCGCCCCGACGACTCAAACGATCCGTTCCTCGCCAAGTGAGAAAGCAGAGTCGGTGGCCCCAGAGCCTGTTGAGCCTGCGATGGACGAGTTCGAAATTCTCGACAATGAACCCGAGATGGAGCGACCACGGCTATCCCTGCCTTTAGAAGAGGTTGATGAGGTTGATGAAGAGCCGGAGATGCGGCCCCCGCGGCTATCCTTGGCAATTGAAGAAGATGAAATCACTGTCGAGTATCCGAGGCGCGCTGCCAACGAATTAGATAGGGGCAGATTGTCAATGATGGGTCCGCGATTGAGTGAGAACTTTGGGGATGCGACTCGGTTGGACAGCGATGATGACGATGAGGGGGATGACACGGGGCTTGTTCCCGGTGATGACGCCAGAGACGAAGCTGACGATACTATCACAAGTCAGGGGGCGTTCGATCGAGGGTGAGTCAAGTCCGTCTTATTTGCTCGGCATGTCGCTAATTTGACATACATAGGGGAGACACCGAGGACTTGGGTCGATTCAACTTCGAGTTCAATTTTCCATCGCCGCCTGCCCCTGGGGTCGGTGACCTGGACCAGAACGCACCGATGCACGATGATGAGGGCTTTGAGCTTCCGCCGGTGGATATGCCCTTGGGGATGGACCTTGGACCCGGTGATGATGACGATGCCAGTAGTGTGACCGATGCTGGCGGCGACTTCGGCATGGACTTCCCGGACTCTGAACCGATCGCCATGAGCGAGAGTCCTGCCCCTGGCATTGTTGGCGGCGGTTTGCGAGAGGAGGAGCAGTATACCTCCGGTGTCAAGCAAAAGAAGCTCTCCCGCTATGGCATTCCCGTACCCAATCTACCCGTTGGGGTCGTCAAGAAGCTGGCCATGCGCTTTGCGCGCGCACGCAATGGGTCCAAAGCGAAGATTAGCAAGGAGACTCTGGCTGCGATTGAGCAGGCCTCGTCGTGGTTCTTTGAGCAGGCCAGTGACGATCTGGCAGCATACGCTAAGCATGCGGGACGCAAGACTATCGATGAAAGTGATGTTACAACTTTGATAAGGCGGTGAGTGCACAAGACTGCTATTGTTACAATTGATGCTAACATTCTCTTTCAGCCAACGACACCTGAGCAATGCCACTACTGTCTTCTCTATTGCCCAGAAGCATCTGCCGAAGGAGCTTCTCCAGGATATGAGATTGGCGATGCCGCCATGAACTGCTGGTACATATACATACATCTTCCCATACATACAAACCCCACGTCGTCGCCGAGGGTTGCCAGATTGAGGCACCATCAAGCAGCTCTACCAATTACGGTTCAAGCGGACACGACGAGTGGCCTCATTCGGTCTCTTGCGAACGATCATCCACAACATAATGGACGTTGCCAGCGACAAGCCATACCTAGCGACATGAGCAGGGAATCCCTCGGAGACGGAGGAAGGATGTTTTATCATCGAGAGCTGGACAAACTCACCATGTAAAGATATACTGGCTGTGGTTATTCCTCAAGTTAACCTCGGCGGCACGACCGATAGGAATACCCTTGGCCTCCCGATTGTAAGCCTCGACCAGGTCCGGGACTAGAAGATAGCAGAGAGACAAAACCATATCAGCTCCAAGATTCATCTTCGCTACTCCACTCCATTCCACTCCCGTAAGAGCCAAGAGGAAAAAGATGCACTGTAACACAAGGAAGGGAAGACATACCCATAGTCTGCTCAATCCAAACCGGCTGACTCCCCGTCAACTCGGCCATCTGCTCGATATCCGGGAAGTAGAACTTCCCCTCCTGGGGGACATTGTCCGGCGTGAACATGTTCTTCTTCCACGGCTCCCGCAGCAGGCCCTCCACCATGACCTCGCCGCGCGGCAGCGCCCCTTCCTGGTCGCGCACCTTCTGGTCCTTCTGCTTCCGCGAGATCCAGCCCCGGTTCACGAGGATGGTGGACTGCTCGCCCTCGCGCTCGAGCGGCGTCACCACGAAGTACCCGTCCTGCCCGTCCCGCATGCGGGGTCCCACCAACATCTCCTGGTCGTGTCGGAAGCGGCCCACGGTATACACGCGGCGGTAGTCGAACTCCGAGATGGCGCTGGGGTCGATGCGCGGGGGCAGCGGCAGCGGGTCCTTGACGAGGCGGTCCTCGAAGGTGGCGATCATTTTGGTCTTGCGGTCGAGGCGCTGGATTTGCCAGGTTCCGAGACCGAAAGAGATTATGGGGATGAGGGCTGGTTTAACCGTGCATTGTCAGGTTAGCTGTGAGGGGCGGTTCTGTGGAGGTTGGGGTATACTTGTAACGCCTACCTAGAATAATCAATCCCGGTCCATGCTTATTTCCTGTCCGGACAATCCTCGCGGGGTTGTCGACGACGGATAGCCAGGCGGGATCGTCGGCCAATTGACGACTATAGAACCGGGTCTGCTGGATGCGACATCTGGTGCAGACGGAGTCGAGGGGTTTGGTCTGGAAAAAGGTGTTTGTTCGTGGGGTGCGACGGAGGGAGGCTGAGGATAATGATGCTGGGCGCGAGGATGCGGCGGTCCTGTGGAGAGCTGAGAGGAAGGGCCGCATTTTTGGCAAGTGAAGCGTTTCTCTCTCTCTCTCTCACTATCTCGAACAGTCAAACTTTGGCTCGAGGGTAAATTGGGGTTTCTGGTTGTTTTGTCGGTAAGTATGGAGTCTGAGGAGCGCGTAGTCTTGCAGGAACTGCAGGAGGTGAAGGAAGCCGACTTTCCCTCTCCGCCTGGGCTTATCGATTAAGTTGTCACCTCCGTCTCCGCTCCGAATCTCCACCCGCTTGTTGTTCCCCGACGATTCATGTCGCTGTCGCTGTTGCTGCTAGTTATTATTGATATCTATTCATAGTATCCATCTTTCAGACCTATGTTCTACTCCGGAAGTCTTCAGGAGGGCATCGCTTTGGCGGTTAGTCAAGCCAAGGCTGTCGTGTGTTTCGTTCGAGGTTCGTTCGTTGCTCTGCCATTGTTCATCTGTCGAGCTGTCGCTCTCTCCGCAATTGCCGGCTGAACTGGCACTTCCAACCTGTGCGTGTACTTGGCTTGTGAAGCTGACGCTTGGGCCAGATGATGAGCAGACAAGTGTAACATGGGAGGATGATTACTTCGCTGGGGATGAAGAGGTACACAATTGCCGCTCCAGCTGATCTATCATGTCATGACCCCCGGCTCACGGCTTAGTTCCTCCGGTTGCTCGAGACAAGAGCTGTCCTCTTGCGCCTCGCCAAGGACAGCCAGGAAGCTGGCTTCCTGACCTCTTTCTGCCCTATTGTCAAGTTTCCAACTGTAGTCGTTATCAAGTAAGTGTTTAGGTCCGGTTGTGCTTATACTTCTGTTAGTTTATTGACCGTCTCGCCCAGGAATGGCATGCTGTGCGACTATCTCGTGCCCGAGATGTCCAAAGAGGACTTTCGCAGTCGACTTGCTACCAAGCTTGATGAAAGTAATGCGCTTGTTCCACCGGACTTGAAACCTATCCCTGAGAGTGTTATGAAAGATACTGCGGGTCAGCCTTCCGTGCCTGCGGCCACGGCTGCTGCGCCCGCATCTGTGGCGCCAGCGACTGATCCGTTACCTACATCATCGGCTTCATCCTCTGATGTGACTCCAGCCCGCGATTCAAGTATCCGCGAGGGTAAGAAGAGAGTGGAGGATGCACGAATAGCTCAGTCTACAACTCCAGCTGCGACACAGAAGAAGCCCACCACTCCCGCGCCTAAACCCGCCGGCAAGGCCATGAGTCCAGAACACCCTCCCCGTAAACCGATATTGCAGCCGGCCTCCTCGAATCCCAAGCCCGTATCTCCATCCCCTAAGCCTCACCAAGATGCCCCCGTTCGATCCCCCTCACCACCCAAACAATACCGTCTCCAAGTCCGCCTGTTCGACGGCAGCTCCGTCCGCTCCAGCTTTTCCCCCTCGCAAACCATCCGCGCAAACGTCCGTCCCTGGCTAGACACACAGATGCAAGAAGAGAAGCGTCCTTATAACCTCAAGCACATCCTCACGCCGCTTCCCAACCGCACCCTGACCATCGCCGACGAAGAGCAAACCCTCGCGGAGCTAGGCCTGGGCTCGACTGCGAATCTTGTAATGGTTCCCATCAGCACATACACAGACGCCTACTCTGCAGCCGGCTCCAGCCTTCCCGTTCGCGCCGTGTCCTCTGCGTACGGGCTGTTCTCATCTGCCGTGGGGACCGCAACGGGCCTAGTTGGTTCGTTCCTGGGGTATGGATCGAGCGGTCAGAATGCGACCTCGGCCCAGCCAGGACAATCGTCTAGCAGTAATCCCTCGACCAGTGATTCGGGATCAAGGGCTCGACCGGTTGGCACCTCGAATCGAGGCCCAATCATTCGGACCTTGAGAGACCACCGTGATGAGCAGGAGAACAGTCAGCTCTACAACGGGAACCAGGTAAGCACTACCCTCATTGCCTTCGTCCTGACATTTGAAGTAGTACAATACTAAATGCGGCGTATAGTTGAACTTTCAACCACGCAGGGATGATACGGACCGACGATGAGCTTCGTCTACTGGAATCTGCGCTCACGCGTTGTAATTGGATTACTATGAGATCGATCCCCATGTCTGTAGTATAGCGGTAGTACTATCTAGCTTGCCAGGTCATTCTTTTCGCAGCTGCGCAATACGAGTCTACAAAGGAAGCAGCCTAGGAACTTGAAGAGTGGAGTTTTCTATTTATTCTCATGGTGCCTATTGGCTTCGTGATATTGAGCTAGATGTACAAAGGTTATAATAGTAGTGGCAATTCTGATGAGAATAGCCAGCCAATCATCGAGGGGAGTATTCGCTGCCATGCAAAACAAACATAAAGCAGAAGAATGTGGTATATCTCAACCAACCATCGAAAGACGAACACGTGCGAAATTCGTTTTCAATCTATAGACCAAGTCGAATCCAAAGGTAGGGGAGATTTCCGTCCCGACCCTAGCTCCCCAAAGGAGGAACCAGTTTCCAGATATTGCCAAGGGGGGTATGTATGGATTTTGCATTATGCGTAAAATTTCGAAAGAGAATTGATACAGCGTTAGATCTCTTCTGCTGTCAAACCTATGATTGACTCAGACAACAAAGAACAAATTTAGTACTGCTTGGCAGCAGCCTGGCAGGCTTTCTATATCCCCGGAAGTTAGCGAGCTGTTAACATTCTTATGCGCAGAAGTCCTCCTCAGATGAAGGGGCGGGGTCAAACGAACCAGCTGATCGAGATACCAGCCACAGATGGACAGGTTGCCCTGGTTCTCGTCCATGCACTTGCGGAAGTTCTGCACGTCGGTGGCGCAGGCAGGGTTCTCCCAGGAGCTGTTGGTGGCGTTACCGGCCCAGAGGCCGTTGTCCATGGGCTGGGCCTGGGCAGGGGGAGCGGCGGCGGGCTCGGCGGGGGCGGCGCTGGAGCCACCGCCGCTGAAGAAGCCGCCGATGGCGTGGCCGATGGAGGAGCCGACTGCTACACCACTGTTTTGCATCGGAGGGGGAGAGATTAGCGATGTGGGATTCTCTTTTGGTTTTTGCGAGAGACCAGCCGGACAGGTACGGGAGGCAGCGCCATAGGCTGGAAGACTTACGCGGCAGTGGAGGCCATCTGGCCGAAGAGACCGGGGCCAGAGCTCTGCTGGGGAGCAGCCATGGGAGTCGGGGGAGCAGCAGCAGGAGCAGCGGCGGGAGGGTGAGCGGCGGTCGAGTGAGGCTGGCTGTGCTGCTGCTGGACAGGAGCGGCCGGTCTAGCGGGAGCAGCAGTAGGTCTGGTGGGAGCGCTGCGCGCGGGAGTAGGGGCGGCACCACGGCGTTGACGAGGCATGTTGATGTGTGTTGTGGCGAGAGTTGTGGTGTTGTGAGGGGGATAGAATATGTGTTGCAGAAGCAGAGTGATAGAGTAGTAGGAATGGAATGAATGGATGGGGGCACTAGATTGTCTTATAGAAAAAGAACAAGCTCGAATCCCCGGCGGGCGGAGAAAGTTCCAACCTCCGATCGCTGTGCCTATTTCGCCACCGCTGATTGGTGTCCTCGGCAGATTATGTCAGCCACCAGTCCGGCAGTTCGGGCTGCTTCTGATTGGCTGGTCTTGTAGGTACCTGAATGGTAGGTACCGTAGGTTGGTACTACCAGTAGTAGGTACTACTAAGTACAGAGGATTAGTATACGGAGAACTATTGTCTACAAATACTAATATAGAAATCTTTCTACATTCATCTTCGCGTTGACCAGTGTGAATTGGAGCTTGATAAAGACTCTTTTGATATATGATTGCATGTTCACCGTCCTGATACGGACTTATCCATACCTCTACACTCTTATCTCCGCTTGATATTCCCGCGTGAGTCACCGCCAACATGACCATGATCCACAGGGCTGAGGATGCCTCGTTCTTCAGTTCTGACATCAGACCGAGATCCACATGGCTGCTGTTCGGATGGAGTGGAAGCTTGCAGCATGCGGTGGAAGAGTCCATACCTAACGCCAAAATCATTGGCGCGCTCGCGGAGGTGCAGCGGCCGACTTGCGCAAGGAACGAGTAAGCGGAGCCTCGGTCGGCCTTATGCTCACATGGTTCAGCCAAGTGTAGGTCCATGCGATGGGCTCACGGTGTACCCCAAGTACAGGCGTCACGAGTCTCCTTCGTAGAGAAGTGTCTGAAACCTTAGAACTAGACCAGATTTCGACTCTGTCATCAACCAAATGATCAATAGAATATGCTTGGCTACGAGGAGCGGACCCGCCGATCACACTGCCAAGTCAAATCATGTCCGTGGGCGACCTCATTTGAGATTCTTTGCCTTGCGCATATCATCCTTCTTCTTTCTCCTATCCTTCTTGACTTCTTTGCGCTCATCTTTGTTGAGCTTCTTCCGTCCCTTGTTCTGGTTTTTCTTTTCCTCGTCACCAGTTTGCTTCTTCTTGGTCTTTTGCGTGGTCGGCACGGGTTCGACGTCCGCCTCGTCGCTGTTAGCATCTGACTCGGAACCGGATTCTTCGGGGGCGTTCTTGTTCGCCTGCTCGGAGGTTGAAGATGCCTTCTTCGCTAATAGTGATGCCTTAAGCTGCGCACGAGCTCTTTCTTTTGCTTCTTGCTCCTTGCGCTCAAGATCGATCTTGTCGTTTCCAGCCTATTGTCTGATTAGTGCGCGGTCCTCAAAGTCACCGTTGACGCACAAAGAGGATACTTACAAGACCATGCTTGATGAAGCGGCTTGCGGCCTCTTTGTCGAGTTTGAGAGTGCGCTGCTCTGGCTCCTTTTCCAACTCTTTGATCTTGTCGAAATACTGTTTCACTCGTGTCAGCTCTCTGAACACGGGGTGCTCCTTGGCATTGACACCGTGCAGACGCAGCCAAGCTATCAAAGTGTTAGTGGGTGCAAAGCTGATTGAGAAGGAATTGACATACAGAAGATGAGGGATTCCAGAGCATAGGTGACAAGGACATGGAACTTGGCTTTGTCCAGCACTGGGAGGTTGCTGGACGATTTCACGATAGAACTTTCCAACACAGGTTGAAGGATCTCTTCGAGATCATCGATGTTGTCATCTAGCTGCTCGAGCAGCGGGAGTAGATCTGCAGCCTCCATTGCACGTATGGTTTCCGGTGTGTCGAGAGGAGGAAATCCCAAAATTGTGGACAATACGGGCGGCGATTTTTCCAGGTAAAGGCGGTCAGTGAGGCGGTGGCGGACCAAATGTCCGCCTCATCGTTCGGATCTTGCATTTGATCTTTCGATCTCCATGAAAAAAAAAAAAAGAAACTCTCATTGATACCAGCTCCTTTGTTCTGATGATGAAGGATCTCTGGCTCTAATTACACCATATATCTTTTCTTCTTCCGCTGGTTAAGGACACGACGACGACTACTGCTCTACCCACACTGCGACACCCAGCTTGTCAAGACCGCTGTTCCGCGGCAACTATCTCAAAGTGCTGTACATACTCGGGCGCAGTCCGCTGTGGCGGCGGACTGGATTGTATGAATCATGCTTTGTTTCAGCAGCCAGAGCTCGGCAGGGTCCTGCCAATCGGTTCGTGACGACTTGGACTGAAGAGGCGAAAGGAGCGTCTGGGAACAAACGACAGCTCTCGGGGCGCATACATATCTTGGGTCTGGAGAATACGTCCTTGTTTGTTGCTCACTCATTAGCGAGTCGACCATCTGTGCCGCCAATTACCCTTCTGCTGCCCAATACCGTCGCTTACGAATCATGGTTGAATCACCGCAAGTGTATAAGTCTTCAAACGAATTCATTGGAGGACAAGAAAACTGGTTTCGATGTCGAAGTTATGGACAACGGCACATGGTACTCGTTTCCATACGATGCAGCGGAGGAAGCCAACCCCTTCAAGCAAGAACCGGACGATAAGCTCGACACCCAAAACAATTCTGAGCTTGAGTCCGACTTCTACGCAATTGCCGCCGATACCGAGCTCAACGAACTCAGTTATTCGGAGGTCAACGAGAGCAATCGGGAAATCGAGTGTCTGATTATTGCCACCGGTGCAAATATGACTACGTTAGCCGTGCACGATGTCAAGCATCGCTTAACTCCCGATTCGACAATCTTGTTACTCTCAAGTGGATTGGGCCTTAGAGATGAGATAAATGCGAATGTCTTTCCGGACCCCGAGGAACGTCCGCATTACATGGAGGGAGTAGTCTCTCATAATATCACTCGGAGACAGCGCGGTTATCAAATCAAGCACCTTGACGTGGGTACCACTGTTTTGGGGGTCCCACTGCAAGATTCACAGTCACAACCCAAGACCGAGGACCTGTATTGGAGGCAAAATTGGGCCCCCACTACCAAATACCTTATGCACATATTGACCAGCACCCCGCCACTTGTGGCTACCGCAGCAGCTCCGACTGATCTTATGTTGCATCAGCTAGAGAAAGTCGCCATACAATCCGTTCTAGAACCCGTGACCGCTCTCATGGAAATCCGAAACGGTGATGTCCTTTACAACCCCGGTTTCAGCCGCATAATGCGGCTCCTCCTCCTCGAAACCTGTAGCATTTTCGCTGCGCTGCCTGAGGTCCGGTCAGTCCCCGGTATTGAGGCCCGCTTTAGCCCGGAACGCTTGCGTCGCATGGTCGTTCAGCAAGCCGCAAGAACCTTTGACCAGGATTCTCGTATGCTGAAAGCTGTCCGGAACCGCTGGACGACTGAGATTCGGTATCTGAACAATTATATCGTGCGCAGAGGCGAGAAGCTCGGTCTCAAACCCGTGATGAATTACTTGATTATGAGCTTGATCGAAGGAAAAGCATATCAAATCAAGCAACAAGAGGCCGCTGCAATTCCCATCGATTTTGAGCCCACCAACAGCGACGGGCTCAAAGCGGACAATAAACCCAAACCACAGTTTCCCGACTTCCCCAAATAGTCTAGTCGATGCTTCCTGATTCTGGACTTCGCACTCCATACGCTTATTTCAACCATGCCTCTATTCCTAGCAGAGAAACGTGTCCAGAGCTCGACAACAGAGCCGTCTTATCTGGTTCCATCGTCTCAAGAGCATTTGTGCCTTTCCTGGATGGCACTGGTCGCCTTCAGTGGACAAAATCTCTTCCAGATGCCGGATTGTGGTATCTGCCTCCTTGATATAAGTGCTAATCCAGTCCCGAATCACGCTCGCCGACTTTTTGTCATCCACTCCCTTGATGGAGTAACCGAGTACATGATCTTGCCAGTCCTTGAGCGACATGTACGTGATGGAAGCGGCTATTTCGGTCCTGTAACATATACCACCGGCTGTCAATTGATAGTTTCTGGTCGGCAATAGTCAGTGATTGGATGTTAACAGATCGCACTGCAACAGAAGCAGAAGCGATATACACACCCTAGGTATTGATGAAATTCCAGCTCTTCCAGCAGGCTGGGGTTAAGATCTTTGAAAATAATGTCATCAAGATATAAAGTTTCAGACTCGTTTTCCTCCAAGTAGAAACCATCTGAAAAACAGATTAGCCGGGAGTAGGCATGATTATAGTAGTATGGATGGGGCTGATCCTCACACTCAGTAAATAAGAAATCATTCGGATGAGGACCATAACTCATATAGATCTCGTCTCCCTCATCTGCGAAGTACAAGAAACAGAGCCCATAAGTCAGAAAGTGAAATCAATCGTTCCGAGGGGATTGAACCATACCATACTTCTTAGCAGCTCGAAACACATAGTTCCGCCCGTCAAACTTGACATTGCACTAGCACGAGACATAGGCATAAGTAATAGCCAGCCACGACTCCCAACACACAGATGGACGGAACATACCGCTACATCCGAATGATTAAAATAGTCCGCAAACGGCAGCAGAGCCATGGCGTCATTTCGATCCTCTGGCGGTTCCTGGCCCGGCATCAGATAGTAAAAGCTCCGCGTGTTGACGATCAGCCAATGATACGAGAACTGCTCCCACTCTGTGTCGGGAAACACGGAGACCACGATGTCCCAGTCTCTGCGCAAGCGTTGTTCCTGTTGCGCGAGCAGATTCTGGTGAAAGGTCTCGTAATCGGGGACAGCGCATCGCTGCGGCGTTGGGATCGTGTTCCATTGGCCGGATATTGACGGGGGAAGGACGACGACGGAGGAGTTTGGTTCTGGGAGGTTATCAGACGCAGGCGAGAGGTGCTGAGAGTTTGAGCGCCGTAGAGAGGTGGGCCAGAGGATGGGCATGCTTTCTTCGAAGTCTGCACGGGTGGGCCAGGTGCGTCGCCAGAGCGTGTAGGGTTCGAGGTCGGAGGGTTCGCCGTTGGTGAGATATGCGGCGTAGAGAGCGTGGGTAGGGGTTCCGGCAGGGAATTTGCTGGAGAAAGAGGGTGGGATGCGAAAGGGAGTCAACATTGCTTCGTGGGGTACTGTTACAATCGCTTCGTCTTTCTGGTTTGATGGTTAAGTGCGGAGTTCTCTGTTAGTACATGGCTTGTCGCGGGCTTGAGCTTCATTTCATATGCATGCGTGTCTTGTCGTACTTTTATATGCCGTGTGGCAATCATGCCCAGTCCTCGTCCGGAAAATCGCGCGGGACTGACTCCATTGATGAGGATGCCTTGGGCGAGAGCCCATTCGGTGAAGGCTTCATGTTGTTCGCCGGGCCACCAGGTGGGTTTCATTTTTGCGATTGAGCTGGATGTATGCTCGAGGATGTGGGTGTTGTTAGACTATGACGGGGTCTGTGTAACCAGCTCACTGTGCGAGATATGTTGTCAATTGGTATGATCGAAGCTGGAGCTTTTACTTTTGGGCCAATCTCGTAAGGCAATCGCAGCGATGGTGGGATGCGTCGCAAATTATGGAATGTCCCTCTTCGAAGCCCAATCGATAAAGAAAAGTGACAAGGACTTTATCTTATCGATCTTTATCAGTTGGTACGGCACTCCAGACCCACCACTCGCGCTATCCGGAATCTCCCCGAAATCGTACCACTTGACTTGAACTTGGAACTATACTACTTAATCAAAGCCCAGATAATCCCCCTTGGGAGCTCGACTGCGTGGCGGCGTGTATTCTTGGACTATCATTATGTCTGTCCTCGGGAAGCGCAGTACAACTTTTAGTCTGCGAGAACTGAATCTCCTCGCAACAGCAGCCACCGCAGCACCTGTTCCCTTGCACAATCGATGCGCGCGGTCTTTCTCCGCCTGGAACCGACCTCCGCCAAATTATCCCGGCCATGTGCCATTGACCTTCTTGGAGCGCGGTGCATTGGCCGTAGGCTCTGCATTCGGGGCTCTTATCAACCCACGACGAGCTGGTGCGTTCCGGATCCCTGGGTCATCTAACTTGATCCTACACGCCGCCTTTCCTTCATAGTAATTACCCGGCCTCTACACTATACTTACCAACGGGCCCCTCCGCCACCATAGACCTCATCGCAACCTGCGGCGAAGCCACCGCGACCCCCTACTTCATCTACCGTCTTCGCGACGCTATGCTCTCCGACCCCACGGGCCGCCAGATCCTCCGCGACCGGCCGCGCATCACCTCTCAGACCCTCCAGCTGCCGTACCTGCGCACCCTGCCCGAGAACACCGTCGGCCGGACGTACGCCACCTGGCTGGACCGCGAGGGCGTGTCGCCTGACACGCGCGATAACGTGCAGTACATCGACGACCCGGAATGCGCCTACGTCATGCAGCGGTACCGCGAGTGCCACGACTTCTACCACGCGGTGACCGGGCTACCCATCTTCGTGGAGGGTGAGCTGGCGCTCAAAGCGTTTGAGTTCCTGAATACCTTGATTCCAATGACCGGGTTGAGTCTGTTCGCCTCGGTGCGGTTGAAGCCCGCCGAGCGGGAGCGGCTGTTCAAGATCTACCTGCCGTGGGCGGTGAAAAGTGGGTTGAAGAGCAAGGAGCTGATAAACGTGTATTGGGAGAAGATTCTGGAGAAGGATGTGGGCGAGTTGAGGGAGGAACTGGGGATCGAGCAGCCGCCGGATATGCGGGAGATCCGGAGGATGATTCGGTTGCAAAAGAAGAGGGAGAAGGAGGCGGCGGCAGCCAAGGCCGGTTTGTAGTGTGCTTTTCCTTGTTTGGCCGGGGTGGATACCTGTGTATATTATATAGTATTGCATGGCATGCATATATCTTACTATCCTCATCTGCTTGATGGGAGTTATGTGAAGTGGTAGGAATGGATACAGATTTAAAGAGTATGCGATGTAGGCTGTCCTCGCGAATGAAGCAGGCTCTACATACGTAGCAGACAACAGCTTTTCCATATCATGGGATAGTTCGGCCATCGCCGACGAGCCAGTATTCCGAGCATACAGCCAGTGGCTTACCCCAGAAGCTGCGCTGGAATACATAAAGAAAGAGAGCACGCGGAAGGTATCAAAAAAGAGACTGCAAGAAACCATCCGCCACCTGCGGAGATCAAGCGCCTCTCGCTAATAGCAGATCATTACATCAATTTGCTGTCGCTCTACAAATCCAATAGGTCATCATCGTCATCCCAGCCGCCTTTGCGCCGAGTGATCACAATTTTGTGCTCCTCCTCATCCTTGCGCTGGTTCTCAGCCATAGCATTGAGCAGTTGCTTTAGCTGATCCTCCGACACCTTCTGGCGCAGTTGGCCGGTCTGAGCGAGCATGATCAAGCGGTTTTCAACGTCCATCGCGCGCGATTCCTTGACGAGGCGAATGCGGCCCAGGCGGTCGGCGGCTTCCGGTTCGAGGATCTGGTTCAGGATGGAGGCACGGCGGTCGGCTATTATGAAGGTTAACACGGTGCGTACTGATATACTTCACTTTCCGAAGCGGGTGCCGTTGTGTGGCGCGGAGGTCGCTCCAGATTGTCCTCCTTCATATGTCAGGGTGGTCTGGGTTTTGCTGCCGTGCATACCTTCAGCTTGCCTTGACGAAGGTTAGCTGTGGAAGATTCCAGAAGCGAAGAGTTAAATGCAAGAATTGCGTACTTTCTTTGGTCTTCTTGGTTGTCACTAGGCCCGCCGCGTGCACCACCGCTCTGTTGCTGGAGCTGAGCCATGCGGGCTCGTCTAATCTATTACATGTCTAAGTATGAGAGCTTTGAAAGATCGCACAGAAAGAAGGCGACAGGGGTTGACAGGTGAGGAGTGCGAAAGGTGGAAGTATGAGGCATGTATACTGACCTCTTCCAACTCTGCGTCGGCCATGGTTGTCGCTGGTCAAGGTGATCGACAATCTGTGGAAGGGGGATCTCCTTGATCGGTGCAGTCTGCGGTCTGCTCGGGGAATTTCGATGTCGATCACGGGTCGAGAGGATCTCTGCACTCTGCAGTCAGATCCTAAAGGCTCTATTAGAGGAGAGAGTATGTGGAAATGGAACTCAAAAGATGGAAAGATTATGCACGGGTGGAATGAGCAGATCCGCCCATGCATCCACCCCACCTTGTGATAGCTACATGCCTCAGGCACACAGGCCACCCGCCCTCCCGCCCGGGCGGGGCGCCATGAGGCATCACTCAGGCCATCTTTACCCGATGCGGAAATCAATAGTGCAGCTTGCGATCCGCCAGATTGGATCCAAACCTACTCCCTATCATCAATTACACCGCAACTCAGGTCCATTGCCCAGTTATGGCTAGCTATAGTCAAAGCTGTGACAGTCGGGACTCTGCCGAGCAGAGCCCCAACAAAAGGCATTCGTTAAGATTCCCATTTCTCAGAAGCCGATAATTGCCTTGTTGCTCGCATCTCACTCCCGAGACTGCCGAGACCAGAGTCGTCCTCCAGTTCACCGAGAGCACTGACAATTTGACTGCATTAGGCTGAGATTGTCCGGTAGGGCCGAACCAAAAGCTCTCATCTTTCGGATCAAGGCCGTCAATTGCATCCAGGGCGAGAGGGAGTGGAAGGGGACGAGGAGGCAGGCGAAGAGAAGCCAGCCACTCCCTCCAGGCTCCATCCCCTTGCGAGACGCTGGTCTGTATCAACTTGATCAAAGATCACCCATGGGAACGTGGCTTCCGAATTCAAGTTATTTATAAGTCGGAATGTATTGAAGGAGAGGAAGATCAGTACGGGATTCAATCGATGTACTCATTATGTCCCTGTCCTCCAGCCATCTCTACGCAGAACTGCGGTGCTAAAGAAAACCCTTCCTATCTGGTTCCATTCTTTCTTGCCAAGGTTCATTCGAGTCATTCTTATCCTCATCCACTGGGTACTGATGGCGGGCAACGATAACGGCCTGACGCGACAGTTGGAAGTTTAAGCGCCTGAGGGTGTGATTGGGTGGGAAGACGTATCTCCGCGTATTCTCCGTAATTAGCGTAAGATATACCGATATCCGCTACTGCGCTAAGGGGTGCGGCAAACCTCTCAACGTACGCAAGTGGCCGCCTGACCGCGAGCGGCGAAACCGGTACGATACAGTAATTATGGGCATTTGTGCTGGGGCTGTGCTGCCCATTCGTCAGTCAGATCTGTTCTATCCGGACTTCTTCGTACCCTCTCTCTCTCTCTCTGCCTCATCATTTCTGCAATCGTCGGACTTTCTAGCTTAAACTTACGTTCTCTTTCTCTCTTCTCTTCTCTTTATCTTCCTTCTTCCCCTCTTCTTTAATTATTATACTCGATACGAACTCGTAATATTCAACCCTCATCTGGAGAAAAGAGGGGTAGCATCCGCGCCTCCAATATCCACTTCCCTTCAGTTTGGTCACGCCCTGATTCCCCGATCCGCCTCTATCGTCATCTGCTCCGGCTGTTGTATCCTCTTACTACCCTTCCTCCCCCTCCCACTTCCCCCCTCTCTCGTCAATTGACTTCTATCCACTTTCCTTCAATTGCTTCCTTCTTCATTCATTCCTTCATTGCTTGGATCTCCATTCCTTCCTTCTTCTCAGACTCAATGCGTCGTGGCTCGACCGACTGAATTCTCTCCACGCTGCGCGCTGGCAGAGACGTTGCATTAGTCTTGGCCCCCTGCTTCATCTGTCCCATGCATAGATCTTGATTACCTTCTCTTGATTCTGTGAGGAGTTGCAGATGCGAAAGTCCGGACCTGCTATCTACGTGGTTGTGGAACCCGCCTCGCCATCATTGTAATACCCCATCCATCCTCAAGAACTTCGCTTATCATCATGGCCGAGTATGTTCTCTCAATTGGTTCAGTCTTCTGCTAATCATCTCATCAAACGTCACTAATCGTCTGAGACAGTTTTATCGCTTTTCATACTTACTACTCGCGTCATAATTTCCTCTCACCCTCCAAGATGCTTTCGCGGCCCACCAGCCACAGACGATCTCTTTCCTCCGAGAATAGGTCTCTCTCCCCCGACAGAACCATCACTAAAGCGCGCTCGACAAATGATTTGTCAGAAACTGTCACCGAGAAAGCGATTCCTGGCATCCGTTCATCAAGCGTTGGAAATTTTTCCGATAACAACTTTAATACCCTCAAGGATCCGAGACTCGCGACCAGCGCGGATAGCTCGGAAACCGCTTCTACCCCACAGTCGCACCACCCTGATCTCAGCAATGAAGTCGCAGCCTTGAGTGTCAAGCTTGTCCAGGCGATTAACAACCAAACCACGTTAGACGACAGTTTAGTCGCCACCCGTCAGGAACTTGAGCAAGCTCAAAGCAAGATCCGCACCCTTGAATCAGAGAATGAGAAGCATCGGCGCGACATCGAGCAGGAAGTCCTCATTAAGAAGGCCGATGTGGATTACGAGATGCTGCGCCTACAGGCTGCTTTGGCAGACGAGAAGGCTCAGCGCGCGCTTGCAGAGAAGGAGAAGAAGGGCATCGAACAGGAGCTGGAGACCTTGACTGCTGCTCTGTTCGAGGAAGCTAATAAGGTCAGATTTGAATCCCCGCAGTAAGTAACATGTTTGATATGCTAACATTAGTGCTGAAATGTAGATGGTCGCAGCCGCGAAACTCGAGCGTGAAGCGGTAGAAAAGAAGAATGAGCAGTTACGCGCCCAGGTCAAAGATACCGAAGCACTGCTCGCATCGCACCAGGAGCAACTCGCGGAGTTGAAATCTGTTCTGCAAGGCATGAACATCACCAAGGACGACGCGGATACTCGGACGATCATCTCAACTGCTCCGTCTTCTCCAGCTGCACCCCTACGACCTCCTTCTATTAGGAAGAACATCGAGGGCTCAGATGTCACCGAGGATGTTACTCCCATGGAGGAGATTACTCCGGCTCCTTCCACCAGCTTCCCACACTTAATCAAAGCTATTTGTCGCACCGACATTCAAGCATACGAGGACTTCCGTGAGTTATTCACCACGTCGAGATTGTCGAAGCCACCGAGTCGCGCTACCAGTGGGTCCTACGCTGGATTGAATGTGATGAGCCTAGCCAGTCTGAGCGCTGGCAGTTTTGGTTCTGCATCGTCATCTCCTGCGAAATCCAACACACATTCCCCAAGCGGAAGCGTGTCTTCTCCTCAACCCGTCACTTCCCACATCCCTCTGAAGGAGACTCGTTTCTACAAGCGGGTTGTTGTGGAAGATATAGAGCCGACTTTGCGACTAGATGCCGCTCCCGGGATCTCCTGGCTTACTCGGCGGTCAGTGTTGGGTGGCATTTGCGAGGGAAGTCTCTTGGTGGAGCCTATGCCGCCATCGGCAAAGAAGTACGAGTTCCCATGTTCACTCTGTGGTGAACGCAGGACGGGCTCCGTCAATGAGAGGACTCACCGATTTCGCACCTCCGATAACGAGACTGCCCAGCGCTACCCGCTATGTGTGCTTTGTTTAGAAAAGGTGCGATCATGCTGCGAATTTACGGGATATCTTCGCTTGATACTTGACGGGCACGTTCGAATCGGAGATGCAGAAGAGGAAAAGGATGCTTGGGATGAGACTGTCAGATTAAGGGAGAGAATGTTCTGGTCTCGAATTGGTGGCGGCATCATTCCATTGTTCAACCAGTCACACCGCCATCATGCGCACCACGAGAGTTTCTCGAGCGCGGCGGAGATTCCTCTTGAAACGATTGCGGATGGCCCGGAAGAAAGCCTGCCGGACCTTACGCCCGAGACTGAACACACAAGTTTGCATATACAAAAAATTGACGAGCTCGACAATGGATTGCAGGAGAAGACCTCTCTAAATGAGGATCCCTTCGTATCTGCTACCTCTGAGATCGAGATCCCAGTAACTGTCTCTGTGCCCGATGATGGTACGGATGCTGAAGACCAGGAAAAAACATTCCATGATACACACGAACAGATCGATGAGCCATCGGATGCTTCCCGAATCGCCCATGTTGACGAAGAACCCCAGCCCTCCGTGCATTAGAGGAGACTTGTTATCAGTCATCCAGCATGAGTGGCATTGCTGATTCATTGCGCAAGATTATCTTCTAAAGTTTCTCGATACACCAGCTTCACACATACACAGCTGTCGTTGTCCTTCCATTTCGCGTTTCAGAGCCTCATGTTTCGATATCCAGTTGCTATATTTTGTTTCTCTTCCCTTCTTACACGATATTCTCCTAGTGTGGCTGCTTGCTTAATCACTCACCGATCCCGTCGTTCTGCATCTCAGGCATAATTCGAAGCAAGCGCAGCCCATGGTATGTATTATTAATCATTGTTAACTTCGCTTTCCACTTCCCTTTCCACACTGTACACATAATATTCTATGTTCGTCTCCTTGATGTTTCTTGTCTTGCTTACAAGTCCGTCTTAAAACTGTTGATGACTCGAAAAAGTGCGACGAATGAAACCATGGCGTCGCATTCGAGCTTGATACTTCCTTTCTTGCAACTCTTTTTGCTTTTGTTGCCAAAGAGTGTTCTCTTTCTATCTGAGTTTGGGGCTTCTTCACATTGTTCTCTTTGAACTTCGTTTCGGTACTAGATATCACTCGTCAAACATGTTGGCAGGATAGTATGTTGTATGGGATGGATGATACCGAAAACGCGGATTGCTAATCTTTCACTTGCACATATTACAATTTATGATGATCTTATCTGGAGTACCAAGTCCCGTAAGCTACGCCTGTGCACACGTAATTCCAGAAATGCCTGCATCAAAGGGGGTGATCATGAAATTCGACAGCACGAAAACGGATCGCTGTCCGTCTTTTGCACCCAGGATGATATACCAGTGAGTCATCTAATACATACTCCGACAAGAAGAGAGGATGGAAAGAAGAAAAAAGACAACGCCTCCATGAGAGATAAACATCAGAAGAAGAAGTAAAAATAGCACCGATTATTCCCTGAGTCGTTGCGATGAGCTAGGTTTGCGAAAAGAACCAATATGTCACACACACACGCATCCCTCTTTTAAGCTCTTTGTGAAAATCCGCTACCGATGCACGTTACCCTGTCGCTCATGAATCCGACGAATCTGCTCTTCGACACTCATATTTGACGGATTAGGAGGACCACCCGTAGGGCCGACGGGCACGGGACCCTGCCCGTGGGCACCTTGAAAGGCCATCTTCTTCCTGCGATCGTCCTCCGCTGCGGCGGCGGCCTCGTCGGTGGGGAGGGCGGCGGAGTCAAAGACATCACTTCGTTGACTAGCGAGCCGCTTGAGATTGTTGACCACGTCTGCGGTCGACAAGTTGGTGGTGGCGCTGCGCGACTCGGCCTTGGCGCGTTGCTCCTTCCACCGGGGGTCGAGCAGCTCGATGCGCATATGCTGCTCCAGTTCAGCCACGGGGATCTGCTGCCGGCAGTTCGGGCAAAGGGCGGTGGCGCCGCCGACGTTCTGGCGGCGGGCCTGCGCGCGCGGGACGTAGTCCGAGCGGATGCGCATGGGCTGTTGCTGTTGTTGGGCGGTGGCGTTGGCTTTAAGTGCAGCGGCCTGATCGCGTGCTTCCATGCGTTCACGGATCCGGCGCTCCTCCTCCTGGTGGGCGGCAGAGAGCGCGGCGGCCGGGGCGGTAGGGGCAGCTGGTGGGGGCATGGCGAGGCCGACGTGGGGTGGGTAGATGGGGCCGGCAGTGGACTGGGCGGGAGTGGGCTCGGGGACGAAGGGTTGGGAGACTTGATCGGGGAATTGCGGATGGGGGTAAGCATTGTAGTAATTGGAGGCGTCCATCTCCTCGGTGGGCATGGCTTCTTCGATGCGCAGTGGGTTGAGCGACATCATCGCCTTCTGCTCGAGGGAGGCGGACTGCAGGTCGTTGAGCGAGGTCGGCGGCGGCAGGTCGATCTGGTTGTCGGCATCGGTGAAGAGCACCGTCTCAACCACGACGAAATCGTGCCAGTCGATCTCCGCGTAGGCGATGCGCTCCTTCTCCTCGGCCTCCTCTTTCTTCTGCTTTTGCTGCGCTTGGTATTTGACCCACTCGGCGCGCTCCTTGGCGCGGTCGAGCACGTGGTACTTGTTCTGGACATTGCGCTCAAGCTCGGCGATGCGTTTCTTCTCCGTCGTAGCGGCGTCGATGCCCTGCTCGCGGAGGAGGATCGTGTATTGGTCGACCAGTCGCGTGAAGAACGAGTAGAGACTGTGTTGCGGGCGGAGGAAGTCGAATTGGAAGTTGCGGGCTTCGCGCTGCGAGAGCGCCGTCATGAAGGATTTACCCCGGCGGGCGACGTAGAGGGCAGTCAGTTTGACGACTTCGAGATCTTGCGCGTTGATGATGGGCATCCGGGCGGAGAAATGGAACTCGGAGGGCTCCGGAGGTCCCTTGGGCTGTTCAGGCTCGGCGGCTGCGCTCGAGTCTCCGGGACGACCTGCGGCGACGGCAGATCCTCGTCCTTCCTTGATCTCTGTGAGACGCCATTGATAGAATGGGCCGTATGCGTCGTCGGGGTTGAGAAAAGAGAATTTGGGATTATTGCGTTCCTTTTCGCGGACACGATCTGAAGAGAGAGAGAGAGGCGAATGTGTTAGTTGTCTGATCTGTAAGGCCACGATGGGCGAGCAAGAACCTACCTTCGAATACAGGACCGTTTCGGGCGACATATCCGGCGGTCTTCTCAACAATTGCTAGTCAGGAGGGTCAGCGAATGAATGCTTGCGCAGGATGGGTTTGCTGGAGCTGGGACTGACCTCGAATATCCTTTGGTGGCAAGACCACACCCTCGGGGGGTTTACTCACTTCTTCCGGTAACGGAGTACCTCCATTACTCACGGCGGCCATGACTGACGCCGAGGAAGAAAGGGACGAATAGGGGGACGAAAGGTTGAGATGCGAGAGGGATCTTTTGTTGGTTGTTGGGATGGTCTTTTCGGGCTCGACTTCATCGTCGGCGTGGCGGCTGCTAAAGCCTAAGCGCAGGCGGTGGAGGATCCGCGCGTCTAAGTGGAGGACCCGGGGTTAGGCCTTAAGGGGACGAACATTTCAATGGTTTTTAATTTCGAAGTTATTAACTAGTTAACCCGAAACATTGAAAGTAGTATTTAGTAAATATCCTCCGTACAGTGACTAGATAGTCATCGTGGTGTGCAGCAATTGCATTCCGTCCCTTGCACAGCTTTGCGTGCTGTTTGCATCGGGGGCGGAGAGAGTCCAGCCGCAGCAGTTGCTCCGCAAGTAAGAGCCAGCCACCCAGCGGCACTGCATGCATGCTTCAACGATCTGGCCTTCTCTCTCTCTCTTTCTCTCTCTCCCTCATCGTCCCACACGTGTTTCTATTATTCTCCATCCCCTCTCCTAGTCTTTTACTATCATTATTCTTGCTGATCTCCGCTGTCATGGGCCTTCTTCATCTTCTTCTTCTTTAATTCTTACACTCATTTACTGATCTCTCTTTTCCTTATATTGTCTCTCTCCTGTTCCAATCTGTCTTGCTTCATTACTGTGCGGGGCCTTTTATTGTCCTCGGGCTCCCTCCTGGAGTTGGAGCAATTGAACTGCACGGCATTCGTCATTGTAATCGCCCGCAGTATTTGTTGATTGTTTGGGGAATCCTATTCCTGCTTCTGTCTCTCCTCGCTCATTGATCCTACCCAACTAAGCGCCTCAACCATGGCGCCCTCATATAAAAACACCCTGGAGGTTGACTCCCCGCCCAAGTCGCAACTTCGCTCCTCCAGTCGCTCTCCAGGTCCGAAGAGTCGCAAAAATGTCACCGTGCGGGCACCCAGTTACGCCTCGGAGGGTGTTTCCGACAACAACATCTTCAAGCTTCCTGCCTCTGATTACAAGATTCTCATTGTGGTGACTCTGGTGGCTGCAGTTGTTCGTCTATTCCGCATCTACCAGCCGTCCAGCGTGGTCTTCGATGAAGTCCACTTTGGCGGCTTCGCTTCTAAATACATCAAAGGCCGCTTTTTCATGGATGTTCATCCCCCGCTTGCTAAACTTCTCCTCACATTGGCTGGCTGGCTCGCGGGCTTTGACGGCGAGTTCGACTTTAAGGACATTGGCAAGGATTACCTCGAGCCTGGTGTGCCTTATGTTGCAATGCGGATGCTTCCAGCGGTTCTGGGCGTCTTGACTGTCCCGCTGATGTTCTTGACTTTGAAGGCGTCGGGCTGCCGCACGATCTCGGCGATTCTGGGCGCTGGTGTGGTCATCTTTGGTAAGTAACTAGTGGCTTTCTGCGATGCTCCGATGTCTGCTAACTCGGCTTAGAGAATGGTCTAATCACTCAATCGCGTCTGATTCTCCTGGATTCCCCCTTGGTTTTCTTCACCGCGCTTACAGCATTGGCCTTCACATGCTTCACCAATCAGCATGAGATGGGACCATCGCATGCCTTCCGCGGACCCTGGTGGTTTTGGCTGGTGGCATCTGGTCTTGCCTTGGGTGCTACCCTTAGTGTCAAGTGGGTTGGTCTGTTTACCGTCGCTTGGGTTGGATCGCTCACTGTTCTCCAACTCTGGGTGCTGCTCGGCGATACGGTCAATGTTACACCGGTATGTTCTGGTATAGCTGGTTCTGTCCCACAAGAAAGCTAATGTTTCAATGTGAAGCGTCTGTGGTTCAAGCATTTCTTTGCCCGCTTCTTCTGCCTCATCATCATCCCTCTGACCTTCTACTGTGGCATGTTCGCGATCCACTTCTTGTGCCTGGTCAATCCCGGAGATGGGGACGGATTCATGTCCTCTGAATTCCAGGCAACTTTGAATTCCAAGTCTATGCAGGATGTTCCCGCAGACGTTGTCTTCGGCTCTCGTATTACCCTGCGCCATCTCAACACGCAGGGAGGCTACCTTCACTCTCACAACCACATGTATCCCACGGGAAGCAAGCAGCAACAGATTACTCTCTATCCCCACAAGGATGAAAACAACGTCTTCATCCTCGAGAATCAGACGCAGCCCCTTGGTCCTTATGGCACCGTGGAAGGTCCTCTGGCTTGGGACAATATGACCGCAGAATTTGTCGAAGATGGCGCTACCGTTAAGTTGAACCACTTCGTCACGCGCCGACGGGTCCATTCGCACGATGAGCGCCCTCCGGTGACCGACGTCGATTGGCAATTCGAGGTCTCGGCCTATGGATATGATGGCTTCCCTGGCGACGCCAATGATCTCTTCCGCGTTGAAATTGTTAAGTCAATGTCTGATGGCGAAGAAGCGAAGAAGCGCCTACGAACCATTCAAACCAAATTCCGCCTGGTACACGTCATGACCAACTGCGTCTTGTTCTCTCACAAGGTCAAGCTTCCTGAATGGGGATTCGACCAACAGGAGGTCACTTGCGCCAGGGGCGCTACGCTGCCCAACAGTGTCTGGTATATTGAATCGAACAGCCACCCAATGCTGGCCGAAGATGCGGAGAAGGTTAACTACAAGAATCCTGGTTTCTTCGGCAAATTCTTTGAGCTGCAGAGGGTGATGTGGGTGACAAATGCCGGTCTCACGGAATCTCATGCATGGGATTCTCGTCCGCCCTCATGGCCGACTCTACTTCGTGGCATCAACTTCTGGGGCAAGGACCACCGTCAGGTCTACCTCCTTGGTAACCCATTCATCTGGTGGTCGTCAACCGTGGCTGTCGCGGTTTACCTTCTTTTCAAAGGTATTGCTGTCCTTCGCTGGCAGCGAAGCTGCGGTGATTACCGCAACGTCAACTTCAAGCGTTTTGACTACGAGGTTGGCACCACTGTCCTTGGCTGGGCTTTCCACTACTTTCCCTTCTATCTCATGGCTCGTCAGCTCTTCTTGCACCACTATTTCCCGGCGCTGTACTTCGCCATCATGGCGCTTTGCCAGGAGTTTGACTTCATCGCCAATCGTATCAGATCGCTTGGCTTGCCATCCAAGCCAGTGATTGGCAAGGTTCTGGCTGGTTTGTTCCTTACCTGCAGCATCGTCACCTTCGTGATCTATTCGCCCCTGGTGTATGGCAACCCCTGGACTCAGGAAGCTTGTAGACAAGTGAAGCTCTTGGATACCTGGGACTTTGACTGCAACACTTTCTACACCGATGTAAGTCCTCCACCATAAGCTCTGGTACTTCGTGATGCAACGACTGACAGCCCCCGCTTCAGCTAAGCCATTACGTGACTCAGTACGTTGATAGCAACGCAAACGCGGCTATTCCACCTACAGAGACGTCTATTCCACAAGCACCTCCTGCCGTGGCTCCGCCTCAGGATGCCCCTATACAGCATGCTCAGCAAGTGCTTCAAGAAGAGCCTCAGGAGCCTGCAGTCACCCCTCGGGCCCGTCATAGCACCAAGGCACGAGCGGAATATCGTGATCAAAACGGCAACATCCTGGACGAGGAGCTCGTGGCCTCGTTGAGGAAGGAGGGCAAGGTCTCCTTCGAGACCCGGCATGAGACCTCGACCCGTCTGGACAATGGTCATCTCGTTGACATGGTGGACGGTGAGATTGAGTTTGCTCCACCCCATCCGGATGTCGAGGGCCAGAACCCCGAAACTGTCGGGAAACATCAGTCCCAAGATGTGGTGGATGGTCCAGCGTCAGTAGCCGGACACGGTAGCTCCAAGGAACAAAAGGGGTCGGCGGACCCCAAGCCGGCCAGTGAGGTGAATGAGGCGACTAAATCTTGAAACGACATAGACTTGAAGCATTTTGTGGGAGGTTTCAATTCATCCGATCTTTAGTTTTACTTGTTGACTTTCTCTGCACTTCTTTGTTCGATAGTAAACGTTCCTCAATGGACTGACGAGATGTGACACTTGTACATGATATACCTTTTTGCCAAATCTATTCTTCAGCTAATCACCACACTGGACTGGCATTTACCTCTACGAGAAGATAATTGTAAATAAGAAAAAAGAGAACAAAAACGATAAGTCTTCCAAATAGAACCTCGTCAAAACAAACTATGCACAAAGCTGTTGTCGGCACCGTCTTCCTCATCCACACCCCCGTCGTAGTCTTTCCCACACGTCTAATCTTCACATCTTCACACAAGTTTTAGTGTACAGCGGTCAGCACCGATGTTCCTCAACTTCAACTTCGACCCCAATTCGAACCCCTTCCGACGACACGAGGCGGACACACTTAGTAGTCCCACTCCTCCTTGCCGTACTTGTTGAAGCGCTCGTGGAGGTCCTGAATTGTGAAAGATTTAGCGAACATTGGCTTCACATATGAGACAAATGCCGGAGTACTTACCGCGGGCAGAGTGACGTTGGGGACGATGACAGTGTTCAAGGCACTGGGAGCGTTGCGCAGGGGCTGGCTCTTGTCACCGTGGGGGTGGTACTGGTACTTGTAGACCTTGCCCTCGGAATCGGCCTGCTCCCAGGGCATGGCACTCTCGCCGATGCGGACGTTGCTCTCGGAGGTAACGGAAGTGGGCTTGCGGCCGAAGTACCTGTAAATGGTTCGAGAATCGCAGTCCGTTAGCCAATTTGGGGAGAAATTTTGCAATTGATTTGCCCCCAAAAGATATCTGAGGGAAGGATGACAAGTGAATTGCGACGTGTTGAGAGGGTCCTTCGGGGCAATTTTTGAACGCGAATCGTGTGAGGTAGGAAAGGTGGAAGGTTTGTGGGAATTTACCATCCAGCAAGCAGGAAAGCACCAGACATGACACCGAGGAGGACCTGAACAGAGGGGTAATGGCCGGTTAGAATCCATCTCGAAGCATTGGTCCGCGGGGGAGGTTCAATTGAGGTGTATGGTCTGCCGTACGTAGAGCTCGGGGTCACGCTTGGGAGCCTTGTCGAGGTTGGCCTCCTCGACCTTGGAGGACTGGAAGCGGCGCTGGGGAGCGCGGAGGAAAGATTGGCGGGCAAAGGCCCGGCGAGAGGCCATAGCAGCGATTGAGGACATTGTGATAGTGTGGAACTGAATTGAATATAGCCCTGGTTTGGGTAAAAGAGGATGGAAGAGTGGGTTTGAATATGGGGGGGGGGTGTGGGTTGAGAATCGGTGGGTGTCGGACGATGATGTTGCCGGCGCATCATCAGGTGACATCCCGTTGGCCAGCGGGATTTTGACCTTCACTGACTCAGCTGTTCAAAAAAAAAACATTGTGCCTGACTGCTCAGGCAGTAATGAGCGGGTGGAGCATCATACGGTCGGCAGGTGAACGACGTCTTCCACTTTCTTTCCTCCTTATGGCTGGACTCGACCGTTTGCCCCGTGACGCTTACATCCCCATCCATCATCTCCGTCTATAGTATTCCATCCATACACCACCCCCCTACCCTTCCAAGGTCATGGTCGCCCTTGCACTTCTACTATGATGGGGGTTGAGTGCTAATCACGCCTCCTCTCTCTCCCCTTCCCTGCAGCATCCCCCTCCCTCCAGGTTCGTTTGTTCCGACTCGGTGCGACAAGTTTCCCGCCTTGGGTTGACCTTTGGACAGGGGTTGGCCCAAGCCCTCTTCCACCCCCCCCCCCCCCCGAATATAACTTGAAAATTGATTATTGTTCGTGAGGGCTAACCGGCCAGTGCACTCTTTAGGTTGCTTACGCTCATTTCCGATTATTGAATCCAACTACTATCTTGATATATGATTTTTCTTGTCACTCCTTCAGAACCTCTTGAACCCGACTCGCCCCCAATTTTGCGGTCCTCGGTCTGCGGCATCTACATCATCATACCGATAGCCTCGTCTTACCCCTGTCTGACAACACCATGACCGATGCATGGTTCTAATTTGCGGAACCCTGACTATTGACCACGCCACACAAACCAAATTTTCTCTTCCTCAATCCAGCAATGTCCGAGACCAGCGATGCGCCGAATTCCCCCCCGTCCGCGCGACATGCGCTGGGTATACCGCGACCCCCTTCCGTGGGCGGAATCTCGTCGCGGATGACTGATATGGCTTCAGACGACGGGGAGTCCTCCCAGGCATTCACCGGTATGTCGTCGCAACCGGCACGCTCGCGACCGTCGGTATCCCGACGAGTGCCTCCGCCCGCAAGGAGCTCCATCACAACCACGAGCCAGGCGACGACAAGACCCGGAAGTTCGGGGAGTCGTCTGAGCCGATCTCACATTCCTTCCCTGACGGCGCAGGGCTTTTTCCGTCCGATGTCATCCCAGCGACTCCAGGCCCATCGAGGTCGACCGGTCACGAAAGGAGCTACAAGGGACACTTCGGAGGAATGGGGCGAGCACGGAAGCCAGAACAGGCAGAGCCTGATCTCGAATAGCACCGCGCCTCGAGAATCTCTTCCGCCAATAGATCAAGAGCCGCCTCCTTCCAGAGGCACCGAATTCACAGATCCAATTATCCCCGATCGGACGGCGTCGAATGCTAGCCCCATGGGCAATACCACTGGTCGGAGCATGGGCGAGAGTGCGAAGCTTATTCACGACAGGGAAAGGGCTTACAAGCTCAAACCACCACACCTCAGCCTGGGAGGCAATCACGGCAGCCCGATTACGGCTGAAGCGCCTCAAAGATCGCCTCTGTCCTTTCTCTCGCTACAGAACAGGAGCCAAATACAAGAAGCCCGCGACCGCGCGCATGAGAGGCTCTCCTCTGCCGGGTCGACGCCTGCATCAATCGAGAAACATCCCCCATCCACCAAGCGCAGTCGGCTAGGGAGGAATTACGAGTATTTTGTCGGCAATACGATCTTCTTTGGCGGTGGAAGATTGCAGAACTCGAGAGACAAGCCGGTCAATATTGCTACTGGAATATTGGTTGTCGTGCCGACGGCACTGTTCTTCGCATATTCGTACGACACCTCTTCTTCCCGATATCATCATTTAGATTTGACTAACCACCACACAGGGCTCCATGGTTATGGCATCATATCTCACCTGCTATTCCGATTCTGTTTGCCTACCTCTTCTACTTATGCTTCTCCTCGTTCGTACATGCTTCGGTTGTTGATCCCGGGGTAAGGGCTCTCTCACGCATCCGCTGCGATCCTGTCTGCTAACTTACTGCTTAAGATCATTCCGCGGAATCTTCACCAGCTCCCTCCGCCGGACCCTTCAGATGATCCTTTGGCAGTCGGTCCGCCAACCAATGATTGGGTGATGGTCAAATTGGCGACCTCTGACGTTGCCGCGATGGATGTGCCCGTCAAATACTGCGAAACCTGCTGTATCTGGCGCCCGCCGCGCTGTTACCACTGCCGAGTGTGCGATAACTGCGTTGAGACGCTGGATCATCATTGTGTCTGGCTCAACAACTGTGTCGGTCGCCGCAACTATCGATATTTCCTGGCATTTGTGGCATGCTCTACGCTACTGGCGTTATTCTTACTCGGCGCCAGTCTCGCCCATATCCTGGTATATCGCCACCAGGAACATGTCAGTTTTGGCACTGCGATTGACAAATGGAGAGTCCCTTGGGCTATGGTGCTGTATGGCGCGATTGCTGCGCCATACCCAGCGTCTCTATGGGCGTATCACATCTTCTTGGTCGGCCGGGGTGAGACGACTAGAGAATATTTGAACTCTCACAAGTTTGCCAAGGCCGATCGCCATCGTCCCTTCACGCAAGGCAGTGTGATCCGGAACTGGCTGTCCGTGCTTCTGCGACCGCGACCCCCAACCTACATGCAATTCAAGGGTAATTATAATGCAGGTGACCAACGCTTGAGCACTGTAAAGCGAAAATACCTCCCTCGCCATGTCGAGCGTCAGCCAGACATCGAGATGCAGCGAGTCTCTTCCTCGCAGCCTCAAGAATGAGGTCTTCCTATCTATGACTCTTAAGATGTGCCATGGGCACCCGGCTCCATGTCTTACTTCATGATACAATGCACAGTCCCCCGTCGTAGCCAAACAATTTTCTCTTCCTTTTTTTTTTTTTTTTTTTTTTTTTTTTGTCCCCCCTTTTTTCATTTCTTTCTTTTACAAGACTACTGCCATTATAATGCATGTTGCACCAATTCTCCCAGCCCTTTTGTGACCATGCGGCGTCCTGATCTTTACGCTTACATACCCCTTTCCTCCTTTTCTGAGATGCCTGAATACTCAAGCGAGTGGATTCTCCCCAAAGTATCCATTAGCCATACCTTCTTCGCAAGAATATTTTCCTTGTTGTTTATTCTAGATGCATCCCGCCTTTCCTCGAGATGCACATTCCCGGTCACCCGGAGCAAACTTGATATCATGCAATATCCCGGGTTGTATGTACAATAAGTCGGAATATATTTGTGCAAATAGACTATAGATGAGCTGTGATTTGATGAAAAGCGATGCATCGAAGCGTCAAACGATCCATTGACGTGGAAAGAAGCACGAGAGGGAGGAATTGTGCTGGCGCAAAAGCAGTACAGTCCACCGGCCGTGACATGAATGTCTTGTAGTTAGTGGTGGGATAATGGGCGATAAGGATTGTTGCACCCCACTTGCACGAGGTAAAGTACGCAGTAGGAAGAAAAGTTCCAGTGGACTAGATGGGTCTGGAAGGTTTTGCTTTCTGAGCCATTTGCATTCCGCGGCGCTGTTCTTTCGGGGCTGGAGGGAGAGAGAAAGGAAGAGTAGTGAGAGAAATAAAGTAATACGGACAACTCCTCCTCCTCCAACCCTCTCCGCACCTCCTCCTCTTCCTCCTTTCTCTTGTTCTCTCGTCCTCTTCCTCTCCCACTTTCAGTTCCTTGACTTGGATCTCTTGCGCTGCGGTTCTTTCTTGTGAGATCTATCATGATCTGCGAGATATTTGGGTTCTGATACGGCTCGATCCTGGTGACAAGGCCACCATCAACTCCGAATCAGTCTCGCATCCTCCCCGAACCCAGCCAACTTCAGGTCAGAATCTGCGTCTTGCGATTAATCTTTTCAGCAGGGGACTGTTGATCGATCTCAAACGTGCCGTTTCTTGACAATTATTTAATTACTCTTGACGTTGTTTGCTCACCGCATCTCGATTTCCCCCCGAACATCTCACCATGGAAGGCTCAAGTCGACTGTCCGGCGCGTCTCCCGCAACGCCCGCCACTCTGGCCAACCTTCAGAAGCACACTCAAGAACACGCAGACACATCAATGAGTTTTGAGTACACCGAACAACTGCTTACCCCAGAGAACAGTCGCTCCGAGACCTCGAGCAACAATGACAACGCGTCCCATGAAGAGAAACCGACTCAACGCCGACGGTCAACACGTGTAACACGCGCTTCACTGCGCGGGGGCCTCCGACCAGACGACCTTGTTGGGGCAGATGCTCAGAATAGCCCATCCCTAAGCGGCGAGAACAACAATTCACTTATCGGTCGTGGCGAATTCTCCGCGGCGGAGAAGCCGAAGCGATCGTCTTCCTCCGCCTCCCACCTCCGACACAGCATAGCCGTTATGGAAACAACCCTGTGGGCGGACGAGCAATCTACGCTAGACAACCACCCCATGACTCCGGAGACGCAGGTTTCTGAGAAGTCATCGCAGGAGTCACCAGCCCAGGATATTACAACATCTCTACAGCGACGGACTCTCCGCAAGCGCGTGGAGCGGGTGCTGACCCAGGATGAGAACAAGGCGCAGGAGAAGCTTACAACCACCGTCAAGGCTGTCAAAGAGGATAGTCCACAGCCCACTCGACGCTCGTCGCGACTAAGTCTCTTGACGAAGGCGTCGGAGTTGGTGGGTCGGGCGAGCAGCGTCCTGGGAAAGCGCTCGCGTGATGCGACGGAGAAGGGCACAGACGGCGGGCGCCGGGCGGGACTAAGACCGCGCAATGTCATCGCCCCTAACAAGGAGGAGCGATCGGTCCCTCCAGCATCCGATGGCCCGGCGACGAAAAAGCGACGGGTCTCGGAGAGTGACCTGCCTGCTGCCGCCAAGGCTGCGGAAGAGACCTCTCAAGATGTGGCGGCACCAGCACCATCCCCCGCGCCGCGCTTTAGGCGCAAGCGCTGGCTGGCTCATGGGTTGTACACTGGGCAGGAACGAGAAGATGGACCGCCAAGTCAGAGTCGCAGTAAGAACAGACGCAAGAGTCAGAATAACAGCAAAGAAGCACCGCCTCAGCGACGCCTATTACCAATGCCCATGTTTGCAGGAGAACGGCTGTTGCAGCGTGGAAGGGATTTCCAGCTTCCATTTGACATCTTTTCGCCGCTGCCCCCCGGTCAACCGAAGCCTGACGAGTGGCGGAAGACCAACAAGAGTATGTGTTTGCATTGAAACCCCACGCGGTCATTATCGGTTCCTGAAGCTAACATGAATACCTAAGATGTCTTCGTTGGGGATGCGGGCAGTATATGGCGCGCAAATAAGCATATCGACTTGTCGAACTGTATGTGTACGGAGGAAACCGGCTGCGACGAAGATTGCCAGAATCGCCACATGTTGTATGAATGTGATGATGGCAACTGCAGGCTAGGTCCTGATTGCGGTAATCGGAGTTTTGAGGAGCTCAAGCACAGAGCGAAGGTTGGAGGCAAGTACAATGTCGGCGTCGAGGTAATCAAGACAGAGGATCGCGGCTACGGAGTTCGCAGCAACCGCACATTCGAGCCAAACCAAGTCATTGTAGAATACACAGGTGAAATCATCACGCAGACTGAATGCGAGAGGCGAATGCGCACGGTCTACAAAAATAACGAGGTATGTCTTTACGTCACCCAATTCTCTTTCAAGCCTCCTAACAAGGAATCTCTCCCAGTGCTACTATCTGATGTACTTCGATCAAAATATGATCATTGATGCCACTCGGGGCTCTATCGCTCGCTTCGTGAATCACTCATGCGAACCAAACTGCCGCATGGAGAAGTGGACGGTGGCTGGCAAGCCGCGCATGGCCCTTTTCGCTGGGGATCGAGGGATCATGACAGGAGAGGAGTTGACCTACGATTACAATTTCGAGTGAGTTCACAGGATCTCCGAGTCACCGATTAATCTAACTTGTTCAACAGTCCCTATTCTCAGAAGAACGTCCAACAGTGTCGATGTGGTGCCGCTAATTGCCGTGGGGTTCTTGGCCCGCGACCAAGGGAGAAGGACCGGCGTGCAAAGGAACAGGACGAAAGGCTAAAGCAGGCTGCTTTGAAGAAGCCAGTCGTCAAGCGAAAGGCCACCAGCGTCCTCAGCAAATCACCTTCGGGTGTCAGCAAGCAACGCAAGATTCTTACCACCAAGGCAGTCAAGGCAACTGTCAAGAAGGCAGTCGCGCGCGCTCGTGCCTCCGTGTCAAAATCCAGTTCAGCTCGCTCGAGACAGGCAAACGCCAAAGCGACTGTCAAGAAGCTCGCCAACACGAAAGCCGCCACGACGAAACGAACATCGAAAGATGAACCCACGAAATCCAAGATTAAGCTGCCCACCGTCAAGGCTACCAAGACCAAGGCCAGAGCTACAATGCCCAAGAAATCCACACCGACTAAGACTCAGATGCCCGACGCAAAGTCTGTGAAAACCTCAGAGCCGAAGAAGATAGCATCCAAGCTTAACCGGCCATCCGCGGCAACCAAAGCGAAGATCCTCGCCGCCGCGAAGGGCACGAATTCACGGAAACGGCCGACAGCAAAGAAGCAAGATAGCAAGAGTACTTCCAAGACCAAAACACCGACTAAAGTGGTGACGCCAAATCCGGAAAAATCGCAGCGTGCGACCAAGGCTACGAAGACCGCGTCTCCGAGGAAGAGCAGGAAATAGATGATCGTGGTCAACGATTGGAGTTCTGGATGAATCCGGTATCCATTGGAGAATTGGATGAAACCGTCTCTCGGATAACTCCCGTCTGCTTGAAGTGTGTGTTTTTTTTTTTTTTTTTTTT